TCTGTGCTTTCCATACTAGATGTATCCAAGTGTTCGTACATTTTTGACAGTTTCATGTATTGCTCTCAATCCACAACACAAAACAAATGTTGGATAGTTATAGGTAGATAGATAACCATCTCAATAACATGGCCCAATTTTTTATATACAGAAAAGTTGACCAGTTGTGTTACTGCAGCATGTCTGAGCACCTCTAGTCTATCTCACCTAGTGTTTGTGCATTTGTCATGGTTGCTGACATTGCTGATTGGAAGTCCACCATGCATGCAAGTTCAAGTTCAAGGTGCTCACTCAGTGATAGTAGAAATGATAACATGTATATATATTATTGGTTTGAATATGAGTTTTATATGTGATGAAGCTAAAATGTGTACAAGAATGAGAATAGTGTAGTATGTGCATGAATTAATCTGCATGATGATATGGAAACATGTAAAAGTGTTGATTATATGGATAATGGGGTACTATGTTACCATGGATGTCATGATTAGTGTCATTAGGAGGGAGTAAACTGTTGTCATTTGTACTGTGAGTCGTAATATGTATGTTTGAAGGTCCTGCAATTGGCTGATTCATCTCAGTAGCATCATTTGAAGGCTGCCTATGACCATCAACATTGAGTCTTTAGTGTGTTGCAGGTGGATGCATAGAGGACTTGGACTCAACATTCTTGTTTGACAATGTCATGCTAGTTGGATGTGTGCATTTTTGTCCACATGTATGGCTTTACAATCCAGTAAATTTGAGGTCAGTCTTGAGGGCAGAATTGTTATTGAGGTGTGCCTGGATGCACTCACACCAGTCTCCATTGTTCTGAGCATTTTCCAGGGAAACATCAAGTGCTTGAGCAAGTTCAAGCAGGTCAGCCTTGCTTTTGCTCAAGAGTGCACCACTAAACACCACAGTTGGCCCATGGGCAGCACAAGCAGTGACATGAGCAGTTTCTTGCTCTTCTCACCACTGAGTTGAATTGGCCTTTTTTCTCACCTTCTCTGCATGTCATGATTTTTTGGCCTCCCAAGCCTGAATTCCTGCCTATGAGGTCAGTCCCCTTGCACCAACATTTATTGTCCCCTCTGTCAACTTGTTCTCCCTGCTATTTAATTTTTTCTGCAGGTCTTCCATTTGGTCATTTGTCAGGTGGTTTATGGAACCTTGAAGGTTCATAAATGCCACAGTGTTGGCAGCATCCATGGCAGCCTTGGAATTGTGTTGACTAGCAACACACAACATGGTGCTGTGTTAAGAACCATGTTGCTCAAGGGGGAGAGAGACTGACTCAGAGGGGCTTGGCCTCAGCTCATATGCTGTGCCCCTTACCTGAGTATGTGCCCTTCATTTCAGAGGAAGTCTGATGATGGTCCAACAAAGTCCAGAGGACTTCCGGAGGCTGGCTACTCTGCTGGAGAGTGCTAGAGGACTTCCAGAGGAGTGTGGGAAACATCTGGAGGAGCACAGGAAGTGCTCAGGAGAGTTTTCACTGCAAGGTAATACTTCTACAGGAAACAGGATGGAAGGATAGGAGGTCCGAAGGTCCAGAGGACAGGAGGACAGGAGGACAGGAGGACAGGAGGGCAGGATGATGGAGGACAGAAGGACAGGATGTCCAAAGGTACAGAGGGCGGAACGTCCAAAGGACAGGATGCCTGGAGGTACAAGGGACAGGAGGTCCGGAGGTCCGGAAGGAATAGGGGCTACATCAGATGAAGTCTGATGTAGAAGCAAACAGAGGTAGACTACCCTAAGGTAGAGTCAGAGAGACAGGGATTGGACCTAAGTCTGGAAAGAGGGTAAGTGCCAGAAAGGCAGAGCTCCAGCCTAGGGAATCAATCCCTAGGCCTGATGAGTAGGACAGACTTAGTGGACCAAAGTCCAAGAGAGGATTGGGCAAGTCTAAGTTGATATTCAAACTAGGGAACTACAGGAGTATCTACAGGGGTTATATACTGAACAATATCTGAGGGGATCAGTAAGCAAAGGAGCAAGGCTATGTATGAGCATGTGGAAACACATTAGTAAGTAAGATGGAACATAAGTAAATGAACTCGGAGATGAAGACTCATACAAGGATCAATAAGCAAGATGGAACAAGAGGTAACTGAAAGCCAGAAAGCAGAGAATGCCTAAATGGGGATAGGCGCAGGATATCAGACAGAGGGTGGGAATAGGTCTGGAGCTAATATCCAGAGGTCTGGAGATCTGGGGATCCGGAAGACAAGGTGGATACAGGACCGGAATACAAGAAGGTGGATATAGTTCTGGAATCTGAGATGAGGTGAAGTCTGGATGTCTTGCTGGATGAAGTGCGCATAGGGTGGACAGGATAGGGTTGTACAGATCAGGCTAGCAGTGAGGATCCGATGGTCCAGAGCTCAGGGGTAAATCCGGAGCGTAGTCAATCCTGCTGAGGTGTAGAGCACAGTGGAAGGGGATCTTGGAATGAGCTGGATATGAAGTGGGGTCCGGATGTAGGCTCAGAAGGCGTGGGAATATGATGGAATGTGGGTCCGGATTGTGGGATATGACATGCTGCCACCACATGCCAAAAGCTTTGGTTTCTTCTCAGAGCTGGGGGAATCAACATGAGACATGGAAGATTGAGTGGTATTGCCAGAGAAGAGCATGTCAGAGTGCAATAGTGCTGCCGAAGTCTGGTTTGGTTGGGTTTGTCATCTCATATTTGCGAACCCCGAACTCAACCAGTGGTCAGGTTCAGGCAAGATGGCTGAACCTCAAACCAGACACCTTCAAACATGTTTGCAAGAGTTTGGTCCAGGTTCAGAATGGGTTCAAACCCTCAAACCATTGTTTTAATTACCAGAAGATGACAACAACATTGTACTGTACAAATAGCTACCAAATTTACTTATTGTGCGCAATGACATGGTTATCATAAGGAGCCAAAAATTTGGCCTGGACAGTTGCAGAGATATGGCCTTGATGGTACACACTTTTGAGTAACTGAAGAGCTTCAAACATTGCTGGTTGCAAACAGCTATGACATGCCATGCCAGTAATGCCACCACTTGAAAATGCATGCTCACATGCAACAGCCAAACCTTGAATAGCGAGGTAATCCTTGGCAATGCAAGAGATGGTTGGGTACTGGATAGGATGGTGCTGGAAAATATTAGTATGCAAGTAACAACAATCAAACAATGATACATACCCCCCACCAGCCCACTACATTGTCAATGTCCTCAAGTGGTGCATCTAGGTAGTCCTCAAGCTCTTGATGAGGCCTTCATGTGGCTGCATCATTGATGACACATGATTTGACAGAGCTGCACATCCAACTATGGCCATACAAGCCTTGGTGAGCAAGCAAAGGCAGCTCAGTGATAGACAGCTCTGCAGGAGCCTGCAAGGAAGTACTGTGATGATGATATCTGTCGAACTATGTAACATTAGTATGCAATTGACAGTGAGTGATGATGAGTGACTCATGACTCTCTCGAGGGATTGCATCCCTGTTTCAAAAAAACAATGGGCCCATTTGTCTTTGGCATATGCAACCTTATAGTTGGGGTCAAGCACTACACCAAAATGGTCAATATCATTCAAAGGCATCAAAACAATATAAGACATACCAAGGCAAATAAAATACACATCCATGTCGTTGGTCTTACCATACCACTTGCTGAGATTACTGACACCAGCTTCAATGGCTGTCGAGAAGTAGCTGAATTTTGACGAGTTGGCCATGTTTTGCAATGTCTCTTGAAGATATTCAAGCACTGGAATAGTTTGCCATACAGTTGGCTCATGAGTTGCCAAGAAACTCTGCTGAGCATCTGCAGGTTCCTTGGTGTGCAGTGTATAAGCATAATTAGATGTAAAAGATAGAGGAAAATGACAAACCTGAAGGACTTCACGCATCAAGTCCAACTCCATCCATTCTTGTACTGAAAGCCTGAAATCAGCATATGATTTCCCCTTCAACTTTGGGACCTCATCACTGTCATCAGTGAGCTGGATGAACCAGTTTACTCCCTGATGAATCAAGTCTGAATCAGTGACATATTCATGTAGTCAGTAGCAGACAACTTACTTTGTGTAACTGAAAGATATGCTCCAACATATTAAACAGAGATGCCCAATGTGTGTGGACCCATCTCAAAAGCTCCAATGGAGGCTCATTCACCTCTGTGCAACACTTTTGAAGGAAGACACAAGCTTGAGGAGACTTCCATACCTAAGCACAGTCAGTATACAATAGTAGATAAATTAATTAAGAGCTTACCTGCACAACAAACGCAAGTGCTTTGCCGACAGTGTCACCAACTTCAAATTTGACACTTTCCTCATCCTCATCATCTTCCACCTCTGCTTGAGCCACCTTCTTGTGCAAGACACTTGCTGGAGTAGGAGCCACCTCCTCAATGAAGTGTTTTGCTGCTCAATGGAGTGCATGCTCCATGCAACTGAAATACTTGTCAGTAATCTCAATGAAAGTATTAAATAGACAGACTTGCCGTACACAATGCTCAATTGGATTCCACTTCTCACCAGATGGGTTGATAGAGTCAGCAACAGTCTTGATGGCAGTATCATTGTTAGTGGCATGGTCAGCCATAAACCACCCGAGCTTCATGCAGATGCCATATTTGTCAATATTCTCAATTAAAATCTTGCCAATGTTTGCACCACTGTGATTGCCGTGAATGGGTGTGAATGCAAGCTGCTCAATCTTGAGTTCCCATTCTTGAGGCTTGTCAGCTGGGGAATCTATATAATGTGCAGAAAGGAACAGGAAAGGGTGACCAGGCAAAGATGTCCATGAGTCAAATGTCATTGAGATTTTGCTATCAACATGCTTGAGCTTCTCTTTCACATGCTCAACCACCAGAGTTGCATGTTTGAGTATCTCATCCCAAGTTTTCATGCGGTGAGGGATATCTCAGTCTGAAAGTGATAGCCGGAGATACTGAAGAAGGCAGTGGAATGGACCCTTGTCTACAAGTTGAAAGGCCTGCATGTATAAGTGTCTTAAAATGATATTAAGAATTAAAGTCGCTCACCTCATCCTCAGCAACAATGAGTTCAACAATGTAGTCCATAAGTCCAGACTTCATAAATACTGGAATCTTGGGAGGGAGAGAGGCATCCAAGGTTGCCTGACTGGTTGTAAAGGTCAATGAAAGGAGAAGAAAACAACAAGAAAAATAACATATGCCATATCAGTCATCTTGCAGTTGTGAGGTATTGCACAATCATGCATTGCAAGACCACATTGTTTGCGGTGGTCCTGATAAACTGGGAAGTGGCACTTGGGATTGCACACAATGTGCGTGTGTCAAGTCAAGATACCGCCTTTAAAGAAGCACTGGTATAGAGCAACATTGTTGGCCTTGCACACCTCGCACCACCACCTGTTTTCATGCTCCTGGGTGTGGGGATTAAGACAGCCTTTCTTGAAAGTGAAGACTGTTGTTAAGTCAGCATTGCATTCATCCTTCTTGAGAGATTTGCAGTCTTCATGATCATGGTCACCAAGCTTCTTCATCCATTGGTAAGCCTCCTCTTTCTCAGCATTCTCGGCATCCTCTTCCTCATCATCTGTAACATCTTCAAGTGCAGGTGTGTCTTCATTGTCCTTGTCATCATTCTCTTGGCTACTGGTACCAATGAACACTCATTTGGGTGCAGGGACACCTTGGGGAGGTTCTGGAGCTGACCATTTGGCTGAGGTACTGCTGGCAACCAGAGTCTCACATATCTTCTCTGTGGGTTTGATGGCATGACCAGAATGACAGACAAATGAATTGAGAGTGCCATTGTTTGCAGGAGCAGGGGGAGGAACCATTAGAGAGTCATCTTCAGCATCATTGTACCACTCTATCTCACTGGCATCTTTCAACAAACCATCAGTGCGACATGCAGAGGACTTGGACATAGCAGCAGGAGGCATAAATGTCAAACCTAGGTACCAAGTGAATATATTTAAAACTAGTTTTAAAACTGTTGCACACCATGAACCACCAAAATGAGAACCCATGGCAGATAGTGAGTATGGTGAATCACAACTGTAGGTATGTTCTGAAATAAATTGCATTATAAGTTAATTGGGACAGACAGTAGACTTGTTGTGAACTCACTGGCACCTGAATGAGTTGCTGCATGACTGAAGTCACTGAGAGATCACCTTGCCTACTAGAATGCAGGAGAAGTAAAAGAAGACAGTGAACAAAAGGGCAAGGATGATACTCAAATAGAAAGCCTCACCAAAAACATGAGGCTCCGACTTTGAAAATCATAAGTCAAAGCCAGGGACATGATAGGTTCAAACTGGTCCAAATGTGTTCAGAACTGGTCCAGATTTATTGACAACACACTGAACCCTGAACCTACCAAGGGGTTTGGTCCAAGAGAAATTCCAGACCTGTGACTGAACCATGGGTCTGGTCCACAAAGGTTCAGGTTCAAACCTAGGTCCTGGACTGGACTGCGGCAGCACTAGAATGCGAGTGTTTTCCAGTGCTGGAGGCCAATACTGAAGATGGGGAAGGAGGCATATTCATGGAACTGCTGGCAACAAACCCAGTGCCAGTGGATGGAAAGGCAGATATAACCTTATCCCATCTGAAGCCATCTGCAGGCACCATACCAACAGGTATGTTACAAGGAGAGGGTACAGAAATAGCAAGACCCATAGCATTACTGCCTACCTCAGCATTAGCAGCACCAAGTGCTGACCCACTAGCCATGGCACTGGAAAATGTGCTGGCAGACATGGCAGCTACTGGTGCCTGTGCAGCCAACAAAGCTGCATTATAGGCAGCAGCACCCATGGTGCCACCCCCATTTGGCAGAATCTCCTCCATCATGACAAAAAATCTCCATCTAGTGTTCTTGAATAATGTCATTGCCTAAAAACAGGTAAGTGGTTGCCAGAGACTGAAGCAATATGTACACACCTTGTTGGCTCTGTGGGACTCAACAAACTGATCCCATGGAGTTTCTGCCACATTCCCCACAATGTTGGCACTAAGCTTGTTATCCCAGTGGCATCCAGATTGGCTGTTGTGATATCTGTTGATGGCAGCATGAATACCCTTGAGTTATATGTCACTGTTGTTGACTGATATGACACTTAGGAGTAGAGAGACTGGTCATAGTCAGAAGGAGAGATTATTCAAACTCCATCACATCAGCTTCAATGCCATTCTCATCACATTTTGTTCATTCCTTTCAAACATGTGTGAATGTCAGTTGCTGAACAGGCTCTAAAGAAAAACACTACGCCCGTCATTCATGTGTACAAGCTGCACCAATATGTTGTCAACACCAAAGAAACCTTCAAGAGTATCATAAAATTGCACCCGCCAAAGGCAAGCAAAGTTTGTGTCAACAAAGTTCCGAGGACCATATCAGAATTGACCACCAGAAGCAAATGGGGTTGAAGCGGTAGAATCAATCTCCATCTTTGAACTGAGATTGGGGATTGCTATAGTAGACAAAGACCCAACCTCCGATGCAAATTGTATTAACTGCTGCCTGGTAACATATTAGCTCTCGGCAGTCAAGACAGAATTTTAAACTCACTGCTTGTGCTGTTTCAGCATCTCGAGCATCGCAACAACACTGTCCTGTTCCTCGACTAAGAGATCACCTCCTGCAAGCGTGCTTGCATAATCTTTCGCTTGAGCAAGCGCATATTTGAAATCATTCGCCTACTAGGACGCTGATTAAAATACTCCATGATCTTGCTGTAGGAAAGGACATACCGCATGTAGCAGTGCTTGTTTGGCTACAGGAGTTGCTGTCCCTTCTGCTTTTTGGGTGAGCTCAAGCACCATAGCGAGCTTGGGTAACAATCCGTCGAAGAGTGCAGTTGGTAACGAATGAGTCCATTCCGGTGTACTGGCCATGTTCCAACATTCAATTCGAGCCTCAACTGAGTACAGAAGGTCTGACAAACCCAAATCGCTTATGTCATCCATTAATGATACTGTGGCACATTGGCGGCAAAGCTTGCCTTTCAATCATTTCATTACTCCATGTCATCGCAAAGCAATCTAGATGTGAGTGTTGTTCGAGATCTTCTGGATGTGTGGATTTCTAACAGATCTGAAGAAAGCCATAGAGCTTGTCAAGGGTGCTATTGAGGATGACGAAAAGCAGAACTATCTTGAAGCGTACAAGCAGTACATGAATTCACTCGACTATTTCATGCTGGCTCAGAAGTGTATGTCCACGTCCGCAAAATCTGCAGTCTGTGCTCAGTATAGATGCCAATGCAGACGAGAAGAATGAGAAAGCCAAGCTACTCGTTAGGGCAAAAATCGAGGAGTACCTTGCACGAGCAGAGACCTTGAAGAAGCATTTACAGAGAGATGAGAAGAAGTCACGCAAAGCCGTCAGCGTTGATGGTTCTGTTAACGGCACTGGGGGCAAGGGCTCCGTCGACGGCCCCGATGATGACAAAGATCCTGAGCTCAAGAAGTTACGCGCAGGTCTTTCAAACGCCATTTTGGCAGAGAAACCGAATGTGAAGTGGGATGATGTTGCTGGTTTGGAAGGAGCGAAGGCATCCCTTAAAGAAGCTGTTATTCTTCCTATCAAGTTTCCTCATCTCTTCACTGGAAAACGGACACCGTGGCGAGGTATCTTACTATACGGCCCGCCGGGAACGGGCAAGTCTTACCTTGCGAAAGCTGTTGCTACAGAAGCCAAAAGCACATTCTTCAGCGTCAGCTCAAGTGACCTAGTCAGCAAGTGGCAAGGCGATTCAGAACGGTTGGTGCTTGACGCTACACTATGTTCAGCTCTCCTCACAAATTCCCTTTAGGCTGGTGAAAAATTTGTTTGAAATGGCTCGCGAACAAAAACCTGCAATTATTTTTATCGATGAAGTTGACTCTCTAGCTGGAACACGAAATGAGTCCGAGTCCGAAGGCTCACGGCGGATCAAGACTGAGTTCTTGGTGCAAATGAACGGCGTTGGCCATGATGACACTGGCGTTCTCGTTCTTGGGGCAACCAACATTCCTTGGCAACTCGATCCTGCAATCAAGCGTCGTTTCGAGAAACGAATATATATCCCACTTCCTGGCCCGGACGCACGAAAAAGAATGTTTGAAATCCACGTTGGCAGTACGCCATGTGAGCTAGAGCCAAAGGACTATCGTCTTCTGGCCGATCGAACAGAAGGGTACGGTCTTTTCACCCCATCTAAGTGAAGTGATCCACCCAACTACTACTCAGGTACTCTGGCTCGGATATATCCATCGTAGTCCGCGATGCTCTTATGCAACCAGTTCGTAAAGTCATATCGGCGACACACTTCAAGCCTATACCACCTTCATCGTCGTCAGGAAAGGCTAAGTGGACACCATGCTCACCCGGCGATTCAAATGCCGTTGAAAAGACTTGGTCGGATATTGATTCCGATGAGCTTGTAGAACCACCGCTGAGGCTAGCAGATTTTATTAAGAGCTTAGACAACGTACGACCAACGGTCACCGAGATGGATATCAAGCGACATGATGATTGGACGAAGGAGAGCGGTATGTTGTTGATAATTAGATGCAATCCAGTCCTTTATTGACTCTTTGGTTTTCCAGGCAACGACGGGGCATAGCTCTCGTTCTTACCCTACCTTATTATTGCATACCACGATACCGTACTGTTCTATGACATATTCCACACTCCAAAGGAGCCCTTGCGTCGTTCGACAATAGTAGGCGGCATAAAGACATCAATTCTGTGGCCAAGTAAGTACTACAAGAAGCTATGGTAGGTAGGTACGCAAACGGTGACAGATGTAATAGCAGAAAAAGGAGAATTGGATACCACGACAGGAGGCGCATTGTTCTCTGTGTATTATGCTTCAAGAATACAGGCGGCGCTGTGTTCTAAGAGGGCTGATATTAGGTTACAACATACAAGGTGTCGGCACACGCAGCATGAAAACCAAAGCGCAAAATGCGCCTCATGATGACATGATCTGGGCATGTGCTTGCTGCATCGCATGCACATGCACATGCGTGGGTTTTGCTACAGCATGACAAACTTCTATACCCTGCACCCATGAATGCGCCACGATGTCCTCGATCGGAGAGCGCAGTTTAGGGTCTGGCTCAAGCATCCTCCGGATTAAACTGCGGCACGCCCGTGGGCTCAGATTGTGAATAGTCGGTGGGAAAACAACATCCTTGTCTTTATCCTTGTCTTTGTGCTGAACTGCACAGGCTGCGACATACGCTGCATAGAGCGTGTCAGACATTTGAGCAACGCGCCAGGGCATCTCTTGGAAGTGAAGGCAGTAATACACGATACCGCACGCCCATATGTCGACTAAACGGGCGTCATATGCTATTTTGAGTCAAAGCAGAGAAATCGTTGCCTACGCAGTTAGGCAACCGGATTAAAGAGGGTTGTATGTGGCTTACGTTTGCCTAAAAATTGCTCTGGGGCAATGTATGGCTCACTACCGCAAAGCCCCGTTGACATGTGAATTGTCGTTTCCCATGGCAGGCGGTACACAGTCGATGCACCATAGTCGCCGATCTATAAAAGCGTGAGAAGACAAGAACACGTAACGCATGTTCACCCACCTTCAGATGACCCTTGGTATCGAAAAAGAGATTCTCCGGTTTGATATCGCGATGTGCAACACCTTGACTATGGAGGTACGAAACGCCCGAAAGCAGCTGCTTGAAGCAGCACTCGACTTCACTGGGCGACATGCCACCCTTCTTGATCGCAGCGTAGAGATCCCCACCAGGGCAAAATTCCATAACCTCACACCAATGTTGGTTCTCGTCCTGAACGAGGTCCACCGTCTCAACTATGTTGATATGGTGCAGCGTGGAGGAAATACAGAACTCTGCAGTGAGTTTCTTGACGTACTCCTTTTCTGATTCATTCTTTCGTCTTTTGCGGAACTCCTTAATATAAAAGAAGTGATAAGCACCAGCCAAAGGCTGTGATGGGCAAAGACGGGACAAGTGGCTGGCAGTCTGCTTACCTTGACAGCGTACAGCTTCTCTTCACTTCTATCCCACTTATGGGCTAGGCGGACGACAGAAGTAGCCCCCTTGCCAATAGCAACCTTTTGGCAAACACCATACTTCTGCGTCAGACTGGCTGCGCTCTCACCACCAACCGATTTTCGTTCCACATCGGAATCTGACTTCCTGCTACTAGTTGAACGGGCGGAAGACTTGCGTGAGAGTTTAGGTGCAGAAGCAGTAATGAGATCTTTGAGAGTGAATTTCTGCCCACCATCCAACTGAGCGTTTGAGGGTGCCCTCGACCGGCTGGTAGGCGTTGAAGATGGTTTCTCTGATGGCAAAGGTTTGCTCTTCTGAGGAGTATTTGACGTATGTGGCACGGTTATTTTGTTGCCCGACACACCGCCAGACAGGCTAGGAGGCCGGCTTGCGGCCTGGCTTGGGGGACGGGTCGAAGGAGCACTCCAACTCTCGCTCTCCGATGGTGAGGGTGAATCCGTTACAGAGGGTGTTGCCGAGCGAGGGGTTCTGCCGATGACAGGCTTGACTACCTTGGGCGGTTGCATGTGTGAAGTCGAATGGTATGTGGTACCATTGACAAAAGAATTAGGATGGGGGTAAGTGTGGAGAGTACTGCCATCAAGCGGGGGCTTGTCTGAACTATCAGGGCCTTCGCCCTCGCTTTGAGCGGCGTCTGCTGAGTCAACAACCAGCATTGATGTGAAGGAGCACAGCGCGGTAAAAACGGCGAGATGCTAGTCTCCGTTGCTGACCTAATACTGAATCGTGTTCGTTATAAGAGCAATCGCAGATTTGAAAGGAACAAGAGGTGTGGTAAGGTCGTGCCCTACAGAGACAGCATGCTGACTGGAAACAGTTGAAAGAAGTTTGATGATATGATGATCAATATGCTGTCGTGGGATGAACGGGAAAAACCCAGCCGTTCACAGTGACCTGCCTATGGCAAGGCGAGAAATGGTGATTAAAGCAAAGTCTTTGTGAAGTCCTGGACTAGGATCTTTATCTGCCAAATATTAAACCGAGTTATAGTTCCGTCAACGTTGAGAACAGCGACGACAAAGATTTGAAGGGGCGAAAATCAGAATGTGATAAAAATGGGTGATGCCGTTAGAATAAGAGAGAACGTCTTGACTTCAAGTTCCGTTCGTTTCGAATGCCCTGACGCCGTGGCATGGCTGAGTCAGCAAAGGGTACCTACCCACCCGACTCGGCGAATCTACGAGTCTCTACCGTGATCTCAAAGTGTCAACGTAAAAGTAAGCTTGACATTCCTTCTCATGCGTTTCACGAACCTGGCGTAGGTGTTAATGCTATTCGTCAATGTATATTTGGTTTGCACGGGTTTCGCCAAATTTGTTACTCTTCGCAATGTTTTCTCGTGATGTGCCAGGGCCCCGGCGGGGTCACCGGATGACAGTCGAGCGCTACGATGACTCGGATCGATTGAACATTATGGACCTTGTCTATTCGGTGAGAAATGAAAATGCTGAGATAGAGCGGCTACAGCTACTTATATTTCTTCGACTGGTCTGTCTTGGAGAGAGTATCAAGGTGTCAGTTTAAGTCTGTCGATCCCGATTCATCGATAAGAAGCTAATCAGATCATCACTTGTTGGAACCCGCTAACATTGGAGCTTGGAGAGTGTAGTAAATATAGAATATTATTTTGGTTTGGGTTGGATCCTATACTTATCGTGCGCAAGAACGTTAAACCTGAGTCACCTGAGTGCATATAACGGAGTAGCTTCCATGGGTTCTTGGAACAGACCATATAGGGAGCTTCAGGCCCTGAGCCTGTTTAGTGTCTAATCACTACCGGTCCTAGCTTCCACTTCCTTGCAGAAGGACATGAAATTTATTCATCGTATTGTGACATCAGCGACTCAATACTAGTACTCATCCCCCGATCGGAGAGTTTGCCAACTAAACTAATTCAATATTTATGGGATTACTAATTAAAACCCCATATGCATGGGCCATGGCAGCTGCTCGAGGAAAAGTTCCTCCTTTGTGTTCTGTAAGCAGCGGTCCCGGGAACATCCGGTAGACCTGTATAGTTAAACTCAATAAGGTCCAGTGGCTTTATTACGTAACATTGTGGCTAAGCCTGTGAATCTAAGTCGCAGCTGTCCTCATCGACAATCCTCAAGATCAAGGTGAGAAACGCTGCCAGTCCAAGTTCTGCTCAAATTTATTTCTTTTTGTACTCAGACGCCGCTATGGTCAACCTTCGTTCTCAAAAGCGACTCGCCGCAGCTGTCGCCGGTGTTGGCAAGCGCAAAATTTGGCTCGACCCTGCTGAACAAGCTGAGATCGGGAATGCCAACTCCCGCTCGCACGTTAAGAAACTCATCAAAGATGGCCGTGTCATCATAAAGCCCACCGTTATCCACTCCCGCGCCCGCACCCGTGACCTTCTTGCTGCCAAACGCAAGGGTCGTCACACTGGTCCGGGTAAAAGAAAGGGTACTGCTGAGGCTCGTCTCCCCACTAAGGTGCAGTGGATGCGGAGACAGCGGGTTCTGAGACGGTTGTTGAGAAAGTACAGAGAAGCAGGCAAGATCGACAAGCATCTGTGAGTGTCATGTTCCCTCCACATACCGATCTCGTGTTCTCACGTGGACGGCGTTGATAAGATATCACTCCTTGTACCAAAAATCGAAGGGTAACGTCTTCAAGAACAAGCGCGTCCTCATGGAGTACATTCACAAAGCTAAGGCTGAGAAGAACCGTACCAAGGTCCTCACCGACCAGATGGAGGCTCGCCGTGGCAAGAACAAGGTTGGTTTTCAAGTCCTTCAAATTGTATTTCGTACCGACATTTTTAGGCTACTCGCGACCGTCGTGCCAAAAGGCTGGCAGAGAAGCGGCAAGCAATTCTTGCAGTGGAGCACGAGGCAGCTGTTCAGGAGTAAAATGGTTCATGTATATTCACGATTTCATTCCGACCTCCTTGGTCTTGCACCCTATAGCACTTATGCTATGTTCACATGCCTCTACGGTTGCTCACATACTTCACCATGCATTCTATTTCTCCTCATCTTCTCCATCGTAAACATGATGAATACGTGCAATGTTCCCTGAGGTCAGATATTGTGCCTGATTGACAAAAAGTTGGCGTCGTAAATAAAGTGTTTGAGCGCACAACTTGTGGCAAGCCCGCCTTGCTGGTGAACAGAAGTGATCACGTCAACATGACATGGGCAGGATCCAAACACATTCTCTTTACATTCCTCTCTTTGGCCACTGCCTCCACCATCTCTCTTGTAATCCCCACTACCCCATCCAATGTGCTCCCCAAAAGCCCACATTCGTTCAACGCGAACGCAGCATCCTCGATGCGTAGATTCGTGGCTGATGCGATTTCTGCAAGGGTAGATCGCACAACGACGTGCGAGGTCGCGCTGCCGTCAGGATTGGAAGTTGTTAGCACGGTGCGCATTGCTGCAATAGTGTCTAGATTCACATACAGATATGTTGAGTGCTGGACGGAATCACATGTAGACACAGGTGGGCACTCACCATCCAGCCCGTTTGGTGATGCAAATGTGGAATTTGAATCAGGCGTTTCCCCATCCCATCCTTTCGCCCGCTTTTTTCGCGAATTAGCATCCTCCGAGGGCGGAGGTAGCACATCACTTAGGTCAGGCAGCCGTCCTGAGGATGTAACTGTGAGCCGATCTGGTGGGAGGACTGACAGAAGTCGTCTACACAAAGATGATGAGGCCCATAGTGAAGATGCAGAGTTGACGACTGACCTGAAGAAGCGAATGAGCGTAGCTACCCAGTATGTAAGGTAGCTTCTTAAGCCCAGGTCTGAGAGGGGTCGTTCGGGTGTGCCGATTTTACCAGCACGGCGAGATACTTCGTAGCCTGCACAATGTGAGCCGCACGATTTTGACGGTTTTACGGAGCTTGCTCGCACGTACTGAATTCGATCATGAGCATTCCATAGCCCTTGCGCTGATATGGAGGGAGAACAATGATACACGCGAGATTATAGTCATCGTAAGATATTTTCTCCTGGATGCGGAATAAGCATCCGGGACTCGAAGTATACTAGTAGCAGGCGAGATACCTTCGAAAAGAATCCGAGAACATGATCTCGTTGCGAATCCGCGTCTGTAAGGATATAGAACAAGACTGATGTGTGTGTTAGTTGGAGCCATCGTGCCCGGTATAAACGCACAGTTGTCACAATCAAAGAACAAAGTTTTAACGTCGATGAACAATTTCCCAAACAGGGAGAGGTTTTGGCAGTAGAGCTGAAGGTATTGGTAAGTATTAGAACGAGGGCAGCAAGGTGTAGAGACTTTATCCTTGGCGCCGTCAACCTCCCAAATTATGTGCGCACCTCGCTGATAAACCTTTCGTCCTGGTGGATGCCTTCTATCGCATTGTTTCTTGAGCGAGACATACACATAAGCCAGCCATACACATAAAAAGATCAGGACGCACTATATGCATCTCCCATGCTGCACCCTCAGCCATGTACTTGAAACAACGATCACAGACCCATAATATGCTCTTTTCACCAGAGAGGTGTGAGCGAGTAAGCCCGCCGGCCAAGAGGTCAGAGGTGCGCCCATGTGATCGAACGGTCGTTCTGTTGACACCAGGAATTTTGGACGTCGAACCTGAGCCTCCAGGTAGTCCGGTGCTATCTTCAAGCTCTGAGTCTGTCAGTGGATAAGGTGAGAAATACCTACAGCATGATGTAAACGAGAGGATGTTTATTATGATACGTGCTACGCACCAGGTCTTGATCCGCCATTGCCCAAAATTGACCTTGTCAAAGTTTCTTTGCGCAGTGATCTGCTTGTGATGTTTGATGTCAAACTCTTCCTCGGTCATGAGGGGATCGGGCTGGGTTTCTGGCTCTGTGGGCGTAGGCGAAGGAGTGTCCCTCCTCCTTTTGCGTGAGGATTCGTTGGCAGGTTTGAGGCTAGCCCCTGGAATCCATTCGTCCAGGCGTTTATCAAACCCATCATAGTGGACATACACTTGTCCGTCCGGGCGACGTTGAAGTATGTTCACAAGTTCTGAAATACATCATTTCGCCTCAGTAGTTAAAGTTGATGATGGAAAATGTAGAACGCACGATCCGCGCCATTCTTGCTAACGATATAACTTGTGTCCTGCGATCGTGCAAGTGTGCTAGTTGAATCTGTCATTAAATTGGGTGAGGGTTAAAGTGAAGTACTAATTAGCACTAGTACAATAGCATATGCTATAGACGCTCCGACTCTCCGAGTCAGCGCTCAGTACATAACTTGATTTCATTTTACAGCACTCTACCGACTTTCCAAGTTGCGACCAACTTTTAGTAGTCACTTGCCTATATGCCCATTAGGACGCAGGCGCAGCGCTCAGCGCTGCTTACGATTTCGTTCACGACGTTGATATCTACTGTTTTCCTTTTATCACACGGCAATGACGAAATTTCGATCGGAAAGATCGGGCGGTCGGCCCACGGTTGTAGTACGCTTGCACTTGCATTCATCGTACGTGGACCAGTACCAGTGCCTACAGGCACATAAAGTCACAAGCACATTTCGTGTACAGTGTGCCTTGCACAGTACAGCATCCATCGTGGATCATCGAGTCTATTCATGCTTATCTCCTCTTCTTTACACACGAGCTTCATCTTTCTCGTCTCCACCACGCTCTACCGCCAATATCATTGTTTATTTATTTTTCGTCGACCAACAGACTCGTTTTTGGAGCACACCTGACTCCTACATAGCGACCTGACACTACTGAATATACTTAATGGCTCAAGTTCAACATTACGGAGCTAGTATCGTAAATGTCATGACATTCTTTGTCACTCTCCTCTGTGCTTCTCAAGTCTATGCATCTTGCACGTATTCGTGAGTTGTTCTCTCAAAAATTTCTTTCATTTCTTGTCTCAGATAAGATTTAGGTTGGATTCGACTGACTGCACTCCAACAAGCACCCCCACGTCGACTATCATCGGTGTTGCTATTGGCGGAAGTAGGTGTGATTTTTCAGAATAGTTGGCATTAGCTCAAACTGCAACAGTTGTTCTCGTGAGCATCATGGGCGTTGTCTACAGGATTCGTCGCCAAGCACTCCAACGACGTGCTGCCCAGACAACCTTTGTGTGTGGAACGCCCAATAACAACTATGGCAGGAGACAATCAAATGTGTATCATTCATACCCCACTCAATCACGATACCCTCCTGGCCTACAGTCATCAAGACCTGTCTCCGGTCAAGTGAATTCATTAAACCGACAGGGCATGACTTTAGCACCTTCGTTTCCTCAACCATCCTACCCACCCCCGATGACACACTCTGCACGCACGCGATCACCGACTATGCCTTCTCTAACCCACCACTCATATTCGAACCAGACCCCACATGTTTCACCCCCCTCTTCCCCAAATTCAACCCACTTACTACCCCCCCTCTCCCCTTCGACATATTCACGAGTCTCTGCTGATCCGTCTACTGTTCAAACACCATCTATTAGTGTCACTCCGGTAGCGAACACGCCTGTCGAGCGTCCATCACCTTCAGGGAATATGGAGATGCGTCCGTTGACTATGAATACGGGAGTTGAGAATGATGAACCTCCACCAGCTTATACCCCAATTTAACAGTATGTAACATCTTGAGGACTGTCGTACGAGATACCCGATTTTAAGCAGGAACTTATTACAATCTCATGAAAAGGGTGTGAAGAATGCTGTCCACTTGATTTTTCGGTGTTTTCTCATTGTTTCTTGATGATCCTATATCGTTTCACTGTGCTCACCCGCTAGAGCTTGCGTGTTTTTGAACCCCGTCTGTGTATCTATTACACACGATAGATCATGAACTTCTGGGACTTCAGCGCTTAAGGAGCAAGGCCGCTAACTAAAAAAAAGGCAGCCATCTATGTACATTCCTTCGACGAGATGAGCCTGAATTCATAAACGACCAAAAATCTTCTTTCCATATTGTCTACCTTTGGGAGCCTAGCTACGAGCCCTGATCCTGCACATTAATAAATAGTGACATGCATTCATGAGAAACCGGCATTTCGAATTCTTTGCATTCCAATTCACACACTTGACGTGTTTACATCTCAATCATTGGAAGTTCGGTACTTGCGCATCACCATGCCTGCTATCGAAACACAACCAGTTCCAATTTCTTCTCCTGTTCGCAGTATATCGAAGTCCATCGTTTCTCAGTACTCTCAGCTGGCCCCGAGGCTCGCTGTCGAATCTTTCGATCTCTCACCTTTTTCAGTACTGAAATGATGGTTTTCCGCAAGTTCGAGTTGCACGCTAACTACCTTTGATGTAGGAGTCATTCACCGGTCTTCTCGACGACGATATTCCAACATCCCTGTTGTTTCCGGACCCTCCAGAAATCCAGAAAAAAGCAGGCATGGTTGCGGACCTGAGTTACGACGTCGAGGTTCATCATCTCACCTTTGGGTATTGGAATCCCTCTCACGCCTGAACAATAGGTTAAGGATATCGCAGATCTTGCTCCCCATTTCAGGGATGGAGAAATTGAGGTGCAGTGTCTCCTTGTGCTGATGACCCTCGGAGGTACTAATAATCTTTGTAGGAGGTGATGGTCATTTCGCCGAAACCAAGATCCACTCATTCCTCCGGGCAAGGCGTGAAAGCCGGCGATGTGGGTGTTGTGAACATCGATCCCAGCTCACACTCAGACAAAGCCACGCAGTTCCGACTACTCTACACACTGTTCAAAGATTCCATTTCATCGACACATCTATGTCGAAAATGCGACGACTTCAAGCTCTATGCTATGCGAATTTTAAGCAAGGAGCGCGTTCGAATTCACAGTCCTCATGATCACATCCAACTTCAAATGGAAATTTGCCAGGAAATTCGCGAACTGCGATCTTCTTTTCTCTCACCATTCATCTGGATCTATGAGGATGGCCCTGAAATTCATTCCATCGCAGTATGCTTTCCTTTTATTATTGCGCTCCAGGTGCCAACAGTTTGAACCAGGAGTTTCATCCTAATGGCAGTCTCCAAGATTTGCTCGACCGCGACACGAGCCTTAGCGAAAGCCACGTCCTGCACGTGGCTTGCGAAATAGTAAGCCAATCCAACGACGCAATTAAATCTACTTATTTGCAATAGGTAGAAGCGCTGCAAATGCTTCACACTGCTGGCATAATTCACCGTGATCTGACACCATGTAATATCATGTTCGACGCGTCGGGACATGTGGTCATTTCAGGATTTGGTCAAGCATGCAGACCTGATTCAGCAGCCTTTTTGCTGTTGCCTGATACTGGTTTGTATTGTGCTCCTGAACTCATCCTAGGGTGGGCACATGATTTTAGTGTCGACTGTTGGAGTTTTGGCTTGCTGATGTACATGATGCTGTTCGGATCTGTGAGTTTACCCCATCAATTTCTCCATTTATTTACGCGTTTTAGCACCCATACGTTGCTGACAACGACAACGACAACGCTGCCATTCTGCAAACCAAGGTCCTTCACTGCTCGCCGGTGGTTCCCCGGACAGCGTCAGTATCAGCACAAGATCTTCTAGTCAAAGTAAGTTGGCGCAATATGTTGACGCGCGCGCGCCGTCTGATGTGCGTAATTGGGACTAGTGTTTGGAGCGCAATGCAGCTCTTCGCTTGGACATCAAACAGATTAGGGCGCATGCGTACTTCGGTGCTGTGTGAGTCTAACAACTTTGGGCGCTTACCGCATTGTTGAAGCTTGACGTAGGAATTGGAAGAACGTGACCAACAGGGTCGCCAAGGGTTTGCATACAAATTTGTGGGTGCTTGCTTGCTAAACTGACATTCGCTGTAGCACCCCTCGGATACGATGATGAGGATCCTGATATCAACTTACGACACTCTGGAGATAATGTGACTGTTTCAGAAGCAAAGAAAGCAGCAGTCCGTACAGAAGACGAACCTTTGACCTCGACCGAAGAGAGACTCGTGGATTCATTCACCCCCATGCCACAACGAATAGTAAAAACCAAATCTGGATCTCTCAACGCGCATCAAGATACCATTCTGCAGAACCAAAGGCGCATCTCTTCACAAAGCACTCGCCTAGAAATTGTACCTGAAGCTTCTGACGAAGAGGAATCCCTAGACATAGGTCAAGCGGAGTCCAGCACGCAAGATTATGTACGACGTTTCAGGCAACCTTCTGCAGTCATGGTCCTAGGACACCCTCCAGCAGGTCCATTATCGTTGTGGGATGCTCTTGATTTGGAGATCAGCTCTGTTTCCTCGCACTACTCTAACCCAAGCACAGCCAGTCGTGAGGAGCCACGAGAGAACTTCGGCACGCTGCGCAAAAGTCGGTCAGTAACCTTTCAAGATCGGGCCCGTTCCAGCCTATCTATCGCAAGCACTGTCCCTTCTACCAAATTGCATGTCCGAAACAAGCTCCGCAAGAGGATGCGTCCTGCAAGCACCCCTACACTTAGGTCTCCTCACCTTGATCCGCTACTCAAGGAACTTCCCCTTGGCGTCAAACAGATCGGCTACGGCATTGGCTTCAGCCCTGTGGAACCCCTTTCTTCTCGCTCGAAATCAGTTTATCGATCCGCTGTCCGCGCATGTCAAAATCTGGTGCCAGTCATACGTCGCAAAATCTCTAGAAAGATTCTATCAAAGCGCGAGGCACCTACGCCGATAGACTCAAGTAGTTCCCGTGACGCGATGGTAGTAATGCGTGGACTCTACGGGCCAACCTGGACGCTTGGCATGGGGTCTCTGTCCCCTTCTGCGGCTACAGACACACTCTCGGCCACAACCAACGACTCGGAAGGCCCAGTGACGCCAGAGACCCCGTTCTTTGCACAAACGATAGGAATAGTGCACCATGGGTCTTCCACCCTTCGCTTGGTACCATCCTCGGGTCTTCAGCCTTTTATATGATGATTTTCAGCTTCGCAATTACGCCGCATTTCATTGATATCGATGTTCCCTTCAGATTTTCCCATTGATCAGTTCCCTTATCCAATTGCAGAACTTTGTCATAACGTGGATGTCTTAACACTCGCCTGTGCATTATCCTTGTTGTAGTATGCATGTAATTCCTTGGCCTTTTGTACATGACAGTGGTAGATTCGATCATATATGTGCGAACTCTCGAATGTTCAATAGGCAGACAGCAAGACAAGAGAACTTATAGGGAAGACAGTCACAGTGGCTGTGCCGCATGATCACGAGGTAGTAGCCGAACCCTACTATTGTTGCCACTCAATCAGCGTTCAACAGTATGCAGGTAAATAGCAATGACTGACTGTGGACTTCATTTAGGCAGCCACCCCAGAGGTGACAATGGGTGCTATCGTGACCAATGGAGAAAGCGGCTCAAGTCCTTTGTGGTGGTTGGTAGTGGTCGGTCCTTCTAGAACAATATGTTCGATTTTCTCGGAGCCACGCCGTCATGGACTCCATTGTATTCCATCAAAGCTGAAAGTGGCAATGGTCCTTTTCTCTGATGTGGCAATGCGAAGTCACCACACGGTCCACAGCAGCTGGGTATATATCAAGAGTCTGAGTTGGTTCTGCAGAAATAACTTGGTATACCCGCACTCAAATCCCTCGATCGATCATAACTTCAGAGTTCCCCAATTTCTTACTCCCTGATTGACCTCAAATATGTACACAGCCCCCAAGAAGGATCCTCGCAGTATCATGGGGACCGACCGAAGGCCAAACCCACTGCGCTTTGTGAATATCGAGGAGTGGGACGATGGTGCCTACGGTGATATATCATTTCAAGAATCCCAGCCGGATACTCTCGACGAGCCATGGCCATATAGATTTAAGGTAGCATTGCATTTCTAACTCGACTCCTTTGTTCCTTTAATAACCTGACTACCAGAATGGTGACAATGTGTGGATCCACTCCACAGGTTATGACTGGTATCAAGGGAAAGTTGCCGGCCAGCCCAAGGCTGCCCAGACAAAGATGGTAAATCTCTTGATATAATTGTCGGACTGCCCTGCTGACCTGCGTTTTGTGACTGGCAGGGTGACGGACTTTTTTGGCCTGTCACTTATAATCGTAACAAGCGCAGATATGCAGCACCTCTCAATGGCGAGTTGAAGCCTGATACTCCGCTAATAAGGGAGATGTTGAAGGAGGCAGGCGTCTTGTAAGGTGCTGGCACCTACTGGACGGCTCAATGATTCTCCGCCATATAAGTAGTATTTATGTTCTATGTGTGATGACCGGTATTGTATTGTACCTAATTATCGCTACCATTGTCTATTCGTCAACGTTGTAGCGTCTTATTGTTTGTCGTTCTTGGTTCTGTAGTCCATTGTCTGCAATTGGAGTAGTAATCCAAATTACAGTCGCTAGTGTGACGTGCGTGACCGAAATCTATCAGTATTCTAAAAGTACGTTGTGTGGCTCCTGTCTGCCAGCTCCTACAACGACAACATCTTAATCCACGGCTTCAACAGACGACCACCATGACGAAGACGTATCTTATGAACAGCTTGATCGAAAAAGTTAGTTCTTCAAAGTTTGCTCACTGAGATCAACTGAGCTCTTTGCAATCTCGATTGATGATAGATGCAATCTCCGGACCAGGACTTTCGGTGCGCGAGGTCGCCCAAAACATATATCCTCGTGTTTTCTGAAGTTCTCGATAGATTTATGGGTCTAAACGACCTGATGAGCGAGATCAAACAAGATCCAGCCAGCTTCATTGGAGACGAGTCTACCGAGACGAAGGTCCTCAAACAGGTACTTTCCCTGGTGGAAGATAAGATTTCGGAAGTCAAGAATCAAGCTGTCAAGTGGTATGGCCCACATCTACTATATCTCGCTCTTAAGACTCAAGACTTCTATGTGGTACTGTGCATTTAGTCTGGGTCAATTGATCAAGATCATCCGCGAAACGCAGATGGAACTCGTGGTTGACAGCTTAATCAACTTCTCAGTGGGGAAAGATGATGAACTGCGTGATATCTCTGGCTTGGGTAGGACATCGAGATCATTGGCATACCTCACAATCTGATAACAAATATCCAGCATTGAAAACAATCACCTCTGAGTTGCCACTGGAAGGCAAAATCACTCCCAGAGCATGCGCAAAGCTCGCACCAAAGCTTCTACAGCAAGTTTCGAATGTAAGTTTGTTCCGCCAATATTGGTCCTGCTCTTGACATGATCACGTGTAGACGGAAACTCCACCAGAGACTTTGATCGAGACACTATCAACGCTATCTATACTCATCACTCGTTTTCCTGCCCACGTGTCTGATCCAGCCCTTACGCCGCACCCTCTGCCTGCAATAGCGCCGCTTCTTTCACATTCTCGTCCCGCTGTACGAAAACGTGCTATTCTGACGCTCTCACAATATGTCCCTGTAGCTCCTCCTGCGCTCGTCAACGATCTATTGCAGAACCATATCCTCCCATTCCTTTCACCTAACGCTAGCCTCGAAAAGCAGCGCACGACTGTGCATCTGGTTGCTGCTATCATACGGCAGGCACCGCAGCAGCTGACGTCAGTATACAACGACATCATACCTGGGGTCGTCAAAGCTGTCCAGAGGGACGATGATGAACTTCGTGAAGGTTGTCTTCAAGTTCGCAAATGTTTCTTTTTTATCAACACTGTCCTCCATCGCTCATGTTTAATCAGGCTCTTGAGACGCTACTCTTGAGATGTCTGACAGAAGCGGCACCGTTCCTAAGCTCGATAGTACAGATAGGAAGCCAGTTTATCAAATATGACCCGGTGAGTTATGAATTCACAACTTTGTATGGTTAGATCCCATCTCCCATCTGTCTACAGAACTATGCTGGGCAGGATGATGATGAAGACGAAGAGATGGCAGATGCAGATGACGAGGACGATGACGACGCCGATCTTGATGAGTGAGATCTACATGATTGTTTTATTTGCTTATTTTGCTCACAATGCGCATTTAGGTACTCGGACGATGAAGACACATCGTACAAGATCCGGCGTGCCTCTACTAAACTTCTAGCTGCTGTTATCACTACTCGTCCAGAGCTTCTGACTTCGCTGTACAAAGAGGTGTCGCCTGTGCTAATATCGAGGTTTAGTGATAGGGAGAAAACTGTTCGGCTCGAAGTATGGGCAACTTATGGTGTTCTACTCAATCAGACTAGCATGTACGGCGGCCTGCCACAATCTCAGGAGAACGATTCCGCCATTAGGAAGAGGAAAAGAGATAGCGAAGAGAGGATGGATGTCGAGGAAACACCATATACCCTTCTGCGCTCACAGGTTTCTTCATTATCCAAGGCCTTGCTCCAGCAACTCAAGTCCCCGAAGACTCCACCACCGATGCTTCAAGCAGGCTTCCAGCTTCTGCATGCTCTGCTTGGCGTTCTTCCTGGTTGCCTTTCCAACCAAATTACGCCTATTGCTGCAATCTCTCAATCCGTGCTGCTTCAATCGCCAGCGACTTCAACTTCAGCCCTTCACCTTACATGTCTCTCTTTCATCGCATTGTATTTTGCGACGCATGCTCCGGGGACATTTTCTGTGTCACTTCCTACTCTGTCACCTGTTCTTTTGAAGTCAGCTGGAGAGAAACACCCTCGAGTTGCTTCAGAAGCCTTCCGCGTCTTCTCTGCTTTACTCAATGCGACGAAACCCGTAAAGAGTGGCGAATGGGCGGAGCGTTTGTACGATCAAGCTTTTCAGCGCCTCAGTACTCACGACACAGATGCCGAGGTTCGTGGATGCGCTGAGGACTGTATTGCAGACCTATGGATTTGCGCTCCCGATATCATCAAACCGAAAGGTGGCAAGGAATGGCAAGCTATATGTCGGACTACGGGTAATACAGGGGGAGCTGTTAGAGTGGTCACGAAAGTTTCGAGGGACGTGGAAATGAGTGATGACTGGGTGAATAGTTGCGTTGAATGGATCATGGGTCTACTTAAGAAGAGTGAGAGGGGAGGAAAACCAGAGATATTTGTCGCCCTCGATACTCTTCTAAAAAGGTCAGTTCATCTCTTGGGAATCTGGAACCAGCCTCATTTTGTTCAGATATTCGTCTGGCATTCCCACCGGTCTGCCACCCACTTTGGTCCCCCAGATCAGGCCATACATATCGACGACAGACATTTCCTTACTGTCTCATGCACTGACCATCATTACAGTGTTACTCGAGTTATCTCCGACCACTACTTTTCCTGCAGTTGAGCGCGAGCTCCTTAGCGACATCTATCAGATTGCACATTCGCCTCTTGTTTCAGGAGCTGCTCTCGATTCACTTCTGATGTTCTTCTCTTCGTTGGTGCAGGCTGATAGTCAAATTGCAACCCATGTTGTCCCCAGCTTGGCAACAGCAGTGGAAAAGGCCAACAAGTCAGACGCCAATTTAGCCAACGTCGCTAAATGCATTGGCCAAGTTGTCCAGAGCGATCAGGGAGTGGCAGCAGGAACCATTGCGGTTTACTCCAAGTATATGAAGGTCAGCCCAGGCAGAGTAACCTAGCGCATTTCTCACATCGTGCTGCTTCTAGAAATCTTCAAAGGCAAAGTTCACCACTCCTGTTGTGGTATTAAGTCTGCTGATTGTTGGAGAACTTGGCCGTTTTATGTATGTCAGATTTTCAGTGTCTCCGTTCCATCGATAACTCTGTCACAGCGATATGTCGAAGCAACAAGATACGTTTAGCAATACTATCGAACATTTCGCAGCAGAAGAAGAGGAGATTCGTGCTGCTGCTGCATTCGCTGCTGGCAAGTAAAGTCTACACGTTAGCTGGATACATGGATTGACGTGCCTAGGAAATATTGCTATCGGAAATCTTCATCAATTTTTACCTGCAATCCTCAGAGTTGCAGAGAGTGATCCGCACAAGAAGCTGCTGTCGTTGCATGCATTGAAGGAGGTCTGAAATATAGCCTTTAGTGTCAATTTGTGTTCTGAGAATCAGTCTAGGTTGTCACGCATTGCTCGCATGGGCAACTCGAAGGTGTTGCAGAGCAGCTCTGGGTACCCCTTTTTCAATACTCGGAGGATGCGGAGGACAGTACACGCAATGTTGCCGCTGCCTGTCTAGGCAAACTTACTACAACACATCCCACACGATATCTCCCACAACTTCACTCTCGCATTCACGACGAGAACCCCGCAGCACGCGCCACTGTCGTATCTGCCATCCGACATACGCTCGCGGAGTCATCGCCATCGTACGACGAGCTTTTGGCATCGCTCATCATGGACTTCTTGGATTTGATACATGACAAGGATTTGGTGTGCCAGTTGCCTTCATAAATTTGAATTTCCTGACACGAATTCTTCAGAATGTCCGCCGCCTTGCGTTGTCTGCTCTCAACTCTGCAGCAAGAACGAAGCCCCACCTCATACGCGATCACCTTCCAACTCTGCTCCCGAGCCTCTATGCGGAGATGAAAGTCAACCCCGACCTCATTCGTACGGTCCAAATGGGGCCCTGGACACACAAAGTCGATGACGGTCTCGACGCGCGCAAGACTGCATGGGAGACACTGTACACCCTTGTAAGCTTTTGCCACACCCGTATTCCCCTCACTCATGTATACCTAGCTCGATACCTGCCTCGCCAAACTCGACCTGTCGATCTTCCTCTCGCACTTGCTCGCGGCCATCAGCGATCCGTCGGACGAGATCAAAGTGATCGGGCACATGCTCCTTGTACGGCTGTCAGCGTCTCCGACAACATCCATCGCACTTGCGCAGCGCCTCGACGAACTTTCACCCTCTCTTGAAATGACGATGCGCGGGACAGCCGTCACTAAAGACACGGTGAAGCAGGACATCGAACGTGCGGCAGAGCTACGGAGGAGCACGATGCGTGCTGTCGCTGCCCTCAGCAAGATCGACAGTGCGGGCAGCGCGCCGAAGTTCGACGCCTTTGTGGAGGAATCGCGAAAGAATGAACAATGGGGCCTAGAATTCAGGGAGTTACTTGGACACTGAAGGATTTCACTATGCAGGCAGTATACGCTATATCTATTTTTCAGTGCTCTCGTAAGCAAAGCGCAAACCGTTCTTGCGATTAGGATATCTGTTTCGTCTCCAAGTCCGTAGTTACCTGAGTCTACATGCTAGTACTTACAATCCTGCCCTTTGCTGCATCAAAATTCGTGTTTCACCCAATAAAAATTTGACGGGCTCAGATTGGTCTATGACACAACCAATCCTTTCATCTTCTTCCAAATGAGAGCCGCAGCCTCCTTTCTCTCTCTTGTGGCACCCCCTGCTCCGAGGACGCTCTTGTTCTCAATCGCCCGACGTGAAAGGTAGGGCATGACCTAGACATGACAGCGTGGTTAGAACCATCATTGAAACTACAAACAAGAATAGCACAGCAAAAGAAAGACTCCATGTGTTGATATGGAAAAACCAATCCCAAAGGGAATACTAGAATAAGAAATAAGGAGACTCGCCTGCAGCAGTGCGCCGAACGGGACATACTTGATCACACACGGCCTTTCACACCGCGTCCGCCCAACGAGGTAATTCGTCAGCGCATCTGACATCCCTGCATATCAGACAATGAGTTCATGCTATATTGGACAAAAAGCAAAGAAATATAAACGTACCATACAGCTGCCCAAATGAAATCCTCTCACCAACTTCAAGCGGGATCCGCACCGCGTCTTCTTGCACCCCATGGACGCCAACACGCTCGACGACTCCCAGGCCCTTCTTAACAAGTTCTTCCAGGATGAACTCGCACGAGGTCCAGTTATGCGTGCCAAAAAAGATACCAATGCCTGGTGCACCGAATCGGCCGGAGCGGTGGACGTCTTGGGAGACTGCATCGATCAGCATGGTCGCGCAGTCGTAATAGCATTGGTCCGTCGCATCCTTCGAGGGTTGAACAGGAGGTTCAGGGTCGGGAGATATGGAGAGCGAATGTGAGTGTTTTGTTAAGTAGGGTCCGACTGGAGAGCCAGCTGAACGAGTCTGCTGATGGGCAGCAAGCTCGTGTGGATGATAAGCTCCCCGGACGAGTTTCACTCCAAGCGCATATCCTCTGGCACGGGCCAGCGCCAGGGAGTGTGCGAGGTGCGCGGGCATGCTGTAATTTGAGCGTGAGCACGCTTGATCATTTGGGTAGATCTGAGTACTGACCGTCGTAGATAGGCTTGATAGGTCACATACACGAGAGGCTGCACTCTGTCGTGCATAGATTCCCTCGCGGATGGAGAGGATGTCCAAGAGGTGATGTCCCACCACGTCCGCCGGAAGCCACCGGAGGGGAGCTTATTGAATCGCTCCATCAACGCGTGTCCAAATGCGTCGATGGCGGGTTGGTACCAACTATGATATGAAGAGGTAATGCAGTGTGTGAGATTTAAAAAGCAGTCAATAAACTTGAAACACACCTATGCTCTGCATCGATGAACACTCTTACTCTGCGTTCTTCAGCATGTGTGCAAATCCGCACAAGGTCGTTGTATAGCTCTTTCAGGTCATGAATGTCGGATTCCGTTAGTGTTCCTGTTGATATAGAGGAGTGCAAAATGGAAAGATCAGACGGTGAAGGAGTTCCTGGAAAGAGCACCGGCGGTTCAAGCGGTGCTCGAGTATTTGTGAGGTGTGTTGACAGGTTGATCAAAGATTGGGCATTTGGAAGCATGGCAGTCTGGGCGAAGACCATTGGCATCGTGCTCCTAATGTGCAATACTCACAACTCACAACTTTCACAGCAACCCAAGTCCGCCTCCCCATGTGTCCATTCTGAAGTGCATCCCTTCCGTCCTCGAAATCGGCGGAGGCGTTGATAGTCCTTATAGTTTCCTCTATGATACGCTTGTGTACGGGCTGAGGCCTTTCCATGTTCGTTTGACCCGCCGCCTCCGTCTCACCGACTTCAACGGAATAAGCAAAGAGAGCACCTTTGTTCTCCGCACGGAGAGATGCAAGCAGCGGTAGTGCACCATTGGCCGTGTCTGCGCCGACAAACTGCCGACCTGGTTATGGCTTCAAATTAGACAACGAGGAACAGATGATATGTACCTGATGGAAGAAAGTAGCTCGCACGAAACTCTCGACTATCTTATTCACTCCAGGGATACCGAACAAGATGTCCAATATTGTCGGTGCCGCATCAACGAGGGGAGCGATACTGCATGTCCCGTACACAATATACGCACGCACCAGATCCGACAGTGTACGCGTGTCAAAGGGCGCTGGTTCAATATTTGAAGCATCAGTGTAGAATGCGTAGCCCAGCACGGAGGTAGTCAATGCGCTGGAAAGCACTAGCATGTGTCCCAGTCGTCTGAGACGTGCAGGTGGACTCGGAACAGTGGAGAGAGCTCGAGTGCGAACAAAGAGACGCAACGCACCACTACGAATGATCATGCTCATGGTTGTGGGTGGGGAAGAGATGTGCTTGAGGTTGATCCGGGAATGGAGGCTCGAGGTTAGCTCCGTCCGATTGACGCACACGTACGGGCGTTACAGGAACACGAAGAACGTCAATCACATCAATGTATAGGGTCACGGCATGCTAGAAGTCCCGAGCAAGGTTATCGCATTCGCCTACCGGAACGTTCCACATGGAGATTTTCGTCATGTTTGTAACTTTGCAACCAGACTCCTACCGTGTGCATGCGTCCTAGAGTAGCCAATAGAACCACATAATTATATAATCATTTTAAGCGACAATTTTTTCGAGGCTATTCCCCACACACATCGATATTGGCTTGCGGAGCACTGAAGAAGTCAATAAATGCTACGGCCCAAGTATTTCAGACAAGTTCAAACATCCACATTGCTTGAGCAGCATGAAAGTTTGTCCAGAAACAATTGTATCAATAAACTAGGTATTGCACCATCAACTATGACACCGAAACAAAAGTAGAAACATGATTCACTGTGATGACGTACTGCTCAGGCTGCTGGTTCAATGTGAATCTAAGTTATGATGCAGAGACTCTAAGGTGCACAGGTGAGTCATGTGGTTGAATCCTGGTCGCACAGCAACCTGCTCATCTGTTAAGAACCATGTTGCTCAAGGGAGAGAGAGACTGACTCAGAGGGGCTTGGCCTCAGCTTGTACACTGTGCCCCTTACCTGAGTGTGTGCCCTTCATTTCATATGAGGTCCAATGATGGTCTGACGAAGTCCGGAGGACTTCCAGAGGCTGGCTACTCTGCTGGAGAGCACTAGAGGACTTCCGGAGGAGTGCAGGAAATGTCCAGAGGAGTGCGGGAGAGTTCCAGAGGAATGTAGGAAGCGTTCAGGAGAGTTCCCACTACAAGGTAATACTTCTACAGGAAACAGGATGGAAGGATAGGAGGTCCAAAGGTCTGGAGGACAGGAGGACAGGAGGACAGGATGTCAGGAGGACAGGAGGACAGGATGTCCAAAGGTATGGAGGGCAGGAGGATAGGACGTCCGAGAGTTAGGAGGATGGAACATCCGAAGGTACAGAGGGCAGAACGTCCGAAGGACAGGATGCCTGGAGGTACGAGGGACAGGAGGTCCGGAAGGAATAGGGGCTACATCGGACTTCGTCCGATGTAGAAACAAACAGAGGTAGACTACCCTAAGGTAGAGTTGGAGGGACAGGGATTGGACCTAAGTCTGGAAAGAGGGTAAGTGCTGGAAAGGCAGAGCTCCGGCCTAGGGAATCAATCCCTAGGCCTGATGAGTAGGACAGACTTAGGTGGACCAAAGTCTGAGAGAGGATTGGGCAAGTCTAAGTTGATATTCAAACTAAGGAAACTACAGGAGTATCTACAGGGGTTATATACTGGAGAATATCTGAGGGGATCAGTAAGCAAAGGAGCAGGGCTATGTACAAGCATGCGGAAACACATTAGTAAGTAAGATGGAACATAAGTAAATGAACTCGGAGATGAGGACTCGTACAAGGATCAATAAGCAAGATGGAACAAGAGGTAACTGAAAGCCAGAAGGCAGAGAATGCCTAAATGGGGATAGGCACAGGATATTGGACAGAGGGTGGGAATAGGTCCGGAGTTAATATCTGGAGGTCTGGAGATCTGGGGATCCGGAAGACAAGGTGGATACAGGACTGGAATACGAGAAGGTGGATATAGTCCAGAATCCAAGACGAGGTGAAGTCCGGATGTCTTGCTGGATGGAGTGCGCATAGGGTGGACAGGATAGGGTTGTATGGATCAGGCTAGCAGAGAGGATCCGATGGTCCAGAGCTCAGGGGTAAATCCAGAGTGTAGTTGATCCTGCTGAGGTGTGGAGCACACAGTGGAAGGGGATCTGGGAATGAGTTGGATATGAAGTGGGGTCGGGATGTAGGCTCGGAAGGCATGGGAATATGATGGAACGTGGGTCCAGATCATGGGATATGACATCATCCTCACATCATATCCACAAGCATAGTTCCAGCAGCAATCTGAATTTGTTTGGTAAAGTGCCATGCTACTTTTACTGGCACTGACAGACAGATGCTGTCAAAGCAACAACAACAGTGAGAAAGGAGAAACACATTTTCTGTGCGAGGTGATATAGAATCTTCTGAGGGGGATCTTGAATGATACCTCTGGGGATGGGGGAACACTGTAGGATGATGGCCAGCTTTTATATCCTGCAAATACTAGCAAGAGTGTATTCAATCGATCATGACCATTGTATCATAATCTGCCATTAGTAGCTGAGATTGTATAGTATTCATAGGCATATAGTTCACAAGCACACACACACTCGTGCCCCAGCCCCAGCCTATTACAGCCTTGTAAAGTCCTGTCATACAGTGTACGGTGAACAGCCCTAGCCCCGGATCATCATATGTGAGTTTTCCCACTTAAATTACTGATTTGGACCATCTCTGAAACTATCTCTTGGCATGATTTGCACTTTGGAAATGCAGATTTCTCCCACCCATGTTGCTGCTGCTAGTGAAAAAACTGTTTCATTCTGTGACCTGGCATCTGTCGACTCATTTCTGCTGACTGTGCCTGCCATGGTTGTGACACAGCTGTTGCACTACCAGCTTGACCAACATCAGCAAACTGGAAATTTCCCCACAGACAATGCTATTTTAGACTTTTTCACACAGTAGCTCACAGTGCAGACAGACGCCACAATGGACATACACCCACAGACACATATTTTACACAACCTTCCAATCACAGACAGAACTAGCCAGTTGCTTGAAGTCTGTAGTAATTTGAATTTTTAGCTAGTCAAATTTCCCCACAGACAATTGTTTTGCACAGTAGCTCACAGTGAGGACAGTACTGTAGTGAAACACTTGAATTTAATACACAGTACAAAACACTATTGCTAAATTTTGACAAGGTAATACTACAGAAATTCTGCAACAATTAAATTAACACAGTATCTCGCATCAATCTAGCTGAATGGTGATGCCATGACTATCCCCCAACTTGACAAGAGAACCTGTGGCTTGTTAGTATAACACTGTGAATCTCAATGTAATCCCAGACTTACTGTGAAGATGGTGTGCACAGTGAGAAAGACCATGTGTTTTAAAAGCAATCCACATGTATCCTAATCCAACATCCACCCAGTCAAGTTTCTGCTTGAAAAGACTTGACTTAAACTTTGATAAACTCACCATGAGTTCGAGCTTGTGGACCATGCAGTCAGCAAGTGATTTTTCAGCAAGGAGCTTCTCTTGTCTAGCCCTGGCAAGTTCCATGACAAGGTTTGCTTCGAGATCTTCTATACCATTGATGATTTGTAAAATTAAATATAGTTATTGATAGAAACATAGTGCTGCTACATACCATGGAACCAATAGCATCAGCAATATCATACAAGTCAGAGACACCGGCAGCGCCAGAATTTCCAGTTCAGCACATGTCAGATGGATGCTGCTGAGTGTAGCATGGAGAACACCGATGGTGTGCCTTATTTGAGGTAGATGGAATGTTGTGGTGGATATTGAGACTGACAGGTGAGGTCAACATATGTTACTATGTACTTTGGTGTGGTGTACTTGATGGAAAAAGCAAATTTGGAAATTGCTGGAGTCAGTGTGAGTATTAGTATAGCATCTACATACCTTCAAGTTTCTTCTGTAACTCATGTATCTCCAGTGTCCATCCTGTGGCAAAGATGGATTCAAAACTGATACTGCTGTTGCCTGTCATATGAGCTAGCCTTGCTCTGGGTGCAATAGTTGGCTGGATGAGTTAATTTGGCTGAAATCTCACCTACCACCCAAAGATGATCCTATGGACTCGGAGTCAGTCAGGGGTTCATATGAAGAGGATGGTAATATTTATTTTGGAAATACTGACAATGGTGGTCAGGGCTCACCTGTAGTTGGAGGATGGGATGAGGCTAGCAGAACCCCAATGACAGACTCAGATATTGAAGAAGAAATGCACAGTGAGGACCATGAGGTTACCGACTTCTTTCCAGGCGCTGCAGAGACTTACAGTGTGGGCCATATGTTCTTGGGCCTGTTCAACACCAACAAAAATAGCATCTATTGCAAGACCAACATCTACTACCTGTTTAGCTGCAAGCAAGACTGGGAACTTGCCTCATGGTTACTGCATTCTGGTTTGAGTATGGGGAAGGTAGATACCAAGCCCCTTCAGTGACAAACTCCATATTATATGGGTCACCTGACCTACATAATATCCTGTATAAGATGGGCCAGTGGACTATGGGCCGATATTATGTATATCCTTGATGTTGATGGGTGGGCTGGGAGGGATATTATTTCCGATGGGGATGGGTGGGCCCATCTATGCCGATGTTATAAATATCCTCAACAATGGTGGATGGGCTGGAAGAAATATTATTACCGATGGAGATGGGTAGGCCCATCTGGGCAATATGTAGAGTAGGATAGACATATATTATAGACAGCTGGGCTGAAGAGAGATGTATGGTAGATATTATTATATAGATGGGTGGGCTGAGGTGGGGGTTATATTAGATAGATGGGTGGGCTGACGTAGGGTATATTAGATAGACAGGTGGGCTGATGGAGGGGGATGTCATATAAATGGGTGGGCTGATGGGGTGGGGAAATATGTATTATATATACAGGTGGGCCAATGGAGGGGGATGTCATATAAATGGGTGGGCTGATGTAGGGTATATTAGATAGATGGGTGGGCCGATGGGGTGGGAAATATGTATTATATATATGGGTGGGCCAATGTAGGGTACATTAGATAAACGGGTATGCCCAAATACATATCATTTAGACATATGGGCCAAGGTATTGGTATACTATATGGACATATTGTTAAGGTTGTACTCAAAGGGTAACTGGATCTGAAGGGCTTTGGCCTCAGCTCGTGCGCTGTGCCCCTTACCCAAGTATTGCCCCTTATTTCAGGAAGGCAAGACTAGTGCATCCAGAAGGTCGGACGAGTAGCGTAATGGATCCAGATGACTTCCGGATGAGGGATAAGTATTGTAAGGCTAATCTGGATGAGTCCAGACTAGAAACTAATGGTAATGGACTGTCGGGGACAGAGGTGATACGGATAGACTATAGGAATCAATCCTAAGTCTTGGAGGGTGATGAGAGTAGAGGTACTCAAGTCTGGAGGACAGGAATGAGTAGAACTAAGATGATATTTGAACTGAGGTACTACAGAAAGTTACAGGAGGTTATATACTATAGGTATCTAATGGAATGATCAATTAGCAGAGTCTGAGGTTATGTACGAAGCATATAGATAGTCTATTGGTAAGTAGAAATGGATCACAAATCATGAAACGGAAATGAAACATAGGTAGTGGATAAGGGAGCAGGACGGATATACAGATAACCGAAATACCGGAGTTAGGGGGTTACCGAAAGGAGACGAGCGCTGGTTGTGGATTCGGATGAGTTGTGGACTGGACTGGACGAGTGGAACAGATTGGATGATGAGATATTGGAGGGAGATAAGATGTGGATAGGATCAGAGATAAGATGTGGATCTGAGATGAGATAAGGATCGGATCTGAGATCCAGATATGCAGATATGACACATATGAGCAATGCTGTTGCACTAGTTTTGATCTGAGTCATCAATGACATTCAGACTCAGATCCTGTCAATGTCGATCAAAGTCAACACAGCAAGTACCGAGTCCTGAAACCTGAACATCAAACCCCAACCATTGAAACCCAAAACCCAAAACTTCAAAACACCAACATCAAAACTCAAAACTCAAAACTCAAAACTCAAACATTTGTATGACTGTCAAGTTTCCTGTCTTGAATCACTGAGGCCTGCATACTGAATGCTGACACCCAAAGTTGTGTTGGTAGTCGGACTTCAGGACTCGGTGATTCGATACTCAAAAGTTGTACCAATATCTGAATTTCGAGTTTCAAGTTTCGAGTTTCAAGACTCAAATCACCAAGTCCTGAGTCCCAAACATTGAAACCTGACACCTGAAACTCAAAAGTTGTACCAATATCTGAATTTCGAGTTTTGAGTTTCAAGACTCAAATCACTGAGTCCCAAAACCTGAAACCCAACACCTGAAACTCGAAAGTTGTAAAAATGTATGAGTTTCAAGTATTGATTTTCAAACTCAAAACTTGAAACTCATACATTTTTATGACTTTCGAGTTTTGGGTGTTGGGCTTTGGGTTTCGGGACTTGGTGATTCAAGTCTTGAAACTCAAAACTCAAAATTCAGATATCGGTACAACTTTTGAGTTTTGGGTGTTGGGTTTCGATGTTTGGGTTTTGGGACTTGGGACTCGGTGATTTGAGACTCAAAACTTGAAACTCATACATTGTTATGACTGTCAGGTTTTGAGTTTCGATCTTTGTTTCTAACTTTCAGGTTTCACTACTCGGTACTTGAGACTCAGTGATTGAATAAATGGACTGGCAGAGGTAACATTCATTGGAAAACTTGTACATATGTCTATCACTATGCAATTATGTAGCCATGTCAACCTCCTCGGAAGATGCTTCAACCTTCACCTCAACATCCATGTCATTGGAAGAATCATATTCTGGGACCAGGTTGCCCAGATCACCCAGGTCCACAATTTTGCTGGATGTATCTGGAACCTCTGGTTGAACAACCCGGTTGTACTCAAACAGGAGGCCCTCAATGGTAGAGGCATCCTCAAATTTTGGGGGTGTGGGTGTCATCTCTCCAATTGAGAGATCAATGAGAGGGGGGAGTGCAGATGTGGATGGTGACATGGTTGGGGGGATGGATTGATCAAGCAACAAGGATGTTGCATTGGCTGGAGGTTCAGGAAGTGGGGATGCGGGGTGCCAGTCGATAATTTTGCACCTAAGGCCTTCATGGAGGCATTGCAGGGTATCAATCATACCATCCTGCTCTGCCACACAAGCCTCGAGAATGGCAATGCAAGCTGCACCATCCCAAATCACAATTGCCATGGCATGGTGATCTGGCATGGGCAGGTCGAGTGCTGCAGCAGGGACTGCTGAACTTGAAGATGGAGGTGCTACAAGGGAAAATAATGGTCAGATGGTGATGAAACAAAACTTGGGTGACTTATGAGCTGGTGCAGGTGCAGGTGCCTTGATGGCAGTGATGGTCTTGCTGCGACCACACATCTGGGTCTTAGGGGTTGTCACAGCAGCGACACCTGGAGTTCCAGACTTGCCATGAGACTGACTGCAAGTCTGGGCCTTGGATTGGGAGGTGGGGGGAGCTTTGGAGGGAGTCTTGGAGGGCATCCTGGACCTTGTGTTCTGGGTGGTAGAGGACCCATGAACACGTTTCAGCAGGGTACCCATAGTCGCTGGGATGCACTTGACCTTCTTTGTTGTGCAGCAGATGCACAACATGCATGGATTCCTGGTCCTCTTGTCCAACTGAGTTGCGCAGGGCCACTTTAGCTTGGTGCAAGCCTGGCATGGGTTGTTCTGTAGATTGTGTTAGTGAATGGACACTTTCAAATAAATCAAAGTACTCACTGGTCCGGGAATGAGAATATCACCTCCATTGATGACTGGGGGTGCCTCCACTGGGCTTTCGGAAGTTGGCTGGGAGGGCTCAATGACTGCTGGGTGACTGCCGGCAATCACCTGGTACAGTGTAAGCATACACCTGAGTCCTGGACACATAAATGTGACTTACTGTAGTGGGGCCAAAGGGCTTTTTGGTCAGAACCTGGGGTGATCTAGGCAAATTGGAGAGCCAGGGAAGGATGACTTCTGGCACTCCACCCGACAATGGCTACAAGAAACTGTGAGCCAAGTCAAAGACAAACCAGATGATATACCTGAATACCCATGTCTTCCTCATCTTCTGAGTCCACTAGGGGCTTGGACGTCACCCAGCGAGAGGACTTTGCATGCTTGCAAGTCTTCATTGCAGACTTTGGTGGTTGGGAGGAGAGTCCCAAAATCATGGGAGACTTCCTCTTCTGGCTCTCTTCTGCCTCAGGCTCTGGGTCAGCATCAATGGCCTTACCTTTCCCCTTGTCCTGGAACTCAGTGGTGGTGCCGGTGGAGGGACCGGCGACACTGCTGGCGTGGATGGGTGGGGAGGGAAGGTCCACTGGAATTGGACCTGTGGAGGGAGGAGCAGCAACTGGGAGATCAAAGGTATGGTCACCTAAGGCCTCCCAGGCAAGGAGCTTGGGGCACCAGACATGCATCAAGAGATGGGGATTGTCATACCCGATGTTGTGCCAGTTGGGCCAGACCTGGGGAGTCATGCCCTGGATGCGCAATAGCTCCTTGGAGCACGAAAGCACAATGCTGGGCAGGGGTCCAGACCCATAGTCCTTGATCACTTGAGCCTGCCTGGATGTTAGAGAGAAAAAAAGAAAAGAAAAAAGAAAGCTACATACCACAAGTGAACTGACCTGTGTTGTCAGAGAAAAGTGGCTGTTACCTGGGGGAATCTGCTGGGCGCTGCTGATGATGGCCATGATCTGGGCAGTGGATGCCTTGAGACTGGTCAAAGAGTTGTCAACTGGAGTGGACATGATGATTGAGTTGAGAGATTTAAAGATCTTCAAATAGGGTTGAAATCAGTTATCACAAGGATGAAGTTTCAAAAGAAACAACACATTTGATGGATGATTGATAAAATCATTGATTGTTTGTCTTTGTTTGGTCCAGGTTCAACTTCTGGCAATTGCTGGTTTTGTGTTGAACTTCGAAGTTTTTTCAATTATCAGTCAACAAATCAGTAAGTTCCCCACACAACATGAGTCCACAGTCAGCCATTCGATTCAATGACCCTCCAGTGACCAACTACAATTCAATGGATGTGGATGAGTCCACTGTGTCCTGGGCATCACTAGGTGTGTTGTATTTTTATCATGCCTTATCTATTTACTGGATATCCCTTAGATAATCTATACCTAGGGCTGGATGATGACATAGAATATGATTCTCTGTCATCTGAATCACTGGATGTCTTGGCTGCAATACCTGGTGAGTTGATCCATTCATTAGGATTGAGGATCACCATGCATGCTCACTAACCCCTTGCAGATCAATCACCTCCAGCTCAAGCTGATCATCCATGTTTTCTCATTGATCCAGACTTGTACCTCAGGCCTGAGGATGATATCATTGATGTGGATGAGTTGCTGGATTCTGCCGATCCTAAGATTGATGTTCCAGCTGCATCAGAAGTGTCTATGTCATGTGAGTCCATTCATTCCAGAGGATTATAGATGCTTATTGTATCTCCCAAGTGGATGACACCTCTAACAAACTTCAGTCAGAGCAGCCAGAGCTCACTAACAAAGATTTACATTTGATGGCCCAGGAGTTCCAACCATTTGGGTCATATGAACACACTGGGTGTGAGTATCTGACCAAGCAGATCATTTATCTCTGTGCTAATTTGTCTGCAAGTGCAATCCATTCAAGATCGACTTGGTGATTACAAACACCATACTGGGGATCTTCCTGATCCTTCCATTCCACTGCTACTTGAGGCTGAGCAACCCTTCTGGATGGCTTGGGCAGAAACTTCTGACAAACTCAGAAGAGCTGATGCGGACCTCCAGAGGTTGCAAAGAGCCCAACAGATGAGCATTGAAATGCTCAAGGTAGTAGATTCACTGATCAATCGGTTTGAAGATCAGATTCAAATGTAAAGTACCGAATGTTTGATAGTAGTCAAACCACATGTAAACTTTTGAATTTTCATTAACATACCCACATTGTGTAAACAACTGAATTTGCAATGCATTCCTCTTCCATTTCCAATTGAGTTCCGGAGGCTCAGGAGTCCCGGGTGTCGAACATGGAAGTGTAAGTCTCACTTTGGCTCACCAAGTCCCGAGTGTCAAACACTGAAGTTAAATTCTTGCTGTCCAGAGGATCGCCAAGTCCCGAATTCAATCTTTGAATTGAACTTGGGACTCGGCGATCCTCTGGACAGCAAGAATTTAACTTTGGTGTTTGACACTTGGGACTCGGTGAGCCAAAGTGAGACTTACACTTCTGTGTTTGACACCCGGGACTCCTGAGCCATGAAGATTGAATAACATTGACATGTACATAAAGGCAGGCAGTATAGTATCAGTCCATTACTTCTTTCCCCTTGCTCTTGTCACTTGAGAGGTATTGTCTGATGGCTGTTGAGTTGATTTACTCCAGGTTGTCCTTGGCGATGGCTCAATCACTGGTTTTTTTCCCCACATGTTTTTTGGCACTGGAGACATGTGCCCTCCTTCCATTCCAACATCCTCCTCAACATTGCCGGTGACTCTGTCAGTCAACCCAGCCAGGAGGTCACCCATTCATGATGTCAGCAGTGCACCAGTTTTCGCTGGCTTGACTGGGTGAGGCTTTGGAATTGCACATGGGACTGCTGTCCCTTCAGGTGCTGTTGAAGGACCTGGCTCTTTTCTGGGTCTTTTTTGTGGGGATCTACCATTGGCTGCATCATCATCAACATCATCCTCCATGTGATGAGAGTCACTCTCAGTGTCAGTTGATGAATTCTGAGGCCTTCAGATCATCTGCTTTCTGACTTTATGAGTCTGATGAGAAGGCAAATTCCTGGACACAACTGATGCTACCATGTCTCTGTCTTTGTTCTTCCATGCTTTGAACAGGAATGTTGGTTCTTCACCTTTCTCCTACTGAGCATGCCAGAAATTGAGTAAGGCTGTAGTGTCCCAATTTTGCAACTTGGAAGGCTCCTTCAAGTCCACATCCACTGGAACATACTTCCTTGCCACAAAGTCATTGTGACTTTGTATGATGGCGCTCCATGGCACGACTGCCTTGTCGCTCCCAGAACAGATCCCTGTGTCCATGCATTCAACAAATTCTCGGGTGTTGTGACGATAGACTCACGATAGTGTGATGTAAGAAATGCCCTCACTATGGCCTTCTTCTCCTCGAGTTTTGTTTTGGTGATGTCCAGAAGCAATGGCATCCCATCTCCATTGGTTTCCAGTTCAAAAGCAGGCTTTCTGATTCTTTTTCAACCTCCCTTCATCTGTCATCCTCCATCCCATGCCCCAGCAACTATCATCACAATGATCAACAAATTCCTTCTAGTAGTCAGAGTTAAAACACTCACCAAACTGTTCCTGCGTGTACTCCTGCCAAACTGGCTCAATGTCCTCCCAGTCCTTCATCTTCATGAAGCTGTCCCCATCTCCTAATGCCTCGTTATCATTGTGCCTGCATGACATAAATTGAGCTTGAAGATCTGCGATGGCCAACACATTCCACTTACATCCTGAACAGCACCTCTCCCTGTTCATTCTTCCAAGCCAACATCACAAACACTCTTATCCCACATTGCCTCCACATCTCCTTCAAAAAGTGCTCCATATACACAGGTCCCTTCTTACAAGCAACTTGTGCCTGTATCTTGGGAGGAGGAAAGTTGTTGGACCATTCTTTGGCTGTTTCCTTTGCCTTCTCCAACTTGTCATCAGACAATTCAGCCATGACTCTCTTCACAGCCACCTGATAATGCTTGAACATACCAGAACCTCCTGGCTTTGCCCTGGACTTATCCTCAATCCTCTTTAGCACCTCTTCCCAGTTCTGCTGGTAGATCACCATCCTAGAGGTCTGTTTCCTCCCATACTTTATCATGTCCTTCCTTTCCTTCTTTTTCCTGTTGTTGAACAACCAAGTCTTGTATATCTGAGTGTTGATGGAAGAATAAGATATTAAAATTTTATTTTTTCAACACAGTGAGGATGAATCACCTGCTTCCTCTTCTTCCATTGTGCTTGGTCAACCTTAGGAGCAAATAACCTGGCAGCCCTAGCTATGGCAGTGAAAACTGCTCACTTCTCTTTCCATTTTGCCGAAGTCCACTCAGGAAGGTAGTTCTTCAACTCCAAAATTTCGTTTTCCATGAGCTTCTGTGTCTGTGGTTGATGTGCCCTATGTCTTCCAGAAGTCAACTGAGTGGAGTGACCTGATCTTTCCATGGTGAATGAGATTGCAGAATGGGTTGAGGATAAGCAAGGTGGAAGTAATAATAGTGACAAGTCAAGCTTTGAGCAAAGCCTAACAGTTGGTTAATCGACCCATATTGGACGCAATGCCATTAGTGGAAATGAATTTGTAATGATGCATCAAGACTGCATAACATCATATTGCAACAATGATTCATTCGACCTTCCTGAGCTAATGCTTTGCTTGCAACATCAGAAACTAAGATGAAGATAGGTAGATGCACCCCACTGCAAAAATCCCACAGGGTAGAAGCAAGGGGCAGCAAGGGTAGGAAAACTTGGGTCAAGGTCCCACTTGTGAGCACAAAATGACATGCCTACAGGTCCATGCCTGACTCTCCCCCAGAATCACCAACACTTCAGCCTGTTGAGGCACCACCTCCTTGGGAAGACTTTCCTGACAATGCTTACGAGCATGACCAAGGCTCATTTGAGCCTTTGCAACTCCCACAAACCATGGCAAGTTCGTGTAAAATGTTGGATTGTCATTCAAACGATAGCTAAGCATAAAAAATGCAGAGTCAGAATGACTACCTCAGGCAATGGCTGCCAAGGCAGGAATCATATCTGCATCACCTCCTGGATTGAGAAGCTCCACCAGAAGATAGGAGATGCATTGTCTGTGACCAGGATGGGGTCTACAAATGTCAAGATTGTCTTGGGGAGCCACTATATTGCACTGGCTGTTGCAGGAGTCAACATTGTTGCAATCCTTTCCACTGGATCAGTCAATGGAATGGTCAATTCTTCGAGCAGAGTTGTCTTGCCCATGTCAGACTCATCATACACTTCGGTCATGATGGCAAACAATGTCCAGTCCTCACAGATAGGTGGGATTTGTTCGAAGAAGACAAGCATGAAGACCAGCTTGAGCCTGACAATCAACCATCTGTGTTGGGACCTGAGTTCCAGCCAAAGGAAAACACCATGGTCATCATTGACAAGTCCAGAGTTCATTGTCTTGAGGTTTGATGCTGTGATTGTCCAAATGCCATGAGTCCAGACATTCAAATGTTTTGACATGGATTTTTCCCCACATCATTTAACAAGCTGAAGACTTTGTTCACCTTCAGGGTGCTCGATGATTTTCTATTGGACAACCTTGAATGTGGCACCTTGGCGATGAACTATTACAGCAAGCTCCAGCAAATGACCTCAAGCATGTTTCCACATCTTGTTCCGGTAATGCCAAATCTCCGACATCTAAAGGACATTATATTGACACAGCACATGGCAAGGACCAATACAGAGAGCTCATGAGAGTCACTTGATAGTGGAGGCAGTTGAAGGCCATGAAATGGCATGGATTTGGCCATTGTTCCAACAACCCGAATGCAGGAGATCTTGCATTGTTTTGCCCCACATGTCCTCAGCCTGGGATTAACATATCCTTGTCAGGGGATGAATCACTTGATGAGTGAGTCTAGTTCAATACCAAAGTCACCTCAGCTATAATAACAACTCCAAACTGGAAATACACCCAGTCATTTGTTATGAATGGAAATTTCAAAGCAGAACACCTGCATCCCATCAAGCCATTTGATGAAGTGTGGCTTTCCGATGGGTTGGGATTCATGGTGGGAAAGGACAGGTATAAAACCCATCTTTCAGAGGCTGCTGACACATTGGAAAAATCAAGCTGCAACAATCACTGGGCAGTGAATCAAGCAAATATGGCTCAGCACAAGCTGGAGTCCACAGGAATTGGGGGAGTTGCCTGTGCCAAACACAGTTGCTTTGTCCCTCACTTGATGGTAGATTTTCAGAAAGGTGAAAGGCAAGCCAACCATGCCATTCTACATTAACAAGTTAACGGTGCATCATTTGCAGACAAATGAACATGGATTATGCCCTTTGTAAGGCTGCCCAGCACAACATGGAAGGCATAACCAGGGCTGTCACCTTCTATGACATCAACTGTCAATACAACAAGCACTTTTGGGTTCGGGTGGATCGAAGCCAATTTCTCAAAATGGTTCTGGAATTGACCATCATTCCTGGAATTGGGTTGTGGCATGTCCACAGACATCAGGACAGCTGCTATGTCTGATATGTGTCAAATTTTATTGAAGGCATTGGTTGGATCAATGGTGAGATCATGGAGACCCTATGGTCGCATCTCAACCTGATTTCCCCTGCTGCTCAGGGAATGTCATCCCCACATCGAAAGGAATGTCTTGATTATCAGATGAACGATTCCAATTTCTGCAAGATGATCCGCATGAAAAGGACTCTTTGCCATAAATACAAGCAGGCAAAGAATGACATCGCCAAAAGTGAAAAGGCTTTCAACAGACTCGATGAAGCAGTGCCTGCAGCTTCAAAGAAAGAATGGTTAGCCAGTGAGAGGATCGCTCAGTCCAGCAGAATAAATGATCCTGCGGTGGTGGATGTATATGAGATTAATATCAAGAAGGGTAAGTTGACTTTGGCTACATCAAAGTCAGAATTGATTGTTGCACTCAGCACCAAGCAAAAAGGAGATTGAGCTTAGACTGCTGGAGGAGGGTAATGCCCGTAATGCAGCACCTGCTTGCAGATCAGTGGCAACATGGATATCAATGGGGTTGGCAATTGAAGAGGCTCAAATTGCATTGGTCATTAAGCTCTGAAGAATTGGAAGAAGAACTACAGAGACACAGAGATTAGACATCGCCTGGCAATGCAATCATCTCCAAGGCCAGATAGATGGATTCACTCAGTCTGCTCTTACACATCTGGGAGAGGGATTTGATGCAGACGATGATCCTGATGACTTGAATGTAGACATTCTTGATGATCTCGATGATGACCCAGCAGATTTCACCGACACATCTGATACATGGGCAAACTCCCCCAAGCTCACTGTCATCCCATTGCCATCAAACCTTAGGGTAGATCAAAGCAGACACTGTATGGTGGAGGATCTGATTCCGCTGGAGATGTCGCTTCATGAAGGACAGGCCAATGATGCCCTTCACAACCTCCGGATTCACTTGTGCAACAAGGCAATCCTGTTCCAAACAATGGTCAGGCAGGTCAAATCTCAAGCCCTGAAAACTCAAGCTTGGTCCCAGGTGATGTCGGTGCAGCAGGCAGTGTCCCTCCATGCCAGTATATATACAAAGACCCAGAAGCAAATGATGCAACTCGAGCTGGGGCAAGACCAGCTTCAGACATACAAACCACTGCTTCAGGAGCAGCTCAAAATCAGCACTACTGTCAGCGATCCAAATGCCAAAGGTCAGTGGAATGAGTCCCTTGCTTGGTTCTGGTCCATCGATGTGGACCTGGGGGGTCCAGATCACTCGTGGAATGAGGAATGTGAGTTTGGGCATGCTTGGCATATCCCATGCTCAGCTGATGGGACCCATCCAAAGTTTACCAAGTTCATTGGCTCTGGGCAAAGGCCCTATGGGATCAATGGAAGGAAGAAATGACATTGGTCCAATTGGAGATGGATTGGACATGCAACTTTTTCTTGTGGAAAGCAACCCAATGGGGCGACAGGATGTGGGAATCATTGGTGAAACACCTTCCAGGTCATTCATGCTACTTGGGAAGGCAATCCCAAATGTATTCATTACTGGCACAGGATGCCCAGGCAGCATTTCAAGACCTGCAGAGTGGGTTCATAGACACTTGAGATGAATGAACTTTTTTGCCAATGATATGAAACAGCTACTTCTACCCAAACATTTGAGTCTTGGGAAATGCCTGGATGAACAAACATCGGAGTTTGAAAATTTTATCCATCCACTGGTGGCTCATATCTTCACATCTGAACCAACTGGCATTGTGATTGTGATTTCCAGCTTCATACTCCTGCATCCCCTTCTGATGCCATGGATTCCAGCAATGAATACTGACCCCTCACACTCGGTCTTGCAGATATTGCAGCCACAATGTGAATGGTTGCATTGTGCATCTGAGCAGGGATCTCCCAATATCAGACGGAGGCTGCCAACACCAAGGAGCCTTCCACTGCTCGGATCATGCACTTTAAAGCTGGGCTGCAATGGGAGATCGCTGTAAGAGACTGATGACTGTGGTGGTCAATGCTGAGATTTCCAACAGACTTTTGTGACACCCATCCTGCAGTACTCGGCTGCAAGGCACATCATCTTGGTCATTCCAAACCTGGTCACCCATATTCTTCAGTTGTTTCCCCAGCTCACCTGGAACACGGGCCCAGACCACATGTTTTCATCCCACTTATGTCTCTTTCATGATGTCACAGATCTGGGAGATCCCTCCAGGATTATATCTGGCTATGATACTGCATGGTGGATCAGAGACACTGCAATCCCGGACAAATTATGGCAATGGGACCAGGTAATGGGTTGCTGTGTCTTTCACTACCAGCATTGGCTAGTAAGAACTATGAACAATTTCCTCAAGTGATGATTAATCTGTTCTAGGGTGGTGTTGAGGATGATGGTCTGATTCTTCCTGAGCAGGTGGATAACACCTTGGTTCCATCACTGATGGGACTGAGGTGGCTTAGAGAATGCCTCTGGACATTAGTTGAGGAGCAAGAAGAGGGCATCAGTGAAAAGATGGCAGAGATTGATGTGTACACCAGCATCCTGACCAGATTGAAGAGAGGCAGAGGAGAGTAGTGCTAGTCCTTGAGTTCAGAATGTTGATGTCCAAACTCCATGAAAATGACATACAGTCTTCCAAATATCTAACCTAACATTATGTGCCAAGTCCTGAATACTGAATATCAAGTATCAAGTACAGACAATCATATATTGCATTGTGAATGTGGACTCCCAAATATCAAGACCCGAATGGTGAATATTGAGTATCGAGTATTGAGATTCAGATATTGAGACTCGACTATCGAATATCGAGTCCCCAATACCAAGTCCCGAATATTGAGTACAGAGTTCACAATACTGAGTCCCAAACATGGACTACCAAATCTCGAGACCTGACCATCAAATATCAAGTTCCGAATACTGAATACTGAATACTGAATACTGACTACCAAATACCAAGTCCCTAATATCACAATAGTGGACATTCGGAACTTGATATTTGGAATTCAACATTCCATAGTTGGGTCTCAAATATCAACACCCAAATACTGAATACCGAATACTGAGTCCCTCATATTGACCCCCAAATACCAAATACCAAGTCCCAACTAGTGAGTATTGACTATCAAAACCCGACTTGATATTCGGGTGTGAATATTAGGGACTCAGTATTTGGTATTTGGTATTCGGGGGTCAATATGAGGGACTCAGTATTTGGTATTTGGTATTCAGGGGTTGATATGTGAGACTTGGTATTCAGTATTCAGTATTTAGGTGTTGATATTTGAGACCCAACTATGGAATGTCAAATTCCAAATATCAAGTTCTGAATGTCCACTATTGAGTATCAAGTATTGAATATTGACCATTGAGTCTTGAGTTCTGGATATCAAGGCCCAAATATTCCAGATCCTGATATCTAATATCTGGTATTTGACAGTATGTGCTAACATGGGTAACTACACTTTCCACTTCTTTCATCTTTCACTGTTTGTAATCCACCCTAGCCCATCCACATGACGGAACCCCAGCATAAACATGAATGGAATCCCTCATATACCATGCCCAAGCAATCCGATCCCCTTCCACTGCATGAACCCCATGTCTCATGATCCTTCCAGAAAACGCAATCATGCAACCCGGATTGTACCTGAACTCCAGCTGAAGGCTTGGCATGCTCATCCGAGCATTAGAATAATTCCCCATGGTAGTGAGAATGTCAAAGCATTCAGGAATAGATAAATGGTCTCGATGATTGGGGGTTTCCCAATTGGAAATGATGGACAGGCTGTTAAACATGGATGCCCAGTACTGGAGAGTCTCTGACATCTTCTGCAGTTCCTTGCTTTCTGCCTTTTCTCCAAGGCTCAAAAAGGCTTGCAAACCTGCCCAGTACTGCTCGGGATGCATCACCCTGAGTGCCACTGTTGCAATGGCTGCTGGCCTTGCAATCGCTTTGAGGATCTTCTCGGAGGATGCCCCCTTCAATGATGCAGATACCTCCGGATCCGACTGATTCTAGGGGATTCATGAGTTTGACTACCAAAATCGCCATCGCATCAGATCCTACCTCATGCCCCTGTTGAAACCATGCTGGAGACAAATTGATGCATCCGGGAGTTAAGACATTGTTTTCCGAGCTTGGTTTGAACCACTCTTGATTAGTTGGCCAATTGCCATCAAGCTTGACGCTTTTTTCAAGGATTGGAGCGAGCAAATCAGAGGCCGCCCAAATTTCCTTCTGTGGGCACCATTTGATGTTCAATATCCATCGAGTAACAATATATATTACACACCTGGGTGGCATCGGTCAGGGCATCTGGGACATACCATGTGATGATGGCACCAGATACATCAAGAATTGTTGCAGGTACCTCCACCAACTTTGTGCCCTCATGGCCAGGAGGACACCTCTCAAGCAACTTCTCCTCTCTCTCTTCATTATGCCTGGTGTCCTTTGGGGAGATCACTTTGCTGTATCTTGCAACATCAATCTGCATCTGAACTATGATGAAGCAATTTGACTGATAAAACCAATTTTCCAAATCCACAGGAAGACCCACTGGGATTTTTATATGCCTTTATCAGGCGATCAACCAATCAATTGCAAGCCATCACCAGATCAGTGTCTAGGTTCAGAGAAGGTATAACTGGGTCTCCTCCTGTCTTCTCTGCATTGAATTTCCATTTGGTATATTCACATGCCTCATGAGTGACAGTCAGGGCCCAAGTGCACCAGAGGGTTATTTCAATATTGGAAGTGGGAGAAACAGTCATGATGGAATTGATCTGGGGAAATTGGACGCTGAACCCTGCATTGTCCACACTTTGGAGTTAAAGGGGGTGGAGATAGTGAGGATCAGATAAGGGAGCCTGGCATGATGTTATTTTCCAAAGATGTGTTATTGTCCATTGCTCAATGAAATACCAGATGATTGGAAGTATGCTGGATATCAGATATTTGTTTGTTGAGACCTGGGCCTCAGATCTCGGTACCCTTCACTTGATGTTTGGTAGTTGGAACTTGGCTTCTCATAGGGCAACACATACCATGTGCATTAGCTACTCGGTAGTCAGTGCTACATGTTTGCATCTCTACTGGGTGCTCAATTTTCTTGCACTTGTGACCTTCATCATTAGATGACTTTGAATTATTACCTCCTTTGATTTGGATGATACACAACTACCTACAAAACTCATACATTTTTACAACTTCCGAGTTTTGGGTTTCAATGTTCAGGGTTTGATGTTTGGGCTTTGGGACTCAGTACTTGGTGATTCAAGTTTCAAAATTTGTTTCGATGTTTGAGTTTGAGTTTTGGGTTTTGGGTGTTGGGTTTATGTTTATGTGTGATAACAACTACCTAGCCCCACTCGTCGATATAATATATATCACTACCTCAGCCTATATGTCCATACGTCCATATAGTATACAAATACCTTGGCCCTTACATCTATGGACCGTCTTCCAAGGTATCACTGGATTCCAAGTTGACAGGGCACTTGGCTGTGTTGACTTTGATCGACATTGACAGGATCTGAGTCTGAATGTCATTCATGACTCAGATCAAAACTAGTGCAACAGCATTGTTCATATGTCCATATAGTATACCAATACCTTGGCCCATACGTCTAAATGATATGTATCTGGGCCCACCCATCTATATGACATCCCCCTATGTTGGCCCACCCATCTATGTAATATACCCCTATGTTGGCCCACCCATCTATATAATACATATTTCACCACCCCATCAGCCCACCCATCTATCTAATATACCCCCACCTCGGCCCACCTGTATATATAATAAGTATTTCACTGCCCCATCAGCCCACCCATCTACAAAATAATACTAATACATCGGCCCACCTGTCTATATAATAATATCTGCCATACATCTCTCTTCAGCCCAGCTGTCTATCATATATGTCTATCCTACTCTACATATTGCCCAGATGGGCCCACCCATCTCCATCAGTAATAATATTTCTCCTGGCCCATCCACCATTGTCAAGGATATTTATAACATGGGCATAGATGGGCCCACCTGTCCCCATCGGAAATAATATCCCTCCCAGCCCATCCATCATAGTTGGAGATATTTTTACCTTCAGCCCATGGTCCACTGGCCCATATTATACAGGATATTATGCACATCCATTCACTCATATAATATGGAGATAGGTCACTGCAATATGTGAGATACCTTCTTATTGCTCAAGATGGTGAGGAATCCATTTGATCCAGATCTAACTCACTAACCAATATTCAGATTAAGGACCTTCCTTTGTCGTTCTGCTTGGCCAAGGAGTTGTGAGGATGAGCAGAAATGCTACCCAGTGGCCCATGTTGGATGTTGTGAATCATTGATACACTGCATTCAACAAAATCACCCATTGTTTTATACTGGTGCGATCCACTGGAGTGTATATCTACTATTCTTAACCATTGTTAAGGTCATGTGCTCAATGTTACAATAGCGGTTACCCCCCTATCTTTTCTCTCATACTTGTGTATTACGTCATGACCGCACCTGGCTGTGCCATCATTAGACTAACGTTCTTCTATATCTGTACTACAGCACGACCGCTGCATGCCATCGCTAGCTGACTCATCTTCTTATCTCTGACTCGTCTTCTGACGTCATCTCTTATCTATGACTCGTCTTGATGATGAATACGTACCGGCCCTAAACTAGACCATACGTATATAAAGCAGGGCTTGTACTTAGATAGACTTCACTTTAATCTACTAGGTCTTACCCAGAACATCCTTCGCTTAGGACTCCCAATCCTAAGTGTCTGATATTGATATTCAAGTCGGAGACACTCTCTCTAACTTGTCTTAAGAAGCCTTACATTTGTGAGGTTACGATCCGGCTTTAGACATCACTCTTATCGAGTGTCTATTGTCGCGCCTATCCTAGTCGACCTACGGTCTGCCGTAACACTCAAGGGGGTTGGATCACAAGGGCTTGGCCTCAGCTCATACACTGTGCCCCTTTCCTGAGCATGTGCCCTTAATTTCTGGGGGCTAGAACAGTCGTCTGGAGTTTCCGGGATTTGACTAGGGCAGATAACGGATGTCCAGATCTGAAACGTGAGATAAATCTGACGGACATCCGGATGTTACCTGGGTGAGCAGATAAGACTAATCCGGATGAAGTCCGGACTAGAAACTAACAGAGGATAGACTACCTTTAAGGTAGAGTCGGAAATGTAGTCTAGGATGCAATCCTAAGACTTGGAATATGACAAGAGACTTATCTCGAGTCTGGAGGACACAGGAATGAGCAGGAACTAAGATGATATTTGAACTGGAGTATTTCCAAGAGTTACAGGAGGTTTATATACTGTAGGTAACATATAGGAATCAGTCAGCAAACATAAAGGCTATGTACGAAGCATATGCAGAGTCTATTAGTAAGTAGGATGGATCACAAATAATGAGCACCGGAAATGAAATGTATGTAACGGATCAATAATCAAAAGGGAAACATGGTTAACCGGAGTCCGGAGACAGGGGCAGTCTAAATGGAGTTGGGTGCTTGCATGGCGTCAACCACCCTTGCACAACTATCCGTTATTCACACATGAGCCAATCCATCTGATTTACAAGCCTTCTTTCAGGAAGCACAAAAATTCCACTTGAATGGTATCTTTGAACTGTTTTGGCAGGACTGGGTAATCATAGATCCGTCCTGCTTCTTCACACCCAAGACACTGCATGTCCTTCATAAGGAATTTTGGGATTATGACACAAAATGGTTAATCTTTGGTGTTGGGGAGTCAGAGATGGATTTCTGTTTTTCTGTTTTGCAGCCTGTCACTGGTTTTTGGTGTTTTGCAGAAGGGATCATGAAACTCAAACAGGTTATGGGGTGCTGTCAATGAGACATCCAACATTCTATCATTGCAGTCAGTGCAGATGCAGCACCCTGTGGAGTTCTCATCACTGTCCATGCACTCATGGATTTCTGCTACATACCTTGTACAGTCACCATCCATTGACAATAATGACTTAGTGCGCATCTCAGCAGTGTTGGACAAGTTCCATGCAAACAAAGACTCAATCATCAATGCTGGCATTTGTTGTGGCAAGGGGAACAAAGTGATCAACAATTGGCACATACCAAAACTGGAGCTTATGCAGAGTGTTGTGCCCAGCATTAGGAACTCTGGAGTCATGGCTCAGTGGTCTGCAGATGTTACCAAGCACACACATCACTGAGATCAAGGACCTGGTGAGATCAAGTAACAACAACAATTACAATCCACAGATATGCTGCCATCTCAACTGACTCAATAAATGTCTTCAGTTCGAGCTTGCTACCACCCTTCTAGATGAGAAGCAGAATGTCAAGGCATTAGCTGATGCAGCAGGGAGTCATATAGATGATGAGGATGATGAGGATGCTGATGACACTGACAACGCTGATTTGGATGATGATATACCTGTTGAGTTCTTATCTACAATTCAGCATGGTCACTCACATCCAGTCACTCACATCCAATTACAAATCATTTTGCAATTGCCTGGGTCCTGCAGCAGAAACCTGTGGGCTCCATACCTCTACCATCGCATTCCTTCATTGTTGGGTGCACTGCCTTTCATTTGGCTTATAAACCTTCCATCTGAAGCATCACCATTGATGATGTCACCCTCAAATTTGGCTTGCCAGATTTGCAACTGGCACTATCTGATTTTCTGCATCATGAAGCCAGTTTTGGATGCGACCACACCCATGCAATAGGTGGCCCAAGGAGAGCTGGACCAAATTCTGCACTTCCTTTTGAGAAAGTTCAAGTATGGTTTAAACTTCACTTGCAAGATACAGAATTTCACAATGTTCACAATATTCAGCCAGCTCAGACTCTCAATTGTGCGCTGCCAAGTGAACCTTGGACATATGGACACTATGATTCAATCATTGTCAATACTGAAGTGGAACACTTGTGGCCTACTAGCAGTCTTCAAGGCAAGTCATACTATACTCATTTGTCCTTCCCCAATGCCTGTTATTAACCTCATCCCTCAGGACACACTGTCGCCCAAATCAGACTCATTTTTTGCCCCCTCAGCAAGACCAGCACACAATGGGCATGGTGAGATCAGTTTCTTACCTATGTTCATCACTTTGACATCATTGGTGTTCATGAACCAACTATGCAGATGCATGTCATTAAAAGGGCAAGATGGTCTAATGGGACTTGCATGGGGGATGTTCTACTGATTTCACAACTGCATGCACCCATTAATCTAGTTCCTTGGTTTGGTGCCACCACAGACAATCACCTTACTGCTTATAATAGTGTTGAGCATGCGTCAGAGTTATGGCTGAATGTTAAGAACCATGTTGCTCAAAGGAGAAAGAGACTGACTCAGAGGGGCTTGGCCTCAGCTCATATGCTGTGCCCCTTACCCAAGTATGTGCCCTTTATTTCATATGAGGTCCGATGATGGTCCAACAAAGTCTGGAGGACTTCCAGAGGCTGATGTTAAGAACCATGTTGCTCAAGGGAGAGAGAGACTGACTCAGAGGGGCTTGGCCTCAGCTTGTACACTGTGCCCCTTATCCGAGTATGTGCCCTTCATTTCAGAGGGAGTCCAATGATGGTCCAACAAAGTCTGGGGACTTCTGGAGGCTGGCTACTCTGGTGGAGTGCTAGAGGACTGCTGGAGGAGTGCAGGAGAGTTCTGGAGGAATGCAGAAAGTGTTCAGGAGAGTTCCCACTGCAAGGTAATACTTCTACAGGAAACAGGATGGAAGGATAGGAGGTCTGAAGGTCCAGAGGACAGGAGGACAGGAGGGCAGGATGATGGAGGACAGAAGGACAGGATGTCCAGAGGTACGAAGGACAGGATGTCCAGAGGTACGAAGGACAGGATGTCCAGAGGTACGAAGGACAGGATGTCCAGAGGTACGAAGGACAGGATGTCCAGAGGTACGAAGGACAGGATGTCCAGAGGTACGAAGGACAGGATGTCCAGAGGTACGAAGGACAGGATGTCCAGAGGTACGAAGGACAGGATGTCCAAAGGTATAGAGGGTGGAACATCCAAAGGACAGGATGTCCAAAGGTATAGAGGGTGGAACATCCAAAGGACAGGATGCCCAGAGGTATGAGGGACAGGAGGTCCGGAGGTCCGGAAGGAATAGGGGCTACATCGGACAAAGTCCAATGTAGAAGCAAACAGAGGTAGACTACCCTAAGGTAGAGTTGGAGAGAACAGGGATTGGACCTAAGTCTGGAAAGAGGGTAAGTGCTGGAAAGGCAAAGCTCTGGCCTAGGGAATCAATCCCTAGGCCTGATGAGTAGGACAGACTTAGGTGGACCAAAGTCCAAGAGAGGATTGGGCAAGTCTAAGTTGATATTCAAACTAAGGAAACCACAGGAGTATCTACAGGGGTTATATACTGGAGACTATCTGAGGGGATCAGTAAGCAAAGGAGCAAGGCTATGTACAAGCATGTGGAAACACATTAGTAAGTAAGATGGAACATAACTAAATGAACTCAGAGATGAAGACTCATACAAGGATCAATAAGCAAGACAGAAGAAGAGGTAACCAAAAGCCAGAAAGGCAGAGATGCCTAAATGGGGATAGGTGCAGGATATCAGACAGAGGGTGGGAATAGGTCCGGAGTTAATATCTGGAGGTCTGGAGATCTAGAGATCTGGAAGATGAGGTGGATACAGGACCAGAATATGATGAGGTGAATATAGTCCAGGATCCAAGATGAGGTGAAGTCCAGATGTCTTACTGGATGGAGTGTGCATAGGGTGGATGGGACAGGGGGGTATGGATCAGGCTAGCAGTGGAGATCCAATGGTCCAGAGCTCAGGGGTAAATCCAGAGCATAGTCGATCCTGCTGAGGTGTGGAGCACACAGCAGAAGGGGATCTGGGAATGAGTTGGATATGAAGTGGGGTCCTGGACATAGGCTCAGAAGGCGTGGGAATATTATGGAATGTGAGTCTGGATTGTGGGATATGACACTGAATCATTTTTGGGACAAAAGCACTTACTTCCCTCTTTCAATGTAGCTTTTATGGAAGAGTTTGTATCACTTTTCACTATACTAGTCTTTATGGCTTGAGTTTGATAAGAGATAAGAAAAATTTGCACATATTCTTATGCCAACCTTTGACCATCATCACTGAGTACAATGCCCTCCAAATCATCCAAGTCATAGTCAAAGTCAAAGTCAAAGGCAAAACAATATTTCTCAACACTAGTGATCAGAATAAAACTGGGATCCTTCATCAAAGTTCCTCTAATTCATGATGTGCCAATGATGGACAGGCTAACTACTCAAGAGCTGAATCAACTAGTCCTCCAGGAGCCCACAAGTCATATCAAATGAAGTACCCCCCTTGGGCATCTTCTATCCATCATTTTCCAATCCTTCAAGGTTTGAGTGCCTCATGCAGAGGATCTTTGGATCCCTCTCTCTCAGATTCAATATTGTAATGAGTGGATTGATAATCAGTTTTGTCAACACTAACCAACAGACTCCGTGGAACTTTGGGATAGCAAGGCAAAGATATGGAACTGGGGGCTGCTGGATCTGCCCCCAAAAAAGCACACAAACAAAAAGGGTAAAAAACATGAGGAGGGACAGCCGTTTGGGGGGGGGGGGGGGGGAGTCAGGTGCCCAGAGGCAGTGCTTCCCATTCTAACATGACTACTGAGCACATAGTTGCAGGGCTTTTGAATGCCCTCACAGCGGCACTTTCTGGACATGATGGACTCAAAACTAAGCAAGTGAATCATGTATGGAGTGGGGCCCACTCAACCACCCCAATCAAGGGAGAAGACATCCCCTGCAAACCTGACATTGTTATGTCAGATGAACCAAACCCTGGGTGGGGAGGCATCAAGGTTGTCATTGAAATAATGAGCAACAAGTACCAGCCAGGGAAGTGTGCTGTGAAATCCCTTGATACCAAGGTGTATATCATCTTGAAGCACCAGCCCTGGAGGTGCTTCACTCTCATGCTATCTTTATGCAACCACTATTGTGAACTTTGTGTCCATGTATATGACCACTCTGGTTCTGCCATATCCCCTCCATTTCATATCAGCTGGCAGAAGAACAAATTTCTGCAGATCCTCTCATTGATTGTCTTCAGCAATGGCAAGTGCATTGGTTTCAATATGATGATGAATTTTCAACAGCTCAAACTCCCTGTGTTATTCTGTCATTCCATTCCTCCTAGGAGATTGTGTCTTCAGAAAAAGAGGGACACTCACAGTGAATCTGGTACACAGGCTAAGACAGGAGATGCAGCATCAGGCAAGCAGTCAGGTGAGTCAGTGGAGTCAGGTGAGGAGTCAGACAAGGAGTCAGATGAGTTAGGATATGAGTCAGCGTCATCATACAAACCTTTGTCCCCACATTGCCTAGACACTCTTGACAGTGATTCCTCAGGCTTATCAAGCACCTTCCCCTCACTTGAACAAGATGAGTGGCCTGATATTAGGACTGGTCTTCCTACACTCCCCTCTAAACTGCTTCCCTTGGCCACTCCTGCCTTGCTAGCTCCTTTTATTTCCCAACATTCCATTCCTCCGAATTCATCGCCAATCAGTGAAATTCAAGTCAATGACAACTGGTATGATATCCTAGAGGTTTTTTTATTTTTATTTTAAATCCAATTTCTGTCCATTGGGGTAATATACCCTATGTCATACAGTACTAGCTAGTCTACAGGGCCCCTGCCCTATCTACATCTCTGAATTCATGAATGCCCTGATGTGAGGAGGTCCCCCGCCAGTCTGCCATTCCCACTGGCCGTTTTAGACACGCTATTCATTGAAGATGAGTTTGACTTCTCTCTTCTTATCATAAGGTGGTTCAACTGGTGTGTATTAAGGTATACTGAAGTGCATACTTGGTTTTGTTTTTGAGTCATGACCTGGTTAGTTGTGGCACTGTTTGCTACTTGGCTAGAAAAGATGATGAAGAGTACACCATCAAGGACCACTGGGTCCTTGGGAATGCAGATGATGAAGATATCTTAAATGAGGTTGCTATGTTGAAGGCAATGCAGGGTGTTCATGGTGCCCCAGAACTCGTAGAATTCAGCAAGGTTAAGCTGTTGACTGGTGAGGTCAACAACATGAGGATTTACCAATATCAAGAGCTCCCCAGCTTAGTTGGCACTTAGCACACTCATTTTTGGCTTGTCATGAAGCCCTGGGGGCGACCTTTGCATAAATTTCAAACAAAGTTGGAATTTATTCAAGCTATATGCAACATTGTGGCCAGTAAGCATCCCTCTTTCATAATACACATGCTGATACTAACCAGTGATTGTTACCCCAGTTCAACAGGAAGTGCATCAACAGGGTATCTTGCATCATGATTGCAGCCTCCACAATGCAATGATCAAGGATGCTGACGGTAATAGCCTTGGAATGTTGATTGACTGGGAATTCACTGTGACTATCACACCAGAGAATACATACACTATCGGTGGAACAGTAAGTGGATCATTGATTCAGGAGTACATTCACTGACTCAACTTGCAGGGCACAATTCTGTTCATGTTGTGGCAGCTCCTGCAGCAAGTGAAAAAGTTCTTGGTCTCCAACACTGCAAAAAAAGGGGTGTTGTCATCATCACCTTTGGCAATAAAATTTGTCAAGCAAGACTATTTGGATGATCTTGAATCACTATTTTATGTCTTTTCTTGGATCTGCATCAAGTACAGCAGCCCTCTTGGTGTAGAATGCCATTTGAACCCTTCAAAAGTATGGCTTCTGCATGTGTGGAGCAACTGGAATATTGTGGGATGCTTTGAGAACAAGGTTGCATTCTACACAGGGGGTGAGGGTGAAGCTGCACTCCAAGTGCAGTTTGATGACTACTTCCAGGATCTTATTCCCCTCACACTGGAGTGGATGGACCTCCTGAGGCTCAATTTTCCAGTTCAGATTGGCAGTGTTGACAGCCAGGTTCTCCACTGACCCATTGAATTTGCCGCACTGCTCAAGATCCTGGACAAACACATCACTGGACTTCTTAAGGGCGAGCCTGAGCTGGGCCCTGAACGGTTGCTCCACAAGAGGTTGGTAGATAAGCATAAGCAGGATGTGCATGCATCAGGACAGATCATGAAGGAAATGGACTGCACCACAGTGAAGAAGTGCGGTCTGAATGACAAGTGGACTGTCAAACCTGTGAAGAGGAACAAGACATCAAACTCAGAGTAGCTAGGCTGGTTTTGTCATCAATCTTGATTTCATTTGTGTACACAGTACTAGTATATGTTTTCACCCATGCAGTGTTTATGTTTTTGCATTGTAGTATTCATTACATGTTTTACCCCTTCTTGCCATCAACTCAGAAGTAGTGACTCATCGCAGCTGTTCCCATGACTTTGGGAACATCCTGGCTAGTATGCAATGTTACAACATTGAGCTTGTTCTCCTCATGTGATCCTCCATTCAACTATATTCCTGCAGGAATGCAGTCACTTACACTGCTGGTTGAGTCATACTGCCTACAAGTGTGACATGTTGCTTGGTCCAAGTTGGTCAAGTCAAATCCCTTAAGAGTTGAGTGTATTTTGTCTGGGTCTTGTCGCTTATCTCCCTTCTGGTGTTCCTACCCTTTGTCAGTCTCAATCATGCCTCCTCATCCCCAAGCTACATCTAGCCCCAAAAGAATGAAGGCAAAGCGCAAAGTTGCAGAATCTGGTATCCTAGCACTCACTGGGCAAGGAAAGAAGGTGCAGACAGCAGATGAAGTTGGTTTGGTGTCGCTGCAGCTACCTTCCAATGTCAATGCTCCCCCCATTTGCCATTCTGGTCATCCTGGTACAGGTACAGGAGGAAGGAATGCTCAACTAGAGAAAGCTGGTGCAGCTCTGGTAGCCCCAATATGGACAAGCCAACCTAAGGGCTCCATGACCCTTGTGCCAAATATCTCAGCAAACCCTCTTGCTCCAGAATCACACTGAAAGGGCTGTGGCAGCCATCCACAGGTAAGCTCAATTTTTTATCTGTGCAGTTGGGGCTGATGTTAAGTGTTTAGAAGCCTCCTCCGCCATATAGCATCTCAAACAGTACAGGCTCTACCATCATGAGTTCCTATCAGAAGGGGGAAAAAGCCAAGGTGAGGCATTTTTTCTTTATGATGATACAATGATCAATCATTCAAATAGACATCTTCTGTCCCTGACCTGCAAGCTGAACCGGTGAGGAACATCATATCATATTTAAATCAAGTGTTCATTTTTACTTCAGGACATCACCTGTGGCAAGTCAAGCCATCAATCATTGCAACTGGGTTTATTACTCTGCGAAATGGGTGGACACTTCAGATTTCAAACACCTCAAGGCAGCCCACCAATTGTACCACCTGGAACAGAGCCAGATCTGCAAGCACTGAACAATTCTTATGTAGTGATCATGATAGCCAAGAAAGACACTAAGTATTGTGCCTGCAGCGCTGTTCAAAGCCTTGCTAGAGGCCATCAGTCTTCTAGTGGGCCAGCCAATGATGATCTTCTATGATCAGTGCCACCTTCAGCTACCTTAGACCTACTTTCACACCCTTTGTCCACTGCATGCATTGTTCTGACTCTTTCCAAAGACTATTTGGACCTGTCCCTACGAACAGTCAGCTCTGAACCTGGGACTAACCATTCATTGCAACAATCCAATTCCAATGATTTGGATATGTCAGGCTCTGGTGAAAGTAGTGCGGGTGGTGAAGACAATGACAATTCTATTAATGGTGATAATGCTGGTGAAAGGGAGTTTGGTTGGGCTGAGGTTGGTGAGTACCATTGTGTACACCCAGGTAAATGCCATCTTTGCATATGATGGTCACCATGGTCACCCTGATTATTTCATAGGTTTTTCTTGGGAACCAGAACCTTCCCTGGTCCATGTTACTTCCACTCTTGCTCCCGACTTTGACTTTCAATACTCCTGCGACAAAGATGACATGAACACCAAGCAAACATTAGCTTTTGACAAACCATCAAGTAATGAGATTGCCTTGGAGGGTGCTCAATGTGTCCCTGAAGTCTCTGAACTTGAACTTGGTGGTTCTCAGGTGTGACACCAGTCTACAAATGAAACTCAAGGTATTCAGGAACCTGATGGCTCTCAGGTATGATGTCCTGTCTGGTGGCCTATCCCCAAGCACTCAACAACTACTTCATTTCCAGCCTGCAGATGTAGCCAACAACATTTTAAATTGGCATCATAAGAAGAACAGGCAACCCCCATCTTCCTGACCCTGCTTCCCTAGAACTCTTATGCCATGCTGTCATGACAAAGGATCCAAAGAATGACAAGGGTCCAGTCAACACACAGCAACCAGCTAAAGCCAAATGTTCACCTGATGGGCCAAAGCCTACATAGCTGGTGTTCTACCCAGCCTGCTAGAAGAGTTTCCTTGAGGATGCAAAAGAAGAGTGTCATGCCCAGCATGCACTAGAGAACCCATTCCCAGCTCTAGTTAAAGACTCACCAGGCTCTGTCTCTGAGGCCCTTTTAGCTGTTCTTTACCAGTGGGATACAGCCAGTAAACAATTTGAACCTGGTAAGCTTTAGTCTTCTCCAGTGCATGTGTATCTGACCAAAGTACCAGATTATTGGCCTATTCACAAGCCCAATATGGCAAAACTCATAAGTTATCACTGGTCTTTGTGTTTGCTATTCTCTCATACTTCCTGTCATCCAGTTATATGAAGATCTCTCAACTTGGCACTCTGAGCTCAAGAAGAATGTCATTGTGATTGCCTCAACTATGCCTGGCCTTGTCCCCCATCAAATATCCCACCTCAAGAACATGCTTTGTGGGTCCAAGGTGTGGCTACTGAGTTAAAGGCAGGCTCAAAGTTTCTACACGATGGTACAGACAAACAGGTTTGCTGCTGTCATATCCACATATCCAGATCTCAGATCTGACCCTTATCTCAGGTCCACATCTTATCTCAGATGCTATCCACATCTTATCCCCCTCCAACATCTCGTCATTCAATCTGTCCACTCATCCGGTCCAGTCCACAACTCATCCGAATCCACAACCAGCGCTCATCTCTTTTCGGTAACCCCCTAACTCTGGTATTTCGGTTATCTGTATATCCGTCCTGCTCCCTTATCCACTACCTATGTTTCATTTCTGTTTCATTATTTGTGATCCATTTCTACTTACCAATAGACTATCCACATGCTTCGTACATAGCCTCAGACTCTGCTGATTGATCATTCCATTAGATACCTATAGTATATAACCTCCTGTAACTTTCTGTAGTATGGCAGTTCAAATATCATCTTAGTTCTGCTCATTCCTGTCCTCCAGACTTGAGTACCTCTACTCTTGTCACCCTCTGAGACTTAGGATTGATTCCTATAGTCTATCTGTATCCGCCTCTGTCCCCAACAGTCCACTACTGTTAGTTTCTAGTCTGGACTCGTCCAGATTAGCCACACGATATTTATTCCTCATCCAGAAGTCATCCGGATCCATTACGCTACTCATCCGACCTTCCAGATGCACTAGGCTTGCCTTCCTGAAATAAGGGGCAATACTCGGGTAAGGGGCACAGTGTACGAGCTGAGGCCGAAGCCCTTCAGATCCAGTTACCCCTTTGAGTACGACCTTAACAGCTGCCCGTATAATTTTATGAGTATCTAAATAACAAGGCACTGCAGGGAAAAACATGGAACTTTGCCAACCCTGCACTCTGTGATGCCATCATCATTTTCATGTACACTGGACCATATAGAATCGCTCAAAGACATTCAGACATTTTCAGCAAGCAGTTGCCTTTGTCATGCTTGGTGTTGGTCTCTGCTGCAGTATTTTATTATTATTATTTTCACATTCAACAACAAACTAACTTGTTTCATAGTTTGTTTGCATTCTCAACAGCCTCATGAAAAATGGGAGCAGAAAATCATCCCAAAATTCACCACCAAGGAATATTGCCCAATCTATGCATCTGTGCTCAAGTCACTCCAAGACATCATAAAACATCCTTATCATGGTCCCAAGTTGGTCAAGCAGCTCTGATTGTGGGCTGAGGCTGGATGGCAAGGATATGCTCACTTCTAACAAGTCTAGCATGCTAACTGTATTCATGTAGGGCAGCATCTTGCAAACTCAATGGCAACAACATGTAAAAGATGGCAAGCATCTAAAGAGAACAAACTCAAGTGAGTTCTATAGTACATCAGTAAGGAGTGTAGTGTGTATACTAGTATATGACTTACCCCCAGTCAAGTACAAGAGACTGGGGGAAAATGCAGAGAGACTGTAATGAGAGTACCATGCATGGAGTTGCCTAATATGGTAACTCCGCCAGTGTGGTGAATGAGAGTCTAAGTCAAATAAAAAACGAAACACTATGTACTATGTTGGCAGGTTGACTTCCAACACACCCCCTGTCCTTGTGGGAATAATGCATCAATAATTGTATGCTCAATAATACATTACTTTTAATCTACTTTTAATTTACTTTTAATACTTGGTGATAATTATAAATTTTGGTTAAAGGGTTAGATGTTAGAGGTTAGAGGGCTTGTTAGAGAGTTAGAGGTCAGGGAGTTAGTGGTCAGTGGCTAGTGGTTAGTGGTTAGTGGTTGGTTAGGATTAGCCAGGATTATATTCTGACTTGGAGAATTTAATAAAAGGTAACCTAGGTTACAGGTTTGGTGTACTGATAGTTACAACAGTTAATGCATTACATCAGTCTTGTAACTATCATCAATTAATGCATTAATATGACATGGTAGCCTGGGGACCAAGCTGTGTGCCTTGTGGGCTGTCCGGCACTGTCCGGTGCTGTCCAGAGTGAACTGAGTTGCTGATGAAAGATTGATCTTTGCACTCAGTCTGCACTTCTGGCTAGCTTGACTGATTGAGACTGAAAGCGGCCCAAGGTTGCATCTCATTTTTCTCTCTCATTACTCCCTTTTAACACCTGCATTTCGTTTGTGCCATAGGCCAGCGACTCTGAAGCTGCTCAGAGACAATGATGAGATATCTTTCGGGAATTGACACTCATTCTTATCTATACATGGCAATGCAACGGCCAAGGTCAGTACATAATCAATTAGTCTGGACAACATGTGTTCTGCCCTATCTGAAATAATACACACAATTACGGACTAGGTAGAGCAGCAGTATGATTGAGATTGTAGAGTGGCTGACGAGTACAAAGGGGAATTGATCGAGAACAACACAGGAAAATATGAGACGCGCAAGAAGTAGTAAGACAGATAGGCGAGTAGAAAGATAACGAAAATAGAAGGGGAAGGATGAAATAAATTTGAGAGAGATGGTAGAACAATGGTCGTGTCACAGAGATGAGACGAGCGAGGAGAGAATAGTGGACGTAAGGCTAGTAGCTAGAGCGAGAGAGGACGAGCGGTTGAGACTTCTGAGGTTTTCTGACAAGCTTGGAGCAGGAAATCACTGAGTAGTATTCTGCTAACGAAAATGAGAGTACATGCGCTGTATAAATACATTCTGAGAGCGTTTGATACGGCCGGAACTAGGAAGAGGTCATGGGGAAGAGAGAAAGCATATATGGTGTAGGACGGTCTCGTGGTACATGAGTACAGGGTAGAGTGACGAAGGAGAATGTAGAATAACGAAAAGAAAATGGAGAGTAAGGGTTGTTTCCCCGTAAGTCTGATGTGAGGCGTAGAGCTTATTCGCATCCGTGACTGACGTGGGCGCACTTGACGCGAACTCTATTTGAAGGTCCAGTCGGTGCGTAAGGGATACGGAATCCCTACAAGATCATACAATATCAGCAGTATTCCACTCGTTGGAATTTGAGACTGAAGGCCAGTCGGCATGCTCGATAACTGGACTCCCCCCCACGGGACTTTGGGCGCCCGAGATTTTGGTAGCAGAATATATTGCGCTCAAATGAGGCTGGGTAGCAGAGATTGATGGATTCTCTGCGAAAGTGATGGCTCGCATAGTGGGGGAAAGAGAACTTGTAGAGCCAGATCGCGCACGGCTCCTCGACCCAACGGGCGCTGTGGAGGGGACAGAGTGTGATCGCAATCGGTTAAGAGCGACAACTCCCCCTGAGGGTGTTGATATGGCATGATTGCGTGTAGACATGATAATATTTTCCGCTTGCAAGTGAAGGCGACTATGTCCATAATACGCTTCCTTCTTGAGGTTCAGAGTGATCCTTGACATCATTGTGACCTGTTGACCGGAAATGGTCAGGCTATGCCAAATGCACACTTCAATTTGTACTCACGGTGAGACTGTAATAGAATGATGTTAGCCAATCATTGCTACTCGTGGTTTACAATAAAGACTCACAGAAGCCCGAGCCTGTGCAGTGTATTGTAAGCAAACAAGATCTGAGTAAACACGAAGATGTGCGTACTGTGCGGCAATATTTTTCACCCCCTGGTGAGCTCTAATTATCATGATTGTCAACACCAGATTTACGGCGCAAATGACGCTGCATGGTTGGTGAGCTCTAATACCCGGAGAGTATGGCTCGCGCACCTGTAATACAGTAACCCGTCTGCGAAGAGAGTACGAATAACATGACTTGCTTCTTTATTGCGGATCAAAGAAAACGTGCGGTTGAACGTCAACCCAAAGACATACGTGTCGTAGAGGAGAGGCAACCAAGCTGAAGCCGAAGCAATACTGCCGCTGGGAAGTATTTCAGAACTCACATCCGCACATCAGTCGTATATAAGGACACACGAATTGAACACCATGGTACAAGCTGTGAAAACGTGAATAAGGTTGTCGTGTGCAAAAAATGAGTATCTCACAGTGAATATTGTCTGTGTGAATAACAGCTGGGGGCTTGTCATGAACTCATGCATAGCGTGGCAAAGATGAAAACATACGTCCACCATAAGTCAATAGCCATGCAGTCACTACGATCCAAGCTAGCAGTAATAATACCGCCAGCACAACGGCAGCCCGTTGATGTCTATACATTGCAATGACCCTGTGTGCTCCGTCATCAGCAGATGCTTTCTTAGAGGGGAACAAATTTCACCGTAACAGCATCATTAGCCCGACTATCTCAATTCCTATAGCTGTCATAGCCCCTTCGTATCGGACAAAATGCTGGCAACTTGGACAATGTCAACTGAGTCCAGAAGCGCAGTGCAATACTGACCTCTGCAGTCAAGTTTCTAAGATTCATCACTGGCAATGGGTATAAAACATCAAAACTCACTTTGTAGCTCCATGAAGGGAGGTTGTAGGCTGATAGTAGAAGAGGTCACGGATAAAATTGTGAGCCAAAAGTGATGTACTCACCAACCAGATTCACGATAAAGCCGAGAGGAGTAAGATATCGGTTCTGGGACATAGACCCATACATGTGAGATTTTAACTGGTAGATATTGTCAATCATATGCATACCAGTAGAAACAAGTATACAACTAAGCAGGTTCAGATACTAACGCATATTCATATGGTGAAGCCACTCACGGATCCCCTTATGGCCTTTCCAGATAAATTCGATCTGAGTACTGTGTTGAGTTTCACCGATTTCTGGTGCAATTGCCAATGTCGCACCTCATCTCCGCTGGTGACGAGGTGGTCCCAAACCAATATGGTAAAACCTACGAACCCAATATACTAAATCATGAGATACGTACATCAGCCACTGCAACAGTAGATCATGGGACAGCGTACAATTGTTTGGTCCCTAAAAAGATGGGCATCAAGTATGCAAAGACGAACAATAGGCAAGCATGACATACTTTCCTGTCACGTCCTGCATTGCTTCATTCACTGACGAGAGTGACATCGATCTACGGAAACGACAGTTGAAGATAAGTCAGCAAGGTGGTCCAGTACTTCAGGGAAAGTTTCAGGATTGTCAACCCCGAAAGGTTGTCTGGATTGAATTATGGAGGATGGAGAAAATGTGGACCACCACGTTGTGATGAACTCATTTTATAATACACAGCAGCACTGGCATGGGCATTCATAAACATTCATATTAAGTGCGCCTGACCAAGTTATGGCCGCTATTGATATGCATATAGGTAAGTGGCAGGCGGCGGCTCGGGTAATGTTCGATAAACAAATAAACCATAACCGATAATTCAAGCTTGTCACTTCCACAAGCGACCATAACTGCACCCATGAGCTCTGCACGTCCTTGGTCAGTCAGCGAACTGTCATCGACGCGCCCTGAATCTGGGCAGTCGCGTCCGTATACACGGCAGACAAGTGCGTCCCGACTATGGACTGCTCAGTCATGCCCTGGGACGGCGCGTCCCCAGACCGCCGCTTCCACCATGCACGATGCTAGCTTTGTCATCGCCCTCATCGAAAGCCGAGGGATTGCGCACGAAGTGGGTATGGCCGCTCTCGATAAAGATACGGGTAGAGTCATGCTCATTCAGGTAAGGGCTCGTCTCCTACTAATCTACGGCAACTAACACATACGAATTAGCTCTCGGACTGCTCTACATACGTTAAGACCCTACATCAGATGCATGTATATACGCCATACATGATCCTTGTTCCAGATACGTTCCTATCCTCTACAAACACCAGCCTCACTCCTGCGTCTGCCACGCGAGGAGCTTCATCGTCATCGTTGTCGGTGCAGTTCATCAGGGGGGAGTTTCCTCAGGTCCCCATCGAACCGGTACCAAGAAAATACTGGAATGATAGCGCCGGTTAGTTAACGATACATTTTCTCCCGCATACATACGCTTAACTATCGTCTAGGCTATCAGTTTATCGCTCAGTTCTGTGTTGAAGACGATGAGCGTGCGGCTACACTGGTCTCCGTGACAGACAAGTCGTTATATCCGCATATATCCGCATCTACTTTTCTAATTACTAGCATGCAGATACTATACACTCTCAGCTGCATGTGCTCTTTTCAAATTTGTAGAAACCCGCCTCAACACCCGCTTTTCTGCATGTTCTCTTCGTATACGTTATATCCCTGTCGAGGGGACGATGATGATTGACCCCGAAACTGTTAGAAATCTGGAGCTAATCAGCAATCAGACCCGTAAGAAATCCACGCATTCTCTCTTTGGGTATCTGGCATCATTTCTTCGATTAGTCGTGGTTTGACATGCTTTAGGGTGCTTAACTATACCTCCACTGCAATGGCCACACGACTCTTGCGAACGAATATACTGGCACCCCTGACAGGCAAGTACTTGCATTATGGGACCCCATTGAGTTAATTCCATATACCCTGCCTGTAGCCCAAAGCGCCTTGGATGCCCGCCTAGACGCTGTGGAAGGTCTGGCATTGGCAAAACTCTGCTGTGCTTTATTGACCTCTACCTTTCCATAGAGCTGATTCACAACGAGGATAAATTTACTGAGATCAAGGATGCCTTAAAAATCTTAAACAAGATGGACTTTGACAAGCTCATCTCATCGGTGAGCCCTATCTCGTGGCGTGGACTTAAACATAACTTCCAGCCCATAGCTTGGGTGTTCTGAAGTACGGCCAACAACAACAGCAAAAGGAGCTTTTTCCCGCGTGTCACAAATACTCAGCTTGCGCACTGCTATCCGAAGCCTTCCATTTTTGCAGAGGGCTTTGAATGGATGCAAGTCTCAGCTACTGCTAATAATATATGACGTGGGCCCTGCACTGCGGTTTCGCTTCCGCAGCTTCTCATACTCCAACATGGATATAGATATTGTCTGACGAACGGTTAACTAAGATCGAGGAGCTCATCGCGGAAAACCTCAACGACGACGCAGGGCCAGTCAAGGTAATTGTAGTATGCTATTGTCGACACTGCCTGAACAACCTCTTGCTAGGGGGGGATCGGCGCGATAAACGCAAGAGTATACGCAGTTAAGGTACGTTGGCAACCACTGGCTTTCTACAAGTTGGTTCATTGTTGCAGGCAAACCGCAACCGTCTCTTGGATGTTGCTCGTGGAACTTTCAAAGAAAATGTCGCAGACATATACCAGCTCAACCATGCCCTAAGCGAACGGTATTCCCTTCCCCTTACTCTTGTTTACCAAGAAAGTGGCTTCGTGTTTGCTCTGAAGAAGGGTGAGCTTGAGGATGAGCTGCCGAAGGGATTCATTAACGTGTCTGCGCAACGGGGTCGTTGGCTGTTCTCAAGCATTGATCTGGTGAGACTCAACAGAAAGGGCAATAAATGGTCTGATATCAGATGATAGAAAAAAATGAACGCTCGAATGAAAGACTCATTAGAGGAGACGCTGGTCTTAAGCGACAAGTACGGTTTCGTTGTGACTCCATTGTTTTTTGAGATTGATAACATGCAAAGAATCATCCGGGACGTTGTAGGACAGATTATCGCGTTTTCGGGAGTGCTCTATTCTACTTCGGAAGCGGTAATGACATTCCCATTCAAAGCCCAGGTTTCTCAACGCTAGTTCAGGTTGCAACCATCGACTTGTTATGGTCCTTTTCTCATGTCTCCATCAGTCCGTCATCCCAGTTATTGCACTTTCCTCAGTCTAACGAATTCTTCGTTAGTGCGAAGCTATGGTACGGAGTGCAGGCTCCTTTCAAAGAATGCCAACAAACTTTTTCCTTAGTGCGTCCCGAGTTTACTGATACCTTGGCGATCAAGAGCGGTCGTCATCCTATCCTTGAGACTGCTCAGTCTGCCGGAATGGTCGTTTCAAATGATATTTATTGCAGCGACGCTGCCCACTTTCACATTGTTCAGGGGCCAAAGTGCGTTTCATAAATGATTCATTGTCTAGATGTGTAAATGTCCATACTCTTTAACAGCATGTCAGGTACAATGTGCGTCTGCACCCGTCCCACTGATTATTCTCAGCGTTTCCACAAGGGAAAAGCACATATCTGCGTCAAACGGGCCTTCTCACTGTGATGGCAATGGTCGGTTGTTTTGTGCCTGCTGAGTATGCAAGCTTTCGGTGAGTCATAGGTGAACTTAATCAAATCTTGATATACTCATTCTCCCAAGTCTGCATGACGCCTTACTTACTCGACTCTCCAATGATGACGATATAGAGAAGAACCTTAGCACGTTTGCAAATGAAATGACATCCTCCGCTATGATCCTAGGTCTTGATGTATAGATGAGTCTGTCACTCATACTGAACTCCCTCCAGGCATTGCAACCCCAAGAACACTGGTACTCATCGACGAATTGGGTCGAGGGACATCTCCTATTGAGGGTCTTGGTATAGCACATGCTATTGCAGAGGAACTCATCAAATTAAAAGTAAGCACAATTGCTCGTGCCTGGCCTTTACTCTTACGAGAACCTCAGTGTTTTGTTCTCTTCGCTACGTGAGCATGCGACTACTAGGTTAACTCGCGCGTTAACACGACAGTCAGCCATTTTCACGAGCTATCAACCACTCTTTCTCGACAGCCCGCTGTGGTGAAGTGAGTGGTCGTTATTCTTTTGACCAGTAATACATGACGAACTTGTCCAGCTTGCATCTGTCTGTTCAGGTGCTTTCAAATCGCTCTCGGTTGTAGCTTCTTTACGGATTGTTGTCCAGCGTTCACGTCCATCGGCCTCCAACTTCGGCCTGACATTCCAATACAAGTCAACTTCATATCATTATGATGCACGATGCCCAGCTGATGACATAATTATAGGATCCTTGACGGAGTTCCTGAAAATACAGGCCACTATGGTGAGTCGCAGATAACAGACAGTATAGAAGGTATCTGGACCAGTCTCTATTAGGACTGGAATTAGCCAAATTAGCTGACCTCCCCAACGACGTACTCACTGAAGCGAGACGAGTGTCTGAGGTCATTACCGAAAAAAACCTGCGTTGCGAGGAGGGAAGTTGCATAAACGTCTTGACCATTCGTAGGCGAGCACTTTTGAAGGTATCGTCAATTAGGTTCCTGAACACTCCTAATTCTGAATGTTTGATACCTCGTCAGCTTCATGCGCAGTTGAACCAGGCTTTAGATCACTCTTCGCTTCCTGAGGAGGAACTGGTCGCATATCTGGCACGACTGCAGAGGGACTTCATGAAGACTCTGAAAGATACCTTCTGACGATCGCTGATCAAACGAACCAAGGAAGATACTTGACTCGACAATACGAAGGTAACGTCGCCAAACCCTTACCTGCCTGTCGAAGCTCGAAGAGACGAAACGAGAACACTCGACGAGAACGCTCCTAGACATCATTCAAAGGTCCATTTTCTTGCAGATGCTCGCTATGTTAGACCACGTTCTTACCAGCCTCTAAAATGATTAGATTTGAAGTTGACAGAATTTTTTCGTGTGCAATGTGCGATCAATTAATCATCATCAAGCGCCGCTTTGAAATTGTCAGGAGAGGCCTGACTGCCTGACTGAATTAAGTGCTACAATGCTGTTTCTCTGTTCCAGTCAGTAATGTGTGGAGGTTGGAAGTCCGACTGTGTTGCATATCGGCTAGACCCGCGAACGCAACAAAACTCAACGCGGAAGCAATAATTATCGACGCCTCCACTAAAGAACACCGCAACACCTGCTCAAATATCAAAATCATCGATATAACATAGTACATACCGACGAGACTCAATGAGTTAATTATGGCTCAAACTGCGAATCTAGGGTTGCCAAGTGATATTGGATACCGTAGATGCGTACTACTTCTAGTGGGATTTGGTCCCAATTGACCAGTTGGGTTTCTGCTGTTATTGGGGGTGCTGCCTCATAGAGCTCTCCTCGATCTTCAGCACACATTCGACGGTGCATGACGTAGCACGTGTCTGATTCCGGGACACGAGTGAAACGCAATGGTTAACATGCAGCACCCAGCTCCCTCACTTCTATTCTCATGTCTTGAAACAGGGCGTATCTGGCTTTAGGACTCACGCTACCCCCTGCATTCTCTCAAGATAAGCTTGCAAATTTGCGATGGTAGTTGTGCCACACACAATGTGGCAAGGCTGCCTCTGGTTGAGGTGCTTGTGCGCATGGGTGATAAGATAAGGGCCCCGATTTCCTCACGTTTCGTAACGTGTCCGAACCAGTCCAGTGTGTGCCCTGGGGCTGTCCAAGAATGTGGCACTTTCTCATTTGGTTAGCCCCGCGTTATCATGAGCATGGGCGCCTTTCTTCGCTCTTCCATACTAGTTTCTCGCTTCCAACTCTCTCCATCACCCAGTGACACGACAGTATCTCATGGGCAACTGTGTTTCCCGTTCCAAGCAGCCTTTCCCAGTCTCTCGCAGTTCGTCTGCTGAGAAGAATATTGGGAGTGGCGTTCCAGACGGTCTACCTATAGCGGAGCCAACAACTTCTTTTTGGACGATTCCTGCAACCTCAATAGCAAAACCACAGCCACAGGAGAATTTGCCTTCCCATGCAGACGTGGGTGAGTACGCGTGTACCTGTTTGGAGGTCGCCAGATGAATAATTGACGATAGTTATTATTGGATCCGGTATATCCGGCGCCTCTTTTGCGCGAACTCTGCTTGAATGCGGAGACTGTCTTCATGTCGTTATGCTTGAAGCCCAGGATGTATGCTCAGGGGCCACTGGCAGGTGAGCAATGAGCGCCCATTTCGCTTAGATCGTTGATGCGATATTAGTGTTTTGCCCAGAAATGGGGGACATATCTTTCCCGCTACATACCATGACTACGAAGACCTGAAGAAAAGAGTGGGCGAGGATATGGCAAAGAAGATGATGCGCTTCCGGAAGGCGCACTTGGACGAGATTCTGGCCATTGCTGCAGAGGAAGGTATCACAGAGTATACACAGTGTCGTGCCGTCGAGGGTGTCGATGTGTACTTCGATAAGCCTACGTTTAAAGAGGCACAGCGGAAGCTGCAAGTATATCAGCGCGATATGGGCGAACATGCAGGCCCATATGCCTGCTATGAGGGCTTAGACGCTCAAGAGGTATGTTGGGGGATAGCATCGTGACTTCTGACTGACAGCGTGGTAGAAATTTCATCTTTCGCCGCTTGCGGTAGGTTGTATTACCACGCGAGCTGGTGCTATACATCCATATCGCTTTGTGACGTCGATTTTAAGCCGCCTTCTTGCAGACTACCCCAAAGAGTAAGTCTTTGACTTTTGATTGTGGCCCGCAATCATTTACGACAACTTAGATTTGAGATTCACACCCGCGCACCTTGTACATCAATCGATGAGCCCACATCAAGTTGCCCATTCTATAGACTTACTACAGCACGCGGGGTGATTACAACCCCACATGTTGTGCATCTTACAAATGCGTACGCGCCTGCGCTCTTACCCGCTCTCAAGGGAGCTATCCTTCCCATTCGAGAAACTATGACCGCGCAGCGGCCTGGTCGTAACCTCCATGCAAGCACGTTACGTGGCGGCCGGAGTTTCGTGTTCTTTGATAGTCCACGTAAGGGCTTCGACTACTTGACGCAACTCCCAGAAGGCGAGCACGAACTCATGTTCGGCGCAGGCTTTGAGTCGAGCACGGATAGCGGAAATAATGCAATGTATGGCGTGCACAGCGCAGCGCATGTGGGTGGTGCAATGCCAATCTATTTCGGAGCGGAGAGCTGGGGTGCTGAGGCCTTACCGACCACTCCCACAAATGAACAAGATGTGGGTGTAGGTTTGTGGGCAGAGGGAAGAGTGAAGGCGATTTGGAGCGGTTTGTTGAGTGAGTCGGCCGATGGGATGCCGTGGGTTGGAAAGGTGCACGTTAATGTGGCTGGCAGGAAGGCACCTCCTGCTTCGTCCGCACCCTCTTCTCTGAAATCAAACACGAAGAAGCTGAAGTCAGTTGTCACTGCTGCTCCCGGTGAGTGGATTGCGGCTGGCTACTCCGGTGAGGGCATGGTGCACGCGTGGCTGAGTTCCAAGGCCGTCGCGCTGATGCTTCTCGGGGAGGATCTCACTGAGGTCAGGACTTGGTTCCCAGAGCTGTTCAGCGTCACGGAAGACAGAGTCAAAGTGATCAAGCGGACTTTCAAGCCTGACGTTGTGCTGACTCGGAGTGGAAAGAGGTGTGTTTTCAGTCTTTGATACCCACATATATTGTAAGAGTTTCTTCTGTAGTAGGTACCTAATCATGTGCACGTTGCGTAGTTTTTTTAGTACTACAGTACTATGTAGTTTACTCGAATGCAAACTTATCATATCCATCCCGGACTCCCAACGTTGGTGGAGGGGCCTCATATATCCCCTTTGATGTGTCCGGTACCCGTTCGTTGGTCCCGCAGAAATAAGTATCGTTCCTTCTTTATTTATTCCAATTTTTGTCCATTGAGTAAGACTCTATGTACTGATAATCTAGTCCTGGGACCCCTTGTCCCAACCCCGACTCAAATCGTATCGTTCCTTGTACCGGGGCACCCCACCCCATAGATGGGCCAGACTTTGGAGAAACCGGGTTGGTGTTCAAAAAAGTCTGGATTTGAGACTGATAGGTCTTCGATGATGTACATCATGATCAAATGTACATGCTTTCCGGTACACATCATGTAACCGGAACCCCCGGATTAGAGGACAATCCCTCGCGCGCATTGTATATAAGCCGTATCTAATAATTGCAACCGTTGAGTAGCACAAGACTAAGTTATTGCAGTTTCATGATAAATGAAGACGACCGCTGCAACATGATTATTACATGTAAAACATGTTCACAACTACTATGTGCATTCACATTAATCTATCAGTCTACCGTGCGCGATCCTACTGTGACCCACTCATACACCGTAGCAATAAAAAATCACTACAAATCAATCAACAGCTCCTCTCGTCGCTCCGGAATAGTCGTAGGCGCAGATGGCGCGTACAAGTCGAACGATTGCGGTGCTGCCGTTGGTGCAGAGGGGAATTGCGGGAGCTGTGGCTGTAAGGGCTGCTGATACTGAGGGCGGGACGCGCGCGATACGGTGCTTGAGCGGGCGAGTGGGACAGGCGGCGGGGATATTGCAGTGCGTGCTGAGACGGTGTGGTGCCGTGCGAGGGCTGGCGTTTGTGGAGTAAGGGATGGAACCATAGGTTGAAGTGCGGGTGGTGGTGGTGGTGGTGGTGGTTGAGACGGTGCAGGAGTGTTGGCGAACTGGGATATTGACACGGGTTGGTTGGCCGGAAGGGTAGGAGAAGTAGGGGTTTGCTGGGGGAGGAAGGATACAGATAACGGCGGAGTAGTGAAGTGAGCCGGCTGCTGAGATTGAGGAGGTGCGGGTGGCGAAGCGAGTGGAGCCGTGAGGTGCTGTGAAGGCCCGGGAGCCCCTGAAGTATATGGTTGTGATGATCCTGCCGCATAATGGGCATACTGAGGCTCTGACTCGGGGACAGTGGATAATATGGGTCGGGAGATAAGAGGTTGTGGAGCGTATTGGACAGAGTCGGTCCGTGGTGGCGCAAAAACCGGGGAAGATACGGAGGATGCATGATGGTGAGATGGCGCCCATTGACTATGACCATTAGCAAGAGTTTGTGTGGATTGCCGCACTAGTGCAGTCGTAGGTTGGGCCTGTTGGGGAGAACGCCGCCACGTGGGATGTGAGACCTGATCTGTCAGTAGCTTGTCGTAGAGCTTGACGGCTTGCGAAAGCTTTTCGTGCATCTCTGATAGCAGTTCTACGTGCGAGTATCAGTAGAGTTAGAAATTTCCAAGTAAACTAACACACGTTCTTTGCGGTCGGTGTCGTCCAGACTCATCGCCAGCTTAGGCCGGAGCCCGTTTGCTCTATCATATAGTTCGTTGACAGCAGGATACCGCGACATGTCGCGTCCACCTTGGGACTGCACTTGCTCCACTGTCTGGCTGAATGTAAGAATGGCGTCGGTCTCCAAAGGCTCAAGATCATAACTTGCAAGCTTCGGCACTTGTGGGGCAGGCATAACAGTGGGAGGATATGATTGAGACGTGGCGTACACATTACTGTATGATTCTGTGCTTGTAAGCTCCACAGGGGCGCTCGGTTTCGGGGCGCTAGCCTCCCGAAGACTTGCTTCGATAGCTGCACGGAGATCAGGATCGTCCTCATCCGCGTCAGCAACTTTACGATCGGGGTGCGTCTTTCTGTCCACGAGCGGAGGTTCGGAAACGTGCCAATCGTGCGCGGAGGGTTGAGCGGGCACATAACCCGGTTTGCGTCCGTGAGCGGCACCGACCTCCTCAAGAGAGAGCTCAATAGCGCGCTGGAGCTCGGCGTCTGCGAGGTCGCGTGCACTGCTGTGACGCGGGCTATACATACTTGCAGAATGGCGGTGTGCCTTGTCACTGTCAGGAGGCGGCATATCAGAATGGCTTATAAATGAGAAAAACATATGTACCTTTTCTCAGCCTTTTTCTGCAACTTATTGTGACACGCATCACAGACCCTAACAGCTTGAGTGATGCCGAAGTGAGGTAAAGGTATGGATTTAGATGAACATTGTTGATCGAAAACTTGTCCACAATTCCGACAGTGATGTTTCCGATTGGTAAATGTAAACGGAGTGCGACATCGCAGACACAGCTCGGAATCTATCCATTCTGGAGCGGTTGACGTATCGACCATGGCAGAGTTCGCCAGGGCAAAGTCCTTTGGAGGGAAATGATGTCCTGCGCAGCAAGTGTGAAACGTTATGATGACAGATCAACTGGGTGAATACCTTCACTCTTGAGAGTCTTATAGACCTGATTCACATAGCTAAGATTGGGCTTGCCTTCAAAAGCCAAAGACCAATTTTGTATATACTTCAAGATGTCATCTCTGACAGAATGATTTAGACCAGGCATTTTGAGGATGGAGACCAGATTATCCATGAACTCCCTTGAGGTCACCTCGCTCAAGAAATGATCGCCACCATTCTTGACACAGACGTCTGTCAACTGTCGAGCTGGGATTAGAGAATGTTGTAAAGAATGGAATGATATGACTTACGCCAAGTGCGAGGAGTTGGACATTGGGATTCTTGTGATTAAGGCGGCGCTTGAGCGCACGCATGGCATCCTTTGCGGGTGCTGACTTGGAGCGTATCTGGTCACATATCTCGAGATTGAGAGCGACGTCCTCTGAGCCATTCGGTATGAGCTCCGAGGTGGCCTTGTCTAAAAGGTGATAATGAGTTAAAGCACACTGATATTGCTGAGCATGCTCACCGACAGCGTCGTCAAGCTGCGAAGTTCCCCATAACCAGCTGCTGATCGATGCCATGTAGAATAAGCACCGTGGAAGTGAATACAACTATTGAGTGGTCTGATGAAGCCCGCGTCAACTGCGCAGAGCCAGAGCTTGATGACACGATGACAAATCAGCCGTGATTTTCGCACTCCGATCAGTAAATATTCAGGTAATATTATATCTTAGTGACGCCGTGAAGAACAGTGTGCCGCCCAAAATTACAGAAGCATCACCATGGCAGAAACAGAGTTCTGTACAATTTTTTTGTAACCTCCACAAAATATTTTGGGTAGCGTATTGGTGTAGTTTATATGATGCATGACTAAAAGTGTGACTGCGTGACTCGGGGCCGGACGCAGGTGAATTGGAGCGGAGTTGGAACGTGGGACTCATCCGCAGGTTGTTCTCAACAGCCATCTTGCCGTCTTCAAAGGTCCTGTTGTCGACTCTTTTCTTCCATCCTGCAGATTCAGACGAATCCATCAACGTTTCCGCCAGTTGCGCGGTTCGCAGAGTTCCGCTTGACCCGTTTTAGTGAACGATTTCTATCTTTTTTTGTTACTTTTCACCAGGCACTTGTGGTTCCTTTCAACCCGCAAAAAAGTGGTCAAAGCTCCACCACTCTCCTCACAATCGCATTTACGACACCGCATTCGCGTTAATTCACGTTCTGGACTCCTTTCAGCTCCATTTTCCGACCTCGTCACCGCATTCCTGATTTTTACGCGTTTTTGTTCTCCTTACTCCTTTTGTTGCAATCATGTTGGGTCACCAGTTCGCGTATTCGGCCGCTCCCATTCGTAAAGTGAAGGAGGTCCAGTTTGGTATCTTGTCACCAGAGGAAATTGTGCGTCATAACCCATTCTCTACCTTGCTGTGCTAATGAGTGTATCTCCATCATGCAGAAAGCGTACTCGGTGGCAAAAGTGGAGCACCCAGAGGTTATGGACGAGACAACACACAAACCTAAGATGGGCGGTTTAATGGATCCCCGCATGGGAACCATTGATCGAAATTTCAAGTGTCAGACGTGTGGAGAGGGAATGTCAGAATGTCCTGGTCATTTTGGCCATATCGAGTTGGCAAGGCCAGTCTTTCACCCAGGTGTGTTGGCAAAACTCTCTTTATCTTAGCGTGCGACATTCATCCGGTTTTTCAGGTTTCATCATTAAAGTGAAGAAGATCCTGGAATGTATCTGCGTAAACTGTGGAAAGCTAAAAGCCGATATCGTGAGTTGAATTTCGTTCCTCTACTCGTTTCGCACCCCACCACCCAATTTTCTGGGGGCTCTCTCCATAATCCATTGGAGAACCCCAAACCCGCACCGCGGCAGTACCTCGAAAAAACGAGGCGTTTGACCCACTGCGGCGTGGTCTGCGCGCGTTTTCGATCGCTTGATCGCCGCGTGGACCATTGCAAACGCTCAGTGATGGTTGGACACGAGGTGCGCGGTGAAATGGGGCGCTGAACGAGGAGTGCGAAAAATCGTAGTCCAGCCAGTGCTCAAGGCACCTTGCTGGACTCGGCTTTGGTGGCCCTCCCTGTGACGCGGGAAGAGGGCTCACCGATGGCCGACATATATGCCAAATCATGTCGGCTGCCTCCTTGTGATGCATTACAATCCCTTAGATAATATCTCTATTTCCGTCGAAGTTGATGCTGACGTTTACATTTCATGTGCTTCCTAATTTGTTCATTCAATGCCATTGTCGTACCTTAGTCCGATCCCAATTTCGCCGAGAAGATCCGCCATATTCGCGATCCCAAGGCGCGCATGGCCGTTGTATGGGCGCACTGCAAGACCAAGATGGTCTGTGAGACTGACGAGCCCAAGGAAGATGGTGCTGAAGGAGATGTGGATGAGCCCAAGAAAGGTCATGGTGGATGTGGTCATGTACAACCGGCCATTAGGAAAGAGGGCCTGAAGCTTTTCGTCCAATACAAGAGACCCAAAGATGAGGATGAGGTTGGTATATGGCAGCATTACTGAATGCTGTTACTGACCGGCTTTCAGGATGTGAAATCGATGCAGCCTGACAAGCGGCTAATTACACCGTCTGAGGTTTACACGACGTTCAAGAAGATGTCGGACTCCGACCTTCATCTCATAGGTCTTTCTGATGAGTACGCTCGTCCTGAGTGGATGATCCTCACCGTTATGCCTGTCCCGCCTCCTCCTGTCCGTCCAAGTATAGCAGTTGACGGTGGTGCTATGCGGAGTGAAGATGATTTGACGTACAAGCTCGGTGAGATCATCAAGGCGTCCGCACATGTACGGCGGTGTGAGCAGGAGGGTGCGCCTGCGCACGTTATTAGCGAACATGAACATCTACTCCAGGCAAGTTTGCGAACACATATCCAAGTGCAGGTATTGACTGGCTGATTGTAGTTCCACGTTGCCACTTATATGGACAACGACATTGCCGGTATTCCTCAGGCGTTGCAGAAATCTGGCCGTCCGGTGAAGGCTATCCGTGCACGGCTCAAGGGGAAAGAGGGGCGTCTGCGTGGTAACTTGATGGGCAAGCGTGTAGATTTTTCTGCGCGCACAGTCATTACGGGCGATCCTAACCTGGAGCTGGACGAAGTGGGTGTTCCTCGAAGCATTGCCATGAATTTGACCTATCCTGAGCGAGGTGCGTTGTTCGTAATCGCTTTGGGTGTTTTAACTCGATGTTATTATAGTGACGCCATATAACATCGCATACCTTCAAGAGCTGGTGCGTAACGGCCCGACTACATACCCTGGTGCACGCTATGTTGTGAGAGATACTGGCGAACGGATTGATCTACGCTATAATAAGCGTGCGGACGCGTTCCTGCAATATGGGTGGATTGTCGAGCGGCATCTGAAGGATGGAGAGTAAGTTTAAGGAGCAAAGGATGCGCGCTGATTCTCATGCTGATGCACGTTTCAGCTTCGTGTTGTTCAACCGGCAACCTAGTTTGCACAAGATGAGTATGATGAGCCACCGAGTGAGGCTGATGCCATACTCTAGTGAGTATAGCATTCTCTTGCATGCTTTGCAAGAAATTAATGAGTACAGCCTTCCGACTGAATCTGTCCGTGACGCCTCCATATAATGCCGATTTCGACGGCGATGAAATGAACATGCAGTAAGTCACCTTTGTTTCATATACAATACGGTGTTCACCTTTCCCAGCATTCCACAGAGTGAAGAAACACGCGCCGAACTGTCGCAAATAGCATGGGTTCCCCGTCAGGTAATGACATCTTCTCTCGTTCATGGGTATTCTATTTAACTGGTGCACAGATCATCTCGCCACAAGCCAATAAGCCTGTCATGGGCATCGTGCAGGACACGCTTTGTGGGATCCGCAAGTTTACGTTGCGAGATACGTTCCTGGACTGGAACCAGGTTCAGAATATCTTGTTGTGGGTCCCTGGCTGGGACGGCAATGTGCCAATACCCGCTATTATCAAGCCAAAACCCATGTGGTCGGGGAAGCAGATTCTTAGCATGGTGATCCCCCGCGGTATCAATATTCATCGCGCCCCAGATCCCAAGTCCTCGAACCCGATCTTTGACGACGGTATGTTAATTGAGAATGGCGAAATCATCTTTGGCGTTGTCGAGAAGAAGACTGTGGGTGCTTCTCAGGGTGGTTTGGTGCACGTCGTCTTCCGCGAGAAGGGCCCTGAGGCTACTCGCGACCTCTTCACAGGCATCCAGATGGTCGTGAATTTCTGGCTGTTCCACAATGGATTCAGTATCGGCATCGGCGACACTGTTGCTGGTCCCAAGGTCATGGATTTCATCACGCAGCGTATTAGCGAAAAGAAGCAGTTGGTTGCGGAGATCATCGAAGAGGCATATCATGACCGGCTGAAGGCGCTACCTGGCATGACTATCCGAGAGTCGTTCGAGAGCAAGGTAGAGCGCGAGCTCAATCGCGCTCGTGATGACTCTGGTCAGTATGCGCAGAAGAACCTGAAGGATGACAACAATGTGAAGCAGATGGTCACAGCTGGTTCCAAGGGTTCGTACATTAACATCTCGCAAATGTCCGTCTGTGTCGGGCAGCAGAGCGTTGAAGGTCGTCGTATTCCATTCGGGTTTCGTCATCGTACTCTTCCTCATTTCACTAAGGACGACTTCAGCCCGGAGGCACGTGGCTTCGTCGAAAACTCATATCTGCGAGGGTTGACGCCGCAGGAGTTTTTCTTCCATGCTATGGCTGGAAGAGAAGGTCTCATTGATACGGCCGTCAAGACAGCAGAGACCGGCTACATCCAGCGTCGCCTCGTCAAGGCATTGGAAGATGTCATGGTTCACTATGACGGCACAGTTCGCAACTCGCTTGGAGATCTCATTCAGTTCGTGTACGGCGAAGACGGTATGGACGGCGCGTTCATCGAACGCCAAAAAATCGAAACCTTTGGCCTTGACAATGGAGCCTTTGAGCACAACTATCGTGTTGACGTCACAGATGGCAAGAATGGATTCCTGCCCAATACCCTGCAGATTGGCGTGGATGACAGCTCTCTGGAGCTACAGATGAAGTTGGATGAAGAATACAACGAGCTTCTGAACGACCGCCGCCTTCTACGAGAATTCATATTTCCCCAGGCGGACGGCCTTAATCCTCATTATCTGCCTGTCAACCTTCATCGTATTATTCAGAACGCCACGCAAATCTTCCACATCGACAAGCGGAAGCCGAGTGATCTGGAGCCGGCCTACATTGTTGAAGCCGTTCAGCAGCTCAACGGCCGCTTGGCTGTCGTAGTTGGTGATGATCCGCTGACGAGAGAAGTCCAAGCCAATTCATCGCTCACATTCCGCATGCACGTCCGTGCCACCATGGCCACTCGCCGCGTACTCGAACAGTTCCATCTTACCAGAGAAGCATTTGACTGGGTCCTTGGTGAAGTGGAGGCCAAATTCAACCAGTCGCTGGTGAACCCGGGAGAGATGTGCGGCACACTTGCTGCTCAGTCGATTGGTGAACCGGCTACGCAGATGACGCTCAATACGTTCCATTATGCCGGTGTCTCCAGTAAGAATGTGACACTCGGTGTCCCGCGTCTGAAGGAGATTATCAACGTTGCTACCAAAATCAAAACACCCTCCCTCACTGTCTACCTCGAGCCTGACATTGCTGAAGAGAGTCTGCTTGCCAAGAACGTTGAGCAAGAGCTCGCATATACCTCATTGCGTACCGTGACGGCAGCCGTGGAGATCTGGTATGACCCAGACCCAAGCTCCACCATTATCGAGGAGGACTCCGTCTTCGTAGAGTCGTTCTTTGCCATTCCCGACGAAGAGATTGAGTCCAAACTGCATCTGCAGTCGCCGTGGCTCCTTCGTCTCGAGCTCGATCGTGCCAAAATGATTGATCGCAAGCTCACCATGGCTTATGTCGCCGGTCGCATCGCGGAGAGCTTCAAGACTGATCTGTTCGTCATCTGGAGCGAAGATAACTCGGAGAAGCTCATCATCCGTTGCCGTGTGCTCGGTGGTGGTGACAAAGACGATGACGGTCTGGGAACTGTGGAAGAAGACATCTTCTTGCGCCAGCTTGAAAACACCATGTTGAATTCCGTCAGCTTACGCGGGGTTCCTGGCATCCAAAAAGTCTTTTTGCAGCAGCATGACAAAGTATATATCGACAAGACAGGCGCCATCAAGACAAAGAAGGAGTGGGTGTTGGAGACGGACGGTATCAATCTCAAGACTGTCATGTGCATCGATAGCGTCGACTTCACCCGTACGTATTCGAACAGCTGCGTCGAGGTTTTCAACGTGCTGGGTATTGAAGCAGCCCGCGCTGCTATTATGAAGGAGCTGCGTGGGGTCATCGAATTTGACGGTTCCTACGTCAACTACCGTCATCTTGCTCTCCTTTGCGATCTCATGACGCACCGAGGTTCTTTGATGGCAATCACCCGTCACGGTATCAATCGTGCTGACACCGGAGCACTCATGCGATGTTCATTCGAGGAGACTGTGGAAATCCTCATGGAAGCAGCTGCGGTCGGCGAGAAGGACGATTGTCATGGCATCGCCGAGAATGTTATGTTCGGCCAGCTAGCACCAATGGGCACTGGCGCCTTTGACGTGGCTCTCGATATTGATATGCTGAAGGACGCTATCGTTGATCATCGTCTGCCAGTTCAAAATATGCTAGCGGCACAGGCAGATGGTGGCATGACACCAGGACAAGTGGCAATGACGCCATATGATACCAACTCCCCTGCATGGTCAGAAGGCAGTTTCAAAGGTGAATCAGCCGCCTTTTCTCCTCTCGCTGTCAACGGCGGTGAGGATCCCGCAAACTTCTCTTTCCTTGGGTATGGGCAGAGTCCTCTTGGCGCCGGAGGCATGTCGCCTGCAGGGCCTGGGTACAGCCCCAGCTCTCCCAATACATACTCGCCGACATCGCCATATGTTCCACAATCACCGTTTGGCGGCGCTACATCACCTTTTGGCACATCTCCATATGCTACTTCTCCTTTCTACGACCGTGGAAGGGGACCAACATCGCCGACGTATTCGCCGACATCTCCCGCACTCAATCTCACGTCTCCAGGATATTCACCGACGAGCCCACGCTATTCTCCCACTTCTCCGTCGTTCTCTCCCACATCGCCGCGCTACAGTCCACAATCTCCATCATTCTCACCCACGTCACCGAGATACTCTCCCACTAGTCCCTCCTTTAGCCCTGCTTCTCCCCGTTGTAAGTTGATTTTTCTCGTACCTCAACCTTTGACTGATGTCTTACTTTTCTCAGACTCGCCAAGTAAGTACGGGTGTTATTCATGTATGATGTGTACTGATGATCAATTGTACCACTCCACTCACGCCCACAGCTTGTACGTATTCATATTTTTCATTGACAATTACGTATTAAGTTCTACTCCAGCGCCCGCTCAAATGTCGCCATCCTCACCAAAGTATTCTCCCACATCACCAGTGTCCCCTTCGTCTCCAAAATACTGTAGGTCGCCCAATTCATACCAAAGTCAACCAGCTCACAATTTCTAGCTCCCACATCCCCCACGTACTCCCCAGCTTGTGAGTGCTCTCACCTTATCGTATTTCCACAGCCACTGACCCCAAATCCCTCACAGCACCGGCATATTGTAAGACTCTTCTCCGTAACCTAACCATCGCTAACCTCTTTTTAGCCCCTGCTTCTCCCGCCTATAGCCCGACGTCACCCCAGTGGTCGCCTTCGAGTCCGGCACAGAACGGCCGTAGTCACTCGTACAGCACATCACCATCCTGGGAGTAAGATCACTGCTCCATGTCTGGTGGCGTTATTATCTAGCACGTTTCTTTCCTGTCAAGCACTCCATGTAGATTAAGCACATTTTACTATACAGAGCTAGATATGCCTATTTCTCTCATGATAAACATATTCATTGAAATTTGAACGAGCCTTGCAGCAATGCGGTATGTATGTGAATACTAAACATGTAAGTCAGCATATGTAAAAACCCATTGTTGGGCGATGGCATGGCGACATGTATATATAAAAAAGTCACTGATCTCGCTCTCAAATCAACTCAAAAAGCGTCCAAAAAAAGAAATATCAAATGTACGTACGTAGCAGAGCTAGAAGCTATTTGCAAAAGAGTGAGTTTGGTTGTGGGTGGTGGGTTGTGATGTGGGCAACGCCGGCGTGCGCGCATAGTATTACACGTGAGGGTATATGAGAGAGACAAGTGAAGTGAAGTGAAACGGAGACTGGAGTGCAAGTAACACGTGGACGGTGTGATCCGACAGCTTTAATGAGGTACTGTACTTGTGCAGCGCAGCCGCTTGTAAAAAATGCGAATGCTCTTCATGCTGAGTTTTTAGATCAGGGGGGGATAGAAGTGGTTGTGTAAGGAAACGAAACGTAGGCAAACGGCATCGGAGAAAGAAGAAGAGAGAAGCGAGAGAGAAGACAAAAGCGAGCCAAAAATTCGAACCGAGCAAGCACCGGTATCAGCAACTCTACGGCAACAAACCGCTCAGATGAAAAATTGGGTACTGCAGTCATTCATCAGTGAGCATGCCACAAAAAAAAGGCAAAGAACGCACTGCATCCGACTACAAGCATGCACTTCCATCTCCTCCATCTTGTACGAATTGAGCTCCTCTTTAATGCGCTGCGCCAATGCAGGCGTCAATCGACTCCACGTCGCAGGCTCGCTGCGACGATCATAAACAGCCGATGAAAAGGTATCATAAACTGACAGATTATTTGCAAACACGAGCCTTTTGGCAGGCGTCGTCGCTGAGCGGTGCGTCAGCGTCAGTGGGGTGTTAGGGATCGTGGATAGGGCTGGGGCGGATGAGTTGGAGAGGGTGAACATGCTCTTTTCTTTCTCTGCTTGATCGTTAGATGTGTTTGATCTAGTGTGGAGAGGCATACCTGGTGCGTTACCTGAATGTGAGGGGTGTCGATGCAGCCCATCGATATGGTCTGGATCGGGAGAGGGTATCCGGGCGAGTGGACTCAACTCGGATGACTGCGCCGGATGCGAATTATATGAATTCGAGCGTACGCGGATAGCCGGATTCGCCATGCTCTCGCCATTATACACCTCTTGCGAGTAATTATCAGCGCCTAGGAAGAGATGAGCGTAAACAGTGTCCGAACTACTCCACACGCACCTTTAAGGATACCCTTTGCAGGCGTCCTGTGACGTTCGACGCTGCGCCTGATATTGGTCGCCCAAGCGACGACTTCCTCGTCTTCGCCCGCTACACGAATAGTAACGTCCTCTTCCCCGTCCTCATCCCAGACTTCATCGTCGTCCCAGCCGTCCGATATGAAGTTCTGTCCAGGCTGTGGTACATACGCGTGTCCATCATCACTCTCGTCATCCTCTTCGACCAACACCCTCGTTCCATCCTCATTCACCCTAGCACTCGACTCACCAGCCCTTGTAGTGGTATTCTTCTCCCACGCAGGAGGGACATGGGTCCCATTCGCCTGAGGCTGCACCGGTTCCACACGAACCTTTGCAACAGCAGCCTCGGCATTACTCTTGAGGGTATGCTCCCAAGCGAGTGTAGCAGCAGGACTCAACCCGCTCATCTCCGGACCGCTCCATTCGCCACGATCAAGCTCGGCAACAGCGTGCGAAAGGGCAGGAGCGACAATATCGCCTTTTGCATCCTTTTCCTTTTTCTTTTTCTTCTTGCCGTTGTCCTCGGAACCTTCAGAAGACTTGTTCTTGTCTTTGAAGAGGGAAGTTATTCCTGCGAGGCTGTTCCGCCTTGCGAGTTTCCCGATGGAGCCGATCTTGCGGATGACGACGGAAGCAGAGGACATTGTGGATGAAAGAGATATGTTGTCGGTGCTCGCGTTGAGGCGGGAGTTGAACAAGGACGCAGCGCGACCTTTTTTCTTGGTCTGAACTGTGGCGGTGCTGGCGGCGTCAGCATCTGGGAGGGTTGCGGGAGGGTCTTTGGTTGTGCTTCCACCTGCAGAGGAAGGTTCTTCCTCTTCTTGCAATGCTTGAGCGGCATTGAGACTGAGTGCACGACGGAGTCTGCCCTTAATGCCGCCTGTTTTTCCACCGATGGAAGTGCCTTCGAGGATAGCGGCGAGATCGGAGTCATCACGTGACATGCGCTTTTCCGCAGCCGTATATGTGCCTTGACTGAGCGGGGACGGCCGGGCGGGGCGAGCATGGGAAGAAGATGAAGCGGTTGCGGGAGTTGTGGCCGTGGAAGTGGAACTCCTGGAGGATGCGGTAGTTACGGAAGGACGCAGAGCTGAAGAATTTGTAGATGAGGAAGAGGTTGTTCGGTGGTGTGGATGGGGAGATTTAGTGGATGAACCGCTACCTGTACGAGGGCGTGGATTTTCTGTTGTTGTTGTTGGGATCCTTGGACGAGATGGGACTTGACCCTGACTTGTTGTGCGTTGGCGTGATGCTCCGCCGTGAGAGGAAGAAGAATTGACAGAAGTTGTGGAAGCGGAGGCTTCACCGCGTGGATATGGAGGTTGTGGACGCCATTCCGGAATATCTTGTGGACGGGTATTATTGTTTGGACGGCGATATGGATGAAAGCCATTATATTGAGCTGCATCTGATGAAAGAGAACGTTGAGATTGAGGGGGAGGAGGGAAATTCTGATGATGAGAATGGGGAGGGGGTGTTCCACTTGGAAAAGGGGGGAATAACTGGGAGGGGTTAAAGTAGTCAGTTGGTTGAGGACGTTGATGAGGATGGATTTGTTGTTGTTGAGAATACATCATCTGCTGATATGCCCACTGAGCGAGTTGGGCATTTGCTTGAGGATCGAAATAAGGGTTTTGTTGTTGAAGATGAGGTTGTTGCTGTTGTTGTTGCTGTTGCTGTTGTTGGTAGTAAGAAGGGTAAAAGGGTTGAGCATTTGGACTTGGAGTCCAAGCGCCATGAGGCTGTTGAACTGGGTATGGATAAGGTTGGATTGGTATGTTAGACTGTTGTTCGTTTGATTGAGGGCGTGGATCCATTGTATCGCGAGGTGGGTGCCAATCTTGTGGTACGAGAACGGCCATGGGCAAACTGCAACAGCAGAAATTCTTGAATGATGATTGCTTTAGATTAGAAAAAAAAAAGCGATAAAAACGCAAACGCACAAGATTAAAGAAGCAAAGAAAAGTCAGTAACACGAGGACCCCCCTCCTTTCAAAAAAAAAAAAAGGTAAGAGTTCGGACAACGAATACCGCGACGACCAACAACAGCACAAGAACCAAATAGAACAAAACAATACTACGATGCACTCATCCATCGCTCGGTCAATTCAAACCCACGTGTCAATTCTTATCTCCTATACATTTATGCTCCTCGTCGCACATTGACCGGCTCCAGGGACACCGCTAGCTCGGCGTCCTACTCGGTACCCATCCTTATCTGAAGACAATGTTCTAATCAGTGCACCAGGCAGCCCTACCGGCCCGAATCAGCCTCTGCGATTACGTATGCAGCTGCTGTACCACATCCACATGTTGCTCTCCTCTTCCCTTCCTCATCCGACACAGGTCATGAGCCAACGCTATCAAATCTTCTGGACTGCAACTGGTATTGCTCTAACCGTTTTTCTACTTCAAGGCGCTATCACAACCCTCGTCAAAATATCCGAGACAGAAGGTTTATGGACAATCAGGTTCAATTTGGCCAGAAGGGAACATCTCTGGTGGGCAGCCATAGCCCTCGCTTTCGTCGCCTCCTTTAGCTCCATGGTCCTATCTTTCCTTGCCGGTAAGCGCCTGCTACAACCATCATGCCGTACATTTAATGTTCCTTCAGGCAATAACAACAATTCACTCGGAATCATATTGCTAGCAAGCGCATCATCTCTAGCCGTATTCCGCTATGCATGGCCTGCATGGCGTAATCGACACTATTGTTCTAATCGTTGGGCAGCATGGACTGGCCCGAGCCGCACAGGAATAGACGCATCTCTAGTACCCCTCATAGAAGGCAACGATCCCTGGCCCATCCTTAGCAAAGACGTCTCAGTCATGAGACAACACTCCGTCGACATCCATCTTCCCATCTTCAAATCCAATCTCATTACCGATGACCCCACAGACATCCTCAAAGCTACAAAGCGCCTCATAGACACCGTAACAGAAAAGCAGCCAGACGAGAAATCAAAGACGCCAATTAAACCCCTCGTCCCAAACAACAAAACAGGTCTCTATGCCCCTGTCCACCTTGACAAATCCGCTTCCCTCCTCTGGGGTTCCCATATCGGGTTCTCCCCCCGCGTCAGCCGCGGCATCCTCGCAGTCCCCCAACGCCTCCTCCAATCCTTCCCCCTCACATCCTCGGGGCACGACGGTCAACCCGTCTGCCTCGCACACGGTATCCTAGCGCGCAACAAAGGCCTCCAGCCACACACCTTCATCCTCGGTCTGAACCCCGGCAGACTCGAACAAAAATGCGTCCAATGGCCACGGCCGAGCAAAGTCTTACGCACGTACTACCGCGAAGAGATGAACGCAGCCTACGGAGGCCTAGGGCCTACATTCGTAGACGTAGCAACGGAACTTGCGCTCCTCCTAGCTGATTCGAGCCACAGTCTCATCGAAGACTGGCTTAGCTTGCGCATGGAACATCAAGATCTCGCATTGAACAACCAGCTTGCGCGTCTTGGTGCGAGCGATGAGGAACTGAAGATATTGTACCGCCTTTCGTACGCTGCGATGTTGGTTAGTTTGAGCGCGCATAGGAAGGGAAGAAAGTGGAGACCTGAAATGAAACTTTTTACGGCGTATTGGAAGAAGTGTAAGGGTGAGGTACCAGCGTGGATGGGTGAGGCTGCGGTTGTGGAGAGAATTGTGAAGGAGGAGAGTGGTGCAGGTGACACGGATCTGGATGCGTTGATCGAGGCAGTTTTGTATAAGATCGATACACCACGTTCTGTGTGAAGGAATACCTGCTTCAATTTAATATTAATATTGTGACATAGTTCGCGAAGCGCTGATCAAGGCCTCGTCACGATAGGTATGGCTTATGTCATCCTGAACCTCTGAAGTGGAAACCCACTCGGCGGGTACAGACGGCAGTCAGTTGGTTAACGTATCCTCCAACCCGTCGAACGGAGCAATGGCGACGACCACGACCACGACTACGACAGTAGTAGTAGAGGAAGGCAAGCTCCTCAGCGAGTCCCTCAGCACCGTCAAAATCCAAGTCGGTCAGATGAAGCGACATTTGGTGAGTTTCCTGCGCAGCATAAGCATAATTCAACGCCCACACTTCATAATTCACTAACATCACATTGGTACAACGAACAGGATAACGATGATATAATGGACGCGCTGAAAAGCGCTAGCTTGATGCTAGCAGAACTCCGGACGTCATCCTTATCCCCAAAGCAATACTACGAACTCTGTGCGCACACATATTCCTCTTCCCCCCTTTTTAATCCTGAATTTTTGAGCGCAGACATGGCAGTGTTCGACGCCCTAAGACACCTCTCCAACTATCTCTACGACGCACACACGCAATCCCGACACCACCTCGCAGACCTCTACGAACTCGTTCAATATGCTGGGAACATCGTACCGAGGTTGTATCTCATGATCACTGTTGGCGCTGTGTACATGTCCATCTCGGATGCTCCTGTGAAGGAGATCATGAAGGATATGATGGAAATGTCTCGTGGGGTGCTACACCCCATACGAGGGCTCTTCTTAAGGCACTACCTAAGCGGGCAGACGAGAGACCATCTCCCTATCGGCATCGATCCAGGGTCCGTTCCCCATCCCATCCAAACACCAAAAACCGACACTAACATCCCCACAGACCCATAGGAAACCTCCAAGACTCCATCTCCTTCGTCCTAACCAACTTTATCGAAATGAACAAACTCTGGGTACGCCTCCAACACCAAGGCCACTCCCGCGACCGCGAAAAACGCGAGATGGAGCGACGCGACCTCCGTATCCTCGTCGGCACCAACCTCGTCCGACTCTCCCAACTTGACGGCGTTGACCTCGAGATGTACAAACACACCATCCTCCCCGCTATCTTGGAACAAGTCGTTAATTGTAAAGATGTAATTGCGCAGGAGTATTTGATGGAGGTCGTTATTCAGGTACGGGTGATGGATTGATGGATTGATTGGGAGGCATCATCGTGGAAGACCTTGCTGACTGACCATCAATAGGTATTCACGGACGAATTCCATTTACATACCCTCGGCCCGTTCCTATCAGCTACAGCTCAACTTCATCCAAAAGTGAACATCAAGTTGATTGTGATTGCGCTCATCGACCGGTTGGCTGCGTATGCTGCTCGCGAGGCTGAGAGTGAAGATCCCGATGAGACAAAACGCCAGGAAGAAGCTGCTGCTCGGAGACTTGCGGATAAGGTGAAAATTCAGAAGGCTCGGGTAAGGGAGAATGGTACTGCGGTAGCTGCACCGGCCTCAGCGGAGGATGCTTGGGATAGTGCTGTTGCTGATACGGAGAAAAGCATGGCTGAGATGGAGGTTGGTGCTGGAACGGCTACAGCCACGAATGGCGTTTCGGCAGAGGAGCACGATGGATCGCCTGTTCGGAAATTCAGGGGTGTTCCAGAGAACGTCCGGTTGTTTGAGGTGTTTTGGAAGCAAGTGGTGGAGCTTATCAAAGTGAGTTTCAAACAATGCCACCATGCGCGATTCTCATTCGTCTTTTGAAGGCGCGGCCGGACTTGTCGATACAGGATATCACCGCACTGCTTGTATCCCTCACCAATCTATCGTTAAGTTGTTATCCCGATAGGCTAGAATATGTGGACCAAATCCTTGGTTTTGCGCATGAGAAAATCAAGGAGTTCTCAGAAAGGCATGTTGCGCGTCTTCATAACAACTCGCACTAACCAAGTTCTCCAGCCCAGACCTCCATGCACCACAGACAGCTGCAAACCTCGCCGCTCTCCTAGTAGCACCCATAAATTCTTACCAATCCGTCCTCACAGTCCTCGCAATTCCCCACTACGTCCCCCTGCTCTCCCAGCAACTATTCTCGACAAGACGGTCAATCGCTAATTCCGTAATTTCGAGCGTACTCAAGAACGAAACGATCATTGAGATGCCGGAGGATGTGGATGGGGTCCTGGAGCTTTGTCATGTTTTGATCAAGGATCAGACCGATTCTGCTGCATCACAAGGTAGCGCTGGTGCCAAGGAAATCAGGAGACAGGGACCGTATCATACAGAGAGGGAGGATCTAGCGGAGGAACAAGGTTGGGTTGCACGGATGGTGCATCTGTTCCGCGCAGATTCGCTGGATATCCAATTTGATGTGCGAATCTTCTCTGCGGGGGTATTTCCTAGACTGATGTGCTGTACAGCTGTTACAAATGGCTCGGAAACATCTCGAAGCTGGTGGCGAGCGGATGCGCTATACGTTCCCTGCGCTCATCACTTCCAGCATCAAGTTATGTAGACGGTATAAAAACTGTGAACATCTTGTATGTCGTCTTGTTTTTTGTGTTCCGCTGCTTACCATTCGCAGGAGGAAGGCTGGCAAGACAAGGTCAACACGATACTCAAATTCGCTCGGCAATGCACCTCCATCCTTGCCACCCAGGTCGACGCCCCAGCACTCGCATTGAGGTTATTCCTCCTCGCAGCACAAATCGCGTCGGAATGCGGCTCTGGATTCGAAGATCTCGCCTACGATTTCTACGTGCAAGCTTTCTCAGTATACGAAGACAGTATTTCAGAAAGCAGAGCGCAGCTTGCTGCTATCACCCTTATCATCGGTACCCTTCAAGGCGCGAGGGTGTTTAATATCGACGGGTATGATACGCTAATAACGAAGGCTGCGTTGCATGGTGCGAGGTTGTTGAAGAAACAACATCAGGCGACAGCAGTACATGCCGCTAGCCATCTGTGGTGGCAAGAGCCTGTGTTAGAGGAGAGCGAGGCCGATGGGCCTGCTGTGAAGGAGTCTGAGAAGGCTGCTTTTCCCCCTAGAGAGGATGGTGAAGGTGTTAAAGCGGTTCGTAGCTTTCACTCCTTACTGAGATGCGATGACTGATGGATGGCGTTCAGTACCCGCATCAGGACAGTAAACGTGTACTGGAATGCCTTCAGAAATCACTACGCATAGCAAATTCTGCCACGGAGGAGATAGTTACCGTCCAACTTTACTGCGATACGCTTGATCAATATTTGTATTATTTCGACCGGGGCGCGCCTGCAGTGAGTACATGTTGTTTCAGCAGCAACAACAACATATTCACGTTCGAATCAGATCGCACCTAAATTTATAGTATCACTTGTTGAACTCATCGCCTCCTCCATTGACACGATCACATCGCCATCCTCATCCTCCTCGTATCTCCACCCCTCACAAAGAATAGAAGGCGTCGCGACGCCCGAAGTGATCACTCGACACTTCCGCAATACCCTCGCATACATCCACGCAAAGAAAACGGCGGAGAACCCAGGACAATGGGATGAAGTCGATGTAGTGGGGGCGTTCCTAAAGATGGGCATCACGCGGTAGCGGCTGCGTGTTCCTTTGATGTGGTTCGTTTGTACGTCGCGGTACTTACTTATCTTAATGCCAGGTTGAACGTTGACTTTGGTTGCGACTCGCGAGTATGCTTTGTTCTAACTTGCTGTTGTTGTCGTTTTTAGTTAGTGTGTACTTATGACGACTGTTTCTGGTGCTTTTGACTTGAAGCATCGTGGATTTGTATATAATACCTTTTACTTTCGTGGGGGCGCCTTTGAAAATCTGCTCGTATGTCCGAACTTCGAATCTGCGATGAACGGTGAATGATTTTGCGAGAAGCGATGCATATGTCTTACGTAACACGATAAACTTTGTTTCGTGACTTTGTATGCATATTGATCCACTCCATATCATGTCAAAACGCAAAAATCAAGCCGACCACGAAGATTCCGACAGTGACTTGGAAGACGTATGATTCCATGAGGCTTCCCGTGATAACCTATAATGACCAGCTCTCAGTAGACTCCGACGTTCATCGATGTAGACTTCGACTTTTTTAACTTCAATACAACGAACGACTACCATGCCATCAAGCGTCTTCTCGACCAGCTCTTTGGTGTAGACGCTGAAGGTCTCAGCACGCACGCTCTTGCAGACCTGGTGCTTTCACAGCCCGATATAGGGACCACGATCAAGACTGATGGAGAGGAGAGCAGCCCATATGCGTTCTTGAGTGTTTTAAATATCGGCGTGCATAACGTGAGTATCGTTTCTTTTTAATCAGGTGTTTTTAAAGCAAGGACTGTTTTCAGGACAACGTGTCGATAAAGTCGCTCGTAGAGTACATTCTGGCAAAATCGAAAGGAGACGATGCATTCCACCAATCACTATCGACAATACTGCGTGATCCGCAGTGTCAAGTTGGACTCGTTCTATGCGAGAGGCTGATCAACATGCCTGTGCCGGTGATACCTCCCATGTACCGTATGCTCGTGGATGAGCTCAAGGATGCAGTTGAAGAGGTGAGTCGCCAGTTTTTAGAAAGTTCCTATATGAACCGTGGGTCTTGTGGTTGCCCCCTCGTAGAACGAACCCTTCAATTTCACCCACCTGATTTTCATATCACGTGTATACAAGCTTACACCAGAGGAGGAGGAAGCGATGACTATCACCCAACAACAATCAGGGAAAGCGTCAAAAAGACAAAAATCTCAAAACTCGAACGGGGAAACGAACGACAGAAGCCCGGACGGAGTGTATCCGTTCCACCCAGAGGACGAGGAAATTCGAAAGGTGCGCTTCTCGATTGACGTGCTTTAGATTGATCTCACCCGGTCTCCTAGTTTGCCTCTCATCATCTGATTTTTCCGTATTCGAATGCCCAGCCACGCAATGCGGAGTCATTTGGATTAGATACGGCTGGACGGTTGATGCTTGTGCCAGCAGCGCAGCTTACAGAGCTGGCAAGAGTACTCGGGGATGTATTTCAGCCACCTGGAAATGTGTAATGCTGCCATTCTTTTCCCTCTCATTGGGTGACTGTTCGGAATATATTTGATTGTGAAGACACGAGTCGTTATTATCTGCTCTCACTGTTTGTTCTCATCTGCTTTGCCCGATGTTGATGCCGAGGAGGTGCTCGGGGTCATAGTTACATTTTGTTTTTTTAACAATCTTAGTGCACACCTGCAGGTACACTAACGCGAAGGCAGGGAAAGTGGCATAATGGCAGAAAATGAATTCGAGGTTTTACTGATGGACCTTGTCGCCAAATTAGTAGTTTGCTGATGTACTAACTATGATATGTGCACTGGGGATGGTAGGTGAAATGGACCGTAACGAATATGGCATAACCCGTAGTACCATGCGATTACAATATCTCTAGTTGCTTGACAATTATGTTCTGAATAGAAGACGTGTCTCTGACTTGTGCAATGATATCGCCATCCGACGCGATTCTCTTATATCTCCCACCGTGTTGCGGATCTAGCAACAACGCATTGAATTGCTGCCCAAGGCGAACAATCAATCGCAACGCTCGTGATTGAGAGTCCTGACCAACGGTCTCATTTTCTCCAAGAAACCCGTCGGATAGGTCCTGTGAAGCCGACTGGGGAACCAACTCATCTTCAACACTCTGCGTTTCATCTGCCAATTCAGGCAGCTCGAGGAGATGGGGATTCCACGGGCGGACAAGCAAGACCTTCTTCCGATGGATGGGTCGTGTTGACGAAAATGGACTGAGCCTCTCCCTCGTTTTGATCGAGAGATCATGCAGCCCATCTGCCTTGATTTCATACGTAAAGTATGACTGTTCGTCTTGAGCATGGCCCTGTCTGAGTCCGACTTCTGTGACACAGAATACCATGCATGGTAGGTACAGCCGGCGCTGCGCAAAACGGGGAGGGGGTTGTTCGCTGAGTAGGGTGTAAAGCTCCGAAGCGGAACCTACAGCTACAGTATTTCGCAGTGAGGGGATCAAAGTCCGAATTTCCTCTTCGGCAAGAGGTAGCAGCTCGCATGGTGGGGTTTCGTACGATATGATATCAGCTGGGAGACAACTATTGAACTCCGATGATTTCCCAACCCAATCAAGGACACTGATGTCACCCGACTGAGCCACGATCTCTTGCAAGAGCCGCCCGAGCGCATGTTGCTTCTTCTCGCCATAATCAACAGATAGGCGGACGCCGAAGATACCAAACAACGAGTATGCAATATCTTCCTGCCGCGTGGTAGCACGCGTCGATGCCCATTTGAGTTTATCTCGGGCACTTCTCATATCTGGATGGAAGTCGACGAGGGCCTGTGGATCTATACCAGTCGCACCCCCCAACTCGTCCATGATCGCAGCGGACTCTTTGTGGTTGTACGAGTGGTCGTCGAGATATAGGGTCCAATCCTGCTGATAAAAGAGAATGACTTTGGGAGCCAGGAACTCTTGAACCGTCCATCCTCGCTTGTTCCATTCACTTTTCGCCAGTGCGCCATACTTGGACGAAGGCGGAACATCCGAAAGGTAGACAATCGTGAGCGCTGAGTGGCGATACCAGACGAACATGGAATTGAGGGATTCTTGGAGTTCAGCGTTGCTATGCTTGTCGATGCAGCATGTATCCATCCATGCCCAGTAATACCCCGCGTTACGAACGACTTCGCAAAACTTCTGCAACTTCATAACAGTTCCAACTGGGTCCAAATTGTATACGACTTTGTCCTTGATTTCGTGCAGCATCAGCTCTTTTCCTTCCCACCTATGCGATAGCATGACATGGCGGAAGTACTTCTCCACCCCTTCTTTGATGAGCTCTGTTCGAAGTTCCCCATGCTTCATTGTTAATAACAAGAACTTGTTGTACTCCGGGCTCATGCTGAAGGCGTTTATCTGTGCATCCCGATCGCATAAGAGCCCGGTTGTGGTGTTGAGTAGGCGAAGCGGTGCATTTTCGAGTTGAGCGTCAATAACTGTTCGAATAGCACGTTGTGCTTCTGATCGTTCAAAATACAGTTGGCGCTGCTCTGGATAAAGAGTTGAGCTTGTTCACGGGTATGTTATTTGGCACTTACTCCATATTTCCGGTTCGGGAGCGGTGTCCAACTTGGAAAGCATGATTTCAAAGGCCTCGATGGCTGTATCATAGTGCTGTGCACCATAAAGCGCTGTATATTTCAACTCGTATCCAACATACGACGAACGGTCGAGTTCGATTACCTATGTATCACAAAAATGAGCATCGACTAATAAACAAGAGATATTCTTGCACTTTTTGTGCATCGAGAAGGGCATCTTCCCATAGCTCTTTTTTCAACTTTGCCTGGCTGCGTTTTACAAAGAGAGTATCGCTTGCGGGGGCCAGGTCAATCGCCGCCGAGTATGAGATGATAGCTTTGTCGTAATCCCTCGCGCTGAACGCGATGTCTCCGTCGACAGCGTAGAGGGTACTGCACTGTTGCTTGAAAGCTGCGTGGAATGCAGGTGAGAATTGTAGCCTGAGTGATATTACAGAAAACTTGCTAGTGGACCAATCAAGCCAGCTGGTTTTTGTACTTTCGTCACTATTATCCATCATGTATTTGTGTGCTTCGAGGGCTTCTCTAAGTCTACGTGCCTGCAAGAGTGCATGACACCGATTCTGATTTGCGGTTTGCCACAAAAACTTGAGGTTCCACCCGAAGAGCTGCAAAAATTAGTTGAGCATGAAAAATATTTGATCTTATCATAACAACGTACCACCACAAAGTCCTCGTATTTGGAATGAATGGCTAATCTAGATGAGGAACTGCTGGCGTTAACAGCGGCGGCGAAATAATCGGCAGCTTCGTTATAACGCGCACCATCCAAGGCACGGATTCCAAGCTGAACACGTAGATACGCCTGGTGTGCGAAGTTCAAAAATCCAGTGTCAATACACGGACCTGAGCTTGATTAATCACATGATACTTACTTCAACAATCAAACACGCACGCGTGTCGGCATGCGGACAGGCTCTAGCTAGCTCTTGGATCGTTAGAAATGCTTCCTCGTGTTGATCTGCATTGAAAAGTGCGACAGCCTGAAAAAATAATAATGAGCACGGCATATGTCAGATAAATTTTACTCGCCTTGATTAAGAGAAGGGAATGATTGATTGTTAAATCGCCGTTCGTAAACATGGATGCGAGGTCAAATGCCCTGATTGCGTTCCACACTTGCTTTTTCCAGCAGAGAGCGATACCCTTAGAGATATAGCCTGTGAACGAGGGTTGGATGTCGACGGACTATGTCACGACCAAAATTAGCTTTCAGTAAGGTATAACCATAGGTCAGTCTATCCAACCTTGGAAGCATCATGAAGGGCGTGATCCCAGTTACCCTTTCGTGCCATAACAAATGAGCGATTGGCATAGGAGCTGTGGTTGTTGGCAACAGCGTCGATCTCTCGTGTTAGCAGCTCTTCAGCTTTAGACAAGTCCCCAGCTATGCATGCATTGCGTGCTATTGGATTTATAGTGAGCATCTAAGTGAAGAAGGTCACATCAAGTTATGAGTCAAGAGTAGACACACACCTTGATATCACACAATGCGTGCTCGGGTACGAGCCACTCTGAGATCTTACTGTCATCACCTCCGCTAAGGATGCGATTGCCATCCACGGAGAATGCGACGCAGCGCACCAAGTCAGAGTGCTTGAATATGGCGATGGTTTTTCGATCCCAGAGCCGCCAGAGGCGAACATGACGGTCTGTCGACGCGGAGGCGACCAGAGTACCATCAGAATTCACGGCAATGGCGTTGATGTCGTGGTCATGGCCTTCCCATGGATCACCCACCTGCTGCTTAGTAGATATATCCCATACCCGTATGGTTGGATCCGATTTACACCCGCCTGAGAGAAGTCGCGTGCCATCAGGCATCCAGGCGAGCGGCAAGCTGCTGCCTAGATAGAATTTGTGCATGTGATCCTTGAAGCTTGCTATGCGATCTCTTGTCCCTGGATTCCAAATTTGGATATCAGATTTTGTCGCAATGGCAAGTAGTTCGCCTGATGGTGAATACCGAACGCTGTAGACTGCTGAATTACAATTGATTGGATGTCCTTGTAGGTGCCACGTCTCCGTGTTCCACAACTTCGTCGTATGATCCATTGAACCAGTCGCCAACATCGTGCCGTCTGGCGAGAAATCCAGCGAACGGATGTACATGTATTCGGAGTGGGCTTTTATAGCAGGGGTGAGAGATTTGCCAGTGTCTCTGTCCCAGACAATGACCTCTCCGTTGCTAGCGCTGGCGATCAGTTGTCTGTCTTTTGATGCTGCTGTTGCCACTGCCCGCACTCGGCCACGGTGTCCCTCCATCTTCTTCATCACAGTGCGATCCTTCAAGTCCCACAGACGAATCGTCCTGCCCGCTGAGCCCGTCACCATATGTTTTCTATCAGGGAAGACTACGAGTGCGAGTACGATATCAGTATTCTCATAATCTTCAAATGTGTGAACAGGTTTGGTGATTGGAATGGTGGGCTGCTCTGCTTCTTCTGCCATTGTGGTAAGCGCGATGGTGTTGAGCACGGACGATAAGCACTGTGGGTATAAGCATGATATACATGGTATTTTATCCCTTTCGCAGCGCTAAACTGTATCATACGTACAGCCATGAGGCTGTTTCCCTTCTCGTCGGGAAGACTGGAACCTCTATGGCGCTTAGCTTGATTGGTCGTGATCATTAAATAATTTGAGAGGGCAGCGTTGTGTCTTCCGCCATTTCTCGTGGAGGTTGATGGTATTGGAGGTGGTTGAGTTGCAGAGATTGTGACTCTACTGCAAGCTGCAGAGGTGTATACATTCGGCGTCTTTGTATTGTTCCACACTGTATACCCGAAGCTTTCAATTTCAAATGCAATGCTTGAGAACGTGCATTACGAAAAGAGTTCACAGTGGTACCTGATACCCTGTTAGACCCCCGACTCTGCCCAACTTCACGTACGTGCGTTACGGACTGTGACGTTGACATTGATACCGGCTAACGCCAGCCTGATTCTGATATATAGAACCCAACTCCGAATTTCTTATCATTCTTCCACCCGGACCATTGGAAAGGAGACACAGATGCAAGTTATCGACCCACGGGATACTCGCCGTTTCAAGCACACCCGCATCGGTGTATGGGATGTCTACGAGGAACGCCGGGCTAAATATTACATACCAGGCTCATCAATAAGGGAGACATATGGCAAGATAATCGAGAGCATACCTTATGTAGTGCAAATGTTGAGGGATGTACTCAGTATCAGACGAAGCTGGCTCCTCCTATCTGCATTCTTTGTTGTAGAAGTCTTATCCTCCCTTGTACCCGCCATTTCCATATGGTAAGTCACGACCTTGCTCTAGGCGTCTGTCTGCACATCATAGATTCTGCGCAGGTATTCTGGACAACTTCTCCGTCTGGTAATTCTCTTTTCTTCCATCTACATTGTTAGTCGCTCACTTATTTCGCACCTAGGTAGAGACCGCAATGGAGACACGTACTGTGAACACAACAGCTCTCATTCATGTTGCGGTAGGACACCTTACATGCCAAGTCACGACGCGCCTTCTCCATTACGCCCGAAACACTATAGTTATTCCCATGAATATTTCCATTAAACGATTCTATGCTGAGCGCGTATTGCACGAAGTGGTGCGCCTCGACCTGCCTACTTATGAAGATTCGAACATCTCGAGGCAGTTCGCATCCGCGTTGTCCTCTTCAGGCAGTAGCATAGCTTGGAAAGCTATTCAGGCATCGACGAGCTCCGCAATGACAGTTATCAGTGTGGTCTTTCAGTTGTCGATTTTGTTTACAATCCTGTGGGAGCAACAGGATGGCTTCCTCCTGATAGTTCTTGGCTCTTCACGATCTATATTCCAGTGGTACAGCACACAAAAATCAATGGCCAGACCTTCAGGTAGGTCAATGATTGATGTTATGAACATTCATCTGAGCCACATGTAGTTTGGGGTGCGAACACAACCAACAAAGATTATATTCGGATGCGAGGCCTGAAGGGCCTCTGTGATGCTCTGTCACACCGAAAAGAGCTTGTCGCAGGCAACCTCGGCGAATATATTACCGAACGTATGTCAACATACCTCGTTGGACAAACTCCACTTTGACACATCCCGATCCTAGAATATCACGAATTGGCTCAGAGCATTGGTGATGATGCAGGTGACTTCTTTGACTTGCATAAGTTGCATTTTATGAAGAAACATCTGGGTTTTATGTCTATTCTCAATGGTGTGATGCATGAGCTGCCTCAGGTACTCGTGATTGACATATGAATTCGATAAAGCTGACCGAATCAACCAGATCATCTTGATCCTGCGCGTCATTCAAAAACCAATGACGTTGCCCCTCGCCTTGGCATCACTCTACCTTATCGATCGTACCTCTAGTTCGTTAATTTTCGAAAACTTCTCGCCGTACCAAAGTGGCACTTTGGTGGCGCAGCTTGCCGATGTGCGCGCGCTATATGAGGTCAAGAATGTGCAGAATAAGGTAGTGGATGGCAGGGAATCGTTCCCCGAGAACATGCAGTCTCTCAAGAGTGGTATTCCTGTTGAGTTCAGGTTTGTTTGTTTTCGCTGCTCTATACATGCGTTCTTGAAGCATGTATATCAGGAATGTTTCGTTCCGGTACCCTGGTGCAGAGAAGTATGCTCTCCGAGATGTATCATTCAAAATTGGAGCTGGTCAACTTTGCGTAAGTAACCTTACACCGGTGACGTTCTCTAAGTGTGATTGCAGGTCATTGTTGGCACGAACGGTTCTGGAAAGAGCACAATCTTGAAACTCGTCTCCCGCATTTACGACCCGACAGAAGGAACCATTCTCATCGACGATCGCGACATCAAAACACTCAAACTGGCCGACCTCCGCAATGCCATGTCCATCCTCTTCCAAGACTACACACATTTCCCCCTCTCGGTGAGGCCTTCCCACACATCCTGGAGGCAACATACCTAACTCGCATGCAGATACACGAGAACATTGCACTTGGCAACCCTACACTCGCCAATGATGGTGACAAGGTCCGCGAAGCCGCCCGTCTCGCCAGCGCAGAAGAATTCATCGACGACCTCCCTGGCGGATTCAACACCTACATCAAACGCGTCGACGAAGGCCACATCATGGATCCCATAACCCATGGGGATTTTATCGACCCTCCCTCTACGCATAGCACTGGGGATCACCATGTCACCATTTCAGGCCTCAGCGGCGGGCAGATGCAGCGGCTTGCAGTGTATGAGACTACGTCTCGACCTTCCAGGGGATGTGTGCTGAATTTTTGACTAGCTCCCGCACATTCATGCGCTCATTTATCTCTGGGTCAGACTCTTCTGTTGGTATGATGCTATTTGACGAGCCGAGCGCCGCCCTGGACCCCAAGGCTGAATATGGTGCGCTTTCTTATTTCTTTGCCAAGTTTAATATTCTTATTGGAATTAGATCTCTTCGATACCCTACGAGAGTGGAGGGGCGAAAAGACCCTGATATTCTCTACTCACCGGTTTGGGAACCTCACCCGACATGCGGACCTTATCTTGTGATTTTTGGGCTCGCCGAACACCAAAGCTTGCGCTGACATGGCCATTACAGGTATCTCGATGAATCTGTTCAGGAAGAGGGCACACACGACGAACTGATGATGAAAGGGGGATCCTATGCCACCAATTGGAATCTGCAAGCGAGACCTTACATGTAGCGACCCGGAACTAGCAATGCGGTCATTTCGTGAGTTTGAATCTTTCTGGGCCGTAGTGTTCGCGCTGACGTGGTACATCATTCAGGAAGAAAGCAACGCATGACAAATCATTGGTGAGAGGTTCGTATTTTGGATCTACAACTTGAAGCGAAAGCTTTTATTTAATGACCATATACCATACATTGTACAATAACCTGCTATGATGATACTCCAAACTGGACTATAAACTTAAAGCTAGGATACATCATGTAGTTGGATTATTCATGATCCAGATGGATGTATCCTCATGGTGAATCCCAGATGTTACTTCTCCACAAGGATTCAGATGTGGAGGGATGGGTGCTACTGCGCTTCCCCTTGCTATGAAGCACTATATAGTTCGAAACATCCCACTGATGCTCCTCCACTAACGTGGGAGCCAGGGATCTAGCACTCGTGAATTCACTGATGAGTCTTGCGAGGGACCCTGGCTGATACGGCTGGGGTGCATGCGCTAATAAATACATCGCCCGAGCCGCGTCCACGTGGCACGTGCCCTGTTGTGCCACTTCCTGACAGCATATGGCACCAGAATATTTGAAGCTATTAGCATGCTGCACGTTGCGGTAGAGTGCTCGAGGAACTGAGCTCCGTGCATGATCTCACCGGCACTGTGTCCGAAGAGGACACTCGAAGATCCGGGTTTACCTTCACTGCTTGGTGATGCGGCTGCAACATTAACTTGAAGCGAAGATGCTAAGCAGAGTCTGGGGTCTTTTAATTGTGAATGACGTGAGGGTGTCCGGATTTTGTTTGCTCAGGCCCAGGGGTTTGAAGTCGTTCGAAGGAACCGAGAAAGATCCGAATGATAACAGGGTACCGAACACCGGACGCTCCGAGTATGCCACCTCAGTTATGTATTAAAGGCGGAGGGCAACGTACAATTTGAAAGCAACATCCATCAGTTCACCACAGCATCACATATCCTTACTTTCTGTCCATCTATCATGTCCAATTCGCCCAATGGCAGTGTTGAAATCTTAGGTGTAATCGCGAACCCGCTGACTGTGCTTAAAAAGACTATAGACGTATGTACACGCCTTTTCAGTCTTCAACGTTCAACTCCGAACATGATTGAATGACGTCCTCGTCACAACTCGTAGACTATACAGGAAATCATCCCTGGGGCAGACGATAACCTTAAGGAAAAGTTCCACTGGATCAACTGTTCCCTCAAGAATGTTACTCAATTCAACTACACGGTTGTAGACAACTATTTTTCCTCGGGCCGCTACTGGAAAGCACCCGAAGGCGATAAACCGTTCTCTTCAGCGACGTTCTCTTGCTGCAATGGCGATGGTGCCATCACAGGCACAACAGGGGGCACAGCGTTCAATCTGTGGCTTGACTCTCAGCAATCGTTCGATTTTGCAGTGGTGAGTACTAAGCATTCCCGTGAGGTCAGAACAAAAAGATTTATGGGTACAGGGCTGGACGGACCCGCTCGTAGGCTCGGTGAAAGCTGGAGTCGTGGAATCCGCCAAAGCCGAGGCCGGCTATGAGGCGGCCTCCAGTGAAGGAGGGCATATTCAGTCCAAGAACCTCTACATGGGAAAGGACGAGAAAGGCAACCCTGCGAAGTTCTATATTCAGGTCTCAGCTTCACCAGGCAAGGATCCTATGTCGTTTGTAGTACAGCAGGTTCCCTACGTGGCTGAGGATGGCCAGGACAAGTACTAGTACAAGCTTACCTTAGGAGGGGTTGTACGATCATGTACACAAAGTGAAGCTGGGCATTCAGGAAAAACAATGGCTTAGTAATTAGTGATCTTTCTCGATCAGATGTATTATATATATTGAATCAACGGGCACTAGTGACAGGCACTCGTATTGACGGAAGTTTAGGGCAAGCCGTAACCTCCAGCTCAATGCCCGGAGGACTCTGACAGCACGAAACTGACAGCTCGTACATGCAAAGAAACCTCGCTGATTACGTCTATCGACAGCTTGCCTCATAGACGAGCTGGTCACCAGCCAAATGTCACTACAGCTAACAGCGTGCCGCAGATAACCCCCTGGTACACAACTGTTGAGATAGTAGACGGGTTGTCAATGAGAAGTCTTGTTCTCGTCGAACGGCTTGAGTCGTATCAAGTGCAGTGATATGAGCAGTTAACCCTCTTGGTTTACCTATCTTGATCATCCACTCTTCTGCATTTTGTCGTGGTGCCGTTCATAGGCTCATCAACATCATGGTTAAGCTCTTCATGGCGAGTAACATAGCACCCCAATGCCTCGCTCCAAACATAGTCGTGAGACAAAATTCTGGTCAGAGTTTTGAATGCGGCAACGTTCGCAAAGGGCACGTTTGTTCGCGGATCTAAATACTTCGCAGGTGTCCCAGTGATCGGGCAAGCTCGAACAGGTCGACCTACAGCAAGAGTTAGGCAGTACACGCACAGAACGAAAAAAACCCACTCAATGGGCGTTGTTTCCCTGTGAACACACGGACTTCATCCCATTTGACCTCGTCGCCAAACATAGCTGACATGGTATCTTTCCATTGCGGTTTAGCTGCAGATGGATCTTGCGATAGCTCATGCACGACGTAGTTCTTGCAAACGTCGTCAACTCTTTCTTGCGTTAGAGGCGGAGCTGGTGGGGGCTGCACGGGATAGTAATAATATGATGATTGAGATGGTGTATTCGCAGATGGTATTGACGACTGCGGTTGTGATGTGGCAGCCAAGCCTTGTGATGCCGCGGGCGAACCTTCCGGCGCTGGAACGTATGCACGGAAGGGGGACTGGTAATTTTGTGTCCCGGAGTACGAAGTCCCTTGATGTGGATTGTAGATGAAACCGTACTGTGATGGATATGGAGCAGGCACCGGAGGTGTGACTTCGACTTTCACTTGTTCTTTCCGGCTAATCCATCGCAACACCGGACCTTTGAGGGCAGTTCGAACCACACGAGCACGCGCGCGTTTTTCTTCTTCCAGTTTGAGGTAATCTCGATGCTCAATAATATTTCCCTCCTCCGTGTCGAGGGCACGCGCGATAAGTTCATCCTGTGTCGGTGCCTTTGTGACTACTCTTGCTTTCTTCGGAATGGTAGCCTGCAGGAGGGACAGTGAAGCGCGTTGAGCATGAAGATATACGAGGGCTTACCCGCCTCTCCTCTGCATCCTTCATTCTGTTGACGGTCGCCGACGTATTCATGATTGTATGTGATCTCTGACTCTGCCGTTGCCTCGTACCACCCTCGATGACTTCTCCTGTCTCTGCGTTAACTGCGATACCAAGAGATACACGTCTCTTGAGCTTCTGAGCCTCCTTGTTAGATCTCTTCTCTGAAGTCCCCGTTTGGGGATGAAAAGTGACCCTCTGGCGAGCATGAGCAGCGGCGTTAGCTTTCTCCACCCTTACGCGCGCGCTCTAGATAAATGTGAGGACATTTGCAGGAAATTTGTTATGAATACATACCCTCCTCGCTCTCCTTTGCTCATCCTCCACAGCCTTTTCTCCGGTATCAACATCTTCAGCTGCCTCCTCGTCCGTGCTCGCGAAATCTGATTCAAAGACATCTTCCTCGTCTAGATGCAAGCGTAAGATATATACCATCAGTATTAAATGCATCACATCCACCTTTTTCATTGACAAAGTCGACGTCTTCCTCAGCTTCGTTGACTTCCTCGACGGCAAGCTCAGCGAGGGCGGCCTCCATCCTAAACATTTTCAGTAAAGGAACCAGCAAAATTATCATACAAACCTGTTCCCTGCCGTACTTCTCTTCGGCCGACGCGATACCAGAGTCTCCTCTTCAGCCATATTGGATGATGCAGTACCGCGCTTAGAGTGATGAACGTCTAAGGGATGGATGGGGCCACCAAGAAAGGAAGGAGGCCTTCGAATTCAACAGGAGCAAACAACCCACAGCCCAATCCGCGCCGTGGTTACATGCTAAATTTCGCTCTCAACTTCATTCAGGATGCCTCGGAAACCCAAGTTCATTCCAGGGCCTTCTCGCCTATCTGTCATATTGAAGGAGCTGAATGAGGAGCCGAGGTTATCCTTGACCGGTCTACGAGGGATAAGCTTGAAGCTGGCCGCAAGAAACGATCATTTCGGAGCACGGTAAGCTATTTTATAGACAACTCTAGTACACGCGTGCCTAAGACAGACCTAGGCATTTTGTCAAGAAAGAGCTCAGACGCATACGTTATGCCAACCCACAACTCAACGTGGAAGTCAGCAAACTTCCAAAACCTCTACAAGACAATTGGACACCGGAGATGGTCGTCGAGTTCGGTAACTCAATTTCTTCTGTTGAACTTCACGTTCTGACGCGCTTCTTTGTCCCTCTTATCACTGTTCCTCTTATCACTGTTCCTATCAAATGCACAGAGGACGGAGTCAAGACCACCATCGACATTTCCAATAAATGGTCTACATCTATTACCAAGGAACTAATGGACCTTGCTGGCGGTGATCGATGGAAAGAATACAAGGCTACTGCTCAAGCTGCTGGTCTGGCCATTCTTCCTGGCGAGGAGAAGGAACGCTTAGCAGCTGCCAAGAAACGGACACCGAAATTGAGTACCCATAACCCAGAGAATCTGGAAGCCATGGTGGAAAATATGTTATCATCACCTGAGCGCCCAAAGACTGGAGCTGCTGCCATACTACCCTAGCTTTATGATACTTTTCTTACTTCAGCTATTAGACGCATGCATGTGTCATCAAAAAAAAATGATCCTAAACTCATCATACTAGCGGAATTTACAGAGTGAACTGATCATCCAGCGAACCACCCAGCAATCAACACAACCATCCCAATTCCAAATATAACCGCCGACAGATCGTCAAGAATGGCGCCTCCCATCCGGATATAGCGCAAACCATTCGTAATGATGGATGGGAATGGAGGAGGCAAATGAGGCATAGCTAGCGCCAACAAAATCGGGGGCTGCACTTGGTTCTGAGCAAGTATAAGATTCAGTACAACATTGATTCGCAACCTAGAAAAACTTACGTTGCCCGTGTATATACGTATTGAGTGAAGCATAATTTGCACAGTCATGAAAGCCCACATGAACGGCTATACGTCGGTCAGCGATGATATTTTAAAGCGGCGCGGGACACTGACCACAAACTGCACCCCCCAGCCCTCGATGCTAGAGCTTCTCCAGGCGAGCTCTGCCCAACGTTTCCAGAAACTTTCCGAAAAGCCACCGCTGCGCTCGACTAATGTTTGGGGTTCTTTGAAAAGCACAAAAAATCCCAGAATGAGCCATGTGCATAGGATGTGCAGCAATGGCGTGAACTTCTGCACGACCGAGGGAGGCTTTGTAGGTGTGGGAGGAGTAGGTATTTTTCCGGTAGCGCCACCACGAGACGGGTCCATTTGTTGTAAGGAATCCATCATCGCAGCGAAAGGATCACCTGGAAGAGGTGCAGTTGTTCCGTTGGAGGCCGCAGCCGAAATCTGAGGCTGAGGAAATTGCGGAGAATTGGCTGCGCCACCCATGAGAGCTTGAAGGAACTGCCTTTGATGCTCTTCTGACCAAACGGATGGGTCGGGCGCTGCTCCGCCAAGGCCTGTATTTCCAAAAGAGTACGGGGACGGCATATCTGGGGGAGGAGGTATGCTTGGTGCCTCTCCCACAAAACTAGCAGCTGCAGTTCTTGGAGGAGTATCTACGGCACAAAATATTGATACTATCCGTGATGCGCCAAGTGAAAACACTCACCAGCATTCAAATATGCGGGAGCATCTTCTCCACGAGCGGTCGTCGTCAATTTCGACAGACGGTCAGTTCCTCTGCCGAGAATAGCTTTGCGACGAGCCTCTGCGCGAGCTGTAGCTGACATCGTGACGGTCGTTAGTTTAGCCTTGTTTGAATGCAGACAGTATGTTGTCTGCCTTTTTACAATTGACGCGGTAAGCAAAAACGTTGGGAGTGCGTAATATTAGGAAGCGGACCCTGCCCTGACACGTTTTAGGAATGAGGCTGATTTCTCCTCCGAAACACTGTTCATCTTGATTCTAACCATTTCGCTTTCTCGTCGACCATCATGTCTAGGCAAGATAAAGCCACGACTGAGAGAAATGCTAAAATTCTCAAAGATTTGGTCAAGCGATCAGACAATAAGGTCTGTGCAGATTGCAAGCGGAACGGTTAGTCTTGTTCCTATCGTCCATCTCGCAGCTTCTTAAATTACTCTCGAACCAGATCCTCGTTGGGCATCATGGAATTTGTGTGTTTCACATTTCCGCTTCTGCTCTAGCCTGACCATGCTTTCCAGAGGTGTCTTCCTGTGCATTCGCTGTTCAGGCATCCATCGTGGCATGGGAACGCATATCAGCCGCGTCAAGTCCGTCGATCTCGATATCTGGACACAGGAACAGATGGAGGTAATGTCATACCACTTGTATGCTAGTCTCACCACTTGCTCAACGTCATTTACTTCGCAGTCGATTCAGAAATGGGGGAATCGCCGTGCTAACTTGTACTGGGAATCCCATCTAAAGTCTGGACATGTCCCCCCAGACCAGTATGTGATCTTAGCCCTTCAGTCAAAACGCTAGCTCACGATTTGCCATAGCAAAATGGAGTCATTCATACGTTCGAAATATGAGTCTCGCAGATGGGCACTTGATGGACCCCCGCCGTCCGATCCATCGATTCTTGAGACTGAAACTTCGAATGGGCCTAGTTCACAAGCTGCTGAGCAACCGCCCCCTGCGGCTACGCAATCCTCACGCTCAGCGCATATAACAAATACCAGTATCTCTGGTGCAAGATCAGCATCTCCAATACTCCAGACCCACATCACAACACGCCAGCCTCAATCCCGCCAGTTGCTCTCCTCCGCAATTGCCGGCAGAGCAATCAACTCTGAACTCACTATCGTCACTTCTCCCACATCTGCTGCACCTCAACCAACATTGGCGCAGCCAGCCCCTCCATCTCAAGATGACCTATTCTCACTGGACTTCCATGCACCCGCTCAAAAGGTAGCTTCATCGCCGCCATCTAAAGATATGAAATCAGACATCATGTCCCTCTTTTCCTCTGCTCCCGCTGCTACCCCCAGTCATTCCAACCTGTCGACAGGTGCCGGTTCCAGTGCTTTTGGCACTTTTGCGTCACCTTCTCAGCCACAATCCGCATGGGATCAGCCTGGAAGCGCCCCTCAGGCCCAACCTCAGCCTACAAGCATGATGGGGACTAGCGGCACTGCTTTGTGGGGCGCTTCTTCTGGCTGGAACGCTACTCCTGTTACACCCTCCCAAAACACACTATGGGGGAGCTCAGTAATTCCTACGGCACAACAACCCCAGTCTCAGACGAACTCGTTTAACACAAATGATATCTGGGGATCGTCTGTCTCTGCACCCAGTAACGCCAACAACCCTTTGGGCACTTCTCAGGCGCACCCTGCGCCCAAGAAGGACGATGCGTTCGGAGATCTGTGGGGTGACTTTAAGTAGCATTGATTTTGCGCTAGATACAGCTTGATAGATGACTGTTCATTATACATTAGTCCCGTAGCCCTTGGTTAACTCGATGTCCTACGCCGGTATTAGTCTCGTCGAGGAGGAACCTAGCTATATCTTACCTGCTCAATAAGATCACGTGCGATGGGGTGGAATGAATTCTTGTGTTCTTGATACTTCTCGTGTGCCATCGCCTTGTTGACAGAAAACGCCGCCCTAAATATCGGCCGACAGAACTTCATCCGACCCTTTACCATCCCATCCTCTTCCCCAACAACCCAGCTCAAAGCTGCTGTAGCATATAGCTCCGACTTGGCAGATTTAGGATCGAGCAAAGCTACTTCGTAGAACCTCAGACGGAGCTCCGCATTAGGCGAATTAACCAGCCCGTAGAGGTCACCGAGGTCATCAATATGCGCTACTGGCAACGGGTTGAAGGATTGTAGTCGTTCAAGGAAAGCGCCTTATAAGACATGATCAGCACCAATAACCATAAGCGATACTCGTGCTCACCGATCTGGTTGGCGTCCATCCCACTGATATCGGCGGCGCTGAACTCAGATGTATTCTTGGTTTTGCTCCATCTCTCAGCAAGCTCGTAGGATTGTTGCGCGAGGGTCATGTCGTATTCCATGGGGACGGGAAGGGTCACGCCCGTTCCGAAAAGCCAAGCCTACGTCGACACAATCGTGAGTCAAGTGATCCGAAGGTGAAAAAGAATCAAACACTTGCGTCCCAATCAATGCTTTTGAGCGCTTCAAGTTCGTCATCCCCACCAAACCGCGTGTAATACCCAAAAAGATGGTCCTTCCACATCTGTGTGGTGATGCTTTTACCTATGAACGTTTTGACATAATCTTTCATGTATGGGAGGAACACATCTAAACCACCCAGCGTCCGTTCTGAAAGCCCAAACACGCTGTTAACGTCCTGCAGGGTATTTGGACTAAACAAGTACCAACCAATGTGGAGGAGGAAATTAGCCCCTTTGTCGTATGGCACCGTGCTATAGGCGTCGTCAGGATTCTCGCCCTTCTCAAATTCAATCTGCAATTTCTGATATTTCTTATTGCGCTGCTCGTAGAATTTGAGATCGTCATAAAGGTCCTTCGAACCGGACAGGAAAGCGAATCCGCGGTGAGCAGGGGAATGCAGTATCTGCTGGAGGAGGCGCTCGATATACGTCGTCCAACCTTCGTTAAGCCAAAAGTGTGAAGCGTCAGCGTGTCTGTGCAAGAATGCCAGTCAAAAAGAGGTAGGAGAGGAAGGAGGATGTTCTGACGTTATACCATTCCCAAAGTAAGAGTGTGTGATCTCGTGTAAGACGACATCCACCAATGTCCTGTCGCCAGTCAACAAAGCTAATCTTTGGTCAGAGACGCGTCAAGATAAGTCACGTGCACTAACTTGGCGTGACAAACGTCAAACATGCATTTTCCTGGATGTCCATCAGAATCTGACCCGGGAGATATAAGAGAACGCACCATGCCACCATAAGGGAATGCCGGAGGCAACACCAGGAGGTCGAACACGCCAAAGTTATACGGCATGCCAACGAGTTCTTCCTCTGCAGCCAAAAACCTGTGCAAAGAGTTCTCAAATGTCTCATCAATCCTAGTCCTCTGAAAAGAACCTTGTAGTGTCTTCCTTGAATTCCCACCAAGCATCCTTGATGATGTCCGGCTCGGCCCATACTCCGCTCGTCCAGTCTTTTCCTTCGAGCTTCTCGAATGCATGGTAGCAGAGATTTGCTGACGCAATTGCAATCAAGTAAGATGGTATGGGCACCGGCTGGATATCAAGGAGGTCAAGGCAAGGCTTAATAGTCCTGTTGAGCACCACGCACCTGGTTGTAAACGTAGGTGACTTCATCCTGCCCAACAATCTTCCCATCGTGTACAGGCCCTTCCGCAGGCGGAGACACTCGAATAGCAGACATGAGTGCAGGAAGCACGGACGTGATCTTCGCTTCATATGTCTACTGAAGATCTCAGTTACAAGTCAACTGAGCCATACCAACAATGACTGACAGCTTTCACGGATGGAGTATCTGAGTGTCGTACACTATTTAAGCTACTGTGGCATAATATATATCAAAATACTAAAACTTGCCTTGACATGGCAAGAGACCTCTTGCATAAATCGGTTGGCATTGACTGAACAGGTAAGGATGGGTCTTGCCATGCGTTTGTCTTTCCAAATATCCCAGCAACTTTAGCAGGAACGCGAAGCAAGAAGTTGTTCAATGAATACTGACGCTTTGTCGAGCCACTGCAATGCCTTGCATCCTGGCTCCGTTGTATTATACTCGATCGTCACTTTCACCGATGATCCTGGCTGCAGACCTGCAGGAAGTGGAATATACAGCGCAGAGCCCATGACTTCATGTTTCTCTCCCAGGGAGTACTGCAAGCTCAAACATCATGGCATTTTGAACCCGCACATCGAAGAAGAATGTCTGCGCACCTGAGCATCGCAAGACTCGCCCTCGACGTACACCCGCTTGATCACGACATCCGATGTGTCGAAGCTATATACATAAGTACTTGCCGCATGTCATGGATAGGTAACAAACACACATGACCTCCTTTAAGTCGCTCGTGTGCACGGTGAGCTCGTGCGTGATAGAGCCTTTGATCACTTTCTCATGGAAGTCAATCAACCAGTCGAGTGAGAAGTGCTTTGTGCTGATCCGACGATAGTTTGATTGAGAAGTTGGATCAGTAGTTTCGGCACTCATCATGATTGTTGCCACGATGTCGTAGTAAGCGAGAGAGATGGAGACGAGAAAGTTCCTATTCAAGCGTCCTTGCAAGAGTATATTTAACGACCGTTGCCTCGAGGCTCACGTAGCGTTAACCAAATGGAATATAAGCAAAATAAGACGAGAATAAGGGTTACAGGGCAGTACGGGCTGCATTAGGCAGGCAAACAGCGCCTCCGAGTCGTACCACTTTATCGTCAACTACGGAAGACTGAGTATTTTCTGTCTCGAAGTCCTATCGCGACTGACTCCAGTTCACATTTCGGTGCAGTCACAGGTTTGGGATAAGCAAGCACTAAAAAAGGTCCGTCATGATAAGATGACACAAATAGTCGGGATACACTATTAGGCAGGCAGTAACCATAGTGTCCTTCACAGGGCAAATGACATGGAAAAAGATACAGTCTCGTGTGACCAGCGACAACAACAGAGAGAAACATTAAATGTACTGACAGGCTGGGTAATGTACGTATTCGCAGAAACCGCATAAAATCATGGTGTGAATGTTCTTGCAAGCTCAAAGCGAAGCAATTTGTGACCGAGGAGGCCAATATAGTCGATCGTTAGTCATCTGTGAACGAGCCCAGCGCTTCCTCATGTGCTTCTAGAATAAAGGCCTCAGCATCTGCATCATCGAATCATGGAGGAACAAACCTTGGGAAACTGAATGTTTGAACTATCAGGACAGGAATTTTCATCGTCAGTCTCTCCGAGCTTGCGCTTCCTGGCCGGAATTTTGATACGGAGACCAGAGCAAACAATGTCGATCTAGTACAGCAGTTTAGTATGTTAAAGGGTCATATAATTTAGAGGACTCACGGGTGTTAAGAGGGGGGTGGAAGACGCGGAAGAAGCTAAGGATGATCATTTAGTCACGAAAAATGCTGCAAGTATTTCATCGGAGCCCACATGAACGTGAAGAGATCATTTCATCCATCTCGCACTCGGGTAATTCCTTGGTCCGAATGAGTGGCGCGCCCGGAGCAGACATGTCATTGTGCTCATGGCGGTACATATCGTCATGAAGGCTAGCAAGCGGTGGAATTCGAATGACAAGGCGCTTGTGAGGTTGGACGTAGGCATCAGGTGAAGATACGACGATGTCTGGAATCTCCAAGCCAAGTTCGTTGTGGGTTTCGGCAGTACGTGCAAATGATGAAAGCATAAGCGGCAATGGACTCGGAGTCGTATCGAGGACAGGCAAGGGCCTGACTGAAATTGCAGTCGAAGGACAACCCTTAGCCTTTGCTATATCAACGCGCAAGCCAGACCAGAAGGCACGTCGTTGTGCGTGATACGTGCGCGTGATTGTCATCCGACAGCGCAGTTGACAAGCGATCTGGCCGTAGCGCGCGTTGGCGTACCGTAGCCTGTAAATAAGGCCTGAGAGAGCTGCGTCGGATAGAGCGTTCTGGGAAGACATCATATAAGATGGCGTTATGTGAATAGAAGTTGATCAGAACGAGTGGCGCGTGATCGTAGAAGTAGGTGTTTGACGTGTCGGTGAGCGCAAAAAGAAGGTTAAAAAAGTATAGTAACAGTCCAGTAAGTCAGTAGCACGCCTGCGTGCACGGGAAAGTAAGGATTACGAAGAGGGTCCGAGATTTCATGGGTGAAAAAGCGTTCATATATATGCAGCGTCTAAGTGCATGCAGGGGCTCATACGTCAGATTAGCTTGGACTCGGCGTAAAAGAACAAAGAAGTGCCACTCATTTTGGTGGCCCTTTATTGTAATCTTCGGTGATATCTGACATGGGAGACGGGTCAAAGCAACCCATCGAAGTGTCCCATCAGATGCATTGATGATCATTAACCAGCCGACCTTTCTTCAGCGATAATTACGGCGGACGCAAACAGTGAAAACAAAGCAATCGTTAGGGTCCAGCAACTTGCATCGATACAGTGTGGGCGCGGTGATGAATGTAAGTTTGGACCGTCTTCGGCGTTGGGCGGTGACAAAAAGGTCTTGTTCTAAAACTGGTGAAAGTAATCTTTATTACACCCGACGCGACGACCCGCAAGCGCCGTATGCCGAGCCATGCTTTGTCCAAGCAGTGAGCGCTCCGTATCATTTCCAAGACGTAAAATTTTTAGTAAAAATCCTAAGCGCTAGGAATCAACTATAACTCGCAATCTTATGCCGACTCTCGCGCATAAAATTGGTGAGTTGATGAACTAGACTCAGATCCGAGACAGACGAGGTGACCAACTCCTAGGTTCTCTTATCTTTTGCCCTCACTGTGGCACTCTGCTCAGTCCTCCAAAAGACGACGAGAAAACAGTCATCTGCGAACAATGCAGCTATGAGGAGCCGGCATCATGTGTGTTACTGTGTACTCTCTGGGCCACACAGATCATCATATTGATCAACTGCAGCTTATGAGAATATTGAGATCACCACTCGGTCACATCCTGAAGCATTTCCTTCAGCGCTGAGACAGAAGCGCAAAACCCAGACGAAGGTTCATCAGGGTAAAGTCTTACCAAAGGTAACCAGCATCAACGAATTCGAGATGTTAAGATTTCCTTACACCACCAACAGGTGTCAGAAAAATGCCCGGCTTGCGGACATTTGGAAGCTTATTACGAAGAGAAACAGGCAAGGAAGACTGTCAATACCATTTACGCTAAAACTGAGTTGACCACGATCACAGATGCGCAGTGCTGATGAAGGTTCAACAATTTTATACACAGTGCGCTCACCCCCCTCATTCATTGACCCCATCTCATCAATTGTTGTTCAGTGCGTCTCTTGCAAACACGGCTGGCGTGTCAACAATTAGTGTAAACATTCTGGGTGGGGGTATCCAATGGTTGATTGGAATTGCTAGGACACGAATATGCCTACACGTTTACTCCAACACTACAGAACAGGGCGACAACTCCAAAACCACCGAGGACACTTGCTAATGATGCCACCGCGGTCTCGCGTAGCGGAAACGTGTCTTTTGGAAGGCTGTTGATATGGGTATAGGAACACGTATTACAGAAGTGTACAGCGGCGACTTACGTTGAAAAGTAGAATGCAAGAGCAAAAGTTGATGCCAAGAGAATTAGGGCTATAGACGGCAGGAGAGACGCGGGCACATAAGGTGAGAATGGAGGCAGTGATTTATGTAGGGCCTGTTCAGCGTGGTTGAGACGTGTCCAAATCTGACTATACGATAGATGTCAAGGACATACCTGAATTGCCTCGTAACTATCCATGACTGCAGCAGACATCTAGCACGAGTTGTGAAAGGATCTGAAACGAAGACCAAGCTGCTGCGGAGATTGCTGGTGGATGCACCAATATATGATTCTGGGCCATAGAGACTCGAGGCAAGCTGACGTATTGTTGCCGCCAAACACATGTCATCAAACCCATATCAACGACGTATCCGCCCAACTCTCTTTCTCTCTTACCACCGTCTTGACTGCTACCTAATCAGTTTCCTCAGTACATATTTCACGCCCTCTTAAGGTCAGTCGTGCTAAATTAGATATCATCGTTTCTGGCTTTTAACGAAAAAATCGTTTATTGTCCCCTACTCTACAGATGTCCTCGACACAAAAGCTTCAGCAGCACCCTGCTTTCGTCCAGGCGCAGAACAAGGCGAATTATTACTTTCAACAGCTTGACAAAGAAGTTAGTAACGGTTTCTTGGCTAGATTTCTTTAACTAACATGAACCCCTCAACAGCTCACGAAGTATCCAGTATTGAACACATTTGAGCAGCGAACTCAGGTTCCAAAGACCTATTTAGTCATATCTACTGTTTCGCTCCTCACTCTTTTCCACTTTGTCAACCCTCTCGCCGCACCCGTTTCTAACCTCGTTGGATGGGCCCTTCCGTGCTACCTCTCCTTCAAGGCGCTGGAAAGTCCCGGCCATCAAGATGACGTTCAGTGGCTCACGTATTGGGTTGTTTTCGGGTTCTTCAACTTCCTCGAGAGCATTGCACTCAGAATGGTTCTCTACTACTTCCCGTGGTACTTTGCATTCAAGACGGTGTTCATCCTCTGGCTGCAGCTCCCGAACTTCCGCGTAAGTCGCGAGATAGAATGTGTTCCGAGATGCAGGCGATTAATGTCTTATTTTAGGGCGCACAAACGACTTACACTGTGTTGTTGAAGCCTGTCATGTCAAACTTGTCTGGTTCGCGCGCTGTAGCGCCGACCGACACGGTGACAGCTGAGGGTCTCCGCGACCGTGTTGCCAGCGCTAATTCAGAGTGATTTGGACATGCCCCCACCTTATCTTCGGCTCTCGTTTCGGTCTGTGTAGTCCGGCTTGGATGGTCATAGACACTATCATACGCCTCCTTTCCATTATCCATGCTTCTGCTCAGGTCTGAAGAGTAATTGTTTTACGTTTCGATATGTTCTATTCACGTATCTCTCCAAACCGTTATTGAGCTTTTTACGCCACATCACGCAAGCAAAGCGTCATGACGCGTGGAGGGTGGCTGTTGCGCTCTCATTGGATGTTAATTCTGTCATTGAAGCTAATGGAAATCGCCGTGTCTCAGATCCCAGTGCTCGGAACCGAGCGAGCGCCTAGATCATCTTGGGCTTCGTTCAACGCCAATACTGGTCGTGGGTATTAGTAGTCGTGTGCGTGAGGATTGATTGTGAAGTGTGAGAGAAGATGATCGGCGCATTTGACCAAAGACTGGCAGTTGTTTTCTGAAGCTAGACTTGAGGCTTCATGTGATACTTGGGTGCCGAAGACTCTAGAGGACGTGGGTTCCACCTGCCAACGTCGTTACCATCAACGATCTACTGGCTCAGTACTTTTGAGCTTGATCATCTACTCACGCTTTGTGACTAGTACTGGTCAAGTAGTGCTGGTGGCAACGTGGTACCGTTGATCTTGAAGTTCTCTGGACTTCAGCTCTAAAACCAAGGTTGAACGCTTCGAATCGTTCTCCGGTGCGGAGCCTCGCTCGGCGTGTCGGTGGAAGGATGTCATACCTGCCACTGACTGTCACGATGCGACAGTGAGCTTCAATACCTGTTTATGTATATGTTGTCACACTCATTGGCACCTGCTCAGACGAGTTCGTTTCGATATATGACTGGACCTCAGACCTCTGCCGGCGTGTTCCGATGGAATAAATAGATTCACAGGAATTTGGCAGTCTCACCGAAACGTATGATTGCTAGGCTCCTGCCATGCGCTTTTGCGTACATACTACATGATGGGATGTCGTGGCACAGCCTTGCCTCGGGCACTGCCCTTGTAGGCGCATGTGTACATTTGTGTGCAGCTGAGCTATTATGCCAGCAAGTTACGGGCTCAGGTTGTCCCGATTTGTGAACCTCGTATTGTTCTGCTGTCAGCTAAGTAAGTGATCTCCCTCTTAGTGATGAACTTGTATCTGCTGAAGTAGCCTTGTAATATTTATGTGCGATGCTCTTGTTTTGATATAGGCATCGCATGGATTCTTGGGACGTGTGGCGCTGTTCTTGGCTGATTTGCGGGGGCGACACCTGTGCCCGTCCTTGAGGTGCCCGACAGTACAAAAGCTTGCCCTGTAGACACTCCAGCACTCAACTTCTTCTCCCATCATGCATTACTACGACGCGTTCTACAGCTCTGATTGGTCTAGTCGCGGTAGCGGCTTGTGTAGTTGGTGGCGCAATTCTTCCCTCCGCCGCACAAAGCAGAGAAGTGTTCGAAGTATGAATCATGATGATCACATTACCCCTAGTAAGCTGTTCCCTTGTTTCTGCACTACTTCGGTGTAACGTGATGCATTTGTATGATTTAGGATCGGCCCCTCCATGGCGAAATGGCTTTCTACCGCGGTATACGTGGCGGGTGCCCGCCTGGGCCGATACAAGCATGTTTAACAGGCCTGCGCTGCCAGCCAGACAACCTGACTACAATGTGTGGTCTTTCCCAACTGGCAGTCTGACCTGGACTCCATACATGAATGGACCTAGCTACTTACCCGAACCAGCTCACTGGGCTCCTGTCACGCTGTTTGCTATGCCATGGCCCCAGATAGTCGATGAACGCCCGGTAATTGTACCCGAGCTTGCTATAAATCCTTTCCAACCAGCCATGCCTATACTTCAGTGGGATATCCGCCAGAACCCAATTACAGCCAGGCTGACAACAGGCGCACATATCTCCACGGATCTGGCACATGTCCTGAGCTCTCACATCACAGATATTCCTGTTGGCATCATCGAAATTGCCATCCCAGCTTGTCCAATGGCGTACATGTGGGATGCCATCAGAGTGCAAAGGTCTAGCGCTATCAAGGTCCAAGATGTTCTCGATGTCATTTACGAATGGCTGCAGAAACCTCTGACTCAAGCTGAGATGGAACACATCGAACATGTGAACCCAAATGGTGTCGAAGCAATTTTGTGGGCTTTACACGAGAGAGCTTCTACGAGTCTGACGTTGCAGGGCTGGGAACATCGACAAGGGCCGCGGCGTATAGACTGTTTGGGAGATATTCGTAGATGGATGGGATTATGCTACTCTCCTACGGGGCAGGGCATGCAGCTGGTTCTCAACCTTGAAACCGTTCACCGATTATGATGTTTTATTAAACCTTCGCTTGATACCCAGTGATACCCATTTCAACTTCACGAGCTCAATATTGACGAACTGTTCACGTTCTTGATATCTATTTTTATTCCTAATCGTATTAGCAACCGATTTCTTGCACTGCATGTTCAAACAATTTACTTCTCTGACATCACACCATTGGAAGATCCAATTCGCGATATTAGTACGAGCTAGCAAAAAAACAGGATCTGCTGAGTACAGGCTCAGGACCAGCCTGGCTTATATAAGCACGGACAAGCTGCTCCGAGATCGGCCAATTTGACTAGTACGTCAAATTTCCCAACTCTCAAAAGACGTACGTCAGACTGGTCACGAGTCTATGGCGCGATGATAGCACCTCTGAATATTAATACCCACAGGTCTTCCCTCGCTCACCCATACCTTATGGGCCCACAAGTTGTATCCATAAGCAGATGCATCACGTATCGGTTACTCAAGTTTGTCGGTGAGCGCTATAGATAAGCTTGCTGCGCTGTGCTCGGATTACTTAGAGGATCGCGAGACCTACTACTCGAAAAGGTTTAGAAAGCAAGCTCCGTGGCAAGACATGGGAGGAACCAATTATCCAGGCCGCCGCACACGGACCGTCGCTAGCAATGTTTCTTCAATTGTAGCCGCCGACCTGATGGAAGCATGATTCACCATAGCATCAGATCCGACAGTTGAAGCGCGTACTTTTGCCAGTGTTCAAGTGAAAAGAAGTGGCAAAAATTTCTTGTATCTTCCCCACGTTGCTGCGGTTGAATGGTTGTCTCAATAAACGTAACTCAAGCTGTAGGTCTCGTATGCGAGGCGCTTCTGTATGGTGTGTCGTGTTTTTTCTCTGGGTGATTCAGGCCCATCACTGACATCGCTGTGCAGGAGTCTACTGCGTACTATTCATCACCTCTGTCGTAATTCTCATCAAACGCTATCGAGTGTCTAACCGAGTGATTTGGGCTGCAAACTGTCTCTTGTTTACAACATCGACGGCTCATTTTGCGTTGATGTTCAACCACTTCTATATCGCACTCGTGAGGAATACGCAAGAAGTTCATGATGAAACGAAGACTCATATTGCTACAGGAAAATGCTCCGTTCGCAGACTTCGGAAACGAAACTCCTGAATTGATGGGAGCAAATTTGATGATTTCTGTGGTCGACGTCATCGGAGACTTGCTCTTACTCTATCGATGCTGGCTTGTCTGGGGGAAGAATTTTTACGTGATTGTTCTCCCTCTGCTCACTGCTCTTGGGGGCTTCGGTAAATTATCATCAATCTTCTCTTTAGACGGAAATGCTCACCTTCACCCCCTATGTGCCAGGGTGTATCTTACCCATACCATCCCTTTTAATGTCAATTGACCCGACATCACCAGTTCCTCCATCTCAGATCGTACCGTTGACTATTGCCGGATATGTTTTGCCTCTTTGCACAAACATTATGGTCACTGTGCTCATCGCTGGTCGCCTCTGGTACATATCTCGGATTCCCGTCGTCGACGAACATGGAAAGCCAGTGATTTTGAAAATCGCGGCTGGCGGGCGCCCGATGATGCTAATCATCGAAAGCGGTGCTCTGTACATGGTCACGCAACTCATCTTTGTCGTCCTCGTAGCCACCCGAAATCCTGCTGAAGCGGTATTAAGTCTAGCTGGGACACAGATATATGTAAGTCCTTGCACTTTCTGGTTCGTGGTTCGGCTGAATCAACACATTCGTATGAGGGTATTGCGTCCACCTTGATTATAATTCGTGTTGGACTGGGCATTTCGTCTGAGCAGACTATGTCGGCGATGACGATGACTCAAGTGGAGTTTCGTTCCCAGCGACAGGATGAGACAGGGACGCGCTCAGTTGGCACGTGGAGAAATGATCGCTCATTTAGCTCTCCATTAGCTGCCCAATCGGATGTGGAACAGTGGTGATTGGATCAACCTGGATCTTTGATAGTTTGAACGGATATGCATGCATGTAGAAGGGCTATATGATGCAATCGCTTACAATTTAGGCATAGCACGGATACGGGATTGATTGGCAAGCAAGCAAGTGACCGTTGGCCTCTACCTGAGGTCCTTGAATACCTGCGGGTCTTTCTTCACTCACTCAGACCTTCTGAGTCCACAAGTTGTATCCGTAAGCAATCACATATTGGTATTCAAGTTTGTCGGTGATCGCTATAGGTAAGCTTGTTGCGTTGTGCTCGTGTTAGTTGAAGGATTATGAGACCTACTACTCGAAAAGGTTTAGAACTTAAGGGCAGTGCTCCTGGCCACCGACCCGACGGAATTATGATTCACCATAGCACTAGATCCGACAGTTGAAGCACATACTTTTGCCAGTCTTCAAGTGAACATTTTACTGTATCTTCCCCACGTTGCTGCAGTCGGATGGCTGTCTCAATAAATGTAACTCAAATTGTAGGTTTCGTATGCGAGGCGTTTTTGTATGGTGTGTCATGTTCTTTCTCTAAGTGATTCAGGCTCATCACTGACATCACTGTGCAGGAGTCTACTGCGTACTATTCATCACCTCTGTCGTAATTCTCATCAAACGCTATCGAGTGTTTAACTGAGTGATTTGGGTTGCAAACTGTCTCCTGTTTACAATATCGACGGCTCATTTTGCGTTGGTTTTCAACCATTTCTATATTGCACTTGTGAGGAATAACAAGTTGTGATGTAATGAAGACTTACATTGGCACAGGAATATGCTCCATTCTCAGAGTTCAAAGTCGAAACTCCTGCATTGATTGGAGCCAATTTATTGAGTTCTGTCGCAGATTTGGTTGGAGATTTACTCCTAATCTATCGATGCTGGCTTGTCTGGGGGAGGAATTCTTATGTGATTGTTCTCCCTCTGCTCACTGCTCTTGGGGGCTTCGGTAAATCATCGTCAATCTTCTCTTCAGACGGAAACGTTCACCTTCACCCCTTATGTGCCAGGGTGTATCTTACCCATACCATCCCTTTTATTGTCAATCGACCCGACATCACCAGTTCCTCCAACTCAGACCGTGCCCTTGACTACTGCCGGATATGCTTTGCCTCTTTGCACGAATATCATGGTCACTGTGCTCATCACCGGTCGCCTCTGGTATACATCTCGGATTCCCGTCGTCGATGAGCATGGAACGCCAGTGATTTTGAAAATCGCAGCCGGCGGTCGTCCGATGACGCTAATCATCGAAAGCGGTGCTCTGTACATGGTCACGCAATTCATCCTTGTCGTTCTCGTAGCCATTGGAAATCCTGCCGAGGCGATATTAAGTTACGCTGGGACACAGATATATGTGAGTCCTCGTACATTCTAGATCGTGGTTCAGCTAAATATGCACATGTCATGAGGGTATCGCGTCCACACTAATTATCATTCGTGTTGGACTGGGCATTTCGTCTGAACAGACTATGTCAGCGATGATGACTCAAGTGGAGTTTCGTTCCCAGCAACAAGATAGGGACGCGCTTAGTTGGCACATGGAGGAATGATCGCTCCTTCAATTCTCCATTAACTGCCCAATCGGATGTGGAACAGTGGTGATCGGATCAACCTTTGAATCTTTGATCATTTGAACAGATATATATGTACTAGAATTTGAACACATCAAGGGCTCAGACTTGTAAAGATCCGGTGCCTAAATCCACGTCCGTTTAGATTTGTATGGATCATGTTGTAGTGAGGATGTATCTAAGGATGTCGTTGGAGGAGGATTGGGGGGGAGGAATGGCTGATGTCCTGCTCACGGGGGTGGTAAAGAACTTGTATCATAGGTGGCTTAGTAGGACAGTGATAGCCTTTCTCTGAGTCTCAATAACTTGGGCGATCGCCCGTGGGAAACTCAGTATTCGCAGATGAGTCACGGCCTTCCGGGTGTGAATCTCTTCCTGACTTTTCGCCGCTGCCCAAGTTCGAACCTCCACCTGGTTTTTATCAGAACCCAAACGTGACTTCCGTAGTTTTATTTCCACATTTCGACCCCCCACTTCGCCCTTCACATCAGTTTTCCTACCGCAGATGGTTCACCTGGGTTTTTTGTACCAATTATAGTTCTATACCATCACCTTTCGCTTTCGACATTGATGGAGAAAAACCACAGTATTTACCCTTCGTGGGAGCTGCTCATCTTGGGTTTGTGATCCGAATGGACCTTTAGTGCTATTATTTACATGCAACCACCATCAACATCGAATCCCTTCGGTTTTCCCCTGAGGAAATTTCCAGATTGGTATGGTCAGCACCGTCAGATCTGTTTGAGATCATGGTATACAAGGTTACCCCTGACACCATCGTCAAAGTGTACGTGTCCGCCGATGAAGTTATTACAGAAGCGCTTAACTTGAGCATGATCAAGACTATGGCGACTATTCCTGTTCCTGAGGTGCGAGAAGTAATTATTGATACCGAAACTGCCGTGGACTACTTGGTCATGGAGTACCTCAACGGTCGGACGCTAGATGGTTGTTGTAATGGTATCACACTCTTCTCTAAGCTTCGCATTGCTTGGACCCTGCACAGTTACGCTGCTCAGCTTCACCTTCCGCGGGGAACCGTTCCAGGGACTCTTAATGGCACCTTGTGCACAAGACCACTCTTCACCGATTACGGCGCCGGCCCATTCGTATCTTACGACGATTTGACGGCATGGTTTAACCACAAACTCGACGTATCTCAGTGGATGAAGAAAGCGCCTCTCGATGCTCCCTGGTTCAACAGCTTGTGGCTAGTGGTCCTCACACCAGGACTTGTGTCCCAGGAACATTTTGTTGGGGCGCGACGGCAAATTGCATGTGCTGAATTGGCATAGATTTGGATTTTACCCTGCTTGGTTCGAGTACGCCGGCATGGTGTCTGACCAACACTTCAAGTCACCGTTATAGAATTTTCTACACACTATTTCTGGTGAGTCGTCTCCAGTCAGAGAGCAATCATAAGACTAAATTGGCCATCTACCTTAGTGCCACGAAAGCGCATAGTCAAGTACATGAGAAATATTGGGTGGGCACTCACAATAGGCGTTCTCATGTAGTATTTGATATGGGCACCACGAAGCCGGAAGGGTCAATATCAAGTACTACCATGAATGAACATAAGTGGAACGACCCGATACTGTCCTTTCTTCAATACTTCTGGTTATAGGTCGAGGATTGGTGACGAGTGAGGGTGTCTGTAGCAAGTATGTCGAGCTCTGAGATCTGAACATTGATCATGCGCATCGTGTTCAGTGCCCTGTGCCCACAGCACTGGGAGGTGAGATGCATGTCAATGGAGGATATGAAAAAAATGTGTCTGTAGTGACGTGGAATCAATCTTTTGACTAGGGTAGAGCACGGGTACGGGTAAACCCGCGGTTTATTGCTGACGGGTGTGGCGGGTACGGGTACGGTGTGGATTATGGAGACCCGCACGTACACCGTGCATACCCGTCGCGGTTTACGGTGTTGGACGGGTGTGGATCCCCAAGTTGTCCGAGGGTCAAAATTTCATTACTCATGAAGATCCTCCCGGCGAGTTGTAGCTGTCACCCGGGTCTGTGAAAAAACCGCGGTATACCGCAAACACCGTTCATACCCGCAAAATTGGCGGGTCGGTGTACACCCGTACCGTGGCGGGTGTGGTGTTTGCGGGTACGGGTATGGTGTGGCTTCAGCGACCCGCGGGTTCACCCGTGCTCAACCCTACTTTTGACATTGTTGAGTGCGTACTATGGTGCGCGTCACTTAGCCACCACTACTTTTGAACAACGTTCTCACCCCCTTGAAAAAAAATCAGATTTTTATTTCCTCTTGTAAAAATGATCCTTTCAATGAGTAGAGTAAAGCTACAAGAGGAATTTTTGATTGAATCAAATCTGAGCGAGTTTTTTAAAAACAAAAGGGATGATTTGGCCACCTAAAGTACTATGACTCCCCATCAATCGAAAATGCGAGCCAATGTCTCCGGAATACGTCTGTGAGACTTGTACTTTGTAGAGCTGAATTGCTTAACTTGAAACTGGGCATCCTTTGTGCTCAGACCCGTCCGATATGCCTCCATCCAGCGGTGCATGCGATGTTCCCACAGTCGAATGGTACTGAGCTGCACAGACTGCATTGCTAAGGGCATGTTCTTCTTCAGGGTCTCGAAAGTGCCGTCGCAGTTGTCTCTGATTTGTTCCGTTCTGCCTTCTTCCAAACTGCGCCCGTCTTTGGCTTGGATATCTTGTCAAACAAACTATCCACTGGTGTGCCCAGGGCTATGACCTCTTCTCGGAGCTCCCTCAAATTTTCCTCAAGCTTGCTGCCCTCCAGCTCGCAGAGGCTATCGCACTCCGACCTTTCGCTATCAGCATTCGAGTCTGTTTCATATTCATCACCTGTATCTGACCAATAACAACTGACACCCCCAGTATAACCACACTCATACTCGGAGTCCAGCTCTATTGGGTTAAGCTCCCTGCCACTGAGTTTGGACGGCTCCGACGTTTGTTCCTGCAACTCGGAATAGGTTTGTGTGGGGGTGGTTTGAAGAGTGGAGTTACTGTGCTCGGCAGTTGAAGTTGACCATCGCGCGGCCCTAGCGTGAGCGGCTGCTACCTTTCTGTGGTTCTTGGGCATCAGAGACTGGTAAAAACAACGTCTGCACCGATAAATTGTCGTTGTCTACTGTAGCGCTACATGTTTCAAACTAATATCGAAGCATCTGTTGGAGTTGCACGCGCAGAACTACGTAGGGTTAGGGTTTAAATTTTTCTCAGACCGATTTGGCCACTGTTCAAAGGTAGTGGTGGCTAAGTGACGCGCACCATACCCAAAGTGTGCCTATGCCTATGATTTTGGGAAAAAGTAAAGAGCGCTCCATAGGCTTTACAAGCATCCTCATCTTCATGGTCATTTCCTGCGTCATGAGCCTCCACACTAATAGTGAGACGAGTCGCCTCGCTGTCGGACGTCCGACCTAGTTTCCTAGTGGGCGTCAGTGTTTTTCCCACCTGCCCTCGCAGGAGCTTCAGAATTCGAGATTTCCGTTATTCTACAACATGTTATGGAGTAAAATTTTGAACTAGCGTAGGTGCTCGAATTCTCAACTTGAGAATGATAATCGAGTAAGTGCGAGGTGTAGTCAGAAGACGAAAAAACAAGGTGTGCATGGCAAAATGCGCCACCCCCATTGGAAGCGCTTCCTCGATTAGTAAGCACTAGTTTGGCTCACGCGTTCGCTGATTGTTCAACGTTCAAACTGCACTCGGGTAATTCAAGTACTTACTAGGTACGTCCTACGTCGGACTATATATCCAAGCTACCTCGGGTTATAGGTGCTAAAAGTCGTTTCCGCAGTGTGTGTCAAAGGTTTTCGCCAATTTGCAGTATACATGCTCGCAAGGCGCGATGAGGCTCGACCACCCTGACTTACATAGCCACGGACAAGTCGAGTGGCAACGTCAAAATATTTCCCCACCACTCAAAAGACGTACGTCAGACTGTTCATCGTGCGAGTCTATGGCGCGATATTGATAACACTTTCTGAATATTAATGCCGACAGGTCTTTCCTCACTTACTCATACCTTATGAGCCCACAAGTTGTATCCACAAGCAATCATATATTGGTTATTGAATATTGTCAGTGATCGCTATAGATACGCCTGCTTCGTTGTGTTCGTGTTACTTAAGGGATCGCGAGACCTACTACTCGAAAAGGTTTAGAAAGGGCCAAGGCCCCGTGGCAAGACTTGGGAGGAACCAATTATCCAGGTCGCCGCCCACGGACCGTCGCTAACAGTGCTCCTTCCATTGTGACCGCTGACCTGATAGAATCATGATTCACCACAACACCAGATCTGGCAGTTGAAGCGCGTACTTTTGCCAGTCTTCAAGTGAAAGTTTTACTGTATCTTCCCCACGTTGCTGCAGTCAGATGGCTGTCTCAATAAACGTAACTCAGGCTGTAGGTCTCGTATGCGAGGCGCTTTTGTATGGTGTGATGTTCTCTCTCTGAGCGACTCAGGCCCATCACTGACTCCACCACTGCAGGAGTTTACTGCGTGTTATTTATCACCTCCATCGTAATTCTCGTCAAACGATATCGACTAACCAATAGAGTAATCTGGGTTGCAAACTGCCTCTTGTTTATAACATCGACGGCTCACTTTGCATTGGTTTTCAACCATTTCTACATTGCACTCGTGAGGAATAACAGTTTGTGGTGCAATAAAGACTTACATTGGCACAGGAGCATGCTCCGTTCTCAGAGTTCAAAGTCGAAACTCCTGCATTGATTGGAGCCAATGTATTGAGTTCTGTTGCAGATTTGGTTGGAGATTTACTCCTAATCTATCGATGCTGGCTTGTCTGGGGGAATAATTTTTATGTGATTGTTCTCCCTCTGCTCACTGCCCTTGGGGGCTTCGGTAAATTATCATCAGTCTTCTCTTTAGACGGAAACGCTCACCTTCACCCCCTATGTGCCAGGGTGTATCTTACCCATACCGTCCCTTTTATTGTCAATCGACCCGACATCACCAGTTCCTCCAACTCAGATTGTACCCTTGACCACTGCCGGATATGCTTTGCCTCTTTGCACGAATATTATGGTCACTGTGCTCATTGCTGGTCGTCTTTGGTATATATCTCGCGTTCCCGTCGTCGACGAACATGGAAAGCCAGTGATTTTGAAAATCGCGGCTGGCGGGCGCCCGATGATGCTTATCATCGAGAGTGGTGCTCTGTACATGGTCACACAATTCATCTTCGTCGTTCTCGTAGCTATTGGAAATCCTGCCGAGGCGATATTAAGTTACGTTGGGACACAAATATATGTGAGTTCTGGTTAATTCTGGTTTATGGTTCAGTTGAATCAAGACATGCATATGAGGGTATTGCGTCCACCTTGATTATAATTCGTGTTGGGCTGGGTATTTCATCTGAGCAGACTATGTCGGCGATGACGATGACTCAAGTGGAGTTTCGTTCCCAGCGACAGGATACCACAGGGACGCGCTCAGTTGGCACATGGAGGAATGATCGCTCCTTCAGTTCTCCATTAACTGCCCAATCGGATGTGGAACAGTGGTGATCGGATCAACCTTTGAATCTTTGATAGCTTGAACAGATATCTATGTATACAAGTGATGCATGCATGTAGAAGGGCTATATGAAATTGATTGGCAAATAAGTAAGGGACCATCGAGCGGCTAAACTTCCACTCGTCTATTCTGGAACTGTCCCTTAGCTAAATCACGTTAGTGCTTCATATGTTTTTGCTAGATATGGATCTATTTCAATGGTAATAGGGTGTCGCAGCATGGTTTGAACTTCCTGCATTCCCGCCCACTTCTCCTTCTGAAGTTGTGATGGGCGTCTCAATAAATGTGTCTGCAGCTATAGGTATGGCATGCGAAGCATTTTTGTATGGTGCGTAACTCCCTGCTGTCCCTAGATTAGTGATCACTGACATCACTATGCAGGAGTCTACTGCGTGTTATTTATCACCTCCATCGTAATTCTCATCAAACGATATCGACTAAGCAATCGAGTGATCTGGGTTGCAAACTGCATCCTGTTTATAACGTCGACGGCTCACTTTGCATTGGTGTTCAACCATTTCTACATTGCACTCGTGAGGAACAACAGTTTGTGATGTAATGAAGACTTACATTGGCACAGGAATATATTCCGTTCTCAGAGTTCGGAGACGAAACTCCTGGAATGATGGGAGCCAACTTACTGAGTTCTGTTGTAGATTTAGTTGGAGACTTGCTCCTACTCTATCGATGCTGGTTTGTCTGGGGGAAGAATTCTTATGTGATTGTTCTCCCTCTGATCACCGCTCTTGGGGGCTTTGGTAAATTATCAGTCTTCTCTTTAGACGGAAACACTGACCTTCACCTTCCATGTGCCAGGATGCATTTTGCCCATCCCATCCCTTTTATTGACAATCGACCCAACATCGCCAGTGCCTCCAACTGCGATCGTACCGTTGACTATTGCCGGATATGTTTTGCCTCTTTGCACAAACATTATGGTCACTGCGCTCATCGCTGGTCGCCTTTGGTACACATCTCGGATTCCCGTCGTCGACGAGCATGGAAAGCCAATGATTTTGAAAATCGCAGCTGGTGGACGCCCAATGATGCTCATTATCGAAAGCGGTGCTCTGTACATGGTCACGCAACTCATCTTTGTCATCCTCGTAGCCACTGGAAATCCTGCTGAGGCGATATTAAGTTACGCTGGGACACAGATATATGTGAGTCCTCGTACATTCTGGTTTGTGGTTCGGCTAAATATACACATGTCATGAGGGTATTGCGTCGACATTAATTATCATCCGGGTTGGGCTAGGCATCTCGCTTGAGCAGACTGTACTACCGACGACTCATATAGAATTTTGGTCCCAGACATAAGGTACCACAGGGGTGCGCTCAGTTGGCACATGTAGAAACGATCGTTCACTTGATTCGCCATCAACTGCATAGTTGGTGCGGAGCCGGGTCAACCTTGAATATTGTTGAAGATAAATATAAGTATTCGAGACATGTAGAGGGGCCGAGGGCCATATTATAATATATGCTTACCATTTGGAGATAGTGGCGTGATGATGTAAAATCGGGTTCGACAGTAAGTGACCGGGATGGTCATCCAAAAACGCCCGTAGCTTTGTTCGTCATGACCAGGGTTCTGGATACACTGCCACAAAGGCTCCCAGGGCAATAATAGTTGAGACTCAATGCAAGAATCGTTTCATTACCGTTAGGAAGATCAAGAGACACATCTGCTGCAGGGATGTGTCACGAGTTTCTATGGAAGGATAAGATCTTTCAGCAGTGTGATGTAAGATATCAAAGCTGACCGTCTGCACACTCGCCAGTGAAGACTATGATTAAGCCCGGGAATACAGTATGGTGGACAAAGCCTGGGAGCACACTACCAATGTATCCGAACGCTCCTAACACGCGCTGCTGAGAGTCTGGCAAGTCACCAAAGTCACCATCAGCCTTGAAAAAAAAGCTGGGACCCGCATAGCCTCATTTACGAGTTTCAAATAATCGTAACACCCAAGACTATTGTCCTCGAGGATGGAATCAAAGCTAAGACAGGCCGACACAAACAAATGCCCTAATGTATTAATCTGTCAAAATGCAAGCCATTGACTCGTCAAATTGGAAAATCGGAAGATGAATCATGAATACAACCTACTAGGGTTAAAGCCTCTTGAAATACCAGTTCGGGTCCAACTTGATGGTAAACGATCTCCGAATAAAAGTTTCTTCAAGTATGCTGAGGGTAATTCAATTATTCAATTACTATAATACAAGTTCGACATAGTAAGCTCTGAGTCATAGCATCGATAACGAGAAAAGTTTGATACGTACGCCGCACAGTGAAATTTTCCAAACGCCCCTGGTCATTTCTTGTGCCTTTCCTTGTTTACCAGAGTACTTGAGAGCCGAGGCTGGTAAAGTGAAATCAAGCTGAGACAATTCAGAAACTGGAGAACTGGAATCGTCCATAATGATCATAAATTTAAATACCCGGTACCGGGGTCTCAGAAGGTGTTTATTGTGCTCGAACCTCCGAGTCTGGGGCTGACCTGTGCTGGATTATTACGACCAATCTCGTGATAAGTGCCCTGTTACCCCCTTCTGACAAGAACAACTTTAACTTAAAGGTACGTGCAGCATAACGTAAGAACGTAATGACAAGACCTCGAAAACTGCAAATTTGCTTCTGACTTACTCGAGCATTAGGGAACAGCGGTGGCAAAACCTCTTGGTCACGAACAGGCCTACTAAGTAACTAGGATGACTTTCTGGTGCTCGTCAACGTCAACGTAGCAATGGCGATTCGTCTACACGAAAGTCGCCACCTATAACTCGGGTTGTTCATTACCTTGTTCGGAATACCCGCCATCCGCGTTCATCTAACTCCCAAGTCAAGTTTCATCAGTACATGCGCAAGGCTTTCACCGCACCGAACTTTACTTGTCCGTCACTTCCGCTGCCCTTGTCCTTTTCCGATTGAAAGTGCGCTTTCGGCGCCCACACTCGTCCTTCGCCAAAGCTCACCTTCCTCAGGCAAACTCATTCTACACTATCCCACCGACACCGCCGTCACTGAGTTATTCGATACCATTGTCTTCTGTCTCAACCAGATCTCCCCCGGGTATGGAGGATTGTACTGCTTGTATCTATCGGTATCATCATCGCCAGGTATTCCAAAACACGAGCCCGCGCTGGTACCACTGCCATCAACCACCATCGTCCTCGCACTCGCGAACGGTTACATTGATTTAGACGTGTTGCCCGTTTCGGGATCCTTGGTTGAAGTTGGACGAACTTTAAAAAAGAGATGTGTCATGTCTCGTTCATTTTTGCTTGGAAATAAATTTTTCCTATGTCTCCTTATCTTGTGTGTCATTTTCCTTAGAGAGCGACCAAATTTACGTGTGTTCCTTGAATCATCTTCCGCCTTATGCGGTTTACCAGGTCCTAAGCAGGAAGTGGCGGGAGGGCCTCAAGAGGTCACGCCCTGGCGCGATCAGCGTGAGGTCCCCACTTCCAAGGTGTAGAGGCACCAGGTTTCATGGAGTTGTAGTTGCAATTAGGACGTAACGTGAAAGGGCACGGGTTGGTGTGGTAGGCGGAGGGAGACTGCAAGCCGGGCGTGGTGGGCAGTAACAGACGCGCGATGGCAAGGTGCTAATTAACCTTATACACCGAGCGGTGCTGGAGGTCTTGACCTTTGTTGTATGTGAGGTAATGCATCGGCAGGGCGCCTAGTACGACTCCGAGTAGTCGGCCTCGTGTTTCAGGTTGATAACTATTCGCCTAGGCCTCGATCAATTCAGCCGGGCCATCGACGAATTTTGTGGCTTGCCTTTTCATACACGTCGCTCATGCTGTGTTCAACTGTCTATTCGAAACACTAAGTTTCCTACGAAGAGGCTGTTCACCAGAGTTGCGGTCTGAATTGGGCCCGCTTAAGTATTATAGTAGACGCTCATCAAGTCAACCTATCTCCGACCAGAAGTTGCATCCCCAAGTGAATTATGAAACTAGTACGTATCGCATATCGGATTTATTTACTTCTAGAACGGGTAAGGCTCCTCCAACCCTGACAAGCTTCACGTTTTGTGAGGAAGAAATGCTTTGACCCCGTCGACTGTTAACTCGTGTCTTTCATTGTCTGTGTCCAACTCTTGTCACTCACTCAGTCACTCCTTCTATAGAATGTTCTATACCCGCAGACCGCCAACTCTATCTATAAATGAGTTAAATCATATTCTCAGCGAGTCTCTTGACCTGGAAAGATTTGAACACGTTAACGTTCCCGAGACTATCCTTCACGACCCATTCCTTTCGACCCCAGAAAAACCGAAAACCTCAACGTTTCACCGCTTGTTCTTTCGCTCATCATCACATCTGTCTCTCGTTCCACGCTCGCCCACAAAACAGGTGGACGAGCCCGTCACACCGAGCCCTCGCAAGATGACATTTACTTGGCGTTTATCCCGTTTATCGCCCAATAGGTATCGCCGAGCTGAGGAACACGCGGTGCGTATATGATTCTGCACTCTAACGCTCATATTCATGTTACGCAGGTGGAAGACATCACAAGTGTCCCATCCAATCGTTCTCGCTCGTCGTCTGTCTGCAGTGTCACTTCTGCCATTTTGTCACCTTCAAGAGCACTGACTAGCATGTCTTCGACCTCTAGTCTCGGTTCAGTGATACCTACGTCTGAGCGTTTCTCCAAGCATCTCGCGGAAGTTGTATGTACGGGAACAGGAAATGTGGCCCTCAGTACAAGGAGATCCTCCTCACCGTCTCCAGCTGCCACAACACGTTCTCGGCTTTCTCCGATGCAAATGGCCTTGCCACCCACACCGCGTTCCCCGCGTTCACCGCTGCAGCTCCTGTTTGGTAATAGATTATCATCGAGTAATACATGCAGAGGGGCAATGACGGGTGTGGATACCATGGAAAAGTGGTCGGGCACCTCAGCAACCGAATGCAATGTCGTCGAGTCTATCGATGATATCACACCTCGAGCAACTGAATTTGCCATTTCATCGCATAGAAGTAGTGACAGCACTGTCCAGGCTAAAACAAGACGACGACCCTCAGCATTGACACTAGTTCTTCCTGCTCAAGAGATTGCATCCCTCTGTCTTCAACCAGCAATCGGAGCATCGCCTCATGTACCCTCTGATACTGAAGGTTCGGTCTCCGTGTGCTCCCTCTCATCTCCTACTACATCCGTATCCACATCATGCCAGCTTTCATCACACGTTCCTTCAGCCTCATCTAGCGCACATGCATCGTCTACCTCAACGACTTCTTTTCCCTGGTCTCGTGCACGGGCTGGCTCCCGTTCCATGCTGACACCGCCATTGCCGGGACCTCCACCTAGTAGCCCCCTTCCTCCACTACCCATTTTAACGGTACTAAATTCGAATATTGTCACGCCCCCGAATGCCTTAGTCCCTCTTCCAACAATCAATCCGACTCCCTCAAAATGTGCTCGTACCCCTGTGCGTCCTGATTCGCCTTCGGGCACAGTTGCGATCCCTCCTTCTCCAGGAAGTCTGCGACTTCCTTCTCGTTTAAGCTGGGGTGCTACAGGACGCACCGTGGTCCCTCTTCCGTCGAGTTTACCCAGTCCGCCTTCTTCCCCTTCGAAAATAGGGAGAAAGAGAGAACTTTCTTCGTGTCCCCCCACCAATAATAGCATGTCCAATACCGCTTCCCCTATCCTAGGCAAGCGCGCGAGTATTGGGATATTGGAGGCTGCCGGTGATTTGGAAGCTCAAGTACGACGCATGAAAAAGAAGAGCATACTGGTGCTAGGCACTCGGCGTTCAAAGGGGGCGCTCAGCTGTTCCGATTCGCCTCCAAAACGCGTACAGATCCATGCTGAGGCAAGCCCCGATATTGCAAGTTCACCAAAGATAGCAAGGAGGAAGTCGAGTGCTGCTTGCACAATACCGTTTCTAGCAGTTCCACGGGAGCGGAGAAGATCTGCTCCCCTGCTGCGAAGTGGACCCACATCGGAGGCTACACTTATCCCGCCTGCATGTGCAGACTGGACATTGTCACTGCCTTTCTGCATCGATATACCAGGGAGTGGCATATGTGTGCCAACACCTCCTTCGGAGGACGGCGCCCTTCATGAAGCCGATAAAGCTCTACAAGCAGCACAAGGGGATGACTGGACCCTTTCCCTCGGTGTAGATCGTCAGAATTCCACAATGGCTGGGGAAGGTGTGGCGAGCCAAACTCCGCAGATCAAGGACAGCACAGAAGAACAAATTTCTGTGACTACACAGCTTCCTACACCGAGTGCCACACCTGAACCTGAGGATGACATTCCAACATCATCTCTACCTGCACTCTTCACGCCCTCCCCCCGGCCAGATTCTCCTGCGAGCCTCGGTCCTCACGGTGGTGGCCTTGATCTTGACGGAGGGTGTGGGAAGCGAGGTTCTGGTTGGGATGCTTGCGGGTGGTTTGGGTTCAGCAGCATGGAAGAACCCCAAACTAAGGTTATAAGACCTGTCTCTACGCTTCACTCCGAAGCTTCGTGGATCCGCCAGAGCTGCGACACTAATGCTGCCCGAAGGGGTGACGTTGTTTTTATTCGAAAGGGTCACGAGGAGCGGATACGTTCCCCGAGCGAGGATAGCACCATGACAACTCATACTGTGGACACCCTTTTTTACAGTGCCCGCACCAGTATATTTGTCGCATGATGGTTTCATGGGATGTTCCAATTGATGTCTCATTGACTTTCTCGCGTGTGTCCCTCCCAAAAGTACGTCTCCACCATTAATTTCTCCGCCAAGTCTCCGAACCATGAATGCCCCATGAGATCCAGGCCTTAAGGTTCCCCACCACATCTCAATCCCCTAGATCTTTGTATCTCGTTTATATGCATACCTTGGTCTTGGTGATATGTCTCAGGTCCATACTGTTGTATCTACTTGTGAACGCTGTGCTGTTGAATGATTCGAAAGATGTGCTTAGCCTATCTTATATCCATTAGATAATTATTTAAAGACGGAGTATGTCCCTTAAATATAAAACCGCAGGGCGTTGTTTTCCATTCAGTTTCTGTGGTGGCCTGATGGAAACTCCAAGTTCGATGAAGTACATCAGAGCAATAATGGAAATGTCAGAGTGTGACTCATAACGTTCTGATGGCAGCAGAACACAATTCTGGCAGCCCTTGGGAAGTTGCGGTGTTTAGCGCGGTAAAGCGGCGGACTGAGACTGCAGGCGCGACACCGTGAAATCCTCAAGTTGCGGGGGCTGAGCGCTGGGCCTTGATACAATGGCATAACCAGTACTGTCGAAGGACGCCCTTCAAGTTTCAATTTGGTTTGCTCGGCAATATCCCTGTCGATAGGCTGGGTCGAAAGGGATTAGCTCCATCGCGCTGAACCAAGCTTAGCTACTTAATAGGCTCCTCGACCTCATTGCAAGGAACTAGTAAGTTCGCCCAACCACCGGTATCCGTGGATCGCATGATTGGGATCGTTTGTTCGCCGTGATCATGATGGCATCCACACCCGATCTACCAATCCAGCACGAACGAGACACTATATTCAAATCCTATGACAAAAATAGTACGTACATATGTTCAATAGTCTTGACGAGTCGCCGTGGTTAACGCTTTCAGGTAAGCTTGTAGATATGTGGTAAGTATAGTCTGCGGCAGCCCACTGCCAAACGGTACATACCCAATACCGGTTACCACAAGTTTAGAGAATCGCTAGATTGTACCATGACTAGATGCGGCCTTCGCCATTTTCATGAATTGCTCGTGCGGATCCAAGTTAGCACTGAGCAGTGCTGTCTTGTCAAGAAATTTCTTGCGTCATTGGTAATCCGATAAATGATTAATGTATGTGATGCGTGCAAGTTGGTTGAACGGAAGTGTGCCATAATGGATATCTTGCCCGTCGTTGCAAGATTGTCGCCCTGGGGTATGCACACGCCAACGTTCCAACAAAATTTCAACGTTAACGGTCGTCTTGGGAGATGACGACGATGTCAGTTACAAGCCAAGTCGCATAGCAGCCCATCGAATGAGTTTTGTGCTTAAGTTGAAAGTTTGCGTACACGATTACATAACCAGGTTCCGGTTCCTTGTGACAATCAATGTGATCGATAGTAAGCACTGCTCTCCAAACAATATTTCCTACGCAAGTTCGTTCTTCTGCAGACATGCGGCAGCCACTTGTCCATCCTGCTAGCGTGCCACCTCTTCCGTCCCTTTTGTGACAAGTCGATGACTAGATACCTCCTACTCACACTCAAGTGTACTTTACTCAACGAATGAAAACATTTTTCCTTGGAAGAATCGTTGAGGGTGGTGGAAGGACTCGAAGCAAAGTTGTTCAGATCGTCGTTTGGCAGAGGAAAGGAGCAGAAGACCAGCCAGTCAATTCAGGTTAAGGTGGTGTATGTATCATCGCCTTTACATTTACTAGTTATATCTAACGATGTCCTCACAGCCGTGCTCTCTTTCACCTTCTTGCACTGAATCTCGCAGACGACACTCAAGTTTATTTCGCGAGTCGTGGAGTAAATTACTCAAGAGTCGTTATGCCCGAATCGCTAGGTGGACCCCTGACCCCGAATCTGCAGCTGCAAGTTCCAGTGCATGACATCTCCTACACACTGAGACAAGCGAGGTATGTGCAACTCTTGCATGTTCCGTACGTATGCGCTAATGGTACTGACTGCTGCAAGATTTTACCACTCACCGCTCCCGAACCAAATCCTGACAATTCAGGCGTTGCAAAGGGTAAGTCAACCATTATAGTTCGGAGCGCCCTTATATCTCTTTCAGATGCAATGGCAGGTTTCAAAGGCATCAGACATATTTCAGAACTGGTTCAAGATACTGGCTTAACAACCGACAACTAACAAGCCATTTTCAATACGATCGACATGTTCCCCGCTGTTCATGGATCCTTGAAAGCGTTCGACTCCACATCTCAGGGGCTTGCAGATGTAAAATTGGCTTACATGTGTTAACGAGCACAACCGGTCACCGCCAATCTCCTCCGGCTATTCCATGCCTCATTATATCCGGAATGAAGCATTTATTGGTAGTTATATTACAGTGGCATTAAAAACTGCAGTACGAGATTTCAACAATATGGCCTCGGCCTTGGTGACGTTGTCTCTTCTTTCACGTCGCTCGACTTAATCTCGATGTAAAGGTCCCGGCACAAAGTTTGAGATTGGAGTCCAGGAACTTTGAAAAACTCGTACTGCTGTTTTTTATGCAACACACTGTAAGTATTGATCAACGTGTTGTTGGAGAAGTGACCGCCATGGCGCATCCCGCGAGTATTGGCCCCAATGACAGATCAAGTTAAACTTTGGAATTCCGCGAATGTTCAGGTCACCAGGTGTGCACACGTCCGGTCTTGTGGATAACGGCTGTGGCTTGGCTTAAGAAGTCTGGTCATGAACGGTCCGAGACTCTTAGCCATATTAACCGATCCTATCAGAGATAGGTTGGAAGAAATTCTCCGGTTGTTCGTACGTAATACTTATCATCGGGTTACACAAGCTGACATTGAAAGTACTTTCCTACCAGGTTGGAAACGTACAAAAACCAGGTGGAGATTCCTAGGGAGATGGCAACCTTGGGCCTTGGGATTTTTTGCCCATGTTCTCTATGCTTATATGTTCTCCTTGTGGCACTTGCAGACTGGGGTAGTCATCTTCGGTCTACTAGGCGTTATTGTCTACTCCTGCCGCTCTCGTACACTTAGTTCCCCTGTACTACCCTTACCCCCCGGGCCATCAGAACCTCCTGTCGGACATTAGTATGTGTTGTGGTCATGCGATGAATGTTATATAATGATGCACGACAACAGTTCACCCAGGAAGATTGCTCAGTGGATAGACGAATATGGACCAATCATTTCTTTCCAGAATGGAAAAAATGTACTAGTCATCGTCAGACGTTATCAGGTATGACATCTTGTGGGACGTTACCATTTGGGCATTCACATTTCTGACAGGAAGCGATTGACATCATGGAGCAGCAGGGCGCATTCCTCGCAGACTGTCTCACCACTCCGCAGCCTGATCGTCAACTTGCAGCGCTGACACGCACCTTCCTTGAACAACTCACAATTTTCGTTCTCATTCACCCATGCATCAGATACAGAATGGAACGTGCTCCCACAGGACGTAGCTTCTGCAGACATTTCAATAACTCGTGTGTTCTTTCTTTGTCGTTTGTTTACGTACCTCTTATCTTTCACCAGCTAATGGCAGCTTCGTCGAGACCCGGCGTGGAAGGACCCGGGCCTGCGAGTCCAACTATCACAATTCACGATTAGTACAATCTTCGTTACAGCAAGTCAAAACCACTCGTCATCGGAGCTACTACTCTCTTGCTCCGTATATCATCTGCCCGGTCTGAATCTGAGTCCTCCGTACATTCCAGCTCGTCATTGATAAATTTGCGGTAGTGCTTATTCCGCGCAGGCTTTAATAGCCATTTACCACACGATGGTTTGCACCTGCACATAGTCACCAGCAGGTCAAGGACTTCTCGATTGCGACATGACTGGTTGAAGGCACGACGTCAATGGTGGTGATCGATCAACGGTGTATGCAGTCTTCAATTATGGCCAGCTCCGTATGCGCTCCAGTCCTAGAATCGCTCACGAGATCAACAATTCTTTTAGCTTACATTTAGTGTGATTTTTTTCGCACTCGATGCCTAAGTCACTGATTCATGTAAGGTGATCAACGCTAAAGTCAATAAAAGTTTCAACTGTTATATTCTCACTAAAAAATACTTGAGTGCCATCTAAGTGATAGACCTTCCACGACCAGTGATGCACACATGTTGGTCAATTGATCCTACTGCCCACAGTGCTGGTGATTAATATTTAATCGTCGTTCAAGGTGCGTCCTCGTCGTTCAATTCGCTCAACGGCTCACTCATGCTTAGGAAAGGGTTTTCACTGATTTTATTACTAGTACGTTCCACTAGAGGGGGACTATCACGGGGACTAGCTGTAGCATTGCTAACGCTTGCCGAACGCACTCAGCACCAGGCTGGGGGTTGATGGACCTCGTTCATACCACGTCACTGTAAGAGCAGGCAGGTTTGAGAACAGACTCACCAACGTGTGAGACGGGGCTCTTGATTGGCGAAGGAGCTGGGGTTTTGTAAGTATCTTGTTCACTTAAGGGAGACTCGGCTAAAATTCCAGGTATAGGAGGCTCAATGGCTGTAGTGGCAGAGCATTGAGATTGAAGATCGTAGTGCGAAGACGTCGTCGTCGTTGGTACTGTTCGGTGAGCCTAACCGATAAGATCTAAGATCCAGATGTCATGAGGTAGAGTAAAGTGTGATTTTAGAAAGGATTCAAATAGACTTCTGGATGTCAAAAAAGATGTGGCATTAATCATATGGCGTATGCAGCTTGAAGACAACGATATGGGTAGAAAAAGTCAGCGATTCAGGGGTCCAGAAAACACTTGAGTAACGTTGCGAGTAAGTACGGCATTTAAGCCAATCAGTACTCGGAGAGGAATGCGGAAAAAGACAAAAGGGAAGGATGGGTTGTAAAGTACTCGGCCGAGGTCCTCGTAGAGTGTCTGAAGCAATAACGGATCACTGAGTGTTGCAAGGGTGCAGACAGGAGTGACAAATGCCAAGTCAGAAAGTATATTGGACGGCTGATGCAGCGCCACTGTTACAGCCAGGTAACTATGATGTAGCTATTACGCAAACCGATTTCAGGCTACAGACACTGAAACCTCCGCTGCCTTCTCGGAATCAGCATACGACTGAATGATGTCTCGAGACTTGCTCTGGCCAGCCTATTCGTTCAGTGTCAGTTCCCTCTGTAATGTCTCTTGTGAATGCTATTCCCGTAATTATTGCAGTGCCTCGAGTCGACCACTCGCATGCAGCTGCCCGCCCCCGTGCAACACGAATAATGATGAACAATTGGGCGATGCCCTAGTCCAATAAGGACAACTGATGTCAGAAACAGAGGTAATTCAGGTTTGTTTGCTTACCTGGATTTTGCCAATAGACAGCAAACATAGAGTGACAACGCCGTCGGAATGCATACCAATGGCAACTATAAAAATAATAGCAAAGACCGAGTACAACGCTGCACACTCGATGACCATGAGGGCGATGGCATCATATGTGCTGGAATCGTATTGGGCCATAACCTGCTTCATGCGCCCTCGCATGACGAACAAGCGATTCGTCACGAGAATAGTATAAATCACGGTGTGCCCGACTTCGACGCAGAGGTATGCAAGCTCGACGGGGTTGTTGTAAAATGAACCATTGATCCCCGCCTGGAACAGGACAGTGATAGATAAACCTGCTTGAGATGTTAGTCACCGCTGTCGCTTGGTGAATGATGAACTGCACCGATCATGGCAACATAGAGTGTGATCATTGGGACCATCACACACCTTTCCCAATTCCATATTACAAAACATCGGTAGAGCTAAGTATGTTAAGCATCAGGCTTGTAGCAGACATTCTGGAGAACTATTAAGCTTACGAGCAGAACTTGCATGAACCACGTCTGAATGTGACCACTAATGGAGCGTCAATACTAGAGGTCTTTGGGTGGATGGGCAAGGACACTTACGTGACAAGTGCTATGAAGTTGATACGATAACTCATGAAGTCCTCGATGAGCACGAGCGGGCCACCAGGCGCGTCACGAAGATCGATCCAAATCATCTCTGTATACTTTGCGTTCATACCAAAGTTTATCGTCCCCAATATGAACGTGATGAAGACATAGAAAAGAAGCCCGCAACGATGATCTGCAATTTCTCCCCCATGTCGAGGCCGTTGTATGAGAAAAATCCAGGCTTGCACTGTAAGGAGAAAGAATATGCCTATTACAGTACATAAGTTAACTTCTACATTGTCGTATTCGAACAAAAACACACCATAGACCCCACATGCCACCATCATTCCATTGAGGCGAAATCGTTCTATGGACAGATTGGTCTGTGGGGTTTGGCATGACATGACACCAAATCTGGTGACAGAACAGATAAAAAGAGATTAAGCAAGACACCGAAACGCAGTACTTGCTAAGGTGCAAGTGATGAAGAAAACGAGTGGAGAGCAGCCGTTATATGTGAACTCGGGTAACATTCCTACTATGAGGACAATGAGCCAGCTGTCGCACACATGATGAGGTTGAGTTGACGTTGACGGTTGGGGATGTCACTCACAAACAACAGATATCAAATGTTGACGTGCGGGATCCCGTACATAAGACCAAGATCAAACATGCTGAAGTTGAACTTGAAGGGGTCGGCTGTTCTGAAAGGTTACTTGATCTCGGGCTTGGTAGTCGATTCAAAGCCTGCCCTGTGCTACATGTCGAGGCCGTCGATTCCAAGCTCGTGTTGTGGCTCAATTCTTGTATACGGATTCTCGCTCAACATCAACCTCCGTGCTATGTACCTCAGCACATAGGTGATGGTCTGTGATGGTGCTAATAAACTTGCCAGGCTCAGCCATAACCCGGAGTAACGATAGGACGAGAACACTAATGACTCACAGTCACGTTGAACAAAATTAGTTCCCTGGATGCCGCGATTGCTTACATAGATATCTCTGGCGAGGCCAGTCTCGACCCCTGGTCCCTTGCGATTGAATGAGGGGTGGACCCTGTCAATTGAGTCCACATTAATGGCAGAAACAGACTAGAATATAAATGTCAGGAGCACTACTGCAAAGAGAAATCATGCAACAGCCGCTGCAGCGTAAAGAGCCCGGGGTTGGCAAGTGAGTAAGAAAAGCTCTGCCTAGCGGAACAGGAAACGGGATAGTGCTTACGGCACGCCCAAAGAGGTGGTATTAATGAATGGCTTCCTATAGGCGAAAATAACGCATAATTTCATGCTTTACGTAGAAAGGTGTGCCGCGATGCCTGCAGCTGATGTGGTTTTGTTTCCGTATGAAGAGAGTCGTGGAGTTCGGGAACTTGAGTCGCGCCGTGCCCGGGTTCGAACATTCAACGTTCACCCTCAGCTTACCCTGACGGTAGGGCCTGACATGGGTAGAGGGCGTCCGGGTGGAACTCATAGTGGCGTGCGGGTCTGGTGCTACGGGTTACGAGTTGGTGTAACGGTGGCGCCGCATCAGGCGTCCAATATACGGTCTGGCTTAGCATTTCTCACTCCTGTTTAAACCATTGCAACAACACTCATTTATTCATTATTACTCCAGACACTCTACGAGTCCTTCGGCCGAGTACTTTACAATCCGTCTTTTCCCTTTTCCCCCGTTTCTCTCCGAGTCCAAATACCATACCTACTCTTAGACTTACCCTAGTGTTTTTTGAACCGCAAATCGCAGACTTATTCTCCTATGTGTGTCGTTGCTTCCGAGCCATACGCATGCCTCATCTTTTTTGACATCCAAAAAGTCTATTTGAATCCTTTCTAAAAATAGCATCAGAATCCTAATGAAATATCTTCTTCTGCCCATGCTACTGCGCATTTTCACATTTTTGAGGTTTCTACATTGCCACTGAACAAACTATGCACACTTAGAGCACATATATTAACCCTACTCAATAACAGTTTATTTCGCCAGCTTATTCTTTTGAAATAAACTGTCGAGTACTTAAGGTTTGTGTACTGTTCCTGTCGCGGAGAGTGAAATACGATGCCGAGAGAACTGCCGTGAAGAATACCCAGTATACTCCGCAAAAACTCAGTGCATCGACAACATCAGCGCCGTGCCACAGAGTGGGTGACTATCCGTAGGCTCAAATAATGCGGAATAGAATATAATAGAATAAAAAAACCCATTTAAGGAAGTCGTGCCGCGATGCCGCTGTTCATTTGGGATGAATTTGCAAAACATTATTTTCTTGACCCTCTTATAAACTCTAAATCTGTAAGGGGGGGGGCCCCCCCCCCCTTACAGATTAATCAGTCGGATTATATCCGTTTTAGGCCACTAACGCCTCAGCTATCCGCTGACTAATCCTGACTAATCCACAACTCAGGTCGCTGCCTCGCTCATCTTCAGCTTAGCAACAGTCGTGGCTTCATCATAATGTCTTCGAATATACGGATTTTAACTGCGGTCCAATACCTACACTGGCTGGTGAAAATACTACTGAAGTTTTAAGATTGGTTACAGCAGAACTGCGCAGTCATGTATCACTGTGACCGAAGTTGAGCAATGCTGACCCCAATCTGCCTGTATCTGTCCAGTAACAAGCACCGTCCATCCTTCAAGCTTCAGTGAAGTTTTTTTCTTGTTAAATTCATTGATTCATATATGTCTACTAATGTATGACTGCAACCACAGGGTCTTTTCTGCTATCTATGAACTTTGACAATCACTTGTGCATCTGACGGCAGCAATTTGGGAGACATATAAAAGCTTGAGGACAACAAGGTAAGCTTTTTCTCGATTTAAACACTACTACAATCACACAATGTCTGACATCGCCCCTCTACAATCTATGATACCACCTGGTAGTAGCCCAGCCTACCCAGAATTACACTACAATGACGCTGGCAATGCCTATACATGCAATGCAGCCGGCGCTTGGGTTCCTCACCCAGGAATTTGCAAGGTGAGTTTCATTTTTCACCTCTACAGTTTCAGATGCTCATATTATTATAGGCTATTACTATGTCTCAACAGTCCTTTCGCATCGAACATGGGGAGCCCCAACTGAGTCTTAGCCATGAGGTATGTTGATGGCACCATACTATGATATCATTTGCTCGACTAATTGTGTTATGTACAGCTTGACACCTATGCGCTCAGAACTCTGGCCACGTTCCAATCCAAGGAAGACACACCACTCTTACTGTCCAGTTATCATACTCCTCTGCGCCAGATGCCGATGAACAGTATGATCGATCCTGCATTCCTTCCCCTACCTGAATCTGGTGATCTTGACTTGACCGATGCTGTAACTATTGCAGAGGCTCAAGGCCACACTCCAGCGGTCAAAGCAGCGGGCTCGCGTCGCCAGGTCAAAGGCCCGAGGGGCAAAGGTAAAACCAAGGAAAATTTGACATCTGCTAACTCAAAAAAGTGTTCCCAAGAGTATGCTGATGAAGATGATGAGGCGCATGCGCGGCGAGGCCACCCTCAAGGATCTAACAACTATACGATTTCAGATGTGACTATTCTTCTCAACATGGTCTGTCAGGAGCTCCCCCTTGGTCAATGTGGGTGGCAGGCTGTCCATGTCAAGTTTTGCCAATGGGCGAAAGCAAACGGCCATCCTGAGCGCAAAGTCACTTCGCTCAAGACAAAGTTCAAGCAGGTAAGGTTTGAATTGTCATATGGCTGCAAGATGGCTCACACATTGAACTACAGCTTGTAAAGACTACAAAGCCCACAGGAGATGGTGTCTGCCCTCCAGATGTCACACGTGCACTTCGCATTGATCAACTTATCAATGAGCGTGCGGGAACCTGTGACCTGGACGATATGGATTTTGATACCATTGAAGACAATGATAATCACTCTGTTGTCTCCGATGAGATCGACATTCAGGACGAGCCATACCATACCTCCCCCCCAGTTCAGCACACTGCTGTTGCACACTCCACTGCTTGCACAGATGCCCCTGTTCCACATCGCAATGCTCGAGGAGCTGCAGCTACAGATCTCCTCACTCACCTTTCTGGAGCTTTTGACCCAGCCGCCCAGCGCAACTGTGATGAAGAACACGCCAATCGCAGCCTGGCTACTGTGCAACTACTTACCCAGAGCCAGCAGCTGTGTGACTCACAAGCCAGTGTGGAAAACTTGCAGGGCCAACTCTTTGGTTTGCGCACTCACTTGTATGATGTCGAATGTGAATGTGATTGGGCCCAGCTTCGCATTGAGATGATGGAGATGAGCGGATCCACATGCCATCAGCATATCCAGATGCCCAGATGCAAGAACTTGCATCAAGAATGGTACCCTGAGGGTGGGGGATCTGTTAGGTGGATTACTGACAAGGGTGAAAGTACTGCGTCCAAGGCATCCAAGCCACCTCACTTTCAAAGATGGGGGCCATCTGGATGTTGCAAGTATTCTGATCGCCCGCACTTTGAGGACTTGGCTGATGAACCTTCCAAGTCCCTTCAAAGGGAAGTGTCACAAGAGATTTGATTGTACAATGCTATTTAGATAGTTTTGTAGTGTGTTTAGGGTACCAATGTACCATTTGAAAAATTGACTGTCCTCTTGTCTGTCCTCTTGTCCGTCCTTGTCCATCTCATGTGAGATGGACAACATGCAGCAGTACTACAAGACGGGCAACATGCAACAGTACTACAAGACGGACAACATGCAGCAGTACTATGAGACGGGCAACATGCAACAGTACTATGAGACGGACAGCATGCAGCAGTACTACGAGACGGACAACATGCAGCAGTACTAGATCACTTTTCTATCCTCTATACGAGATGGGCAACATGCAGCAGTACTAGATAACTTTGATATCCTCTATACAAGACAGGTAACATGCAGCAGTACTAGACATCTCATATGTATCTACTGGTATTCCAATGTGACATGAAAGCGTGAAACTCGATCCTTCTTCCTCTGGTCTGAAAATAACATATTCTCGAAATCTCACCACACATCCATATCATCTTCTGTAGCCTGCCAAAGGTTCATGTACACAGTCCGTATCTGGTTGATTCCAACGCATATGGCACGGAGATTGTGCAGGTGAAGACATATTTTGATGAGGTTGCTGCGAGCTTCTTCATTAGCAATGTTGAGTGGTAGATGTAGCCTTCCAAAGGCTCCTTGGATGGCACACATACCCCATTCTGCTGTTTGACGGTACGAAAGTAGTTCACAGTTAAATGCCATTTGTTCCACTATCTCGGCAACTGAGCCGTGTAAAACCTGACCATGTTTAAGAGGTGCACGAATGCGCCCATTAATGGAGGATGTCCCTCGAGGGAAGGCAGTATCCACAACGATGTAATAGTTGGGAGGTGTGTGGAGTTGAAGTTGAGTGTAGATGCGAGATGTGAGGCAAGAATCATGCCAGCTACCAGGTGCATTGGTCCTTGCTGCGATCACGATGCCTTTGTAAAGAAAGAATTAAGTACAGACTATTGCAAAAGAGAAGAAAACACACCTTCAGCCAAAAAAGTCATGACAGAACTTATGAAGTGCTCAGAGAGCCACCCATTGTAGGTAGCATTTTCGATGTCATCATCCTCAGAAGTTTGCACAGGCAATTTGAGCCCATCGATGCTCCTGAAGGCACCTTGCAGTTGTGGGTGACATGTGATCACAAGTGCACTACACTGTTCGAAATCGGGTCCCCATGGCCATTGAATTCTGGCATCAGTCATCAAATGGAGAGTTTGTAAGAGCATTGGCAGTCCAGAAGTGAGATAGCGAGAGACAGTGGCAGGAATCAATGTAAAGATCTGTTGAAGGCTAGTCTCCTGCATGGTGGAGTTGAGATAGTGAAGTATGAGGCCAAGTGCTCCACCAGCGTTAAGTGAACGCTGATTCAAGCATGGAATGCCATGGAAATTGATATCAGGACGGTTGATGGGCCTCTCATACCACTGAGTGGCAAAGCCAGAAGTAAGAATGAATTCAAATGCTTGGACATCGATGCCCATGGTTGTAATAAAAGCACGGTCATTCTGACTTTCATACAATAGTTGCCATGGAGTATTGCAATGTGGATCAGGGAGTAGCTGAGCGTGACAAAGGTAAAGTCGTCCTGGGTTGTGCGCTTTGATACGATCAAGTCGAGCAAGCTTGATGCCAGCAACCAACGTGGCTGCTAACATTCTTGCATCTTCTTTGTCATCAATAAATTCCATTTCTTCTGCATTGTTTACCAGAGCATGCTGTAGCAGTAGTTCTTCCATCGGAGTTCTCACCAAGAAAATCCAGATTATTTTATTCCATATGCGTTACGGTTTAGTATTCTATATAGATTATCTTTTGCAAATGCATTTCAAAGTCCGTTATAATCTATTCTGGATTATTTAGCCTACAGATAGTCATCCAGTAGCAAGAGAGAATCTACAGCGAACCTCTAGGAAAATCTTGCAGTTGCGCTCCTCCAGATATTTGTGCAGAGAACGATGCATGCCAGTCATTGGGTCAACAACTAGCGGGTGCAAAGAGCTAATCAGAAAGTACTCGATATTTGCTTGCACTTCTGCGGCTCGGCACATAATCAGACTCAGTTTACTCCGATGTCTTGCCGACAACTTCAGATACGAAATAAACTGGGGAAGAAATAAGTTATTGAGTAGATCATTAAGTCTTTCATGACAAGGATCAGACAGAAATGTGTCAGAGTATCGATATCCAGGATATATCTTCGATTTTTACTGATTAAGACTTCCAGACATGGTATATCATAATCAGACTTCACAATTTTTGGAAGCGGAGCAAGGGACGCCCAAGAGATCAGAATTCTACACATGTACGTGATCAGAGTACAAGATTTACGTTTGTCCCTGTTGATTTGGTCGCAACAAACAATAAGCTTAGAGGCCGAGCGCTGAGCAAGATCCATGTCAGTAACGCTGGCACCTAGTAAGACTAAACTAATAGTGTCGCCGCAGCACTGATCGCAGCACGCCCCATATGGTGCAGCGTGTGCTCTCAAGCTTGCTTTGTACCATTTGTTTTTTGTATGTTGGTTAAGTATTTGTAATACGCAATGGGCACCGTCAACCATGTCACGGCCGGGTGCCACTGTATCTACGTATACGTGTTCAAACTTTATTTATTTCCTTTGGACCAGACATGTCTCGTCCGTGACCACAGGGGTAAATACAACGTTACTGTTCAACCCATGTGACACTGACACTGATTGGCAGGGAGGAAGATTGGTCAAGAACTAATGGCTTCAGAAGAATATCTTGCAGTGGTTGACATTCAGTCTATCGTGCGCTGCTGACTCAGAGTCTCGGACCGCCTTCGACTGCGGAGATCAAAACACGGAATGAAGCGTTCGTTGTGCCAATGCACTTTCTGATCACGGTGGTGGGCGCGTGTCCTCGAGGTTTCCATGAGACTCCTAGGCACGGCGGCACTTTATCGTGTTTCGTTTGACAGAATATTAATGTCAAGATCGACGGGACCACCAATATTTACATAATAGAACTACAACGTTCTCCCGTCGTCCCCTCGTATCTCCTAAACATGATCACATATACGAGTCATCGATATCTCTCCAATTCGGAAGAGTTCTACTGACCGGTGATGCACTTTTCATTGAAATCTGACGACAAATATGCCCGAAGGTGCATTACAGTTTGGTGCCTATTGAGCCAGTGGCGGTCCACGCCGAGAACGTGCTTATGGGGCTTACTAGTGGCTGCGGGGATTTTTTTGCAGTAATTCATGGTCATGGCTGGTAAATCATTGGACTGGCAAAGTAACCGCGATTCGGCATTACGAGATAAGACAATTCTCTCTGACTAGCTTAGCTCTTATGGGCAGGATCATCACCAGGAAAAGCCCTGGGCGTCATCGCCGATGGAAGCCTGGGCCCTTGGCAACGCCTCCCGGAGCGCGTCAGTGGTCACCATTCAGAGATACAATCGTTCGTAAGTCTCGCACTATCACTCAACAAGAAGCTTACCCTAAGAAGTTGTATAATACTTCCAACAGTGGCTCTTGGTTTCAAAGATGAAAGATGGGAGTACACGCCACAGCGGACAACAGCTATACACGGACCACACATCTGTGCAGTAGGTCTTCATATTATGGGAAATTGGTTTACCTGCCACATCAGTGCTAGTGAGCAATCCCCATACTTGACTTTGACAATCGGCTAACAAGCTATTCCATCTACTTATAATAGGGATTCATTATACATCCCGAATGAGTCGCATCCAATGTTATTTATATGGTCAACCCTCAGATGAAATGAACCTATCAGCGAATAGAGAAACAACTTGACTCCAATCGTTTCACGAAGTCTCCATTGCGTGCTAGGTGTCACATGTGTGGAGTTCTTCGGTTTGGTTATACGTAATGTATGCTCCATTCCTAAATTGACACCAGACTTACCTGGTGGGCGTGATGGCTCTAGCATTCTTTGTCTACAAAAGCAATGAGGTCCATGGAAGGATGGCACCCTAGAACTTCCACATGCCCTCCGTGCTTGATATGTTCCTCACATGGAACTGGCAGACTGGGGCAGTCATCTTTGGTCTACTAGGCGCTGGTGTTTACTCTTACCGTTCTCGTACATCTAAGTACCGTCAGCTGCCCCTACCTCCTGGTCCATCAGAGCCTCCTCTTGGGGAGTAGTATGTCGTTGCCATGCGACGATCTTCATATACTGATACACGACAACAGTCCACCCAGGAAAATTGCTCAGTGGATAGCAGAATATGGACCAGTCATATCTCTCAATGATGGAGAAAATGTACTAGTCATCATCGGACGTCACCAAGTATGATCGCATCTTGTAGGATATTGCCATTGGGGTATTCACATCTGACAGGAAGCGATTGACATCATGGAGAAGCAAGGCGCATTCGTCGCAGACCGGCCTCGTTCGGTCGCTGGCGGTGACATCCTCGGGAGAGGAATGCGATTCGTCCAACTTCGCTATGGAGAAAGGTTCCGCAAATTTCGCAAGTAGGCGGCGCATCAATTGAATTAAATCCTGACTGACTGACCATCCTGATCACATCAGAATTACGCATTCGCACCTCCAAGTGAAGACTGCTCAGACTTACGAGCCGATACAGTTCGCGCATGCACGTGAGATTATTCAGGACATACTGCACGAGCCCAAGTTGCACCAGCAGCATATCAAGCGGTTCGTCTGTCCTTTACTCTCACATTTCGGCTGGTGACATCTGCGCATAGTTACGTAGCATCTGTAATTATGCATGTTGTCTATGGGAAAACAACCCGCACATCACTTGATGACCCGTATCTACTGCGGCTGCAAAGGATGGTCCCAAGGATTCAGAGCGCGATGGCACCAGGCGCGTACCTCGTTGACAAGTACCCCATCCTCAAATATGTCCCTGGTTATGGCCGAGATTTGAAGCAGTGGGGACAGGAAGAATACAATATGTTATCTGGCCAGTTCAAGTGGGTTAAAAGTGAAGTGGTACGGACCCTTCTTCTGTTGTTACATCATTTTCGTCCTGACCTGCAACAGGAAAGCAACATTGCTCCCCCTTCAGTTACAAAGGATCTCCTCCTACACTCCGACGAAAACAAACTGTCTGAGGCAGAGATAACATATATCACTGGGTCCCTTGTCGGAGCAGGCTCCGATACTGTAAGCAAAAGAAGTTGATATACATAAGCTTGACCTAACTTGCGCAATCTTAGACTGCTGTCGGGACTTCAACGGTGTTAATGGCTGCTGCATGTTTCCCACACGCACAGGCTCGCGTACATGAGGAGCTGGAAACTGTGGTTGGTAGAGAGACCCGTATGGAAGTAAAACTCATTGTAGTTCAAAACCGACTGACCTTGTGTCGCAGCTCCCACTTTTGAGGACTGGTCGCAGCTTGTTCAGGTTCAAGCCTTCATTCTGGAAGCTCTTCGATGGAGGCCTATCAATCCAACAGGTGAGGCAAGGAGGCACATTTAAGATTATTTGGTTGATTAGCATTCCTAGGATTCCCGCACCGCGCAACGCAAGATGTAATTTGGGTATGTCGCACAAAATCACAAATCAAATCTGAGTTCATCATCATCGCAGAACGGCATGTGCATCCCTGCTGGCGCCATCGTCCGTGGAAGTAATTGGTTAGTGCACGTCAGGATTTACTGTCTACAATTTCTTACTTTGTTCTTCAGGTGCATCGGGACGTGACCCCTCTGTCTTTCACGATCCAGAAGTATTCAATCCACAACGATGGATCGGTTCAGACGGAGAAATCAGAGAGGACATGAAGATATTCACTTTTGGTTTTGGAAGGACGGTAGGTATCATTTCCTTATTTCACTGGGTTTCCGCTGACCATATCTTAGTGCATGCCCGGGAGTGCATATTGCTAGACGGTGAGCCGACAGCATGGCTTCATAGTTACTTTGTCTCATTACATCCACCACATTTCAGATCAGTGTATATCGCCGTCGCTCTTATGTTCTGGTCCTTCACGGTGGCAGAAGACCCCAATAATCCCATCGACGATACTGCTTTTACCCCTGGTGTGGTATCTCACCAGATGCCTTTCAGCCTGGTGTTCAAGCCCCGCATTGATGAAACATTGTTGAGAAACACTTTCTGTTAGACGGCATAAGAATGCTTCCGCTTTGTGTTGCTGTCGTATAGCGCTCTTGGTGTTTTCATGTAACTTCTTAGGTTCGTTATAGTTTCTCTTGTTAGCCATGTACTGTCATTTCCTGCTCTGCATTATACGCCTTCTGTGTAAATATTTAGAACAAAATAATGATGCAGTTGTATTTTGATGGTCGCATCGGACAGCTTTGTGTGACAATGCAACATTATGAACCCACTCATCACTCCCTCGAGTGAAGGAGACCACGGGATTGGTTGCTGCGTGGATCTATATATCATCCCCACTGACCCCTGATGAATTTATCTTCAGCGTACACCATCCAAGAGGCGAATCCCACTTTGCACAGTTACAAACCCGCAACACTTAACACCATCTTTCCCTGCAGATGCCTCAGACGAATCAAGAAGATGGGCGTACAAAACAAACTAAGCATTTGACCTGCCAATCGTCGAAGAAAAAAACCACTCGTGCATGGGGCAGAACAATTGGTGTACTAGCAACAATTGCACGCCAAGTTCCAAGGGGACGCGTTGGGTACATTCATCACGATGGTGAGAACCTATCTGTGATACGATCTCCGGGTGATATGATGCGTTTCGAGTGATTCCTGGTCGGGCGCGAAGACTTCGGCTAACATTGCGATTGCAAAATGAGCTGCTCCGCTGAGTGATATTATCAAGGTGTGAGCAGACCATTCTCAGTGACACCAAAACCTTTATCTTCGTGACTGATTTAACCAGTGGAGAAACGTTAGACAAAAGTCATTTGTACTGTATTCGATAGAGTGCATCTATAACGTCTGCTTAAGAGTCCAACAGTCATTCAATCAAAGTTCAACTAGAAAGCGTCTGTAATCATACAAAGGTGGAAGTGAGGAGTTCCTAGGAGGCTAGCATCATTTGAACTTGTTCAGCAACTTCGACCCGCCTGTAGAGAAACAACATCAGCAGTGAATGGCAGAATGTTGTTCAGGAGCAGACTCACTCTGCGCAAGGTTCTCCAGCTGTCTCCTCGCATCCCTCCCCGCGATGCCCTCCAGCCTGTCTAGTGCGCGCCCGGCGATATTGAACCCACCCCCTCCACCATTGCCTGCCGGTGCCGACTGGTTCGGGGCGTAATAGTTCTGAGATTGCGGGTGTATGGGAGGACCTTGTGAGCACGACCAGAATTAGCAACGCGAAGGCAGTTGTGAATAGAAGATACACACGATTATGGTGCGCTACGGGCGGAGGCGAGTTTGAGATTCCCCATTCAGGTGGAGGGTATGGTCGAGGAGAGTGTGAACCACCAGGAGGTTGTGCGGGAGAGAAATAGTCTTGGGCAAGTGGATTTGGTGCGGGGTAGGTTGAATAGGGATGTGGTGGTTTGTTCGTTGCCATGTAAGGCTCTTGAGGTACACCGGAATTTGGAATTGTATTCGGATGGAATTGTTCTACGCGGGGGAAAGAGGCGGCGTGTGAATGCATGTTGGCATCATGTCGATCGTATCCTGGTCCGCCTATAGCGGAAGGCTTACCCTGTGGAGAGGGTGAAGGGTGGGAATTGAGGGGTGGGGCAGGGGGATGATTGTACGGAGTATAGTGAGGCTGTTGTTGACCAGGATATTGGTACCATGATGCAACAGGTACTGAAGAAACCGGCGGGCGCGGAGAAACTGACGGGGTTGCGGGCGAGGTGCTAGGACGCCTTAGGCTCGCCTCCACGGAAGGCATTTGCATGACCGGAGAATAATTCCCTGATGCATGGGATTGCTGTGGTCCTGGGGCAACTTCTGACGGGTGATGTGATAATTTCTGTCGGGCGAGATTATCGGCCAAATAGGCCACAGTAGAAGATGCAGGCGCAGGAAGAGGGGAAGAAGCTCGAGAAGATGGCCTGACAACGGAATGCGAGGAGCTTGGCCGCTGATAGAGCTGATGGGGACGCATGACTACATCCACCTTATCGGGGGGATATGCCGGTCTTGTTGACATCGAAGGAGGCATCGAAGGAGGTGGAGGGCGAGAACTCATATTAATGGCAGGAGGTCGGCTGCTCGCCGATGACGGGCTCGGGGTCAGCGACGAACTCCTGGCTGGAACAGGTGGTTGGGACACAAAAGAGTCTGACGCACTGGATGAACAGCCGAGGGTGGGCTTGGTGGCTTCAGATGGGACGGGCCGGACATTGAATGCACCGCTTGTTTGAGAACTCCGTGTGTGATCATCATCTTCCAGCCTATATGGTGGAGGAGCCTCATCTATCATTGGGCCTCCCTCTTTGGTAGCCCAATCGTGATATGCTCGTTGAGCTTCCTTCCATTGCTCCGCCTCCTCCTCGCGAGCTGTCTTATCTTCATACCTGGGGCGTGTTGCCCAATAATCCTGTAACTCCTTGAACGGAAATGTCTCGTGTATCATACGTTCACCGCGTAATGATTCGGCGGCGAGACCAGTTATGCGCATATACCAGTCTGACGGAAGCGAATGGCCATCAGCGTCGAGCGCTAGGAAGTTAAACTGGGGGTGAACAGGAAGTTGCTTTGAAGAAGAGACAACAGGCATGAATGCTGTTCCTTCATCATATTCGTCCCACATGGCCCCGTAAATGATGCGCACCCCTGCGCGTCGAGCAGCATATATTTGTGTCCAGAGAAAGCGGCCCCCGTTGCGCTTTATGTCATTGAGTCCCCATTTTCCGCGAGAGAGATTATAACCCTGTAGAACATAAACAATAATCAGTAGGAAAATGATCATAGACAGGTATCAGTGGACCTACACTGCCTCCAGGGAGCACCACGGGTATGTAATCTACTCTTTTTTTGCCTTCATCTCCCCTTTGCTTCAAAAAATCGAAGTCCTGTTTGACTTTTTCATTTCCCCAGCGTTCCGCATCCTCTTCGTTTCCGTAACGCCCGACAGTCCAAGGGCTCAGTGCATCAAATTCTTCTGTCCAGACTCGCAAGAACTCAGGGTCCGGGTCGCTATCAGATATCGATGTGCGCCAGTGTCCAGGTACACCTGCCATAAGATAAGCACCGCCTGGTGTGGAGGAACGAAAGAAATTTGTGATAGATCGAACGATTGCTGGAGAGTGGTTTCTGCCGTTGAATCCAAAACCTGGAGGGGGGCAGGTGAGCTAAACAATCAGAGTGATATGTATCTGCACGCATACCCCATAGAGCTATGACGGGACTGCCTTTCTCGCGAAGGTAATTGGGGCTGTCTAGAATGCATTTATCACGCACGAGATGTATCCAATCTTGCTCGAGCACCCGCTGGATCTTGTCTGGGTGAACACCCGAGACATCATACCTAGATGCGCAATGAATATCGATCAAACTGAGTTGACAAGTATGCGCACATGATGGCAAAGACCCTTCCCTCTGCTTCAGCAGCCTCTCGAACACGATCACCCACTTCATCTCTGATTTTCCTCATTGCTAAGCCCGCCTCTATGTCGCATTGACCTGCAAATCGTTGTAAGAACGCGCCGTCGACACCGTGCAACGCCATCCAGTGGAAATGGCGCTTCACCGTCTTCGAGTGGCGCGAAGAGAAGAGAAACATTTGTTCTCCGTCTGCGTTCTTGAGACCTGGGGCAGGGTACAGCTCGGATGGGGAGTAATCAGATACATCTGGCCATAGATCTGTATTAGGGCGTCCACCGTCTGGTATCGGCTTATCAAACCAGTGCAGCCACCCATGGTGGTTAGGATCTAAGGGTTCGCCATCTCCATTACAGGTGAACCTGCAAAAGCAACGTTGAGTACGAGGCTCACTACATGCATCCCATCATCCGTCTGCGACTCTAGACCACTCCAGAGACGCTCAAAGATGATTATGAAACCCGGACGGTTCACGAGCTTGCATCTGAGAGAAATTTGAACGCACCATCCTTGATATCCAACTAGAAATTTGTCCTGTATTGTCTTTGGGTTTGCTCTGCGGTGAGATTCAAGGTGATGAGTAACAACGCCACTGCACAAGGGCAAAGGTGGGCATACCTCTTGAGAACTCGTCCTTCTAACTCTTTTCCCGACATGGTGTGAAACAAAGCAACAGGATGTTACGCAGCAACTCCTAAGCCTCTGAGTCACTGGCCTCAAGGTCAGAATCAGGAACACATAGTATAAATATAGGTACCGGCGACTATGCGCCCAAGACCCCGACTCCACAGGGCCGCTCAGCGCTCATCATTCGTTTTAAGTTTCAGGCAGGGCCGAGAGTTGAAAGCTATCGGCGTTTTGCAAGCAATATATAGGGTATCGTGCCGTACAAACGATTGTCTCGCTAAGTACGTAGGTTATCATAGTCCAACTGCTGATTGCCCGCGCAACTTGAAGAACCTAGACGAGGGGGGAAATTACTTTCAAACCCAAGATCAAATCCAGTCCAAACACGACGAACGAAGATACAGCTCGTCGCAAAACTGGATAGAAAAGCCACATCAACCAGACAGAAAGGCAACAGACAAAAATTCCATGCAAGGCATCAGAACTTGCTGCCTCAGGCGGGGCCAGCGAAGCCCATGACAGTGGCAGATGCGGGTCAAGTTCGAGAGCTACGTCTGGTTGAGGGATCGTGCTATAATCTGGTTCATGGTCCATGACTCGGAACAAAATCTGGGTCAGTCATGGTTCGGAACAAAACCTGGTCCATGGATCGGCATAGGGTTGGGTCAGCAAGGAAATATTTACACGGACGAAGCAGAGCAGCCACAACAACCTCTCCAAACAGAACCTCAATATAGTCCGAGAGGCACATAAACGGGAGACAGAGAGCAACAGAAATTTGATAGAATGGAGACAACGTGCAAACAAAGCCTCATTAGGTGCAGCGCGTAAGCGACGGAAGGGATTTGACAGACTCTGGACGGGTACGCTTCTTCGGGACAAAGTTTGCAGGAAGTTGGCAAGCTGCCTCTATGACGACAGGCACGGGCAAAACAGAAAGTGGTCATCAGGAAAGGAAAACCACGTAGGATCATCGCTGACCACGGTGACATATAGAGCGCTGATATCGGCCATTAAACGATGAGGTACGTAGAACAGCGAAGAAATGCGCACCTTTCCAAAGAAAGAGGGGGAAGGAAACACGGGCGGGGCCTCGAAGGACTTGGTCAGGCATTGAATAAATGTACGGCGGGCACTGAACGCGTTCGACCGGTATGAGACATCTGATGCATCAAGCTCAAGGCACAAGATGCTACAGGCTCTGCATGAACTCCCGACTAGCTAGAAGTAAAATTTGGATAGGGCATGATCATCGGATCCATTGGTGAGGAGATTCGAGAACCGCGAAAGAGAGGGTGATCTTTATGTTCGACAAAGCTGCAGCGTTGAGCGCTGAGGTTGGAACGTGGGAAGTCGACCGTGTAGTCATTTTGTGACATAATTCATTCCGTAAAATGATTATGTTCGTGACTTTTCAGCGACATCCAGGAGCACATAACGCGCTGAGCTGCCCGTAGACTCAATTCTGTGCTGGCCGAGACACGAGGCTAGCACAGAAAACCAGATTCTTAGATCAGGCAGCGGGATCGGGATTGGTGCACCAGGGCTGGCTGTCGAAGGTAATTAGCAATGGGACTGACAAGTTTCAGATTGCATCAGGCGCTGCCTTGGGTTCACTTGTCCATAGCTATCGACCGTAGTCCGACAGCAGGGCTTTCAGATTCTTTGCCTCTAATTACCACGCATAAGATGGGCAAATCGTATCCGCATGTTAAAGAGAAAATTTGGAATATGCTATCTCACTGGTGTAAAACTATGACAGTACCGTAGATTGACACAGAAAGCAAAAGATACTACAGGGTCGTCATACTAAGTGCAGTGCTCTCATAGACCGACCTGGTAGTGTCAACAGGATTTTGGAACGTGTCACTATTCAAGAAGCCCGAGAACTCTCAATAGAGGTCTGTATTAAACTGTAAAACGGTCACGTGTGCCTACAACATTGTGATTTTGGTAACAAGCGGCAAACTATGTCGTGTAAACACTCACAACATACTGCGCTCCTGCCAATCTTGCGTCGCAAACAATGCTTGACTCATTTCCGACGCTTTGACAGGCTGGGGATCATCAGTAAAACACTTTTTTTTCCCACCACCAAAAAATGGCTGGCCACAGCTTGGTCCCTTCTGTACAGAGCTGTACAAAGCCCACAGAGGCAAAGTGATTTGCTGATGATGTCCGATTTGCGCTGGCTGTTGCGGTTGGTTCGGGGTTCATCCAACATGCACTTTCTAGATGTGCCAATATATAACACAGCAGCATTGGGCCTCAGAGAAGAGCCAGATGGTAAATGTGGTGCAAGAGAGGAAGTAGAGGGAGAAGGTTGGGTTGATGAGTGAGGATTAGGAACAAACCTCACATGTGAGGTAACAACAAGTTCTTCTATGAGAAGCACAGTTGCTGGAGTTGATGGTCCTCTGATTGACATACCAGAGGTAGATGTGAATACTGAAGCTCCCATTGTCGGCTGGTGGAATTCAGGATTGATGGCTGACAGCCCTTTATTAGGCTGTGTATTAATGGGTTCAAACTGAGCATGAGAGAGAATTATAAGGGGCATCATAGAATCAAGAAAAAACCAAACCTGAAACAAGGCAATATCAGCTTGTTAGATAGGTGGATTGAGAATCATTAGAAAATGCATACCTTTGCAAGTTTCTGCCCTTCAGATAGAATATCAAGGCAAGACTGCAGACCCTTCAAACACCACACCACTTCCAGCCAGGGGATAATATGACCATTCCAAAAAGCCTGGAATATATGCTTGAGCATGTCATCCCATGGATTAGGGGCACACGAGAGATGTGTGGCCCAGTTGTGACAGGTGTACTTGAGAGTGTTGGAAGTTGTTTGACTGCGTTCCAGCGCTTTGTTTGTGAAACTCTCAAAGGCATTCATAGTATGAATAATCTCCTTATCTGGTAAAAAAAGAATTTCTGGTATTGCAGAGGTAGAATGATGGTGGTATCTTAATGCCAGGAAAACTGGAAACATCAAGAAATCTGGTAAGGTCTTGAACTGCTGGATTACTTGAAAAGCTGGTGGCAAAGGCACATCCACATACTGCAGTCACTTAACCCTTGATAAAAACATACAGCTGAGGTTGAAAATTCCCTGTTCCACACAGGCCAGCCCATGTGGACCCATCAATATATTGTTCTGTTAGATACAGATGGGCTGACATCAAGTGTTTATCTGATACAATCGGTGGGCCCATAGTATGTAGTGTAGTAGATAATTGTACACTTTTCTATTGAATTTGGTAGGTAGTAGTGTATGAAATATATACCTGATATGAACAGGTGGGCCAAGTGGGCAGCGGTACTGATATATACAGATGGGCTGATATTCAAACCATATAGATGTATTGTGGACACTGGTTGGTCAATGGGCCAGTCATCATAATATATGTCCCAGGGCCACCTCAGTAAAATATGATGGATGATGGATAGCATAGATCCCATTCATGATGTACATGCCAGGACCACCTCAGTCAAGAACACAGTCAGTCAAACATTTTCAGGGCCAAGTGATATGAAAGTGGGCAAGGCAATCTACCATCGGTCATATATGGAATGCCGACTGGTGGCAAGAAGATGTTGGTGAATGGTGGAAGACAAGTACAAATTGGGGCACCAACTTGAAAAGATGAATGAGATGATGCTGCCAGTCACACATAGAATGCGAACCAGTGGCAAGAGATGTCAGTGTATTGTGAGAGTTGGTGGAGTGTTTGGTGTGGGGAATCACATGGACCAACCTATTGATTGCAAGGGCTGACCTATTGATTGCATGGGCTGGCTGACTGATTGCATGGAGTATAAATCCATGTCATGCAGGGAGCTCGGATGAAACAAGATCAATTCAGCCAACATACTGTTGGTTCTTGTCACACAGTAAATACAAACCCAACCAATTGAATTGGATATTGATATACAGGCCAAATATGCCAACCAGTGAATAATGTATGGTACAACTATGAAGTCCATGACAACTGGCAAATAATCTATTGTACAACTATGAAGTCTGCTGAATGACCAACCCAAACTCTATTTACAACTATGTATTCAGTCATGCCTTAAGGGACAGACCATGCAGCAGATGGAGGTGATGACAAGGCAGGAACATGGTCCAACCTGAGGAGGAGCCAATGAAGGACTGGCAAGTGCTGAGACTGAGGCAGCTTGGCCGGATGTGAAGGTGGTGCCTTGGACATCAAGATGACTGAAAAGGCAAGAAGCTGAAGAAGCAATGACTGAAGGACCAACCAAGGGACCATACACTCTGTTCAAAAACTCCATGCCCAAGGCTTGCACCTGCATGGTGGCCACAGTAGGACCAAGGTTGCTGATGGTCAGTGCCAGGAAGGATGGATTGCTGGCAGTGTGTGCCTAGGTGAAGCTTCTTGACCAAGCCGACCAGGCTGTCAACAACTGTGACAGTGTGGCCGACATCTTGCTGCATCTGAGAGAACTCCGCATGCATTGACAACATGTGGGTCTCGAAATCTCTCTCCATAGCATTGACCCTGGTGAGAGCATCCTGGTCGACCATTTGCATGGCAGCAACCTGTGCAGCAAGGGCAAGGACATGTTTGTGAACATTGCTAATGGTTGGTGGCAAAGATGCCGAGTGGAAGGAAACGTGGTTGGCAGCAGGAGTGGGGGAGGGGATGCCCAAGGGCATGTTGTTGGAGGTGGGTTCCAGCCAATGGTCAGCAGGGAAGTCATCTTCCAAAGCGATGGGGTCAGGCTGATTGCTGGTGACCACATCCTGCATCTCAGCATTGATGTTGGTGGGCTTCCTGGCATTGATATCAGCATTGATGTCAGCTGCTTCAGCAGCGGGAACCAAGGCATCTAGAAAGAATGTCAAAGTGTGTTCAGATGAAACAAAGAATGACTTACCTGTGTCCTTCACTGCTTCCTCCTTGGACTCCAAGATGGGAGTTGCTGGACATGCCTGAGAAGTTGCTCTGGCATTCCTTGAGTGTGCCCTGGGCTTGGAGGCTGATGTGGCCTTGGATTTCAGGGGAGTGTGGGCAGGCTGCTGGGCTGATGTGGCTGATGCTGGTCAGTTGCACTGCACCTTCATCTTGTGGCACTTGGAGCAGGCCTTCATAGGCTGCCCATTCATGCCAACAATGACGAGTCATGGCACATCCACATCAACACACCTCTTGCAGGGTGGGTCATACTATTGGATGATTAGTACTCTTGCTCAGTATGAGGTAGAAGACAGGTGACTTACAACATTGGCCTCTGCATTAGCCTTTGCAAGTCAGTGATCTTGGCTGCCTTTGCCTTCCCTTCACCTTTGTCAGGCATGGGGCCAATGGTGACCTCAGACTGCTGATGAGAAATGTTGAGGGGTGGAGATCACAGGGCAGAGGTAAATCTCACCTTCTTGACCCCTTGAGTTGATCTCTGCTTGTGAGTTAGCAACCAGGTGAAGATGCACAACACTGATGTACTTACCTTTGATTTTGGTGAAGCCACCGGTACAGGTTCAATGGTCTTTGACCACTAGAGTGATGTTAAAACATGCATGACAATGCATTAAAAAACAAAACATACCTTGGGCAGTATGATGACAAGTCCAGGAAGCTGGTCCTGGTCCTTGTCCTCAGTGTCAGTGAACAAGGCTTTTGACATTGCCTTGGACACTCTGCATCTCTTGCAGCCTTTGTCAGCATCTGGGCTATCCTCTCTGGACCTGCAAGTCCCGCAGGTGGGTCATTTTCCCTTGTTGGTCATCTGATGACTGGTGACAGGGAGAGAGTCAATTGGGGGGATGGAAATGTCCTTGGGAGCTGGGACCAGGGCAACCTGAGGTGCAGGTGCAGGCGCAGTTGTGCTGCCTTTTACTGTGAAGGAAGGTTAGTTAACAGATGTCAGTATCATCTGTGGCAACACGCCAACTCACCATAACCAGTGGTCTTTGGGGAGAACAGGTGGGCCTCCATGTGAGGATCTTTATCCTGCACATGGGCCCACAGTGGCCACTTGCCTTTATTTATGGTCGCCCTCACCTCAGCTGCTGCAGAGAGCAGGAATGGCAAGATGACCAAGGCAAGCCTGCCATACTGCTGAAGAGCAGTGGACTTTGGAGTGTCAGTATGTGCATGAGAGGAATCAGGCTGAAAGAAACTCACCACTTTGCTTGCAATATCATGAGCTTGGTCAACGACCACATGACCATCTGCTTCCCAAAGCTTAACTCAGTGAACTGCAGCATGGACAGAAGTATCAGCAAGTGCCAAAGCAAAGTTGCATTCGAGTTCAGTAGACATCGTGATAGTGGGATTGAGACAATGTAAGAGTTCAAGAATGTATAAAAGATAGGAAGAGATGAAGGTGTCAACCTTGTTAAATGGGAAAGAATTTGGTGTGGATGTGAATTGGACTTGAACACTGAAGTCCACAAATGATGCTTTGGTTGGCAAAATTTGATGCCACCGGTAATGGCCAAGGTGTGAGTGGCCCAACGTGTCACTGGTGGCAATGGCCAAGGTGTGGCAGCAACTGTGTGACTTCTGCATTGTCGATCCAAATCGGGATTGCAGTGGTCCACACATCACATCCAACTATGCCACCTGCCAGCACACAACTGTTGGAATCCATTGCCAGCATTGTGGATTCTCAGGAACATCTGATTGACAAAGCTCGGAGATTCCAAGACAAGTGCATCAAAGCCAATCAGAACTTTTTTGTCACATGGGACCAGTGGGTGCCACCAAAGTTGTGGCCAACTCCATCCCCTCAAAGAGTGGTGATTCCTCCAGGTCTGCAGACAATTTGCATTTGACCCAAACCACCTACTCAATCCCAGACTTGTCAACTGACTAAATCCAAACAATCACTCATGCCATCCTGCAAGAAAACCACAAAGGAGCTTGCCAAGGAACATTTTGGGCATGAAAGTAAGTGCTTCATTGACTTCACCTGTGATATTTTCTTGATGAAATGTCAGAATTTGACATGTGCTGGGGCACTGAGAGCAATGAACCACTGAGCACCTTGGTCAAACCAGACTCAATTGCTTGGGCAGATTTCGGACAGGAATGTAAGTGTTTGATTCAATTGACCTTTGCTATGCATTTATGATACTCCAGAATTTGACATGTGCTGGGGTACTGAGGCTGACAAAGCACTAACTGTGGAGACACCGAATGTGGGTCCATCAGCCAAGCCGCATTTTGGTGTGAAAAGTAAGTCCTGGCCATGTATATAATGGCTGATTGCTGACCCAAGACAGCATTTGACATGTGCTGGGATGCTGAGGTTGATCCTGTGCTGATCATTGCTGCAAGTACAGCCGAGCCTCAACCCGCCATTCAATATGACCTCTGTTGGGATGATGCACCAATGGTATCCAAGATCGACTCGGCACTGATGAAGACTGAGACCTATGATATGTGTTAGGAAGAAACACCTTCTGCATCAGCAGTAGGGTACAAAGGTGAGTATCAGTCATTTACAAGACTAACTGTGACTGACTTATATTCAGCCAATTCCGACATGTGCTGGGGAGATTTGCCACTGGGCACAGATGGTGACCATGATGGTGTGCTGACTCAGCATGGCTTGCTGAGTCAGATTGTGGAAGGCAGCAAGGAATTGCTGCACTGAGCCAACAAGAGGCTTGAAACCATTGACACCTTGATGGATCAATCAGGTAAGTGTTTTCACCAAGTCTTCACACTGATTACCAATGACACAAGTCCATAGATGTCACTGATGCTGACAAGGATTTGATCATGACCTATAGGGGCATGTGGCACCAATATGTTGAAGCTGGGAATGATATGAGCAAGATTCAACATATTATGACCATGCACCAGCAGGTGGATGATCCCTTGCATTTATTGCTGCTTGCAATGAGGAGAATGGGCAGGGGGAAATCCCCTATCCAGTAGTTTAGATCACTTAATTCTATTGTATATACCAAGTGTTGTGAAGATGTAGTAATAGATATCAAGACCCGATGACCAATGACCAATGACCAACACCAACTACCCATGAGCACCAAGCACTGACAACACAACAATGACTAAGTGTAGTCAGTGTATCTCTTGGGCTTTTGCTGAGGTCTGGCACCAAGGGAGTTGTCAGCCTTGCTCCTGGTGTGCCTTGCTGTTGCATCAGAGAGCAAGTTTGCCACTGACTGAGTGACCCTGGTCTTCTTCAGCAACCAATCCTGCAAGACCAGTGATGCAGCTCTGACAGCTTTAGTCTTCTTTGGTGCTTAGTCCTGCACCGCTGGGGATGAGCAAAGGTGTTCAAGACTCCACCAAATTGAATGTGAGTGGAAGCTGCAAGGATACTAACCAGCCTTTGTTGCAACACCACTGGGAGTTTCATTATCTGAACCCTTGGCAATCTGTGCAGCCAGCATTGTGGTCTTGGCTGAGGCAGATGGCTTGCTGGGATGGGAGATTGACCCTGCTGAATGCACCATTGGTCGGGCATCATGTGCCAAGGCCAGCCTGGTTGAGCTGGTGGTGGATTCTACTCTAATGGTCTGCCTTGAGTTTGCGGCGGTGGTTTCTGCATTGCCAACATGATCATCAGCATCAGACTCCCTTGATTCTTCCTCAGCAGAACTGATGCAAGGTCGTTTGGTCGGCCTCAGCCGACCTTTGACAAGTGGGGATGGCCAGTGGTTGGGACTACTGGGCTGGGAGTTTGTGGATGTGGCCAATGCCTGTCTGGTTGGCCTGGGGCCAACACTCTCATCATCGGCATTACCATCAGAGTCATCAGACCCAGCGCCCACAGGTGGGCACATCTTGCCCTTGTCATCAATCCAGGCCTTGAACTGAAATATCAGTCCAACCCAGTTCTCCTGTTGGTCAAACCAATAGTCCAACAAGGTGTTGGCTTCACAGTGAGTAAGTTTGGATGGCTCCCAGATTTGAATACCATCCAGCAGGTATGTGCTGGAGATGAACCTGGATTGTCCCTTCAAGATGTCACTCCATGGCACTGGGACCTTTGGCCTTCCACAACATCTTCCTGCAGCAGCAAAGATCAGAATGTGGTGCAAGTTACCTGATATGATACTTACTGTAATGAATGGTAAGGAAAGACTGAATCATGCTCTTCTTGGTTCCCAGCAGGACATTGTCCATATTGGGCAAGATCAGCAAGCCCATGCGGTCCTGGTCAAACTCATAGTATGGTTTGGGAATTTGGCAAGTACCTCCAATCACAGTGCCTTCCAGGTCTTGATCTTGATCTTGGTAGACATGATGCTAATTAGATACTGAACCTGACATACTGCCCCAAGACTCACCAAATACATCACTGAGGAAATCTTCCCATCCCACTAGGATGACCTGCCAGTCCTTTGTTTTCATGAAGCTGGATCCCTTGCCAAGCTGTTTATTGAAGTCGAACCTGCCAGGCAATGTCAACAAAATCACTGACTGACCAACCGACTGACTCACCCAGATGTTTTGAGGTGGCCCTTCTTATCCTTCCAGGAACCCAATACAAATAGTCTCATGCCAGCCTGAGCAAACATCTCTGTGGCAAACTGCTTGATCATCTTTTCTCCCTTTTGCTCAGCAGCCTTGGCCTGGACTGCGGCATTGGGCACTTGATTGGTCCACTCATTGGCCTTTGCCTCAGCTTCCTCCAACTTCTTTTTATTCAGGCCTTTCATGATTGCAGTCATCATTAGTTGATACCTCTTCAGGACTTCTTTCTGGTTTGGCTTCTGCCTGGTCTCCTCCTCAACTTCATCCCATATCTGCTAAAGGATGTCAGCCTTCCTTTGCTCTTTGATGACTTGGTGTGCTGTCCATTTCCTCTGGAGCTTCATGGAAGGTTTGGCATTGGCCCTGCATTTCTTGTGATTGTGGAACCACTCCTTGTATTTCTGTATATGAAGAGTGTCTTCATACAGCATGACCGATGCCAGAGCCGAAACACTCACTTTTTCTGTTGCTTCAAGAGCTCTTTGTCCATGGTTGGAGCAAGGAGTTTGGCCTCTCTGGCAGCTGCTTTGAAAATCTGTCATTGCTTGGTTCCACTTGCCTTCTCCCAGTCCTCAACATGGGAACACAGAGTGGTAGTCTTTTGGTCGTTCAACTGAGGCTGATCCCCTGAATTGATCTTGGTCCAAGGCATGTCACTGTTTTAAAAGCTAAGATTGAAGACCTGGAAATGTGAGTGCAGGGGAGGGTTGATACAGTTGATGGAAGAAAAAATGGAGGACAGGGTCTTGTGAGCAATGCTTCCAATGTGTGACATGCCCATGCCATAAGCACACATAAGGCATATATTGTGCCGAATAGGATGATTTACATTGTTACAGGACTCATTAGAACAGTTGAAATACATCAGTTGGTATTTGCAGTGAACTCAGAGGTCCTGAAGGCCTCTCAAAGTTATTATACAGGCAATGACTGTGAACCATGCATATCCTGGCATGAAAATCCCTGAGGATGATTTACCCAAGATCAAAACAACTATTACATACAATAATGCATTGCATTTAGTGTTTGACAGTCATATGCAAGGACCCAACTGTTCTCAAGTCTAAGCATTCTATTCCAAACAACTTATCCAGGCAATCCCAGCCCTACTTCAGTCCATGGTCAAGTCAAAGCCAAAGGCCTGGAGTCCTCCTGAGGCATCCTCTTTAGTTCGATGGGTGAACAAAAGAACAACTAGGGGAGATAAAGGTCAATTTGTCAAGGCTCAACGTGACAACAGAAGCAAATCAGTGCATTCATCCCCTAGTATTAAGAACCATGCTCAAAGAAGAGAGAGACTGACTCAGAGGGGCTTGGCCTCAGCTCGTATGCTGTGCCCCTTACCCAAGTATGTGCCCTTCATTTCAGAGGAAGTCCAATGATGGTCTGACGAAGTCCGGAGGACTTCCGGAGGAGTGTGGGAGAGTTCTGGAGGAATGCAGGAAGTGCTCAGGAGAGTTCCCACTGCAGGGTAGTACTTCTACAGGAAATGGGATGGAAGGGTAGGATGTCCGGAGGTCCAGAGGACAGGAGGACAGGATGTCCAGAGGTCTGGAAGTATGGAGGACAGGATGTCTGAGGGTTAGGAGGACAGGACATCCGAAGGACAGGACACCCAGAGGTGCACAGGACAGGATGTCCAGGGGTCCAGAAGGAATAAGGGCTACATTGGATGAAGTCTGATATAGAAGCAAACAGAGGTAGACTACCCTTAGGTAGAGTTGGAGAGACAGGAAGTGGACCAATGTCCAGAGAGAGGGTAAGTGCCGGAAGGGCAAGACTCCAGCCTAGGGAAGCAATCCCTAGACTTGGGACAGAGACATAGGGGACAAATCTGAAGGTCCAGAATTCTGGCCTAGGGAATCCATCCCTAGGCCTTATGAAAAAGGACAAGACTCAGATGGACTGAAGTCTGGAAGAAGATTAGGCAAGTAGAACAGGATCTAAGATGATATTCAAACTAAGGAAACTACGGGAGTATCTACAGGGGTTATACATATACTGGAGAATATCTGAGGGGATCAGTAAGCAACAGAGTAAGGCTATGTATGAGCATGTGGAAACACATTGGTAAGTAAGACAGAACATAAGTAAATGAACTCAGAGATGAAGACTTGTACAAGGATCAATTAGCAAGACGGAAACAGAGATAACTGAGAACCAGAAAGGCAAAGATGCCTAAATGGAGATAGGTGCAGGATCTCGGATAGAGGGCAGGAATAGGTCCAGAGATAGTAACAGTTAATATCTAGAGGTCTGGAGATCTGGGGATCCAGAAGGCAGGGCAGAAACAGGACTAAGATATGTGAGGTGGTGGATGTAGTCCGGAATCTGAGAGGAGGTAAAGTCCAGATGTCTTGCTGGACAGAATGTGCATAGGGTGAACAGGATAGGGGATCCAGGAATGAGTCAGATATGGGGTCCAGAAATAGGTCCAGAAGGTGTGGGAATATGATGGGATCTATGTCTGGCATACAGGATATGACACCTAGAAAATCCCCTACAAAGAAGGGATCCCCCAGAGGACTTCATGGGGAGGGTGACTACCAATACTATGACCTCAGTGAATGGAACTTGGAGCCTTGTCAGCTTCAAAAGTCCATGGCAAGCTCACCATTTGCTTCCCTCATGCAATTTATTGATGCTGAGAATTTATCAAGAGTCAAGATGACTATCTGTGCCAGTGGAAGGACAAGACCAATGAGTACTTGGACCTGCTCCTTTGGCAAGAGGGTCCACCTTCAACCAGAACTTGCTTGGTCTGTCCAAAGGACAGAGTCTATAGATGTCATGGCTGCATGGGCAAGCCCCTGTTCTGCACTCATTGCTGTAGGACTGCTCACAGCTGCATGCCTTTCCATAGGATCAGTCTGTCATATCCGCATATCCAGATCTCAGATCCGATCCTTATCTCATTTCAGATCTGATCCACATCTTATCTCCAATCCTATTCACATCTTATCTCCCTCCAACATCTTGTCATCCAATCTGTCCACTCATCCAGTCTGGTCCACAATTCATCTGAATCCACAACCAGCACTTGTCTCCTTTTGGTAATCCCCTAACTCTGGTATTTCGGCTATCTGTATATCCATCCTGCTCCCTGATCCATTACCTATGTTTCATTTCCATTTCATGATTTGTGATCCGTTTCTACTTACCAATAGACTATCCATATGCTTCATACATAGCCTTGGACTCTGCTGATTGATCATTCCATTAGATACCTATAGTATATAACCTCCTGTAACTCTCTGTAGCACCTCAGTTCAAATATCAACTTAGTTCTGCTCATTCCTGTCCTCTAGACCTGAGTACTGCTACTCTCGTCACCCTCTGAGACTTAGGATTGATTCCTATAGTCTATCTGCATCCACCTCTGTCTACAACAGCCATTACTGCTAGTTTCTGGTCTGGACTCATCCAGATTAGTCTTACAATACTTATCCCTCATCTGGAAGTCATCTGGATCTGCTATGCTACCCATCCAACCCTCCAGATGCATTAGTCTTGCCTTCCTGAAATAAGGGGCAATACTCAAGTAAAGGGCACAGCACATGAGCTGAGGCTGAAGCCCTTAGGATCCATTAACCCTTGAGTACAACCTTAACACAGTCAATGGACTGGGGGATTCTTCAAGGACACTTCCTTGACCAAGATCGGTCTGGAAATACACCTTGGTCACACAGGAGAGCCTTACCCTGGACTTACTGATGAGTGGTACAACACAGATGATGAAGATGACCATTTGACCGAAGGCCCTTGGGTGCCCCTGGTCAATGATCCTCAGACTACCATGGTAGTGGATACCTCAGGGCTCCACTCACTGATGATCAGATTCTGTTGGTGCCCCAGGGCCCTGAGCACCAACATGCAACTATTTGATATTGGCCTGTTTCCTGCATCTTTCACTTTGCTGAAGACAGCATTCACATTTGTGGTGTTGGACAACTTCCTGTTGGACAACCTGGAATGTAGGACATCGGCAATGAACTACTACAGTAAGTTGAGGAGGGTGACATCCAGCATCTTCCCTCATCTGGTTCCAGTGAGTGAGGATCATGGCTGCCATCACATTGCTAATAAATGCTGACAGGACTGATACCAGGAATTGATGAGGGTCAGCAGGCAGTGGTGGCAGCTGAAACAGCTCAAGTGGCATGGGTTCAGCCATGAGAAGCCAAAGCCAAAGGCAGGGGAGCTTGCACTTTTTTGCCCAGCATGCCCACAGCCCAGCATTAATGTCAATTTGGCAGACAGGAATGCAGCCAATCCTGCCTGGCTGTATTCAAGATCCTTGGTAATGGACAGCAATTTCAAGGCTGAGCATTTGTATCCAGCCAATCCAACTGATGAGGTCACATTGACCAATGGCTTGGGATTCATGGTCAGTGATGCCCAATACAAAATGCATCTTGCTGATGTGCAGGACACCATGCAAAGGTCTGATTTCAACAATCACCAAGCAGTCAACCAAGCAGATGCATCTTGGCACAGGCTTGAAGTGACTGGCATTGGTGGGTGTGCTTGCACTAGACACAGGTGTTTCATTCCACATTCAATGGTGGACTTTCAGAAGGGGGAAAGGTTTGCTGTTCAAAATACTATATTGGACTGGGTTGAACTGATGCTTTGGTCAGCCTAAGGCAAATGAACATGGATTATGCACTGTGTCAAGCACTGTCTTACAACACCAATGGATTTGACCGGGCATTTACATTCTACAACATTAATTGTCAATATCACAAGCATCTCAACCAGCAGATTGACACATTCCCATATCTCAATCTTCCATGGGGCATGGACATCATTCCTGGCATTGGCCTCTAGCACGTTCACAGACATCAAGACAAATGTTATGTTTGGTATGCCTCCAACTTCATCACTGGTGCCGCAAGGATAGATGGCAAAATCATGGAGACCCTTTGGGCACCATTGAACATTATATTGCCCTCAGCGAGGGGGATGTCCACCCCCCACTGAAAGGAATGCTTGGACTTTCAAATGAATGACTGCAATTTCATGAAGATGATTCACATAAGTGAGTAATAATGCATTGCCAAGATAACAAATACTGATGTGTCCAGGCAAATTCCTTTGCTGAAAATTCAAGGAAGCTGTCCAGGGAGTGAAAGACAGCCAATATGCATTTGACTGGTTGAGTGAGACCACCGACAATGAAACTCTAGTGAAATGGGAAGCCGAGGCCACAGCAGCTCAGGATGACCAACTCCAAAATCCCAGTGCCATGGACATATATGAAGTTAAATTGACAAAAGGTCAGTCACAATGCAACACCTATTTACAACATGCTGACATGTTTGAGACAACACTGACAAAAAAACAGCAAGAGTTGCACCTGTTGAACTGCCAGGCAAGGTGGCCAGCTGGTAACATCTACCGCAGTGCTGTGACTTGGCTGGCTGCTGGAATTACTCTTGAGGAGACCCAAGTAGCCCTCCTAATTGATGTAAAGAAACTGGGAAGGTGGCCAACCAACACCCAAAAGCTGGCTGTGGCTCAGCATTGCAACTGATTGCAAGGCCAACTTGATGAATTCATCAGGGCAGCAGTCACATTTCTTGGTGATGAATATGAGGGCTATGACCAGCTAGATGGCATGAACATGATATTAGATGCTGCAGAATTGCAGTCTGTGGGGTCATCATCTGACCATGCTGATCAGTCCAATGATGAAGATGACAATGTGCCAGTGGAGTTCAACCCCGAGACAGTGGTGATTCCTTTGCCCTCCAACATTGGCATTGACAAGTGCGCCCAGTGGGGTGTCACTGACCTTGTGCTGCAAGAAATATCATTGAGAGAAGGCCAGGCAAAAGATGCTTTGCATGCCATCAGGGTTAACTTGGCCAACAAGGCCATTCTCTTTTGCACCATGGTTCGGACAGCAAAATCACAAGCTTGGTTGACCAGAGCATGGGCTCAGGTGCACTCAGTCAACAAGCTTCTTCAGTTGAGCACACAGATCTACTCAAAATGCCGCAAGCAGCTCATTGAACTCAGTGCCAACAACTTATTGACCAAATATCGGCCATTGCAAAAGGCTAGTGTAGGGATTTCATATTCTGTGGGCTTGTATAGGCAGATATTACTTAGTGTTATGTTCGCACTTTTGGTGCTTATGTAATAATCATAGTTTTCACCACCTACCAGTACCAGTCTGAGACTGAGCAGTTATTAGCATGATTTCCTATCCTCTCTGAGCACTGAGCTTAGTCCAGAAACCCTTTAGGGTTGAATAGCAGCTAGGCATAGCACATTTAGCCCAACATTAGAAGTCTACTTTCCAGTTCTCTTCTTGTTGTGTTTCCCACACCGGCCTCAAGGCTACTACTGTTGTGGCCAACCCAAATGCACACGGTCAAAGGAATAGCACCTTGGCATGGTTCTGGTCCATTGATGTGGAGGGAGATTCTGATAGCAATGACTGGATGAATGAATGTGCATACTCAGCCGACCAATGCTGACCAGCACAGTCTCATTCAGTCCTGGTTGTTGCTAATTGCTTGTCACAATTTACCATATCCATTGGCTGTGTACCCTAACACTTTGCAATCATTGGGCAGAGGAGCTGTTTCTTGTCAGTTGGGAAATGACTTGGATGGTAAAATTCTTTCTTCATAAATCCAACCAATGGGTTGGCCAAATGCATGAGGCCGAAGCAAATGAGATGGTTGGTCATTGGTGCTATGCAGCCTGGCAGGCTCAGATTTATCTCCGACTCTCCCAGAATGCCCAAGATGGCTTTGAAAGAATAAAAGGGGTGGCTGTGGTGGCAGGGTAACCAGGGTCCACTTGTGGCCACATCTGCACTTGGACTCACCTAAATTAGGACAATGGTGAGTGCCACTGTGGATGTGCCACAACTACATTACCAATCACTACAAAATGCCTTCTGACCCAGAACTACACCTAGCACCTCCCAATATGTCCAACTCCTCTACAGTTTCTGTATATGATCTGAGTCACTTCACCACTTTGGATGCTGCAAACGTCTTAGAGTTTGCCACATCTCACTTTGCCACCATCTGGCTCATCTGCAACCAAAACTATGTGCCTCACACCCCAGCCTACAAAGCCAGCTTCATCCAGCACATTCAATGGGAAGCAGATGTGAGTGTCTCATCAGTCAGTCAGTCGGTCAGTCACATTTTACCTGATGACCCCTACAGTGTTTTGTGTTCCCCTTCATCAATATGTGTGTGGTGCTCAACATCCATCCCACCATGCCTGACCTCCTCTGCAGCATCATTGGTTGCTTCATCTGCTTCCAAACTGGTACCATCACTACCGATGTATTCCATGACAAATTCTTTGCACATTGTTCTCTGAGCAACCCAACCCTGGGCTCCACTCACCAACTCATGTGAGAATACAACCACAATTGGTGAATGGATCATTTTGACAGGTTGGGGTTTGAATTGCTGCTCTTGGACCTTCAGGAGGTCATGGAGATGACCAGAGACCACTTTGAGCAGCTGGTCGGTCATTTCTCTCTCATCCTTAACTTACACTCATTATTGTTTCTAGCCGATGGGAACAATGCTACTTCCAGGTCCTGTGATCACTGACCAGGCAGATGGAGATGCCCTTGTCAATCAAATTGTGGTGGTCAGGGCCCATCTCCAACAGCTCAGTGATGCATTGTCTTGTTTGCTGGAGGAGAAGACACAAGTTGCCACAGTGGCTGCAGCCACCATGGCAAGACTTGAGGCACTGATGGATGAGCTCTTGGATTCTCTTTGGTGATTTGTTGCCAAGAGGTCACTATTATTACTTACTGTACATACTGTCTTGCTGAGCAGTGACTATGATTACTTACTGTACATATGGTCCTATCCCTTATTTCACCAAATATCCTGGAAATATACATAGTTTTACTAAATGTGATTTGGTTCTTGAAGGTCTTTGAATATGAGCAACTGAAGATGAAGCCCTCCCACCAATTGCACCGAGAATGCTGGAAATATACATAATGTGACTTTGATTCACCTAATGTACTGGAAATGTACATAGTGCTACTACTTGTGTGTGGGTCACTTATTATATCAGCCAATCAACAATTATTTCTCCTCTCCCTCTCCCCCAATAATGATCCAAATCCAGACTGACTGGGCATTGCATACAACATGCATTGTGGCCGACTTTGTGTACATGATCTTTGCTTTTCATGTCTCCAGTCAGCACCAGTCAGTCTTGCCACCACTAGAACTGGATGTGCCAACCATGCTTGCTTGTCAGCAACTGGTCTGGGTTCTTGCCGATGCCTACACAAACCTGAGTCAGCCATTTCTTCCTCTCAGTCAGAGATGTACTGACTCATCCCAGTTCAGCTCGATCTTGACATGATTTGCTACAATGAAGCCCTTGACAGACACTCCACTGGCCAGATTGCAAAACATGAAGAAGCTCTGCTTCAAAAGTTTCCTCATCCCTCCCAGCAATTATTGGACAAGCCCTTGGTCCTTGTCGATTCTGGCAGCTGCATAATCTTATGGTACCTCCCAGAAGCAATTAACCACTGGATCCAAGTGAGTCTGTGTATTATCACTTATCAGCCAGCATTTGATGTAACCCAATAGGCCAATATGGACAGTGCAACTGTCAGCATGAGTTTTCTCCTCAAGAGGAGCACGTCCAGTGGGACAGAGACCAATTGGAGGACATGTTCCAATTATTTTCATGTCAGCAACCGACCCCCTCTGACCCTGGGATGCATCAATGTCGCCCCCTGCTGGTTCCAGCAAGGCCAAGAGGTAAGACCTCTTGCTTCTGCTGAGCTGCCAATACTCACTTGAATACAGTGGCTCAAAAAACTGTCTGCATGTTTTTGCATTTTTCACTATCTATGATATTGTGTGAGAACGAACAAAGAGCGCTGCATTGATATGATGACCAATGGTCCATGGTCCCCCTTCAGGGTTGCCAACACCTTGGGAATGAACCCACTGGTGGCTGGAAAACCATGTGGCTAGAATACAGTGGCTCAAAAAACTGTCTGCATGTTTTTGCATTTTTCACTATCTATGATATTGTGTGAGAACGAACAAATGCCTCAAGAACATGCTTATACCACATTGTAGTATGGCTTCAGGGCTTTCATTTGAGCCCTACACCGTGGGAATCGGTGGAGATATGGTGGAGACATAAGGCTTACAAAATCATGACTCATGCGGACAGTTTTTTGAGCACATATTAAAACTATATAAATCATCATTTATGACACCATAACAATCATGCCACCATTAAATAAATTATAAAGTGGTGTCATTATGTCATTTTAAAATCATATCTAACTATAAAAACCAAAAATTTCCATATGTCATGGTTATATTCACCATGAAAGCCACCCCCCCTGCTCAAAGGGATAATATCCTCTCTCTTTCCTATTCTGGCCTCCCTGCTTGTCAAATTTCCTCTAGAACTGGAGTATCCAAGTCCACTGTGGCCAAGTTCATCAAAGAAAGTCACACAGACAAGGAAAACTTCTGTGAAGGGTGTCCATCCAAGCTCACCTCTACTGATAGGAGGGCTATTATTCAACATATCACTACAGGAAAGGCTGATAATGCTGTCCAGGTCACCTATTACATCAATTCCACCATCACATTCCCTGTCTCTTCACACACTGTGAGAAACATTCTCAAGACAGCTCATCTCAGGTCAGTAACAAGGAAGAAAAGGCTCTCCTCTCTATCACACATATGCAGAGATGACTAACCTTTGCCTTAGCCCATCAGAATTGGATTACACAGACTGGAAGCATGTTATATGATCATATAAGACCACAATAAATAGGATTGGGTCAGATGGCAAGGTATATATGTGAAAAAAGAAGGGTGCTAGTCCTCTCTGTATATGTGTTTATACAGACTGGAAGCATGTTATATGATCATATAAGACCACAATAAATAGGATTGGGTCAGATGGCAAGGTATATATGTGAAAAAAGAAGGGTGCTAGTCCTCTCTGTATATATGTGATAGAGAGGAGAGCCTTTTCTTCCTTGTTACTGACCTGAGATGAGCTGTCTTGAGAATGTTTCTCACAGTGTGTGAAGAGACAGGGAATGTGATGGTGGAATTGATGTAATAGGTGACCTGGACAGCATTATCAGCCTTTCCTGTAGTGATATGTTGAATAATAGCCCTCCTATCAGTAGAGGTGAGCTTGGATGGACACCCTTCACAGAAGTTTTCCTTGTCTGTGTGACTTTCTTTGATGAACTTGGCCACAGTGGACTTGGATACTCCAGTTCTAGAGGAAATTTGACAAGCAGGGAGGCCAGAATAGGAAAGAGAGAGGATATTATCCCTTTGAGCAGGGGGGGTGGCTTTCATGGTGAATATAACCATGACATATGGAAATTTTTGGTTTTTATAGTTAGATATGATTTTAAAATGACATAATGACACCACTTTATAATTTATTTAATGGTGGCATGATTGTTATGGTGTCATAAATGATGATTTATATAGTTTTAATATGTGCTCAAAAACTGTCCGCATGAGTCATGATTTTGTAAGCCTTATGTCTCCACCATATCTCCACCGATTCCCACGGTGTAGGGCTCAAATGAAAGCCCTGAAGCCATACTACAATGTGGTATAAGCATGTTCTTGAGGCATTTGTTCGTTCTCACACAATATCATAGATAGTGAAAAATGCAAAAACATGCAGACAGTTTTTTGAGCCACTGTATTCTAGCCACATGGTTTTCCAGCCACCAGTGGGTTCATTCCCAAGGTGTTGGCAACCCTGAAGGGGGACCATGGACCATTGGTCATCATATCAATGCAGCGCTCAGCCCTCCTTGCCTCAGTGGTCCTTCGGGTCATGCATCCAGAGATGTATTGGGCATTGGTTGCCATGCACATCAATCTCGGTCAATGGGCCTTTGAAAACAATCTCAGTGACATTTATACTCATCTCCAGCTTTGGGCCTCAGTCTTCAACTGCGCATCCATCATATGCAATAGGCAATGTCCCCTTCACCAGGATCCAAGATTGGCTCCAGAGGGGTTTGACCTCATGACCAGTGTTGGCAATTACTCTGATGACCTCATGACCCTTTCCAGCCTCAGAATTCAGCTGCAATATAACTCTGGTTCTATGGTCACCTGCTCCAGACATATCATCAGGCATGGATTCATGTTCACCGGTGATTGCATCATCTGGGCATGGTTCATGTGCGATAGCCTTCACAATTTTGTGGGGACCCCTTGCCCCCATTATGTGAAATACATGGATGTAGTTCAGGATGTAATGGTTTCTGCTTAGATGGCTGTCCCTCTGTATATACCAGTAGAATGTGGTTACAACAGATTGATCTTCATAAATGATGTTTATTGAATAGCTACAATCAACTTTACTGGATACTGACCGACTGCATCGGCCTACCCTATAGAATCATATGTTAGCATGGCTCTACTTTCAATGTTGGCCAACCAATACACATGAATCAAGAGCATCTGCTGGCATTCAGGCATTTATTTTCATGGGCCCATATGATAGCATCGGGCATTCATGGTCATTGGCCCATTCAATAGCTTCAGCTCCTATTGGCCCACCTGATTACATTGGCCAACACATTCCATCAGCCCATTCAATAGCATCAGCTCCTATCGGCCCACCTGATTACATCAGGCAACACATTCCATGGGCCCATACGATATCATCGGGAATTCAATGTCATCGGCCCACCTGAGTTCATCAGCCAATGCATTCCATTGGCCCATCTGATACCATCAGGTATTCCTTGCCATCAGCCCATTCAATGGCATCAGCTCCTATCAGCCCACCTGATTGCATCAGCCAACACATGCTGTCGGCCCATCTGATAGTATCAGGCATTCAATTTTACCAGCCCACATTATGGCATCAGATATTCATTTTCATTGGTCGGCCCATATGATGGCTTCACACCCACATCGGCCCAGCTGATAACCTCACACACACTCCATCCCATTTTTCCCTGCCCATCGGCCAACATGTTAATATCAAGTATCACTATGCATGGGCCCACCTGATAAACTCAACTCCCATCAAGCTCACCAGCTGAGTGTTAGACACAGGGAAATACTTTCGATTGGCTGAAGTCTGCTGGCCTGTGTGGAACAGGGAATTTTCAACCTCGGCTGCCTGTTTTATACAGGGTATGTGACTGAATGGGCTTGCACATCATTGGTAATGATATACTTGTTGATCACTTCTTGTTACAGTAACGCTTGCCCCTATTCATTTTCTTCCTTCACTTGTGTATTACGTCATGACCGTGCCTCAATGCGCCGTCACTAGACTCATTTCTTACTATACCTGTATTACATCACGATCACTACTGCTGTTGCTAGATGACTCATTCATTCCTTATCGCTGACTCATCCTTATCTATGACTCATCACTGACGCATACATACCTGCCCTAAAGTACTTACGTCTATATAAGATCGGTTATGTACTTAGTAGATCCTTACTTTAATCCTACTAGGTTTTCACCAGAACTTCCTTCGCTTAAGACCCCCAATCTTAAGTCGTCTGAACACCAATATTCAAGCCAGAGACACTCTCTCTGACTTGTCTTAACGACCCTCACATTTGTGAGGTCTTGATTCAACTTCAGCCGTCGCTCTTATCGAGCAGCTGTCATTGCAACTATCCTAGTTCATAACACTTCTGATGTCTTCAAGAATTCTTGCATTGTTATCCAGATGAAGGCCACAGGAGTAGACTGCCACGCTTGACCATGGGGAGTCCACAGCCAGTCTCACCCACATGGAGTCTGCAGCCAGTCTCATCCTGCCTGAGTCTGCAGCCAGTCTCATCCTTCCTGGGTCTGCAGCCAGTCTTGTCCTCCCTGGATCTGCAACCAGACTCGTCTCTCCTGGGTCTGCAACCAGTTTCATCCTCCCTGGGTCTGCAGCTACCCTTGTTTCATCTGGATGTGCAGCCACTCTCGTCCTCTCTGGGTCTGCAGCTACCCTCATTTCATCTGGATGTGCAGCCACTCTCGTCCTCTCTGGTCTGCAGTCACTCTTGTCCTCCTTGAGTCTGCAGCCACTCTTGTCTCTCCTGGGTCTGCAGCCAGAATAAGTTCCCCTGGGTCTGCAGCCAGTCTTGTCCTCCATGGGTCTGCAGCCAGTATCATCCTTCCTCAGTCTGCAGCCAGAATCATCCTCCCAGGGTCTGCAGCCAGTCTCGTCCTCTGTGGGTCTGCAGCCAGAATAGTCCTGTCTGTGTCTGCAGCCATTTTTGTCCTCCCTGGGTCTGCAGCTAGTCTTGTCCTCCCTGTGTCTGCAGCCAGTCTCATCCTGCCTGGATCTGCAGCCAGGCACACCCATCCACAGTCCCCAACCAAGATTCTGAATCTGAAGTATGATCTCTGCGAAGCCACAGCATATAGATGATAGCTGACATTGGCTCTGGTGACTGAACAAGGAATGCTAATGAGTCTTTCAACCTATGAGAGTCTTCATGTCGCATAGCTTTGCTTTGCTTCTTCAGCTCTGAAAGTGCATCTAAGAGAGCTATGCTTTCTGGAATCATCTTCATCAAGTGGAGGGAGGAATCAGCAAGTAGGGTGTGGGGTGATGGCATATTGTGTTCGCATACTTGAGGGAGGCTGCAATTTGAGGGGTTGGAAACATAGTTGTGAACAGATGAGTGATAGATATTCATGGGGAGACTGGTGTCAGTAGGAATATCCATGACAGAGCATAGCTGCACCAGCATCATCTTGGCATCACAGCCCTGACCAGGGCCAAGAAGTTTCAAGATTTGTGACAGTGGCAGAGGGTCTGCAAGTGCAGCAACAATGGACAAGTGTAGGTATGCCCGCTTGGGATCAGCACATGTGGAGAGGATACAATTGTATAACTTGTACACCTCTGTTCCTGCTAGCAGCTTGCTCATCAGTTCAAGCATTAGCTGTAACCGATCATAGGGATCCTTGTATCCATCATTGACAATAAACTTCATCATTGTAGACGCCACAATGAAACATCTGCCAGCTCGGCCCGCCAGCTTGGCAAGGTTATCCCCCAATGGCTGCAGGAAATTGGTATAGCGGCATCACAGCTCTTTAAATGAATGCTGCAAAAATATATAGATGTTGTTGTTGACATCAGCACTGTCTAGCGAGATGATGGTAGCGATGCCCTCCCCAGAAGTCCCACTGGTATCTCACATGCCAGCAGGTGCACCTCTTTGTTCTGAAAGTGTCATATCCCACAATCCAGACCCACATTCCATCATATTCCCACACCTTCCAAGCCTATGTCCAGACCCCATATCCAACTCATTCCCAGATCCCCTTCTGCTGTGTACTCCACACCTCAGCAGGATCAACTACACTCCAGATTTACCCCTGAGCTCCGGACCTCCGGATCCTCACTGCTAGCCTGATCCGTACAACCCTATCCTGTCCACCCTATGTGCACTCCATCCAGCAAGACATCCGGACTTCACCTTGTCTCAGATTCCAGACTATATCCACCTTCTTGTATTCTGGTCCTGTATCCACCTTGTCTTCTGGATCCCCAGATCTCCAGACCTCCGGATTTTAACTCCAGACCTATTCCCACCCTCTGTCCAATATCCTGCGCCTATCCCCATTTAGGCATTCTCTGCCTTCCAGCTTTTGGTTACCTCTTGTTCTGTCTTGCTTATTGATCCTTGTACAAGTCCTCATCTCCAAGTTCATTTACTTATGTTCTGACTTACTTACTAATGTGTTTCCACATGCTTGTACATAGCCTTGCTCCTTTGCTTACTGATCCCCTCAGATATTTTTCAGTATATAACTCCTGTAGATACTCCTGTAGTTCCTTAGTTTGAATATCAACTTAGACTTGCCCAATCCTCTCTTGGACTTTGGTCCACCTAAGTCTGTCCTACCCATCAGGCCTAGGGATTGATTCCCTAGGCCAGAGCTCCGCCTTTCCAGCACTTACCCTCTTTCCAGACTTAGGTCCAATCCCTGTCTCTCCAACTCTACCTTAGGGTAGTCTACCTCTGTTTGTTTCTACATTGGACTCCGTTCAATGTAGCCCCTATTCCTTCCGGACCTCCGGACCTCCTGTCCCTCATACCTCCGGGCATCCTGTCCTTTGGATGTTCCGCCCTCCATACCTTTGGATGTTCTGTCCTCCTAACCCTTGGACATCCTATCCTCCTGTCCTTCAGACATCCTGTGCTCTGTACCTCTGGACATCCTATCCTCCTGTCCTCCTGTCCTCCTGTCCTCCTGTCCTCCTGTCCTCCAGACCTTTGGACCTCCTATCCTTCCATCCTGTTTCCTGTAGAAGTATTACCTTGCAGTGGGAACTCTCCTGAGCACTTCCTGCATTCCTCTGGAACTATCCTGTGCTCCTCCGGATGTTTCCTGTGCTCCTCTGGAAGTCCTCTGGACTTCGTCAGACCATCATCGGACCTCATACAAAATGAAGGGCACATCCTCAGGTAAGGGGCACAGCATATGAGCTGAGGCCAAGCCCCTCTGAGTCAGTCTCTCTCCCCCTTGAGCAACATGGTTCTTAACAGAAAGGCTTTACAGATATGTGATTCCAAGCAACTAGTGAGCAGAATGTGGGTCACAGGCAGATCAGGCTCATGAAGAGTTTGTGCAAGGGAAAGAATGAGATCAGTAAGCTCGGGTCCAGACATGCATTCATCAAGTGCATCGACAACAAACAACAATGGTGGACATCCATGCAATCTGAGTTGAAGTTTTCAAAGGGGTTGGAGAAAGAGAGCCTCCATCTGGTCACAGAGAGGTGTATCTGGGTCTAGTAGAGTGGGGTTGTTGCAGACTGCTCTGCTCACATCCTGCTGGATACTTGGAAAATTGGTGGCAAGTTGGTAAACAAGTGTCACAAAGAAATATCCAGCTGTGCAGCATTTGGTGTGCTTACGCGAGAAAAAGAATGTTCCTGCAAGCTGCTTTTCAACGTTCATCTCTTCTGTCACTTTTAGACCTCTCATCTTTTCAGCCACTGTAAATGCAATGGTAGACTTTCCAATACCAGCCATGCCATGCAGCCAAATGAGTTGATTCTTCTCTGGGTTGTCCAGTAATTTGTGGATGTATTTCAGGAGATCAACCCAAGTCCCATCCAAACATTTTGGGTGGGGCTGACATTCACAGGAGTTATATTGAGCACCCTTGACAGCAACCTGGGCCAGCCTTGCCCAAGTTCCTTCAATAACTGTCACAGAGGTCAGAGAGCATGTGAGAGATAAGAGATGGAAATACTAGCATTGATCATCACTCATAGGCAAAAGATGTGATATACAGCAGGATGCAATGAACTAACTGAAAGTACTAGCTGGGTTCAAGGGTGTGGTTAGAAATAATCTGGGTGGTGGTAATCTGGAGGAACGACGTATGAAGATTGAATTGAAGCTTGTCAGTTGTGACAAGACTTAAGTTGCAGAACAATCCAGCTGTTGATTGATGGAGAGTGCGAGGCGTGATGAAGATGAGACAGACAGACGGGCATTTCAATTGACTTTGCTATGGAAAACTCACTGGATGGTTGTGGGATGCACTTTGAAGGACAAGTAGGCGCTTGCTGTCCAGAGCTTGCAGGAGGACATGAGGCTGCTGTGCAGCCACAGCACAAAGGTAACAGCACAGTTGGACAGAGCTACTGTTAGTAGTGCTCAGTGCTCAGATCTCAGAGGTGAACCAGATATGTGTGCCATTGTGTGATCCCCTAGATTTTTGCAGCTGTAGTGATTGTTATTTAATTGCAAATTTTGACAGATACTCTAGAGTAAATAGGTTTCAATGGCTGAACAACTCTCTTGCTTGAGTTAATCTTATACTCAGACGTGACTGACAGTCTGGCCTCGCGTTGGCTGGCTGCGCATGAACCTTCATTCCATCCCATCTCAAGACCTTACCCCTCACCCTCGCCTGCTCACTAGGACGCAAAGCCTCCTCGTTACCGTTCTTCCTCTCAGATCCCAGCGCGACTCAGCACCTCGTACGCTTCATTAACACCACGGGTTACGGGTAGATTTAGACAGACCTTCGGTGAAGTACCTCTCCCTCGCAAACCGCCAAACTGATCCAGCCTGTACCACAGATCAGCCGTGTCAAGTCAAGAGCCAACGTTATGAAGCACACAAACCTCGCAACTCAAATATCTCATCAAGCTACATCTATTTGTACCACCACCATTGTATCCACATCCTTCATACTCGACTACATGGAATCACACGCCAAAGAAGCGGAATCAGCCAAACAACAAAGTCATCGATCAACCAGCGCACCGATCAATCATTACTTACCTCGTTTGCATCCCTCCCGACTCCTGTACCAGCTGCCTCCGGTAGCCGAATACGCGTTAAGCATATGTACACAATATCAGCACCATACACCGACAGCGAACGCATAAGTCATCTCCATCAAAGGGCAGAGCGTCTTAAACGGCCGGGGGGAACAGCGGACTGATGGGGGCACGCTCCATTCATCAGGGCATTCGCGCGCCTGAGATGCACTCGAAATACTGGGGGTCTCTAGTGTAGATCGTGATGTCCTACATAGAGTATTACTCTGAAAAGGACAGAAATTGGATAATAATAATAAAAGGCCTCACCCCTTTTCCGCCTGTCGGGGTCTTTTAAGTACTGACCACGGTGACATATAGGGCGCTAAGATCGGCCATCAAACAATATGAGGCACGTAGAACAGCGAAGAAATACACACCTTTCCAAAGAAAGGAGGGGAAGGAAATACGGGCGGGGACTCGGAGGACTTGGTCAGGCATTAAATAAATGTACGGCGGGTGAACGCGTTCGACCGATACCTGATGCATCAAGCTCTGTATGAACTTCCGACTAGCTAGGAGTAAAATTAAGATAGGGCATGATCATCGGATCCATTGGTGAGGAGATTCGAGAACCACGACAGGGAGGGTGATGTTTGTGTTTGAGGCTCCTTCATGATGGAACGTGGGAGTCGACCGTGTAGTCCTTTTGTGACATAATTCATTCCGTAAAATGATTAATATTGTGTTCGTTGCTTTTCACCAACATCCAGCTGTACCGGAGGACACAACGCGCTGAGCTCAACCTTGTTATGCTCAATACGGCTCACGGAAAGTCAGAGGTACAAGCTAAAATTATCTGAAGTCATAAGACTCATAACGTAATACCCAGCTAAGGTCGTCCTGTGAGACTACAAATATCGTCTCGATGCATGACTTTATCAGCGTCAAACGCCATGGACAGCATTGCAGAAGACCTCGCCAGCTATCTCGTACAGCAACTCAAACTGTACGTTTATTTATTAGAGACTAATGCCACTTAATTTGATGGTTACTTGCAAGCCAGTAAAGCAGTTGGAGAGCGGCTTTTGGTTGCTATCGCAGGCGTCCCTGCATCAGGCAAATCAACATTGGCTGAGCTGGTAGTCGCCAAAGTCAACACGCTTTTGGCTGCTGATAGCACCACGCATTCTACTTCCGCCATTTTGGTTGGCTTGGATGGGTGGCATCTGACCCGCGCACAGCTAGATGCTATGTTAGATCCTAAATTCGCGCATGATCGTCGCGGTGCACACTGGACTTTTGACGGACCATCTTACGTTGGGTTCGCGAAGCTTTTACGCCAACCAGCAGCTGCTGTGATAACTGCCCCTTCTTTTGATCATGCCCTGAAAGATCCTACCCCTCATGCTGTATCGATATACCCTTCCCACCGCCTGGTTGTGATCGAGGGTTTATACTCCATGTTAAAGCACGACATATGGGAGCAGGGTGCACAGCTAATGGACGAACGATGGTGGATACAGGTAGATTTGGAGGAAGCGAAGCGGCGGTTGGTCAAGAGGCACGTCCTCACGGGCGTGGCTAAAGACATGGAAGAGGCAATATGGAGAGCCGGGCAGAATGATGAACCAAGTAAACGCCGTAATCTTCATAAAATGATATGAGGGATGCTAAAGCTTAGCCTCCTAGATGGGAAGTTCATTGCGGAAAATCTATATGAACCCACAAGGATCATCAAGAGCTTGGACGACCCCAAGTATACCCTGTGACCTACTGCGAAAATGTAAATCTCACTTCTTCGAATGCAAATTCTTGACTTCTGGGACTTGGTTCACCCGCCGATAAACCCCCGATAAGGACAGATAAGTTATAATCGAATTGTGGACTGTGTATCACAGTGATTTTGCTGAACGTTCATCGATGCACAGTTCCCCTTCACACCAATTACAGTATTTCTAAATTCCCATAGTCGATCGATCCACCACGAGGAATGTCAACATTCCCGCCTGAATCTCGTGTCTCCGTGGCTGTAAGCATCCACGACGATGGCTATATTCATGGGCTGCGAAAGAATGTCATTTATAGAGTCCAACTGGATGATTCGGTTGGTGTTTTGGAATTCGTTTTCCGTTCCTGAGTTACTGAGAACCTACTACATATACCCAAGTTGATCCACACCATAATGAGCTCGAACTCAGTAGCGGAGTTAAACTGGTGCTCATGTTTGCAAGGCATTTACGGGTTACGTACCACTGTTCACAGTGGGTGGAACTTCGAGCACGATGTAGTGAAGCGCAAATTCCCATTATGGTAATACCGTAATCAAGATGGATATATGCGGCACTTACCTTCAAAGTTGTTGTGTGAGGGCGTTGTTTTCGTTATCTTTGATCACAATGGAGTGACATTCCACAGATAGCAATGAGAACGGTACATATCACGTTTATCGTCAACGTCATAGAAAATGATCGCCCACGTAGGGAAGCCGCAGATAAGCAACTACGAGTTGTCCAGCTCGATCAGGGTGATTCCGTAGTGGGAGGCCACGTTATCAAGGTCTTGGTCAAATCGTTATTCAGGTGACGGTAAGCCTCACTTACGTGTATTTGCGATACACGGAGCGAGGAAGAATTATGACGCACCAGGCGCCATTTGAGATCCTTCAGCACCGCGATAATTGCACCTTTGACTTGTCGCGCGAAAAACACTGAACCTCCCGGGGAGCATTTTTACAAACTGTGTCAAATATGCGTCTGCTAGACTACAATAGACGATAGCATCGCCCACGTCACGCTGTAGAGGTGAGCAGTTCAGCAGTCTTGATATCACGAACAAAGTCTTACGGCGTGCTACATAATGTCCTCAGTGGTACGGAAAGATGAAGATAGCCTAAGACGAACGATTGGCTGACAACGTCACGCCTCCTGTAAATCATGCATACACTGTGGGGAAGCAAGAATTCGACGAAGATGTCACAGGACCCTATATCGACATCGGGTGGGCGCAGAGGTGGGTAGGTGGGAACCATAGGGGAAGGGGATGCTGCGATATGCTAATGACCCTACAACAGACTTCTACGAAACGTTGCAGCTAGAGTGTACGACCCCGATCTGGCGCGGGTTGCAACCCGAGAATTTTGATCATGGCGTGGGTCATGGCCAAAAATGTCTAATTGTTTTCCTCTCTTTGAGGAGAAATTTCTCTTCGCTTTGTCTATTCACCAGCGCAGTCGCCACAAAGCGTACCCGAGGAACCTTGAAAGGGGGGCTTGGGAAGATGGGACAAGGCAAACATTTTCCCAGGTAAATCTATCACCGGATAGCTGGGGGTTTGACGATGCGTACCAATAGTTGAAGTTCACCGTTGGCGTGATGTGCATACGGCTTTGTGCTTACTGTACTTAATAGGTCTGCCACCGACCCACCACATCATGATCGGGAGCCTCTGGGAAAGAGCGAACCCCGATAGCATATCCACGTAGGGGCTGTCCGCCTCGGTAACGAGAATACCGCAAACTGTGAATCGGTATCCTTGTAAATCACACGAAAACATCATGCGACCAGCCAGTTAGCGTTTCAAGGTGTACAATTGGAGGGGACACGGGCGCCACCCTCACCGGTTCCACTATCTCCTCTGTGAGGACAACTTAAAAAACAACGTTGAATGCATGACCGGTAAATACTACAGGCATCTGAGGCGGCATGCCACCTCATGCTGAACATGTCACAAGATCTCGGGATATTTACTATGATGTTTCCTACTTCCGAGGTACCTGCACGATGTAGTGAGGTGTTCCGACTGCGCTCGTGCGGCCAGGTTTGGGGCAGAGCAGGTGTAGGCCAGCGGAATTTTGGAGAGGCCAAAGTGAAGGGTAGTGGTGCCGGGGGGCCTGGCGGAGTCCAGGGTCTCGATCGTGCATAGACACATGTAGCACACGCGGTGCAGACCAGTCCATCGATAACAGCTTAATTCTTCTTCGCCCTCTCTCGAGAGGAGTCCAACGATTTTGCAGTCCCAATACTCGTGGCTCTTCACCTGCCAGGTAGTTTGAAGAAGGTTCAACCTCTTCCAAACGAATATTTAGCCATCCAGGTGCCGAGCTGCCCAAGGCACGTGGTTTCCGCTATGTTGTCACCGGTTACGGACCGCGGCCGTAGCTCCCCCAAGTCACTGGGCGAAACATCTCCACAATTAGAGACTGGTGAGCCGCAGATATCGTCATACATGCCGATATATGATCGTATATAAAAAAGGTTATTGGAATATAATGCCATGTACAACGTCGGAAAACCACCGCAATCAACGTAAAGGACCCTGGGGAGACTCTGATCGGCGGCGGCGCCCGTCCGTGGCCAACATCGCTACGAGAAACAGTCGAGGGAGCTACGTCAACACTAGCCAATTTGCTTGGGGAGATGTTTCTGGGCTCAAACTGGCGAAGAGCAAAAACGGGATAGATTATCGTCAGGATAATACTCGATACAGGCGCAGATCTCATAACAAGCTAACGTTACAGTACGTACTCGGAGCAATCGTAATTTAGATGCGTGAAGACAACGATCGATGACCAGCACTTCAAAAACCCCTAATGGGCCCAAAAAAACAAGCAAATAGTGATGAGGCCAGATATAGAGCTGGCGGGTACTAGGTGATGTGTGAGGAATAAATGCTAGGGCGGAACTATAACCAAGGAAGTCCAAATAAGCCAGCAAGAATGTTCAATGGCAAGAAAACTCTCAGCTCTATCAGCATGAGCGAGAAAGTCAAGAATCCAGGAAAGAATATGACAGATACCAAAATGATTAGACCATGACAAGTCTTCCCATAACGTACGTTCCTCCATTCACGAGGCCGACGTTCCCTACATCTTTGCCGCCGAACCCTACGGCTGGGCCCGGGAGGGTACCTTTCCATCCACAAGGGTGATAAGGCGTGAGGCCAACACTCTCATCCCATGAGTTGCGCTCCTCAACCCACTCGTTGGATACCTCATCTTTGACTGCCGTAACAGGTGGGAGGGGGACGGTAGTCGCTTTTGTAGACTCTACGGGGAAGAGATTGAATGGAAGAAGGGATGTCGGTATCCATTGCGACGGGGACGGAGCACGACGTCGCCTCTTTGCGGACGCCTTAGGCTGTTCTGATGGTGACGTAGTCGATTCATCGCGAGCACGCTTATTCGGTCGCGAATCTGAATCTGATGATGCGGCAACACCTGAGGCAGTGGAAGCCTCTGCCGGCGGGACGGATGTGACTTCTTGTGACGTCCCAGCAGAATCACTAGATGTCATCTGGTTTGTGCGATTCGCAGTGTTTACGGGCTTAAGAATGCACCGCTTAACGTGACGGTTAAGATTGGACGCAACGCCAAAACGACGGCCACAAGTGTCACACACGAACGCTACAATTTCAATCTCAAGTTTTAGCGTCGCACGACCGCAGCAATTTTGAAACATACCTTTTTCTCCTGTATGTACGAGCAAATGCTGCGAGGCAGAGACATTTTACATGAGCTAGCTATTTATAGCGGCAGAATAATATTGACCTTTCTCAATGTGGAGGGCCTATCAAAAGATTTCTCGCACATCCAGCAGGCATGCTTCTTTTCCCGTGGTCTTGGGCCTGAGCTTTCACTTTTGGCGTTGCGCGATGCCGCGGACCTGGAAGAGCTGGCACATGCAGTGCGAATGGATTGTGTTATCTCGGCAGGGGTGGTGGAAGGCCCGGGTAATGGCAGGGCAGGTGGGAGCGGCGGCGATGGGTGAGCCATGTTGGACGATGTTGGAAGATCAATACAGTAAGAATGCGACGAAGAAGAAAAATGTGACGACGATGGGCTTTTATCGCATGCAGGGTATGGGTAGTGTAGTTGTTGCTGGTAGAATAAAGGCAGTGCGTCCGACCACTCACATGAGGTATGGCCGCCGGCGATGGTACGAAAGTTAGCTAAAGATGGGGGTATATCTAGGGATATAGGTGGTCCGGTGACCATGGCACGTAGGGCCGACGTTGTCGATGCGCCGCTATCTTGGAGAGAACATCTACCGCTCTGTATATCGTATGCGTCGTAGATGGATGATCTTTCTAAGAAGCCTGCGACCCAATCCGACGTGTTTGACTGGGAAAGAGACGGACCCAGTTGAGCGCTCTGTATATGGTGCTGCCGAAAACTAGGCTGTTGAACAAGAGGGCTCGGACACTGCATCATGGCGTGGACGTCAGGGGGCAGCTGGGTATCGACGAGGAGGACGAAGCCTGATGAAGTTCACGCCAATTTTGTGAGCAAGGAAAGCTTATATATATAATTCGTTGGGTACATCCGTTGCAACCCTAAAGGTGCGAAGACATAAAGAAAACGAGGACCAAATCTATGAAGGCCCAGGCAACGAGCAGCTGCTTTACGGCAGAAATTAGCATTCGACCCCAGCGGCTCGCACCGATTTCTGCAATTGTAATTAGGCGTGGACCAACCAACTGGAGCTGAGGCTAGCTCATCTGAGAACTCCGATAACTCATCTTGAACTCATCGCTTTCGCAGGAAGCCTCGGAGGCCCGCGTGTTGTTGGGGAAGACCACAGGCCAACTGCTGCAGGAAGGAAATTGTTGCATCAATATTGACATACTCTAATGGGCTGTCGGTCCGTAATAACAAAGGTCTACTTCCCCCACTGGCACGCGTTGACTCGAGCAACAACATCTCAGCTTCCACTCGATTCTCGGCGGAGCGGAAATACCACGCTCGGTATGCCTCGTTGTCTGAGTACTACGATGATGGCCCACAGACTTCCTTTCCGGTGGTACTTCGAAGGGTTCTCTTTGACCACGCAGGTGGCAGATATGAGCAACGACGATCCCGGTGCATTCAGATGCATTTGAGGAAATGAAGCATTCCTCGTGTGGGATGGAAATAGAAGAACAGCTCGTTGGATATGCATGCTTGAATCTGTGTTTCTCCTATACTTAGTTTAATAATTAGTCAATGGAAATGACGCAGCCGCCGGTAGTGGAATCATGGAGGCGGCAGCACAGGAAATTCATTTCTGATTGCAGATAGCAACAAGATCAAGTTCGTTCATAGTTGAACTTCTTCAGGGCCCGAGGCTCAAGCGGAATCAATTACGTTTGTAGACTCTTGTTAATTTTCAAGGCTTTTGATAAACAATTCAAAACAACGCTTCTTCAAGTTACTTTCTAGACACAAGCCCGTACCATGACAATAACAGCTGCGCAAAAGACCGCTATAGAAGAGGTCATTGAAATTATAGTTGCAGCAACCCCAGCTCGCGGAAAGCGTCAATTATCTCAATTGTTTATGGATCTGGTGGATAGATCAGAGTGGCCTGAGTATTATGAGGTATTTTTAATATTCCGCGGAAACGAACGCTGGACACGTCCAAATTATGTTTATTTCATAGGTTATACCCGAGCCCCGATGTATCAACGCCATTAAGTCAAGCGTTGAACGAAACAGATACAAGGACGCGCTGAACGCAGTATACCGATCTGTCGCTCGTGTTTTGGAACGCGTTGTTCTACAACGAACCAGATAGTCAAATTGCTACTGATGCGCAGACCCTCAAGGTTCGTTTTCCACTTCTTGTCCGCGGCGCAATTGCCCTGAACACCGATTGGGCTTTCCGACGTTATCTATTCGCGTTCAGACTGTACTCGAAACTGAATGGCAGAAGAGAAGCATTCTTCCTGTGCCCCGACACTCGCCACCTCCCTCATCTGCTCAAAAGGTCCACGGAACGGGTCCCGCTGCACCGCCGCAGCCCTTTGTTATGCAGTCTTCCACTTCTACAACAACCAAACTGAGGACAACAGTTCCAACTTCCGCTGTACCTCCAACTTCCGAGTCACAGACCACCAAATCCACTCCTCTAAAGGGACCAGTGGCTGCAGAAGAAAAGGTCGGGGATAGTGAGGCGATCGTCCGCCAGCAGCTTGAGAAAAGTCTCCCAAGATGGCAAGGCTTTGGAGAACTAGGGATGTCCGAGGTCAGCAAGGCAAGTATTCATGAATAGACCACTCAACCGTGGTGATGTTTAATCCCCGTTTTTATACTTACATACTTGCTATGCCACAGGACCGACTGGTCGAAATTGCGCACAGTCCTCCTAAGACTCACACGCACGAGGACAATCGTGACCGGACCATGCTGACCGCGGCAGGAAATTTGACTGTTCCCCCAATTGACGACAAGCTTCCCCCCGAAACGAGTGAGTTTTTTGTTATCGTTTTCTAATCCGCTTACACCTTTTATTAGTAAAACATTTTGATCGCTCTCCGGACACAAACGAGTTGTTCTGGTTTGCCGCTCCTCCAATGAATACCGCTCGGACACCACCCCCACAGCATAGTCTGGCGTACCTACATTTCTTGGCGACGAAACGCAAGAAAGAACTGGACGTGGGCTCAGACGCCATGGATGTCGATGGTGATGCTGCTTCAATAGGTCTTTCAAGTCGGCAGCACACAGTTGCGCCTCCAACAGTTAACGAAATTATGCAAGCAACCATAAATTCTGCATCTACCGAGCACTTTTAGACAATTATCTGCTTCATTGTTATGATAGCCTAAGTTAGGTTTCTTTTGGTCCGCCCCCTCGTACTCATTGGTTGGCGTGCCATACAGACTTAATTGCTGCCCAGAAGAGTTTCGTCCTTTTTGACAGCTCTTTCAACGCTATTTTCTAACATTGTCCAACCTATTCGTCAATATTAATTCAATCTGCATGATTTAAGCGCAAACTTGAGTCGGGAAGAAGTCAGGCCATCTGTATCTGTGTATTGTACAGGTGAAATGTACTGCAACGCGTACTCGAGTCAGGTGAAATCAAGTTGGACGTAAGTCATATATTCACGCACCAAAACATCTTGATTGTTACCAGATGCCCTTAGTATTGAGACGCTGAATCTGATAGGTTACCCGATTCTACCACTACCTTTACGACCACATCGCGATAGATAATTAATGCAGTCTTCAATAAGCGCATCCTCGTGCCGCTCAAATCCGCGGAGAGCGTAATCTTGTCAGCGTCGACAAGTGACGCAGAACATCTCCTAGCCTGAGTAATCGAGTCTGCTTCGCGAGTAAAAATCAAGGAGATGGTGATACTCGACAAACAATGATCTGGTGGCAGTTTAGCACTATTCTTTGGTTCCAGACACGTTCATCGAAGATAGGCTCCGGTCATTACGTTCGGCATGACGACGTTTTAGATGACGACGAAGCAGTAAGACCGATCTGAGGGCGGAATCGGCCACAGATCAAAATTTTATTTACAGTCTGTCCCAAATTGCGATCCTACAGTAAAAGTCTGATTCTTCCCAGGGACTCCCTATTCAACCTTGGACCTCAAGCATATTGGATCTTCAGAGCGATCATTTTTGCCTTCGACCTCCCTCCCAATCCCTTTCCACCTTCTTTCGGTGCATACACATGTGACTTCGGGGTTGGAAGTCAGTCAAAAGATTCCCCTCCGCAAACTACGATATAACGGCGGCCCCCTTAGTCTGCGAGGTTCTTCCCACCACGAAGTTTTCTCTGTCGCCATACTGCCTGGTTGTACCGTTACGTGTATTAAGAACTTGCTCGACGGACTTTTCGACAATATGTACGTATGTAATGATCTGGTTTCCCCTACATAGGCAGAAGGACGGCAATCATTTCTTCTTTATTATGGGAATAATCGGCAGCACTGGGCCTCGTGCCGCGCATAGTACATTATTTTTGATTTTTAAATATCCAACGGAATACATTACGAGCACGTCCAAATGTGCAAGTACTTGCAAGAAGAACTCGTTTCCTCTTGCAATTGATATCTCAAGAGGTAATTTCCTGATCGTGCTTCTCCTGCGGCACGCCTCCATGTTCGAGACTCAAGTCCAAGTTCATTACGGAGGCGTGGTTTCGAATCTTGCCAAGTTATTGCAGTAGAAGCTAGCGGACTAATTCTACCACTCATAATTATGCGAGGTCTAGAACTTCACGGCTTTTGCTGTTTCTCGAGGAGGATCTTTGTTCTTACCACTAGGCGCCAGCTAGGCAGCAATATCAATCGGTATGACAATCTTTGCGTCCAATGATTCAAATATGGTAGCCTGATCCTGGAACCTCATGCCACTTGAGACTTTGAATCTACCGAGGGGGATCATCACCTTCTGTTGATTCATCCTGTAAACTCGTTACAAGGATGACTAGGGGTGCACTGGTTTACTTCTGATCTTCAAGTTAGCGCCTTCACGTCCGGGGAATTGGAAACTGGAGTAGACTGGAGCACGTGTGAAACTCAAATTTTGAGTTTATGAAAGAGAACGAAAGAATGCCAGAAGTTTGTCTATATCTCGTGATAAATCAAAATATTGTATTTTAATAACGACGGAAGTTCATGTCTCGCGAGATGATGGGAACGACGGGATATACGAGATACTGACAGAACGCGCGGAGACAGAGAGAAACTCCGTGACCCCGCTTTGCCTATATTTTGCATCATAGCAAGATCAGTAAGATTGTGAAATACGAGACTGGCACAGAGACAATTACAGTAAATTTTGCGCGTCCGAGCCAAGGCCAGAAAGACCTTACTTAAACCATTGGTATAGCGTCGGAGGGCTGTCTGCTGTTTGTAGTGTGGAGAGACGTGGCCGCCCGCGGCGGAGGTGAGAATGAACCTTGCAGAGAGGGGTAAGCCATCTGGGGCTGTGGAGAGTACACGGTCCCATATTGCGACGGAGACAAGGACTGCCCATACAACACAGGAGAGCCGAACGACTGAGAAAAGTCGGATGAATCTGACGGAAAACGATTATGTGTCATGCGAGTTGCCGCACCATCGCCTCTGTCTATGAATGGCTGCTGGTTGACGACAGAGGCGTAAGCTCCTTTCTTGTACACGTGGCGTCTGTACACTAGATAGGCGCCAACGGCAAAAAGCGAGAGAGCAGCCAAGGTTCCAATGGTGCCGCCCACTATCGCACCCACGTCAGTTGATTTTGAACTTGAACCGCTAGATGACGATAAGGCGCTCGGGTGATACTAGAAGAATCTGGGACCAGATCAACATCGGTGGTGAAGAAACGAAAACAACCTAACATACTCCTTTGATAGGTAGCGTTTGCATCCATGATATTGAAAGTCGCAGATGTCCATGTTGTCGCTAAATAAACTCGTTAGTTGGCATAACGCGTTCGAAAGACAAAACCAACTCACGATCAGTAGTAGCCCAATAAGGTATGGAAGCATTTCCAGCAAGCACATATCCAGAAGGGAAGTATCTGTAAGATATTGTGAGCCCAGCTCAACAAATCACGAAACCTGAACAAACTTCTCTGTCCACGATGAGTTGGTGGTGCATCCAGATGCCCATTCAGCCCATCTATTTAATCATTAATGTTTCCCGAAGAACACAAGATAAATGACTTACTCCCAGATAGCAGAATCATTACTGCCTTGACATATAGTGCACGCCATCATAAGATTATAGGACGACCAAGAACTGCACTAATATCAGAATAATCAGAGACTCAGTTGTTACCTCACTCACCAATAACATTGATTTGCGGTCGAAGAATTTGGCAAGGAGTACGAATAGCCATTCATCAGGACTGGTTGGTCATAGTCTTAGAGCGCGCACATGAGTTTACAGCCAAGAAATAAGGAAAATTCACATGCTGTTGTTCCCAGAACATGCAGCCTCGACATAAGCGACAGTAAGACAAGGCGAGTCGCCCTGACCATCGTCCATCCATGAGTATTCACTAGTGCAGGTGGCAGGTGAGACGATACTGCGCTTGACTGAATGGACTTGTACGGCTAGGATAGTCGAAATATATGGAATTATAGATACAAGCCGATGGAAACCCAAGGACGCGACCATGATGTGGGCTAAGACGCACTACCAGAGGATAAGGGATATGAACAAGCACAAGCATGCGGGTTATCCGAATGAGTGCAAGCATACTCTTATCTCCATGTTCCAGCGCTCAGAAGAAGCACTGTCTGGTGACCTTGGGCATATGGCCGGACGCAATGTTCTTGCCTGATGCTATCAAAGCGCCAGCGCTAAATACTGAGTCGACTCGTCTGTGAGATTAGGAAATGAAACCATTTTCAAACAAACATAATACAAATCTAGAACTCCTGGTCGAACATATGGTGTCAAACAAGTTCAAATCTGTAAATGGTCGTCAACTTTCAAACCACTACGACGTCGTCGACAAGATAGTCAACGAGTACGTAATTGTACGACGAATCCCTATATATAATTAGGCCCATGCCGTCAACACTAGCATGCATATACTATACTTCGACTTGTCTTCAAAAACTGGGCATCTGTAGATATCCGAACCGTTTCAGATTGCGCCACAGGTCGAATTCATCGATGAATATTAATCATGATTCATATCAGCACCTGTGTGGCTACAATGCGGCTGTAGCTTTACTTTCATTACCCGACAACTCAGTTTGTCCCACCCCCACCATATGTCAACCCATTCAAAATTTTAAGATCTCCAAAGTTTGGCAAGTGGCATCAGTCTTCATCCTGTAAAACTCGGAAGGGTGGCTATATCGTTTTGAACCGAGGATTGCGCTTTCACGTCTGCGGAGTTGCCAACTGGACAAGTTGGGTCTGGAAGAGAACGAAGGAACGACAGAGGCGTACCCTGCGTGATTTCAATCAGAACACCGTTATTTTAACAACTGACATCATCATAAGACGGCGGTAACGACGGCATAAATGGCATGTTGATAGAATGCGAAGAAATTCCTTGACCCCAACCTTGCCTGTTATAGAAACATAAATAAAGTCGCGAAGAGATTGGTCAGGAGATGATAGGTATAACTATATCGAATGCAGACGTCGACGCGTCCAACAGTTCAAGGTATAAGAACTTGTAAGAAATATCTTACTGTTAAACCATTGGTATGACATCGGGATGCTGGCTGTTATAAGGATATGCAGTGTAGACGGACATGTCTGTCCGCGGAAGAGGTGATAATGAACTTTGCAGAGATGGGTTTGCGATCTGAGGTTGTGAAGAATATGCAATCTCATGCCGCTGCAATGGAGATACGGGCTGCTCGTACAATGCAAGAGGGCCTGACATTGATGGAGCGAAGTTGGATGTAGTCGGACGGGATACGGTTATGTGTGCCTGACGATGACATAAAGGTCGTCCCTTGTCGGTTGATAGCAAAGGCATGAACTCCTTCCCTGTATACGTGGCGTCTATACAGCAGATACGCGGCAATGGCGAGAAATAAGAGTGCGGCTGCACCTCCGATGGTACCGCCGACTATCGCACCCATGTCAGTTGATTTTGAGCTTGAACTTGAATCGCTAGATGATGGTGAGGCGCCCAGGGTGATACTAGAAGAATCTGGACCAGATCAACAGCAGTAATGGATAGATATAATTAACCCAACATACTCTTCTGATAAGTAGCGTTTGCATCCATGATATTGAAAGTCGCAGATGTCCATGTTGTCGCTAAAAAAAACTCGTCAGTTGGCACTACGCGTTCGGAAGACAAAAACTAACTCACGATCAGTAGTAGCCCAGTAAGGTATGGAAGCATTTCCGGCAGGTACATATCCAGAAGGGAAATATCTGTAAGATATTGTTGTGAGCGCAGCTCAACAAATCACTGAAACCTGAACAAACTTCTCTGTCCACGATGAGTTGGTGGTGCATCCATTTGTCCATTGAGCCCATCTATCTAATCATTAATGTTTCCCGAGGAACACAAGATAAATGACTTACTCCCAGATAGCAGAATCATTACTGCCTTGACATATAGTGCACGCCATCATAAGATTATAGGACGACCAAGAACTGCACTAATATCAGAATCATCGGAGATGCAGCCGTCACCCCCACTTACCAATAACATGGATTTGCGGTCGTCGAATTTGGCAAGGAGTACGAATAGCCGTTCTGCAGGACTGGTTGGTTATAGTCTTAGAGCGCGCACATGAGTTTGCAGCCAAGAAATAAGGAAAATCCACATGCTGTTCCCAAAACATGGAGCCTCGACATAAGCGACAGTAATACAAGGTGAATAGCCCTGACTGTCGTCCATCCATGAGAATCCATCAAGGCAGACTGCAGACGAGATGATATTGCGGGAGAGTGGATGGACTTGTACTGCCATGGTAGTCGAAACAACTGAAATCACAGACACAACTAGGAAGAAACTCGAGGACGTGACGGGCTAAGACGCGCTGCTAGAGGGCAAGGGATATGGGCAAGCATGCAGGTTATCCGAATGAGTGCAATACCGTCATGATCTTATCTCCAAGATCCAGCGTTCGGAATAGGCATATCTGGTGACCTTGAAGGAATCATGGCATATGGACCGTAAGACCGGACGCAATGTTCTTGCCTGATGAATCAAAGCGCTGGCACTGAAATTTGAGATTGGGAAATGAAACCGTCCATTTCCAAATAAAAATGATACAGAAGTAACAGAACTTCTGCGGAATGGTTGCTTTGCTTGACAAGGTTTCTTTCACCTTCCAACTAGCATTGTCGTGCAAATTCATGATGGTCGTATGGAAGGAAAACCAACCTACATCCAGTCAATGGCTGTGCCACGAAGCTGAGCACATCACGTGATCATAGATTATCAGATGTGCGATCTCGACTTCGAAGTGCCATGTTCCCCCGCGCTTCGCGCCCTCACGTCCAGAAGACCCAGTAGATAGACTTGTAAAGCCTGGCGTTCTTGCAACTAAGCTATTACCTGGTGACATTAATATTGCAGTGATCGTCCTGAGTCCTTTCCTTGTGTCTTCACCTCAAGTGTTACTACAAGCTGTCCCCATAGTAAATACACACCGTGACTGGCATCATGATATCGTGATCCATCAATAGTAAGTAGTCGACCGGTAAACGTTAACGTCGACCTTCAAACCACTACGACGTCACCAACAAGACACGTAGTTGACCAGGAATGGTACGACGAATCCGTATATATAGGTAGGTCCATACCTCCAACTACTTCGATATCCGAACCGTTTCGAATTGCGCCACAGGCTGAATTCATCAATGATTCAACGCCTGTGTGGCTGCAATGCGGCTGTAGCTTTACTTTTATTACCCGACAACTCAGTCTGTCGCCGCCATGCGTCAACCTGCTCAATTTTTTGAAGATCTCCAAAGTTCGGCAAGTAGTATAGTCTTCGTCCTGTAAAACTCGGAAGGTGGCTATGCCGCTTTTAACCGATGCTTTGGAATTGTGCCTTCGCGTCCGTGTAGTTGCCAACTGGACGAGTTGGAAGAGAACAGAGGAATAAACAGAAATGCCGCCGCATACGCCCAAAACGTGAAATACCTGAAACTACTTTCAGCATCAGCGCATTAATGTACGATTTGGGAACTCAGGTGCCGTTGTTATTTTAACACAGCATTAGATTATCATTAATATCGCCATAAGTTGGCGGGAACGACGGCATAAATGACATACTGATAGAATGCGAAGTAAGAAAGTCCTAATCCCCCCTTGCCTGTCATAAAAAAATAAGTAAATCGTAAGGACATTGGCCAGGAGATCATAGTATAAGGTACCGAATGCGAGCGCGTGCGACAGTTCAAGCTATGAAGAACTTGTAAGAAACACCCTACCGTTAAACCATTGGTATGACATCGGAACGTTGGCCATTACCAGTATATGTAGTGTAGACGGACATATTTGTCTGCGGAAGAGGTGAGAATGAACCTTGCAGAGATGGGTATGTAGTCTGAGGTTGTGAAGAATATACAATCTCATTCTGCGGCGGCGGCGGGGATACGGACTGCCCATACAATGCAAGAGGGCCCGACATTGATGGAGCGAAGTTGGATGTGTCGGAGGGGAAACGGCTATGTGTGCCTGACGATGACATAAAGGTCGTCCCTTGTTGGTTGATGGCAGAGACATGAACTCCTTTCCTGTATACATGGCGTCTGTATAGTATATAGGCGCCAATGGCGAGAAGCAAGAGTGCGGCTGCGCCTCCGATGGTACCACCAACTATTGCACCCACGTCAATTGATTTTGAGCTTGAACTGCTAGATGATGGACCGCTAGATGACGATGGGGGACTAGGAATTATGTAGGAAGGATCTGGGGCAGATCAACATCGGTGATGAAGAAACGAAAACAACCTAACATACTCTTCTGATAAGTAGCGTTCGCATCTATGATATTGAAAGTCGCAGATGTCCATGTTGTCGCTAAAAAAACTCGTCAGTTGGCATTGCATGTTCGGAAGACAGAACCAACTCACGATCAGTAATAGCCCAGTAAGGTATGGAAGCATTTCCAGCAAGCACATATCCAGAAGGGAAATATCTGTAAGATATTGTTGTGAGCGCAGCTCAACAAATCATGAAACCTGAACAAACTTCTCTGTCCACGATGAGTTGGTGGTGCATCCATTTGTCCATTGAGCCCATCTATTTAATCATTAATGTTTCCCGAGGAACACAATATGGATGACTTGCTCCCAGATAGCAGAATCATTATTGTTTTGGCATATAGTGCACGCCATCATAAGATTATAAGATGACCAAGAACTGCACTAATATCAGAATCATCGGAGACGCAGCCCTCACCCCCACTTACCAATAACATGGATTTGCGGTCGTCGAATTTGGCAAGGAGTACGAATAGCCGTTCTTCAGGACTGGTTGATCATAATCTTAGAGCGCGCATATGAGTTTACAGCCAAGAAATAAGGAAAATTCACATGCTGTTGCTCCCAGAACATGCGGCCTCGACATAAGCGACAGTAAGACAAGGTGAGTCGCCTTGGCCGTCGTCCATCCATGAGTATTCACTACTGCAGGTGGCAGGTGAGACGATACTGCGCTTGACTGGATGGACTTGTACTGCCAGGATAGTTGAAATATATGGAATTATAGACACAAACCGATAGAAACACAAGGACACCATGTTGGAGGAGTAAGCTAGGATACACTACTAGGGGGATGTGGGGAACTTATCGTTAGGTCAGGGCTCGTCTCAGGCTTGTCTGGTGACCTGCCTGTGCGCGCGGATGAGTCGGACCCACAGTGAGCGCTACTGCTTGGAGTGTACACGTGGGAGTACTCTCAGGCTTGTCATGGTCGACGGTTGTGATCTTCAAGCTTCAGCGCTAGCGCTTCAAGCCCACAAGTGACACTGGTCAGCAACTCGATAATGAAGTGATTATATGGTAATTCTCTAGGGAACACACATAGTATACATATCCATCCTTTGAAATGATTTCGGAAGTGCATCTGGAAGCTGGCATCCGGGCTGTGTAGTACTGCAATACGGCTATTATATTGTTACCCGACTGCTCCCTCCCATCTGTCAACTCACTTTGACGCCAAGGAGTCAGGCCCATCTTCGAAGTTCGGCAGTAGTTTTCAAAATTTCCCAGTTTGTAAAGACGGTGGTATGCCCTGGCTCACCTATTCCTATCATGGCCATTCTAACTTGGTCCACGGGGCTTCATTCCGAGAAGTGACAGAGGGCGCGCCTACTATCCAAGACCTATGGCCCGCGTTTAGCCGTGCAGCGTCTCTCAGCCTTCACCGGTCACCTTGCAGCTTGCGTTCTCTATTCGTCGTCACTGTTTTCTCTTCTGGTTCCATTCGCTGCCGCCAAAGATCAGCTTACAGGTCATTGCTTCACTGCCATCTCGATTGCGTTTCTGGCTCTGTAATATCACAACTTCTTCATAAGTTATCTCAACCTCACTAACAGAAAATCGAGCCAGAATGTCGTGTCCACTGGCAGCTTGGTCCGTGAATACCGGGCAGCAATCGCCATGTGAAATAGTGTCGTCAGTGTACGGTTCGTGCTCGAACAATACAAGTAAGCCCTCACCTATGGTCTTCGTTGTGATATGCCTGAGTCGCTTCAGGTGGTACCATCTCTCCTACCTCTTCCGAAGACTCCTTCGTTCCCGTTGCCTCAAATGCGACCCTATGTACTTGGTAAGTCACATTTGTATAAAGTCGGCGTGATTTTTTAAAACGAGAATGGGCACTATGAACAGTTCCTGGGCAAGTTACAACTTGTTAAGTGCTTGTACGTTTTGTGCCACGGAATCCCCCTCTTTGGTGAGGTAAGTCTCTTATGCCCGCTCGCAGTTCGCTGTAGTAAACTTGGCATAGCTGGGATACATGGATAAAGAATTGCGATGGATTGACGTCAACAACAACGTGAGTCTATATAAGCCTCTTTTCTGCTGATCTGATTTTTTACGTGACTCTCAAAGATACTTTCCTTGGGATTCGGGAATAAGGCTCCCTTCTAACGCCGCGATAATACCTTATTATGCGAGCTCCAATCGTAAGTTCTGATAACAGGACTGCTAAGCTCCCTTATCATGAATGATCTTGCAGCTAGTAGCTACCCCAGTGCGACATTTGACGAGTCCGTTGCCTCCGCTATCAGCGCTGCGTGTAAGCTCATCCGACTATGTCAGTCAAATTCGCACTGACTTTTATTAGCAAGACCCAACTTGAATGGATCACCCCTTCCCAGCACTTCGTCCTCCTCGGATTCATCCAGTTCTTCAACTCCTGTTGGTCCGATTGTTGGAGGTGTTGTCGGGGGAACAGTTCTGCTGCTTCTGTTGTGTGGCTTCTTCTTCTTCATTATTTACCGGAAGCGCAGAAGAGCAGCGCAGTTCCCGTCCAAAATGATACCGCCCATATTGAACGGCCCACCCTTCGCTGTGGCGACCAGAGGCTCGACAACTCGTGCTCCCCTCGCACCATCGGGATACCCTCAGACATCAGCTGCGATGTCTACCTCTCCTTACGCTATTCAGTCCAATCATGTTCGCAACGTTCATTCAGTAACGAGTCTCCAATCGCTCAACATCGCTTCACCCACTTCCGCTGGGCATGCTATGGCTTTGTCGCCCCATATCGCCCCTATATTATCACCCGTCAGCGATGCAGCCGACGTAATCACTCCATTCCTTACCACCCAACCAAGCCGACCAGGCACGCCAGACAGAAAGAGCGCCCAAAGCCACGGTGAGCCTGCGCATGAGCGCGCCGCGTCACCCCAATCTCAAAGATCACGCATGAACCCGCCCCCTTATACCCCATCATCTCCCACGTCCTCAGACCATGCCCGCACTGGGTCCAACTCTTCCAGGAGGCTTTCTGTCATGAGGCACTTCACGCGAGAAGGCGGCTCAGGGGATATGACTATCAACTCAGTCATGGGACAGAAGAGGACGCACTCCCCGAGGATGCACTCTGGAACGAGTGCTGAGAGCGCCAGAAGTGAATCAACTACCAGGAGTGCGAGCGACAATGGTCGGAGTATAAGGACTGCCCTTGAACGCACTACAACGACGGCTGCTTCAAGTTCGCGTCGGCCTGCTGTGTAAAGAATATCTTTGTATTTGTTTCTTCTTCTTGGACCCTCGTTTATCTTCCATTGGGTGTAGACAATACGTGCGGTGTTGAACTGTGGTCGTATATATTTCGTCTATGTAGTAATGGATCTTCTGTGCAACGGCTCCCGGATAGGGTGTGGTGGTCAGAGCGTACCAGCATGGCTGCTACTGTCATCCCGAATTAATGACATGACTACTTTGCAGGAGCAGGTATACACGTTGCGGGAAATGATAGCACCATGATGTGCATATGTACGGTAATGTTATAAAACACACTCTCAAGCTCAGAGGATAGGGGGAAGCGCAATCAAGTCTAGTACATATTCAATGATATCCTTGTTCTCCTCTTGACATTTTATGACATCGGTCTCCACAGAGTCCTGTGTGATGACTTTATACACAAAAACTGTCTTGTCCTGGCCAAAGCGGTGGCATCGAGAAATAGCCTGCATCTAAGTTGCTGGCCTTCTACATCAATGTCAATGCGTTTCGCTTTAACCACTCACCTCTTTGCAATGATTCCACCACGGGTTAACGAGAATGACATGATTTGCGATAGTGATGTTGAGTCCGACACCACCAGCATCAGTGGACATCAGGAGCACTTTCATGCGGGAATTGTTCGCGAAAGACTCAAGGACTTCCATACGTCGCTGTGTCGAGAGTTCGCCGTGATCTAACGATAAGCATACCTTTCAAACGCCAACTTGCACAAAATGGGCGTATCATACGAACATTGGTCCACGCCTATCTTCAGTTTCTTCATCTGGACCTCCAGCAGATCCATCGTGTCCCTAAAGCAGCACTGGGCAGGCAGGTATGAGACAAGTCTAAGAAAACAGCAGAGCGACATACAAAAACTAACACCTTCTGGCCTTCTGGTACCCCTGTGATAATATCCATCACCGCGCGGATTTTACTTGAGACATACGCATGTCCAAACAGCCGAGCGAATGGCTGAAGGCTTAATGGGAGAACTTCCGGATTGGGACCAAGACCACGTCCGTACATGTCCACTGCATCAGAAGTCACATCAGCATCAAGGCCTTGCTCCTCGATTATCTGCCCCAAGGCGCCCATGAGTAGTAATGGGTGATCGCATGCTAAGAGAAACGACTATCAGAATGATCTACACACCATGTACGTAAACAATACATTACCTTGCCTGGCTCTCAGCCACGCCATATCGAAATCCCTGATGCCAGAACGAGCCCAATCGTGTATCGTTTTCTCCCCCTGTGTTTGCCACACATGAACAGTCTTGATTTCTAAATTCGGAAGCTGAATTACATCCACCTTTCTCCTGTATCGCGTACAATTCGCAAGAAGATTCTATAAAAGGATCATTTCAATGACTGCGCATAGCGGAACAACATCATACCGCGACTACGTGTGCAGAAACCTTGGAGAAGTATCCCCGTTTGCCGCGCACAGCGAAAGCGGTGCTTTCGGCAGCCGGACCACGTTCATCTGTGACCCCAAGAAACCTGAGCTGGGGTTGGATATCGGATAGCTTATTCTATACAAGCCATTGTTAATGCTTCGTTCCTGGGTAATCGTATTCAAATCGCTACAAACTCACTATGAGAGGGGTGCCAGTCAGACAAAGCCCCTGAAGCTTCTGCAAAGCCATGCATGCCTTGTACCAAGCACCTAAACCCATAATCTTATGCGATTCATCTGCAACATTTTGTACTCAGTTGAGGTAGTTATCGCCTCATGTTTTGAACACGCTACCTAAAATGACGCGGGACCAGCGTGCCAGAAAAACTGGATCCTTAGAATCCTTGCTCATTCGACGTTCAATTCGCTGATACGTAGTGATCTACGCAGGGCATTAGGCGGCATCGGGTAGTTTCTTGGAAGTACTTGCGATAACATCTACGTCCATGAGAGCGTCCACACCTATATCGATAGAGATTTTAGAATGCGTAAGCAGGGCTGGCAATCTACCTACCCATGTGCCCATCATGAACTTTCGCTGTTAGTCCATCACCAAATTTCCCAATTTCGCGCATCCACTGTTCGCGAAGAGATACACTAGGGACAACAACCCTTCATAACAGTGTCAATGAGACACTAGTAACAAAAGAAAATCGGGTTTACAGTGTCGTCTTCGGTCGTTTAGGGGGAGCTTTCACGGGTCCACTAGTCTTAGAAGGAACCCCAAGGGATTTCTCGAGATCTGTTGCTTTCGACTCTTGGAGCGTCTTCTTTATCAACGCTATGGAAGTTACAGTCTTTCCGAGACTTTGAGTTTGAGTGAGTGATTAGAGGTCCATTCATGCGCATTGCACACACCCCATCTCGTGCGCGAGTATTGAGCCTCCTTGTCCTGCTTTCTCACGAGCGAGCAGCCACTCGAGGTCCATCGCTTGATGCTTGAAAAGGGTGAACGATGAGCCCAGAACGGACCTACCAATCTTATTGTTTGCTGCATTGCTAGACTTTGGCTTTTTCTGCAGCTTGTTAAACTAACAAAAATTCAAGCTTTGATTCTACTCACAGGCGTCGCAAGTACAAATTCACGGGAAATATTTTCACTAATAGGTGGGGTTATTTCTTCGTGTTCCAAGTTTGGTGGGGCGCTGGAAAGCCGAACGGATTTTGACGCCTTCGAAGCTAAAGATGGCGTCACATTGGTGGTGTGGTGTGGGGACTGAAATTGACACCAATGAGAATGTCTTGAAGCGATGTTGAAGCGATGCTTGCCTCTCTTCGACGATCATCATCTTCCAATGATGCAAGAAATAACTGAAAGGCGGACATATGTGTTGGACCTGAAACAGAGATTAGGAGAACCCGCTGTCCCCCACAACTCTTTTTAACCTTTGTGGGTGATAGGCCTAGGCAAACCCACAAAGTCTCCAGGTCGTGTGATACTCCATCGTTTTATTGTCTGAAGCTAATATCTCATAATAGGTTTTCGTAATAAACCACTGTCAATTGATTCCGCTGGGATAAAGACACATGGACAGGTCAGCAGCGATGACGATATGAAGGCGGCGTGTTTGATGTCCAAACCTCGATGGGTGCATTAGTATATGCCCTTAAAAATCAGGATAATGAGAACGAAGATTCTTTGATCTTGTCATGAAGACCATAGCAACCACTGTTCATTGTAATCACCGTACTTACGGTATACTACATCCTAGGACATCCTGAAGGAGCTGAGAAGGGCAAGTCACTAATAAGATTGAACTTACCTGAATGAGCACCACAGCATAAAGAGTTGTCATGACGTCAATGGTGTTGTTTCGGTGGCCTACACACTAACCGAAACAATTACATGGAAGCTTGGTGAACTGACATGCAAAGAGGAATCCTAAGGTGTCTGCTATCAGCGTTTTCTGGGAGCACCACCTTCATGGTTCGAGCAAGGGGAAGACTCTAGCAACTTACCAAATATTCAGAACATTGACATGTCGCATCAGCGTTCAATACCTATGCCAGTATGCGAATGGTGATCCTCATCTACTAAGTATGCGATACACTGAGGTGATGGATGATGATGATCAAGTTGATGTTCTAAAAATTTGTGCGAAGCAAGTACCCTTGGGCCTTGGCAGTCTTGCGGAGTAGCTGCTGCTTACATAATCTGATTACCTCCATGATATTATGAACTATTGCCGCCAGCCTCTGGCACGAGTCTCCATCGCTATAAACTTCTGCCCATGTCTGTCTGATTTCGGATCAATTGAAAGTTCATGTTGAACTGAAATGTCCAGTTTTATATCATTGTTCAACGCTTCTAGGCATCCAGTAACGATGAATCCTCGCGACAGACCATCAGATCCTCTTTCCCGACTCCGCTACGCCCTCGAAACAATGCCCAGTTCACGAAAGTACATATTCTCTCCCGCAACCCGCGCAGAGGTTCTATCAGAACTTTACGATGCATTTTGGGGACCGTATTCACATCTCTTCCTCCCATTGTCCAATTCCAGCCTCCCCATGCATGCTACTCTCAGTAGCGTTCAAGCAGATCTGGGCTTTGCTGGTGCCGGTTCAGAGGATCCTATCGTTCCTGGAAGGCCATGTGGTCACATCTTCAGCAAGGGAGAGAGTTGTTTTCGTTGCAAGTCAGTAACCTGCTTGCTATCATGCCAATCATTCACAATACCCCTTTAGAGACTGCGCGCTCGATGATAGTTGCGTTCTCTGTAGCCGCTGCTTTCATTCCAGTGATCATTCAGATCATAATGTCAGCTTCTTCGTCGCTCAACAGGCTGGGGGCTGTTGCGATTGCGGAGATATCGAGGCTTGGCGTAAACCTATCTCATGTCCTTTCCACCCACTTGCTCCCCATGTCCAAGCGCAAATTGAACAGTCCTTGAGCGCAGTTGATTCCACTCCTCGAGCTGTACAGCGTTCTATATCTGAGGAGATTCCATTCGTTGAGAATTACCCATACAGAGTCGCAATCCCGCCCGACCTACGTGATCTCATGAGCCGCACTATTGCATATGCACTTGACTTTATCCTTGACACCCTGGACTACTCCCCGGATGAAGCGACAGTGCCTTCGCATGAAGCTGACCTACGGTTGCAGCCCTCAGCAGATCCTATGCAAAAGGACCAATACGCCATCATCATCTGGAACGATGACAAACACTCATTTGATGAGGTCATCAAGCTTATATGCGAGACCACCGGCCATGATAAGAAGACCGCAAGCATCATGGCGCACTCTATTGACGATGCAGGCCGGGAAATAATTGACATCAACGGTGATGTCCCCCGGCTCCTCGAAGCAGCCCATTTGATGACAAAAATTGAACTCGGTGTCACGATCCGTCGTGCATATGACACATTTCGCGAGCAGGTTGCTTGCGTCATTATAGAGTGGCTGCTCGATCTCACTCGAAGCCGGCTGGGCGCGGATACACTGATAATCAAAGAAATCATCGCTGCCGAGCTTCTATCGCCGAGACGGCGGGAGAACACGTTCTTTACTTCTGGTCCGCAAATCCCAAACCTCGCTGCAGACCTGGCACGCCCATGCCGCGTTGATTGGTTATTCGTCTATCACACTCGACTGTGGAAGAAGCCCCGAATACATTTGAAAGCAATTTATGCGTCGATCTTGACACTTTCGCATCCCCATAAGATTGCCATCGGTACGCCACAATGTTGCTCGTTGTCACAAGCACATTTTGACTATTTCAGCGTCTCACTTTGCCAGCATCTACCACCGTGTCGCTGACGCTTATCTTCTGGTTGACCGTGAAGCAGAAACATCCATAAAGTATTTTGCCCTCCAACTTTTCACTGCACCATCCGTTGCCCTGCACATCGTTTCTCAACATGATCTCATGACACGTTTGCTTGATATTATCGTCAACTTCTTCACCAACCACATTGAGGACAAGCACATCCTCACCACGTCTCCTGTCCAACAAGACATAGACGTTGACAGCCCCCCATTCAGAAGCAAACGCTTCATGCCTGTCTTCAGTGATCTCCGGTATCTTTGTCACAACCGACCTGTCCAGCAGCTCATTGCTCGTCACCCAGCCTTCATACGCAAGTTTGTCAAGGTATGCCAGGTGTTCATGTGTATCAGCCCAAACAAGCGCGTTGCCTCGAGTCACGTCGAGTATGAGTCGGATGTATGGATCAGCGTGTTCAACGTAACACTTTCGCTTTCCCGCGTCATCAAAGTCTACGGTGAAGCCTTCGCATTTGCGAACCCAACCCAGCTTGTAGGAGCAATCACGACTGTCGTGCGGGAGATCCTCGCCGTTTGCACTCTCTCGACAGATAGGCTTGACAAGGAAAAGTTTTCAAAGCCGATGCTGCACGAGGTCGAGTTTGGTGATGCACAGTATCGGATCGTCGATTTCAACGTGCTGGAAGGATGGGTCAGCTTCCATCACTCCCTTCATTGGCTCCTTGCAGATCTGTTGAAGCATGTTGATATTTTATCAGAGGAGTCATTGAAGCAGATTGGGGTATCTGGCGTCCGGGACTTGTTTTTGCGCCCCTTCAATGAGGGCGCCATTCTCACATTAATTGACTTTCCTTTGCGAGGTAAAATGAGTTCATCAATATTACAGCTGGCCTAACTATGGTTTCACAGTACTCGCTATGATTGCCCAGATCAGGGCAGGATTATGGGTCCGCAACGGCTTCCCTATCCGTGGCCAGCTCCTGCACTACCGCGATTTCATGCTCCGCGAGCTCTGCTACGACCAAGACCTATTCATCCTCCAGTCATCTCTCATCATCCTCGATCCCAATATCATCATTGTCTCCATTCTCGACCGTTTCGGCCTTCTCTCGTTCTTCCGCGGTGAAGTCGAGAAGTCCCCTTATGAAGGCGCCCATCTTCTGAGCATGGTTGAGGAGCTTCTCTATGTCCTGATAACTATTCTTGGCGAGAGAGCCAGCGCCACGAAGCTCCCGTTCCAGCGTGCCATCCGTCGTGAGATCGTGCACGCACTTGCGGCGGGGCCAAGTTCATTCACTGATCTTGCCAAGCGCGTCTCCGAGAGGATGGTGGATGATGTATCTTTCGAGCGTGTTCTCAAGACGTATCTCACTTCCGCGCACCCGAGTCGACATCTGATACTGGCGTGTATGAGCTCAAGGACGAGGCTTATGATGAGGTGGATCCGTTCACCTTCCACTACACACGGAACAAGCGCGAGGAAGTGGAGGTCATCCTCAAGAACAGACTTCGGAAGAAGACAGGTGTGAAAGACCCAGTCATCGTCCCGAAGCCGTTGACCATCACATCCGGCCCGTTTTCGATACTCCCATCCGTCCTGGAGTCTGAAGCGCTTCTTCAGGTCATGTTCTATGCCATATACAACGTAATTGCGCTCACCAATAGTGCGGGGACGGCCCCACCCTCCGCTGAGGCTATCCTTGACCAAACATTTCAACTTATCATGCTAGCGCTCGTAGAACGACCTTCTGTTTTCAGCCATGTCTCTGTCATTAAACCCTTTGCAGAAGAAAAGAAACTCGCCGATATCATATGCGCCATGGAACACGATGAAAAATACAAACCCTACAAGAGCCGCATCGATTGGGTTCTCACAGAGATTTCCAAGCATGTCCCGGAAGGGGTACAGCCTCCTCGCGAAGTCCTGAGCCTCGCTGCGCTAGCACCTGATGTTGAGGGTGTCAAGAAGCGTGCAGCTAAGGCACGCCAAGAGGCCATTATGGCAGAGATGAAAGCTCAACAAGCGAGTTTCTCGCTCAATTTCGAGGAGGAGGAAGAGGAAAATGATCAGGATATGGATGAGACATCTGATGAACTTTCCTCGTATGGCACTTGCATCGTCTGCCAGGAAGATCTCAACGAGGCCAAAGCATTTGGCTCTCTGGGGCTCGTACAACCCAGCCGGTTGCTCAGGAAACATCCGGACAGTCATAGTCAATATCTCAACGAGCTTATGACAATGCCTCAGTCGCTCGATCGAGCGAGTCCGCGCGACACCACTTTCCCCCCAGCCAATGCCGAGGAGCTCGACAACACAAACTCACCCAACTTCGATGGATTTCCTACACAATACACTCGCTTCGGGCTCCACGCGTCTGTGTGTGGGCACATGATGCACCTCGACTGTTTCCAAGTTTATAATTCCTCCATTCGCCAGCGGCACCGCTCACACGCGACGAGAAATCATCCTGAAAGCATTCAGCGCAAGGAGTACATCTGCCCGCTTTGTAAGAGCTTGGGCAATGTCCTTCTCCCCGTTCTTCACCCCAGCAATGCTCCTGCAAGCCAGACCCCCTTCCCAGACTGGATTCGAGCCGCGGGAATAAGTGTCTTGAAGTCAAAACCAGACAGCGTCATGGATGGTCTGCAGTTCAGAAGTGGGACAGGCGAGTTTGTGTTCTGGAGCGCGCAAGATCCTGGTTATGGCGCAGTCGTACGCAAGCCAGAAGCAGTGACTTCAACGAAGATGCTCGACACCCTCATGTTGACATCAAGAATGGTCTCGCAACAAACACGCCATCTTCGCGAGCGACCTGAACCAGAAGTAGGAGAAAGAGGCGCTGGGATGTATCTTCCCGAAGACCTCGTCGGATACACAATTTCTGCTATCGAGGTTGCTGCTCGTGGGACTGACTCCTCGGGAGGGATTGTGGCGGATTCGCTGTCATTATCGGATACGCAAAGTAGAATGATCCGCGGGTTACTCGCCAGCTTGACAAGACTAGCCGCTCTTGAACTGGACGGTCGGCCGGATGGTGGCCGGGAGTCGGTCAAGCAAGCCATAATCAAACGGCTACTCCCAGAGTGGAGCCGAACATCACTGACCTCCTTCTCGTACCCCTTACTCTTACGTGACCCATTCACCGTACTCATCGAAACCGCCGCAGTGGCTCCCGAGATGTTGCAGCATGTCTTGATCTTGTGCTACTACGCCTGTTTGGCTCGCACAGTCATCGGCATGGTGTATGTCCTGAACAAGGCCAGGACGTACAGCGCTTTCCAGCAGTCCGCTGCTCGTGCCCATGCTGATATCTTCGGCGATGTCCGCATGTTCTTCATGTCGGTCGTGCGACACTCACCCGTCTTCGAGCACACTGCTACGCTAGTCTTTGATGCGTTTGGTGAAGCTCGCATCGAGAAGATGCTTTACGCGTTTACTCTTCCATTCCTCAGACGTGCAGCAATCCTGTGTCGCTCCGTCGTCCCGCTTACATTCCCAACTCCATTACTAGGTGCCTCTAACGTCAATGAGTACAAGCGTCTATTGGCTACCCTCGGCATTCCTCCTTTGGCAGACCTCCCCAACCAAGATACGCTTCAAAACGCACTCTCTGGATGGTGCGCCCACTATGGCCACTCACATGCTGCCTCGCAACTCAACTGTGGCGTCGTACTTGACTACGCGGCTGTGTACGGAATCGCCCGTCTGCCACTCATCCTCGATAACCTCTTTGGTGAGCGAGACAAGGTGATGAAATGCCACCGATGCAACACCGTTCCAACGGACGCTGCAATTTGTTTGATCTGCGGAGTAACGTGCTGTATGGCGAGTCACTGCTGTCAAGACGAGTTAGGGATTAGGGGGGAGTGCAATATGCACACACGAGAGTGAGTTCTCCACGTCATGCCACGACATGATGCTGATTCCTTGTGGTTACAAGGTGCGGTGGTGCCATCGGTGTTTACTTCATCGTGAAACGATGCTCTCTGCTCTATTTGTACGCCAATGACGGGACATTCGCACAATCCCCTTACCTTGATGTTCATGGTGAGGTCGATGTCTCAATGAGGTCAGTCCGTTCTGCTGCCGTATTTCAATGGAATGCTCAATTGCGGTGCACAGACGCGGTCGTCGTCAATATATACACCCAGCTAGGTGGGAAGAAGTCCGCAAAACGTGGCTCAACCACGGTATTCCAACTGCTGTTGCTCGTAAACTTGAGAGCATGGTCGACAGTGGAGGATGGGAAGCACTTTGATTGCTTAGAGATCTCTGTCCCGTAATTTTAGCGAGAAGCTTGTGCATACTACTCACATCATCTGTATACAAGTAGACGAATGGACAAATAGATATTCGATCATGTTCATTTCGAATCGCTGGTTTTGTGCGCTGAGAGCGCCAATTTCAGCCTTTCTGCTGTCCGTTCGGTGCCAAGAACATCGATGATCTCAGGAAGACTAGGTCCTGCTTTCATCCCAGATAGCGCGTGCCTCAAAGCAGTCATGAAGACCTTTGACTTCAAGCCTGTTTTCTCGCACGCATCATGCAAGAAAACTGCAATGTCAGCTTGAGTCGACGGTGACGAAGACTCGAGTTGCAGGATAACTCGTCGCAGTACATGGTCTATAGTGATGCAAAGCGATCAGTAATGCTGATTACTGACATTGCGCGACTTGCCGTAGTCATCAGCTGATAGCCCCCGCTTCATGGAATGCGCTTCGGGCAAATCATAATCCAGTTCCACGAAAAAGAATGGAGCGAGTGTTGGAACGTCATGAAGATTTGTTATGCGACCCTGGGAGCACTCTAGCTATACGTTCATCCAGTAGGTGACGTATGCTCACCTGCAAGACGCTGATCACACGCGTGATGTATTCTACATTCGTGTATAGACTAGAAACACCGAGTTAACAAGGGCATAAATCGATAGATGAATAGACTACCTGTGAGGGAAAGCAGCCTTCACAACATCATGCACTCGTCTTGCTTGGAAATCAATACCCTGTTCGCTCTGCCAGCTCCGCATGAGGTGATGTTTGTTAAGATATGCAAGCTTCGTGGGATCAAGAACATTCCTGCGATGCGTGAGGGAAGATAAATCAAACTGCAGAATAAACCCGTTGTAGAACCCGCGAAGAACCCATGAAATAGTGACAACGCACTTGATCGATGAGTTCTGGGAGCGTCATGAGGGTTGTGCTGTCGGGAGGTTGAGTCGAGGGCGTTCCGGGTGGGGAAGTACGCCCATTTTCGTGGTGCACGCCCCACCCAGCCAGTGCCAGCCAATTTATAACACTTTCGGGCTCCCAACCACGGCGCTATGGAAAATGGCGTTCAAATCAAATTTGGTGGGTGAATAAAAGTGACGTACCATGAAATCTAAGACAGACACATCTCCGTTGCGCTTTGACATCTTTGTTCCATTCGGGTTCAAGAGGATGGGTAGATGCGCAAACTGAGGGGGCTTGAAGCCCAAACATGAATACAGATCGAGGTGTAGTGGTAGTGAAGGTAGCCATTCCTGGAATGCATGAAATTCAACGACGTCGTGTCACAGAGGTATGAACACCTACCTCTCCGCGGAGAACATGTGTGATATTCATCTCATGGTCGTCAACAACAGATGCCAAATGGTACGTAGGGAACAGATCAGATTTCAGAAGAACAGGGTCTGTTGGAAGTGACGCATGTGCATCCCTCAGGATACCGAAGACGATATCGGTGGATGAAGCACGGTCTGGGAGGTTGTCATCCTGTGACTTGTAAGCATGAGGTCTGACTGCACAATAGATGTACTCACATTCAGTCTGACGATGGACTTTTCCCCAGCACGTACTCTCCGTGCAACTTCTTCCTCGGTGAGATGGAGGCACGACTTGTCATACGTGGCATTTGACCCTGTGCGTGCAAGCTTCTCGCGGGTAGCAGCAAGTGTATCGGGAGAGCAAAAGCACCGATATGCGTGACCAGACTATGAATTGGCAATGGTTAAAGAAAGAAGAGAGAAGTAATGAGCACACGACGGACTTCTAGGAGCTTGCGTGTATATGAATGGTAAAGGTCGAGCCGTTCTGACTGGTGGAGCTCAGTATACGGGGCGCGCGACAAGTTGTAAGACACCGACTTGGAAATACGGCCCATGGGGACCATCCATTCCAGGACCTATATGAAGATTCTTTGAGTTGCTTTGAGCCGGAATGTGATGTACAACATGCCGAAGTCATACGGAAGACCAGCCCATGCCAATGCATTCTTAATGCCGTCCACTGCGGTCGGTACATATCTCGCCTGGGTCACAGATGAGATTTTGCTGCAATGAGGAAAGCGTGCAACTGACCGCGTCAGTGTCTTCTATTCTGAGAATCCATTTTCCTCCGTGTTTTTTGGCGAACAGATGGTTGTAAAGAGCGGTCCTGAGTCCACCGAGGTGAAGAGCACCAGTAGGAGATGGTGCAAATCTCAAGAGAACCATGTTTGAGAATTTATATTATTAACAGGGAAGAACCAAGCACTTCAATCGATATTGAGTACACTGTGCAGTAGAAGCAGTGATGAACTCGAGCCGGTACTTCAAGTTGGATGTGGGGTTAGTCAAAGCTTGCCTTGTCGCTCAAACGGCCACCCACCATCATGTACGATCAAACCAACACTTCGCAGGATTTTTGACAAACGTCTATGTTAGCATATAACCCGTATATGATACCTAATGTACGTGTTCAATTTGTACTACTGGCATTGACGCTAGGGCGGGTAGACACGCCCCCCTCAACCATCTATTCCTTTATCCAGAACACCGGGGAACACAGGTTTAGACAGGTCCCCTTCACAAGACCCACAAACATGGTGAAGTGTAATCGGTTGAGCGACCCCTACCACCTTGTAACATCTGCCTCAGCCTCTCCAAACAGGCTCGTCTTCTTGATCGCAAAGTCCCCCTCGGGAATATCTTCCTCATCTCTCACATATAGTTCTGGAAACTCCCTCCTAAGGAATCTGAGGACATGGGTATTGATTTGCTCGAATTCAAGAAGGAAGCCGTCGTGACCATCAGGCGATGGGATGACAACAAGTTCTGCATCCGGTATGTGTGCCGCGAGCTCCTTTTGTTCAGAAGGAGTGAACAAGCCGTCCGTTTCTACGCTGATCACCAATGCACGCGGAGGGAGAGTTGCAATGACAGCGGCAAGGGCGGTTGATTGTGTTGTCGGTGATGGAAGGTCTTCGGTAGTGGAGGTCCGTCCTCGAGCGACATCATGCGTATCCATCTTGCGGGTGATATGGATGTAACAATTAGCGTCGAAACGCGCCACAAATTTGGCGCCTTGATAGCGTAAGTACGATTGCGCTGAGAAAGGTGGAGGGGGTGAATCAGACCCCGTGCCGTTCGGCCCTTCTGTGGGAGAATGGGGCAGAGACGATGCGGCTGAGGTTTGAGTTTGGGGGCGTGTACGGGTCACCTTTTTGTGACCCTCATTATGAGCAGCGAGATCCTTATCAGCAAGTGTAATAGAAGAGGGTGTGACAGTGCTAGACTCCGGGACAGGGGGAACTTGAGGGCGACGTCCAAAGCGACTCTCGAAAGAGTCGCGCGACCGATAAGTTAAAAGTGCGGCCATTCGAGCAGCAGCTAAGCCTGTTGAAGGTTGTGTTGCATAGTACCCGTCGTCGTAAAGTGGATCACTATAAATGCTTTGACGTTGTGCCTCTCCCCAACTGATACACCAAGCAGAGTGCCGCGCAGACGTAGCCAAAGGAATGATATGGCGGACATAACCTGGGGGACTGCACAGAGGCCATTCAAGTACAGCCATTCCGCCCATGGAGCCTCCAATGGCTACGGCAACATTAGACACTCCCAAATTATCAAGAACGAGCTTGTGCAGGCTGCCAATGAACCAGGTCAGAAATCAATTCGAGATACTGAGAGACCACCACCCACCGCACATCATCACGTATCGATGTCTGAGGGAATTCTGGGCCATAAGGTTTGCCTGTCTCTGGGTTAATTGTCACAGGAGAGGCCGATCCATATGGTGAGCCCATAACATTAGCACAGAAAATGAAAAAGCGATTGGGGTCGAAGGCCTTCCCACGTCCGATAAGAGGCCCCCACCTGGAAGGCATAAGAATTTTTCTGAAATGGAACACCAAAAATCTCACCAATCTTCTACGTCTGCGCTGCCAGTGAATGCATGACATATGATCATAACGTTGTCTCTAGTGTCATTCAATTTGCCCCAAGTCTTGTAGGCAACCGGGACCTCTCGCAAAATCCTCCCATTCTCGAGAGTAAACGATGGAACAAGGTAAATGTTCTGGTCGACCAAGGGTGCAAGAACAGACATGATGAGTCACTTGCACTCGTGACTCGATCGTTATGACACACAAACGCTGCGAAAATAATGAAAAGATAGATGAAAGAGATAATTAATGATAATGCCGAATGTTACGAAAAGAAAGTGTAGCCTAAACAGACATGATGGTGGTAAATGAGTTCGTGGCCCAATCGAAAATTTGAAATATGGTGGGATCAAGACCTTGATAAAAATAGAAACTGATTGAAGAATCAGCTTCTGGATTCAACAGCTGCAAACAAGTAACTATGTAGCGACTCGGACTTCATCCATGCTGCAATTCGCTACATGACGCGGTCTCTCGGCACTGAACATGTAATCCTATTGGCACACTGATTCGGCAACGCATTTTTACTACTGCAATTTCTCTCGGTCCAAATGGCTTTGCAGGGAAGAGGAAAGACATAAGTACCTCAGGCGCTGGGTGTGACCATTCGGATTGCATAGTTGTGCAGGAGTAGTGGGTCAACATGGTTCATACAGCCAAGAGCGACACTGGCTCTATCAGACAGTATGGAGCAATTCATGGGTTTGGCGCAGTGTGTTGCATCTGGGAGGCTGGACAAATATTTTTTGCAGGTACGACTTCACAGCAAGATAGATATGGTAACCTAATCACAGCCCTTGTAACAAATGAATGTTGGAGGCATCGTCTCTTGGCGATTTAACGACACGAGGGAGGCTTTCAAATAATACATTCACACCTGGTCGAGTGTTTTAAAATCACGAAGGGAGCGTAACCGCAGTCGTAGTCTTCCCCAATGGATACCGTTTGGTGACAAGCTCGTCCGACACAATGCTTCGTCTGTGGGACTTGAGGACCGGGGCTATGCTGAAGAAAATGGAGGGGTATAACATCAAACTTGTAAAGTCGAGTTCGCAACGTGAGTACATGTTACAATATTAACTACACACACGGTTAGTCTATGCAAAAAAGGCCAACAGGATTTTGGTTTTCCGTCAACGTACACAATGGCCGCATTTATGTGGAAGATATTGCGATCAAGATCGATCTCGTAGGTCCAGACGTCGTTCTGGGGACGCAACCGGGAGGGGGGCTTGAAATCTTCACCGTCTTCTATCAACACCAGTCTTAGAGAATGCGATGCACTCTTCAACCTATCCAGCGTCTCTCCAAATACATGCCAATGAATCGTGATGGTATTGGGCTTTGCATAGACCGAAGCGCCCTCACGCCATGATATTTTGGAAGGCTATTATCGTGGTATTGAGCGAAATAAGTGTTCCGATAGCGGAGCACATAGCACCCACGCGTTTCCATGCCTGCACGTAAATCAAAGAGACCTATTAGATGATAGTCCCAAGCGTCTACTTGAGCGTTGTTAAGTAAGTGTATGGGAACAGAATGTAAGCTTACGATGAACGATTTTATGCAATGAGGGAGCGGATTATTGTTAGACTTTGCTTGCAAGGTTTCTAGTAAACTCGTTTCTCCAACCATGTCAAACATTCTCAAGCTTAAGGTCAATAAATTGATATTCTCTGCTGCCGCGCCAGCCCCTCCACATCTTCAAAGCTCAAGCTTAAGTTTCAGCTTTTTGGCAGGCAAATATCTTCGTACCATGTGTCTCACACATCATTATATGCAGTAGTGATGTCAGGACAAACTACAATTTGAAAGTTAGCACCATAAATTGAAAAATATAACAATAAAGGTGTTCGTGAAAGCCGTACAGTTTTCCAATTGAACTCATGTGCAAAATGTTCGATGCATCAACAAGTAAATTAGTAGATACTATGTACATGTGCAACTACTTGCAAATCATTACAAGGTCTTCTGAAAATTCGCTCTGCTCCGTTTTCACAAACAGAAGCATCACAGCAAAGGGGTTTGCAAAAATTGCTGAAAGCCGAAGCTAACAGACGGGTTCGGATGTGTAATTTGCAATCAGCAAAAGACTGTGCCTCGGTAAAGACCTCACTGGCGACAGTACATGCCCGAGCACAAGAGATGGGGAAATAGAATGCGGAACGAGGGTTTATAAAGGCTAACTAGCCCGCGCACGGACCAAATTCCATATTTAGCAATATGTAGTGTTACCCATTTTGGCAGGCAAGTACACTTTTGATGGCGCTGTAACGTTCTATAGCATGCTACTAAGGGCAGACGACGCTCCATCCTTTCCACTCTGTTCTACCCTCCTGGATATCAAGAATCTTTTTCCGGAGTGCCGTGCCAACTGGGCCCATCCCAGCCCCAGTCGGAATTACGATGTCCTTACCCTCGTACCCAATTCTATTACAAGGTCCAACAATGACCGCTGTGCCTATGACTAACGCTTCCAGCAATTTGCCTTCGGACGACCATTTTTCGAGGTCACCCATGGTATACACCGTTTCTTGTGGGTGTATGCGCACTGAGCTTTCTTTGTGGAATTCTGGATCGCTTGCGAGGGCAAGACATGATGCTCTAGTAATTCCAGGTAGAATAGTACCGTCCAGAGGGGCGGTAATAAGGTCCACGCCTTCAACGGATGAGTTCATTTATACACCTCATTTAATCTAATTGAAACTCACCGTCCCCATCATCCCTCTTGACCACAACAAAGAAGTTCATCGCTCCAGCCTCTGTGATCCTTCTGTCATCACCAAACAGCCAAAGGATTTGTTCGTAGCCTTTTTCTGCAGCAGTGCGTTGGGGTAGGAAGCCGGGTGAGTAGTTGCCAGCGACTTTATGCCCTCCAGTTCCGCCCGGCCACGCGCGCACATTTTCACTGACCGCAAGGAGAGAAACAGGCTTCAACACTTCAAAGTATGGCCCAGTTGGCGATGCAAGAACGTAAAGCATGGCATAGTCGGACGCTCTCACTCCCAAATCTACATTGCAATCAGGTGAATACTCGTATATCATTGACTCATTCCACGAACCTAGGCGGGTTGCGATGACGGTAGGACGCAGATACAAACTATATCCAGATTCTTTGGGTATCCAGCGCTTTTCAAGATTCACCAGACACTTTATCAGTTCTAAAACGACATCTCCGTCGATAGGCTGCATGGGACAACGAAGTCAGAGTCGCTACTTGCATGAACGCCATCGTACTCACGGGAAGAGCGAGACGTGCACAAGACCTCTCCATTCGACGCATGTTCATATCTGGGCGGAACAAGCGTGCCTTACCGTCAGGCCCAAGATAAGCCTTCATACCCTCGAAGACATTTCCGCCGTAATGGAAGCACGAGCATGCAGGATCAAGTGCAATAGGCCCATATGGCTTGATCTCGGGCGCAGACCACCCCATCTCAGGGTCATAAGTTGCGACGATCATGTGGTCCGAGAATGTCTGGTATCATTGTTGTTAGAGCGGACATGGATATGATTGTCAGAGGTGTTGCTCGCCTGGCCGAATCGTAATGTCTCGATGGGCTGCAGGGGCTTCAATGTCTTTGCGAGCGTGACATTGAGCTTGGATGCCTGTCGCAGACAGCGTTGGCGTCATCATGACTACGCTCAGCAGGCGGCACACTCACATCGAGTGCAGCAAGACTTCTCGGATTGGCAGAGTCACCCGGTTGGCCTGGTGCTAGAGAGGTAATGCTATCTTTGTCACCCATGGCTATTGTGACTAAAGAGAAAATACGCGTTATCAGTTCGACCCATATTTTTATAAGTATACTGACAGCATGACTAGGAAAATATGTAACAAGGATGACTCGTCAGCTTTCGAACTTTGTATGATCGGATCGGATCGCCACACTTCCGCATGGAGATGAATGACCATGGGAGAGTCAATGCAAGGCCCCCGATACTCCCTAATACGCTTTATACGCCAGCACCTTTAGTCCCGATGAGTCTCGAAATCACTCGTGCCATCGGAGAGGTTATGCGTCATGCATCATGACCGGGACTAGCGTCATCGAAGGGTCACACCTAACCCCGAATGTGGACATGATGCGACATTCGTATGACCAATGGGTACCTGGCGAGCGCGAGAGGGCGCTGGCATATCACTGCAAGCCCGATCTGGACGTTGACATGTTGGTGAACGACGGCAAGGTTTTATTGAAGTGTGGACGGATTTAGTGCTGAATCGATTTGCCAGGTGGGCGGGCAAAATCCAATGTCCTTCAACACTCGATACAGTGACGTGGCGGTTACCAGCATTAATGCTGTACCACTGTGACATTCTACCATGATAAGAACGCCCTCCTGCAGCGGATTCTCCTACGCAATCACTACGCGACTTGTCGGCTTGTGCCACGTCTGGAAGGCAACTATGACTATGAGCGTTGATGCTCTCGATGACGTGCAGAGGATTTCCTACAATAGTACTGACATATGTAACGAGCGATATCGGTATCATACTCCGATCTTTTCTTACAATATAACGCTTTGAGGCCCGCTGGTAATCTTGGGGTAAGCGGCCTGCTGTGGTCCGCTTGCATAAGAAGCATAGCGGCGATAAAGGTATCAAACAGCACGATAAGAGCATACCCGCCGGTGGTTATCATCGACGAGTTCCACAGTCCTTGAGCGTTTATTTAGTTCACAAGCCATGTTCATTGGGAACGGCCAATGAGTATGTCAGAAACATGATGCAACATATGGAAATTACCTTTTTGACGCATGTGCAAATCCCCCACATTCAAGGCACGACGTTCACGCTTGACAGAAAGTGTCGAAAATCCCAAGCCCCGTGGACGCAAATTGTCCAAAATATGCGGCTATTATAAGGAACAGCCGGGGTCTTGAACTTCGTGTAATCGATGAGTACATAGTCAGGCAAGTTTAATCGGCTGCATAACGAAGCTATACGTCAAACCGTTGAGGTACTCCGGAGCATTCCGTGAGCGCCACACAGTAAGATGAATCTGATAAGGTCTATTATCACACTTGATATCAGCATCTGATAGCACTCAATCAGGATGCCCACCTTCTGCACGTAATAACAAAGACTAAGGACGTAGAAACGTAGTCTGCACCGTCTGGTCAAAGATACCAACGTAATGACATTGACGAAAGCTAAACCAATCTCAACACCGCTACGCTCTCCACATGAGCAGTCTGTGGGAATAGATCAAAGCCCCTCAAACTCTCCAAGACATATTTCCTCCCACCCCCTTCCTGCTCCATCCGCTTTATAATCATCCCAATATCGCGCGCTTGTGTATGCACATTGCAGCTCACGTATACCACCGTGCTGCACGCGAAGCGAACCAATTGTTCTATGAATGGCTCATCAGAACCCTTGCGTGGAGGATCTATGATCAACGCTGTTTTGTCTGGGGGAAAGTGTGAAACCGTCGAGAATATGTTCGCAGCGTCACCTGCCAGGAAAGAGCATTTCCCTTGCGGGAGGCGGTTGATGATAGCATTGGTAGTTGCAGACTTGATCGACTCGGCGGAGAGCTCAATGCCTGCAACGGTGTCGAAGTGTGGCGCAAGCATCAATGAGAAGAGACCTGAACCACAGTACGCATCCACGAGATGCGTGGGACCAGACGATTTCGAGGAAGGAAAGATCGCATCTTTTACGTATGAGGTAAGCGGGAGAAGCACGGAATTGTTGTTTTGGAAGAATGAATGTCCTGGAAACTCAAAATACGTAGAATCCACGCGTTCACGGACAGTTGCCTTGTGGTTCGTGACGCAGATGTGCTTCTCGTCCTCCGGACCGGGGATAAATGATATATCGGAGGGCAGGTGTTCAATGGAATCGCGCAGAAGCAATGAAACACCCTTCTTATAGCCCCAGATGTTCCTGATGGAAATTCAGATACAGTCGAGTTTCCGATACAACTCACCCACTTAATTATATCTTCCCGTATAGGTTCAAGTGCTGCATTTAACACGGGGGTTGCAATAGGACACTCCTGAAGCTGATAAGTACAAATCAAAACATTCCAAGTTGATTATTATCACCTCGATGTCCAGCACTGTCCGCTTTCCGATTTCATTAAATCCAATTTTTAGCCAGCTAGGCTTATCTGTTGAACTGGTTGAGCCAGATTCAGCCTCCTTGCGTGCTTTTTTTGGTGGAGCCTCAAAATGCGGTGTTATTTTCGTGCGGTAGCCGTATTGAAGTGGCGAGGCTATGGTTGGAAGTACATCTGGGATGGTCTCCTTGGGAAGGTCTAGTTACGTGAGTCAAGGTATCAGAAATATTTGAATAAAAGGTGTACTTGAGAAGTTGTCATATGCTTTGATGACTACGTTACGCTTGATTCCAAGTTGAGTGTCGTAAGAAAGCATCTAACATGTGATATCAGCGGCCGAATGACTACTTGGATTATCACTGAGACCAGACACGGGAGCTGATATTCATGCGAAAGTGAAAAAGACACACAACTGACCTGATACTGGCAACCAGAACATTGTCCAAAGTAGCGACACTTCGCACGACTGTCGTCACGCAGGTCAAGGTTCGGTGAAACGACTTCGAGAAGGTCGGCAAATGAATGTAGACGCGAACTGCGATAAACTCGGACACGGATTCTTTCCCCTGGTAATGCAAATGGTGCAACGATCACCCAAGGAGCGGAAGATGCAGGGGAATGTGCCAGCGCATCGCCTTGTGTACGTGAAGGTTAAGATTCAAAATCAATAGACAGACAGGGAACATCCTTATCCGCACCATTGGAAGATAATGTAGATACCTCCACCTCCACCTCTTCACGGAAATCAAACGGCGAGTCCCACTCGGTGCCATGTTGCAGAGCATGTCCGACTGTATTATCTCCTAGTAGTGCGACTATGTCGCGCCATAGGACATCTTCCGAGGAGTAAGGCTCTGGCAAGACGTGCTTCTGTTTCCTCTTCGCTGATTTTGACGGTTTCTTGGAAGGTCTGGGTACCGCAGGGACGCTGTCGTTCGTATCTTCTCTTGTTATGGACTTATCCATGGTACCCTCCTCCAATCGCATCTTCTTCTCCGGTGGCGCAGGGACCTCGGGACCGATTGCCGGTGATCTCGCTCGGGTAGACATTGCAGTTGATAGTTTCTTGGACTGGGAAAAAAAACTGGTCCGAGCGTTACAAAGTAGACCAGAAGCACAAGTGGCCGGTGGACTGCACGCGACGCGAACGAGTTATAAGCCTTGAAATGGTGTGGATGGTATTCACAACAGTGACAACACTCATACCATGAGCACTTGTTACAAGTGGAACAACGTATTTTCCCCTGCTCAACTTCCCGCGCCACGCTGTGGCCGCCCCGAACTAGGAAATCCACACGTGACTACTAGGAGGTGGTTGTTTACTCTCAGATTACGGTGGTCGGACCTGCAACACGAAGATTCTTCATGTCATTGGGCTTTGCCAAGACTTTCCAGAAGCCTTAATTACGTTCAAAATTCCGTGGAAACGAGATAGCTTGGTTGTTTCTTTCACCCCATGATCATCACTCTCGCCCGCTCACTGCTCATGGAGCCCCCTGAGACAACGGGAGAACCAGTGGATTCACCTACCTTCTGGTGGAGGATTGCTATCAGTACCGTCCTTGTGTTTGCGGGAGGCGTATTTGCAGGGTGAGGTTATCCAGTCTGGGTACTTGTGTGTTATGTTTGATCTTTCGTCATAGATTAACTCTCGGGCTGATGGGGCTCGATGAATTGCATCTGCGTGTCCTGGCTACGTCGTCAGAAGATTTGACGGAGAAACGCAATGCGCAGAAAGGTGGGTTGCCAAACAGCCCTCGTCTCATTTTCGAGTTAATAAAATGGGTTACTCGGCTAGTATTAAAACTGATGCAGAGAGGTCGGCATTGGGTGTTAGTGGTATGTTGATGCACGCACTGCACGCATGCACAAATAGCTTATCGTTCATTATAGGTGCTTCTTCTGGGCAACGTTGTGAGTAGCTATTTCAAGTGCCTATGTCTACAACAGCTTAGCACTCGCAGGTCATCAACGAAAGTTTGCCCATCTTTCTTGATGGTGCTGTAAGTAACGTTATTGAACATCAATCGTTTGGCTGTACAAATACTATTCGCGCCAGATTGGTGGGGGCATTGCGGCCGTTGTGATCTCTACCACAGCGATAGGTGAGACCTCTTGTTGCCCATGAATTTATCCTCGGCTGATATGTCGATCACAGTTATTTTTGGGTACGTTTTCTCCCCCTCGGAGTTGGACTTGCTGAGCATACACCATGTCCTTTTCTGCAGAGAGTACGTACGGTACTCCGTGATCAGTGACACAAAGTATCCGATTGATTTTCTACAGAGTTATCCCCCAGGCTGTCAGTGTCAGGTATGGTCTTGCAATTGGCGCACGGTGTGCGCCTTTTGTGCTCTGCCTTATGTATTTATTTGGTAGGTGCTGACATGCATTATGTTGAGGTTATAATAACTCCAGGCGAAAATAGCTCCTATCGCGTACCCTACTGCAAAGCTCCTCGATTGGGTTCTGGGCCAGAATGAGGGACATACATACAAGAAGGCTGAGCTCAAATCTTTTCTGCAGTTCCATCGCACGGGAGAGGAACCGCTACGAGATGACGAGATCAGTATATTGAATGGTGTGCTGGAGCTCAATACGAAGAATGTGGAGACAATCATGACACCCATCAAGGTAAGTGTTGCGTTGGTGATAGATAGGACAATGTTGCTCATGTGTCTCGAAACTGTAGGACGTTGTAACGCTGAGCTCAGACACTATTCTTGATCACACGACTGTAGACGCAATGTAAACATCATAGTTCCAGCTTTCTATTATTAAGTTGACTAACAGCTCGCTTAGTCTCACAAGCGGCTACTCACGCTTTCCTATACATGAACCCGGGAATCCACTGTCATTTCAGGGGCTTCTACTCATTAAAAAGGCAACTTTCGATGTTACACGTGAATCTGCCTAGACGCTGAAGTTATTTCTCAGCTGTTGGTATATGATCCGGCGCGAGCTCTCCCGGTCTCGGATTTCAAGCTCTCAATTCTTCCCGAAGCATATCCCAGTATAAATTGCTTCCAGGCGCTAGATTACTTGTGAGAATCTTCTTGAACTTCCGTGGCTCTGATGAATGTGTTACAGTCAAACGGGACGTGCCCACTTGCTACTGGTTAGTCGGACACCTGGGGTTGCAGGCGGTGGAATTGGGGTGATCACACTCGAAGGTGTGTTTTCCCAGACAGCCGTGTCCCCTTACTGATATCCATGTTCTAGATATCATTGAGGTGTGTTTGACTTGGACCCCAGTATATATCCAAGGATAACGATGTTTTGCAGGAGATCATATCAGAAGAAATTGTGGATGAAACAGATCGATACGAGGATAATCAGAGTAAAAGGCGTGCGAAGCGAATCACTACGGCGACTGTAATGCGGGGGTTCGTACTCCATTATCACTCTCCTATACCTGTTGTTGATATATCGTCTTTGAAGGATTGTGGAGCGAGAACGAAGTTTAACGCGAGTGCCGTCCTTCGAGCGGACGCCCCTGTTGCGTGAGACACCTATCATGTCATCCACTCCGCGTTCCGAGATCAATCATTCGACTCCTCGCTACGGCGCGATACTGGGCCAGTCCCCAAAAATATGAATATTTCAACCATTTCCACAGGGCGTACGTTACCGGATTTTTTGTAGCTATTGGGCGAATCTCTATTTTGAGTGTATGAATGACTACAGATCAAACCCTATTATTGCCGTTGATCCCAAGCCGATATGCATTAAGACTGTAATATCCGGAGAACTTATTCTCAGCAGGTTATAATGATGACTGAGGACGCCATCTCCGTGTCTGTATACGAAAAACTGATTACTGTTAACTCATCGCCATGGTACAAAACGTTGGAGAAGTATATGTGTGCTGTATTCCAGTGGTATATCTGAGGTATGTAGATGAATCACGTCTTGTTCATGTTGGTAATATCAAACGACAAAACGGCCGACTAGTGATCAACACTTGCCGTTGAGTCGAGCTCTCGCAGTCGTCCCTTCAAAGAAAACATCAATAATGGGCCATTCAGGTAATCGTCGGAGGACTTACCTCAAGAGCAAACAGGTGAGAGTCGTACGATGCTGGTGCAAGCTGGCGAACTGATTCCGCCAGACGATACAGATATTCCTGAGAGAAATAGTCTCAAATTTGCTCTGAGCTGGAGGAAGCTTGACAAGCCTTATTCAGTCCAGATGGGCCCACGGAGACCCATATCCGCTGTGCCAAGTCCTCCAATGGTTCTGACCCAACTGACCCCACCGTCAATAGACTGAATTCAAAAGAGGATAGTGGGATGCTTACTGAATGACGGGTTATCTGGCCGACCGACATAACACTTGCTCCTCGTGAGACCGGCACAACTTAGTTAAATATAAAACGCGTACAAAAGCCTGAGCTGAGGAGTCAACAATAGGTAGGTGAAACAAGTGAAGCGTGTTGCATACATCCTGAATTGCAATTTTTTCTATTCCATTCTCTATGGTGTATACATGCAGCGTCTCCATTGTGTATCCGTCCTGATCCATTATATTACCCCGGATGATCGGATGCCCAGTTCTGTTGAGCGACGTACCTTTTCTCTGTAATCTTTCCACCTCGAGTGTTAATACGAACTGTGGAGCTTTAACATCGCATGTAATGTCGGACTCACCCAAGTAATCCCTAACTTCTGCCTCATATTCCGGGTCAATCGTGTACGCTATACCTGAGGAGAGGGACATTATCGGTAAGGAGAGAACCTCCATCGGATAGAAAAACCTTGCCCCAAACAATATCTTCATCCGGAAATGCATCCTACGTATGTTTGCAGATACCCCAGAAGACGAGAAGAAATGAACTCACAGACTGGGAAAAGCGATCCCAATCCTCCTTGTGGATAAGAGTCACCACACGCCCCGGATTCTGCGAGTTCACGATCAATGCTCCATCAGGAGTTCCGCGAACGTGTACGATGATCAGGACACACCTCGGGTGTGCCACGATGATCATGCGATTCCTGAGCGAAGCGCCTCACGTAGCCTTTCAGGAATCCGGAGGCTACAGAAGGCCAGATTCATGGCATGTTTGCTAAGCCAAATGGATTGATCGCTCACTCTGGGATTGGACATGGGGTGGGGGCTATATCGCCGGTGATCGCAATTAGTTAGTGGGTCATTACCGCCCTTTTCGTGACTGTCACCTTGAATATCAGCGAGCCGTACCCAAAGACGACGAATGGAGCATTGATGGACCCCATGGACAGCCTGTGAGTTAGGCGATGACAGAATACTCGGAACACAATTCAAAAGAATGAGTTGGGGCCGTGTGATTATAATATGCAAGAACAGATGAGAATTACGCGATCTAGGCGCCGCAGATACTGCTACGTACCGTATAAGGAAACGAATTCATTCTATGACAGTAACTAAGTACAAGTAAACCAATACTGTGTGGCATAATGCTATCCAGCTCTAGGCTCGATACCAGCCTGGCTTATAATCCAGCTCCCTGTTAGACAATATTAATGGTTTGATATCAGGGCCTTCATCTTACGATCTCAGATCCATGATGCATGACAAGCGCATCATGGACCGTGAAGAACGGAAATCTCCTGGTCACAGGTAGAGATCAAGCACACCGTCATGCAAACCACACTGGCCACGTAACAAATGTATAGCATCGTTAAGGTCTTGCCAGGACCAGCAGCTAGCCTATGGGTAAGAACATGAATCAACTGAACGACTTTTGTAACACTTGGTCCTGTCCGTGTCGCGCAAACTGGGTGAATCGGTTCCGGGGGTGGCTTCTAAAGTGTCCATTTATCCATCTGAGAAGACTCTAAGGGATTCTCCCTAGTCAGCTCTATGGCAAAGAAGACAAAACGAATCAGGCATGCCACAGATGCGGTTGATCTGCGCTTACCTAAAATTATACTTCACCCTTGCCCTCCACTCTACATATGCTGGCCAGATCCAATACAAAATGTGTCCAATTCGCATGTACTGGGGCATAAGGACTGTTTTCTCTTTACGATCAATGGCCTGAATACAGCGTGTTGCCACCACCTCGCGTCGCAAGCCATGTTTGTTCGGGTCAGCCTCGTGTATAACGGGAGAAGAGCCGGGCGGTGTGTCGACCGCGGACGCGCGGAAGTCCCCCTCGATTGTTGCGGGAAGGAAGGACACGAATGATATACGGGGGTGCTCGATTGCGAGAGCCTGAAAGAGTATTAGGGAAGCTGATTTAGTAGAAGCGTAGAGGGTGCGTGTTGGCGCAGGAATGATTGCTGCCACACTTGAAAGGAGAAGGATAGACGGTGACGTGGAACAGGACGTGAGGAGAGGTATCTAGTAAGTTGAACATTCATGAGCGATCAACGCGCTGCACGGAGATGTAGTCTCACAAATGTGATCGCGGCAACGTATGGACCGAAGAAATTGCCATGTATGGCTGTTTTAGCGACACTAACCGCGCGGTTAGTGGCTTCAGCAGTGGCATGTGGCAGAGAAAGACCGTCTTTGGAAGCAGTCACTCCAGCAACTGTCATCAATGGTTGAAGGGCAGAAACACCAGCCGTGATTATAAGCGTGTCGATGCCACCCCACTCTGATATGTCACCTCAGTGACAGTGTGGAACAAAAGGAACTATTTTACATACCTTTGATCACCGCGTCACGCACCTTTGCCATGTCTTCCACGCTTGCGCAATCTCCACGTACACACAACACACGATCGCTTTCACATAACTTCCTGCATTCCTCAGCAGCCTCTTGAAGCATCGACTCCCTCCGTCCTACCAAGCATATTCGTGCACCTCGCTTCGCGTATTGATGAGCAAGGGTACGACCTACTCCACTCGTTGAACCTAATATGAGGACTCTCTCTTGGGTTGGTGGGATCTGAGTGAGTCGTGGTGCAGGCCGTAAGTACCGGAAAAGAAGGAGACCAAGAGGTAAGGCCCCAAGCGCAAGTGTTACCGGTGCAGTGTTGAGATGTGCTAGAGAATCGAACATGACAGTACTGTCGATTTTCAGCAGGGAACGAATAATATTTATTATCGTGCTTAAGTAGCATGTGTGTTCTACTTTCGGGACCTGAATTCAAAGGGTAGTGGTATAGTGTCACCCCGACCTCATATCCGGATTGTCATTGTTATCATCCTGCAATTCGCTCCATCACCGAATTCTCGTAACTCGCTGTACGTATTCCTCCCTCATACAGTATATATCTCGTTAAATCTATCAATTAAGTCTATCAATTCTCTCTCGCGTGTACACTTTCTTATGTAAGTGCCGCAAGTACTTGGGTGTCAGGGAATTCCAAAAGTGGACTGTCTTGACCCAAGATGCGGCTCGACCATCTGCCAGAGCTGCGGAACTATTCCGATACCCTTTAGGCTCGATATTTGTTAGAGGACATTAGAGACTTAGAGTCAAATTCATGTTGACCGTGACGTTCGTGAGTCGTCCGTTTTGTGTCATTGCAAATGAACTCATGTGCGAGCGGGGATCAGATCAGACATGGACAGTCGACCGATAATGTGGTCAGTTTGCTCTGCAGTCTCCATGCGCCGTATCATGCTTATATGTCACAGAGACACGTGTGGGCAGGGTGGGCTGATGCCCCACTAAGTCAGCGCGGTTCGTTAAGTCCTCTTCCATGTCAGCTGCTCTGATATGCTCTTCAACATGCAGGGAAAGCGGTAAGCCTCTTCGATTCTCTTACTTCTAATTAATATCCGTTTCTCTTAGCAAGCCGAAGCTCTTGGCGCATACTTTTCCCAAACCCTATTCACCAAGATCTATGCCTCCCCCCTCAAGCGCGCTGCCACCACTGCAGCGTTTATTCTTGCCGCCCAACCTGCCCCACAACCACCACGTGACTTCACAATCGAGTCTGTAAAGGAACAAAATTTTGGCGTTGCAGAGGGGAAACCGTGGTGTTTTCCGGATAACAGGATTTTCAAGTCGCTTTCAGAGTACATAAGCGAGGGCAAGTACCCCACACCACGTCCTGGTGAATGCTTCACGGATGGCGAGTCCGATGAAGATCTAGCAGCGCGTGCGATGCGGGCCGTGGATGAGGTGATCATGCCACACGTACGTAGTGCAGTGCGGGCCGGGCATACAGAACATATCGCGCTCGTGAGCCATGGGATCTGCATCGGAGCGCTCATTTGCGCGTTGTTGAAAAGGGACTCTAGCAATGTTACACCTACACGTGAGTACACTGGAATGCAGAACACAGCGTGGGCGAGAGTAGTTATCAAAATGCAGGTTAGTTGATGACATGTTTCGTTTTTATGTGGATGCTGATGGGGGCATGCAGGACGTTGCAGATGGCACACCAATAGACCTCACTGATGAAGGCACCCACCCTCTGATCGTAACAGTGATGGACTTTGGTCGTGCGGATCATCTCGGCAAGCTTGTACGTCCACCCGTCTTTAAGCATGTATGTGGTCACTACTACTAGTTCTCAGAAGCTCAACGCTGGCGGGACCGGCAAGATTGCCTACGACCCAAAGCAGCGGGACATTAGAGCGTTCTTCAGCGGCGCGGTGAAGACCGTTGCTACCAAGCACTGTGAGAGCGATTCGCGGGATGGAATCGATGGGGAAACAAAGAACTGACCTATTCGCACCTTACACAACAATGTCACTAGCAGCCTGCAATTTCATGCCTCCGCGCGTAATCGACAATATATTTAGACTCACCAAAACGCAGAGGCTATAAACAAATACCTCGATACACTATTCAGATTGGTGCCAACAGATGGACTTCACCTGCGAGTTTCCAAAGAAATCAACTGCACGTTTGTTGATTCGCTCGACCCTTCAGGCATTGCTATCAGCCACGTCTTCCAGCACATTTTCTCGCCGCATTTTCTGGGGCCCTGGGACGACTTAGGCCCAGTCTCCCGCTGATATCAATGCTCTTGCTATTTCCACAGAATACCGTGAACCTTTTGATTCTGATGTCTGGACCTTCGCGGATGCCCAAGATCGCATATTTGCAACTTCGTCCTCTCTTAGCGTCTCGCCACGTCCAACCGACACACGCGCAACTCATCGCTCCATACCGCCTTTCAAACTTTCCGGACTGGATGATTCTCAGTTCGCCAAAGATCCCATACTGGTATGCCCACGTCTCAGCCGTTCGACAATCCATTGATAGATAGAATGCAATTCTTGAGGATGAGGTCGCGGGATTTTTCTAGAAGATGATATTGGGATAATAATGCGTCACGTCCGGACGTCTGTGTGGGTACGTCAGTTCCTGTCAGAAAGTGCCTTTTTCATTGCTTAAGTCGTTGGCTCAATTTTAGGAGCAATCAAACATTGACAAGGTACTTCGGAAACACCAGAAGACTTGATCCAGACTTTGGCCCCAGACCGGTCATTTTAGAGATGTCCTCAGAAACGTATAGAGTCCAGAATTTGGATGTGCCATAGCTCGAGTTTTCCCTGTAAGTTGTTAATCACATCATCGTTCTAGGCAGTTGAAATGAAGATTGTCAGCTGCCATATGCACAGTCGAGGCTCGACGCTCGCGACCAGGGTGGCTTATACCACCTCGACTTAGAAGTGGTTGACTGCGTCACTCTACGTCAACATCCTTATCTCTCAACTCATTATCGCAACTAGACTCAGGGCCTGTCCTTTAGTGATATGGGTGTTGACGTAGAGTGACGCAGCCAGCCTTGAAAGTCTGCATCTGGGCTCTGCTCGAGATGGCCTGGTGAGGGCCTAACCTTAGGCCTGGCACATCACTAGCAGTTTGCTTCGTGCAAATTCCTGATATTATGATCAACCTAACCAAATAACTTACTCTCTATATAACAGTGTTCAAGCGACTCATTTTAATCCAAATACAACCGACAAATCATCTCTCTTATTGAACGTACAATCATGGTTTTCTACGCATATGTAAAACAGGTACGCCTAAGATTCATTCTTCAATGTCTGCGATTTCGTGCTAAATCGTCATTCAGATCACCGACAACTCGTCCTATCGATATGTAATTGTCTTCACTAGCCGTGCAGTTGCCGATGAGTGGTGGCGTGCCGTGTCCACTTCCGCTATTGTTAGTTTCACGGACAGTATTCGGCGTGTCAACGCCCAGTTCTACACCCATGATGTGAACCAGGCCAATGCCGCCAACTCCCTCACCACTACTGGGGTTGCGACCCAATTCCTTGGCGACGTGTTTTTCACGTTGCTGAACGACCTAGGTGGTCGCGGGTTGAGCATCATCCCGTCGCCTGATCATTTCGTGGACCACATTAGCGGGAATTCGTGAGTTAGTTCCTTGCGGGATGTTCCACATCTGGCTGATAGTGGCCCTACCAAAGTTTCTTCATTCGCTCCAAAGTCTCTCCTTACAAGTACTGGTACTATCCCCAATCGTCTAACGCAACAAATGCGATCTATGTTTCGCACACCGAACGCACTCTCTTCCGTGTTAGTCGCACCGACAGCGGTACTGCAGGGACCATCATAATTGGCTCCGACGAGATTAATATCACGTTGACCACCGTCGATCTGTCCATCAATGTCATCGCCAGCACTGGTCAAGTGATAGTTTCAGCTGTTCCTATGTCGGGGTTGAAGTTTAGTGACCTTTTGAACAAATTCACTGTGGGGCCTACCTATATAGATGATCAGAACTTGGCCACGAGGGAGCTCCTCGGCACGGATGACGGGGAGGAGTGGGAACTTGCTTGAACTACTATCATCTGACATTAGCAATAAGAGACGTCACACGTCTAAAGAGACAAGGACTTCGTAAGTCCCCAGTCGAGTATGAACAGACTAATATAGTATGTACCTAAAGAGACAAGGACTTCGTAAGTCCTGTACTACGTCAGTAAGGAATGTGAGTATCATATAGTGAGACTTACCCCAGTCGAGTATGAACAGACTGGGGAAGAAGGGGAAAACGAGACGAGCGAATGTACCTGGAGCGGAGTTACCGTATTTAGTAAGTACGTTGAAGGTAGTGAACGCGACACCAAACAAAAAGAAATATCTATACTACTATGTTGACGGATTGATTTCCAACAAGCAAATGGCTTGCATGTGACACAAAGTTGTCTTGTACTATTAGTAACACCGAATTGCATATTTTGTTGAACGCCTGCAACTACGTGTACGACTACAGGGCTTTTAGACGAATGGATACCTTTAGCATAGACGTCTCGACCAACTTACAAGCTCACTGGCAGTGCCAGTGTAAATTAAAATTTTAGAGTTGCCTGTCACCAACGGCTGGTAACATGCAATCATTACGTACTATGAACCGATCACCGTGCCGCACCGGCCCCCAGCCCAGCTTGTTACTTATCGAGTCATTCCATTACCTCTACATGCCACGATGTTCTTTGCCAATGCATAACCCACGGTGTCACTCAACAGAACCCTCTCTCCACCAGAATCGGGGACCATGGAGCCGGGCCATTCCGAGAGCATAACAGAAAAACAGATCCCGAACGAAATCATGTATCACCAACTGCTAGTAAGTTATTCCTGGAAATGTTATTCAATACTCGTAAATGTTCCAAACCGATCATGACCTTCAAAAGCCTTCGAAATCTACGTCGAGGACTCGAGCGAAGGATGAAATCAAATTCCCGCGGATCTTCTGTTCAAAAACCCTCTCTCCACTAGCTCATACGTGGAAGAGCTGGAATTTGGCGGTGAAGAAGATGAGGCCGGGACTTTTTGTTGGCGAGCTCTTGGTCGTTGTAAAGTTTACATAGGTCTTCTGTCATCTGATAGGAAGACTATCGGGCATCGGCCGATGGTATCCGCGGCGTCCTTGCAGGCCCAGTAAACTTCAACGTATATATCAAACGAGGGCAGGGTCGCAAGCACCACGGTATTGACAGAGGCAACGTTTTCTCAACTCATTCTGGTGAGTGACTTTGTAATTGTCTACAATAGCCAGCTCCTGCATCTACTTATACGTTTGTGGACAGGAAGGCTCGCACATGCCTGCTACAAACCAAATCCCTGCGTCCGTGACTGACGAGGCACAAGACTCGGTGTCTCTGGTGTCTCCCGCCCCAACTTTACAAGGCGATCACACGCCAAATTCAGTCCATCAAATTCCAGTCCGGAGTCATTCTCAGAAGTCGTATAACAACGAGCTGCTTCCGACAACGGATGATACAGGTGTTTTGATTGTTGACTGGGACGGCCCAGATGATCCTCAAAATCCCAAAAAGTTCGTCTGCGTGAGCAAAGCAGCATGGTTCAATATTAAACTCACAGTTTTTTCACAGTTGGAGTCTCAGACGCAAATGGGCCGCAACAATAATTTTGTCATCGTTTACTTTCATTAGCCCAGTTTCTTCCTCTATGATCGTGCCTGCTACTAGCGAAGTAGCGTCTACCTTCAAAATTAACGATGATGCTATACTTGCACTCACAACATCTATCTTTGTGCTTGCATATGATAGGCTAATTTGGTGGATGCTGGATACCACAATGATCTACTAAACTACGTACAAGCGACGGGGCCTTTATTTCTGGGTCCATTGAGTGAGATTTACGGACGGTCACGCGTTCTGCAATTGGCGAATCTATGGTACCTCGGAATGTGACCTTTATAAGTTAATCCATAATCTCACCCCCATTCTTGACATCTTAGTATGGAATCTTGCCTGTGGATTCGCACAGTCAGAATCTCAGCTTCTTGCCTTCCGATTTCTTGCTGGCATCGGAGGCAAGTTTGATTTTTAACTACAAAGTATTGTTTCTGACTGATTTACCTCTCCAGATTGGCGGGGGCTTTCTTGGGGACTGCTGGCAGCCAGATGAACGAGGTCAGGCTGTTGCCATTTACTCCTTAGCTCCGTTATTGGGCCCCGTCCTGGAACCTATCACAGGGGCCTGGTTAGTAGCTATTTCAAGTTTAACGATACTATTTGAATTGTGATCAGGATCGTTGAACGCTCGACCTGGACATGGGTGGTACGTGACGCTTTCACCAACTGAGGACAGTGCCTTCTTATTTCTATGACAGTTCTGGTCTACATCTATTTTAGGTGTGACTATTCAAATCCTCGGAGTGTTTTCAATTCGAGAGAGTGGGTTACTGACTAGTCGCGATCTGCTGACCCTCATAAATTGTGTTCAGCCTATACGCCCCTCTTATTAGAAAGGAAGGCAGAGCGGATTCGCAGATCAATGGATGTTGAAAAGGTGCCGTACTAGAGAAATTCGTACTGTGTTCGACAACCAAGATCGTTGGTAAGCTCTCTTATAATTCCTGCAAGATGACATCTGATGTTTATGATCTATATAGTTGGCGGACTATCATGGCCAAATCCCTCAGTCGCCCCTTTGCACTCTTTGTCCATGAGCCGATCGTGCAGCTCCTCGGCGTTTATATGGCATATCAATACGGATTACTTTATCGTAGGTCATATTTCCTCCCACAAACGTGATCTCACATCTCACAGTCTTTCTGACGACGATTCCATCGATATTTCGTGGTGTATACCAGCGGCCGATAGCAATCGCCGGCCTCCATTACATTGCACTTGGCATAGGGATGATAGTGGCGGCCCGAATAAATGCGAAAACGATGGACAAGATTTATATTCATTTCAAGAGTAAAAACGGTGGAGTTGCGAAGCCGGAGTTCAGATTGCGTTTGTTATATGGTTCCAGTGCCTCGTTTCTTGAGTGCCCACTTAGTGTGATCAACAGCTGCGATGGTTCCCGGATCTGTGCTACTTCCAATAGGGTGTTTGATCGCAGGCTGGACTTCTGAAGCCCATGTTCATTGGATAGCTCCAGATATTGTTAGTTTTATCCTCCTAGTACTGCTCTCCAGTAACAATTTCGATAGGGTATCGCGCTTGTGGGAGCAGGCATTAATCTGAGTTTCCAGTGTATCCAGGCATGCATTATTGATTGCTTTGCGCTTCATGCTGCTTCCGGTACGTGTCATTTTGTTCCCATTTATTATCCATTTCAAATGTCTTATATTCAGCGCTGGCCGCCTGTCTTCTGTTTGCGATCACTAACAGGCTTTGGATTTCCCTTGTTTGCTCCAGCGATATACACCACACTCGGGTTCGGGAAGGGCGATACTATTCTGGCGGTCGTAGCAATCATAGTAGGCTGTCCCGCGTACGCCTTTGTTCTCTTCCTTCCATTGTCACCCTTAATGATGATACCTCCAGACCCTGGATATTTTGGCATTATGGAGAGCAGATACGGAACAGCAGTCGATATGCGCGGCGATGACCCTAGACAAAAGAGGAGCAACCGAAATAGGGCATAGACCACAATAATTTGTAAATTATGAATACTGCTGGCAGTGCTAGTGATACGGTATTTTTATTCCTGTTGGCCACATATAATACAGGGAAAAACTCTGTTCTTATTCCTAATTCCAAGTCCAAGTCACGAGGTTGTAACAGTAACGAACGTAAGAATATGGATAACCTATCATACACAAGACTCGCCAGTGTGGCATGCTCGAACTTTCAGTGTCAACATTTAGCGATGTCCACTGGTAGCCTAACGGCTCACACGACTGTTACTACTAAGGTCTATCGACGGGGGTTCGAGGTTGTCCCACGAGAGTATTTGCAGGATTCACCAACGGATTGTTTCCAGGGTATAGGCGCAATGAAGGTAAGCCCAATGAAGCTCTCATGCGCCCAGCTATTCAGGATTTCCCTCATTTTGAGCTGTAGGTTAGCTCCAGCAGGCTAAAAGATAGCAAACACGACTGAAGTGAGGCGCCGAAATCAGATCGATACAAACGACTTGCGATACAAAGGACAGATCAACAAGAACAAAAAAAGAACGACAGACTGGGGCTTGTTCTATGTTCCGAACACGCCGTCCACTAGATGCTCTCTCCACGCACTCCCCACACCGGATCCGGGAAATATGTCGCTCGAGAGGACCTTACGTTGGATGACGACGCTCGGAACGACGCTGAAAGCACGTAATCGGCCACTTTCGATAAGCCAACTGAAAGCTTGATCAAGAGCTCGGGAATACGCGAATGGCGGGTAGCGAAGATGCTGCAGAAGACGCCGAGCACCGGACAGGGAAAGTGCGTAAGCATGAGTGCAACGCGGAGAGTAAGATGGGTGTATGTGTGACCGTGTTAGCGGGTCATATAATGGAGATATGGCCCGAGGCGACGGAAGTGCGGGGTAGAAGGATTCATTTGACCAGCAGTGACCTGAGGGACACGATATAGGCATCAATTATGGACTTGCGTAGCACCGGTGCTTACCCAGAAAAACCATGTCCCAGCCATGTGGGAGAGAGGGCCAGACGTGACGCATTCTTATCTCGATGTCTTTTTCCATATCGATATCGTCTTCCAAGAAAATAGCGACATCCTCGGGAGCGGCATTCACTCTATCAATGAATTTTCGAACAGCAGAGACATGAGAATACCAGCATGAGATCTTTGGCGCAGTGAGGATCATCCAGTCCGGGAGGCTAGGTTTAAAAGACGATACAGAGTGATCTTGAGTTGCGCACGTGATATTTGGATGCGACGAAACACCAAGAGAGGACGAGGTGGTATGTCTGCTATCTTGAGTGTCCGTAGAAGTCCAGAGATCGGAACCGGAAGCTCCAAAGTACTCTGTGGAAGCAGCAATGGCGTTGATATCAGCGGGCCAGCGGAAAACTGATCCCAAGTCGTCCCGGTGTCCTTTGGAGGGCTGCAGCGAACGTTGAGAAACAATCCGCTCGAAAATGTGACCGATAGCAATATCCGAAGGGTCCAGTGCATCAACAACCGTCCAATTGATTTCTTTGGATGCTTGCAAATGTTTCATCTGCTGTCGCCGGTCTTGTCGCCAGGGTAGAGATATGAGATACACCTCAGAAGCGATACCCAGCTGCGTCGATGAGGGGGAGAATGACACTGTAAAGTTCTTCGCAGAACACGAAACCTCGCTATGACCTTCTTCTTTCCAAGGCACGCGAGGAGAATGGATGAAGGGTGGTAACGTCCTGAGTTGCGGAGACACGAGTGCAAGGATTGACGACCATAAAACCAGAACAACACCAAGAACGAGGTATATATATCTCGCAACACCCGCTCGACACAGGAAAAGGCTGGCAACCATATGGGCAGTATTGGGTAACGCGCAAAGCGATCGAACCAGTAAATTAGCAGACCGTTGGTTCAACTCAACAACTCTATACAAATGCGCGGAGTTTAAAATGCTTGGAGCTCTCGTCTGTGAGGCATATTACCGCTGGAGTTTCCCCGAAGAGCCCGCGGCTCATGATATCTTGGGTCTGTCAAATGATTCCGCGTTGGACTAGTATGTCTGTAGGTAAGTAGAGATAGAAGAAAAGCGTCAGCATGTGACCGAGACACGTTCCAAGACGCGTCGATTTTCTGAACCCCGATATTTTCATGAAGCCTGGAGTTTGCCTAAGAAGCATCCTAGTAGGCTAATTGCCGATATGTATGAGGTGAGCGGCAACACACAATTTAACACAGTCACCCGATTTTTGTGACTGCGTGCACCCACCATCTCTTCATGTTTAGTGCTTGTTTTTGACTTTCACCATACTCCCGAGTCCCGGGCACTGGCCAGTCCAGCCACTAAATCAAAACGTCGAATATCAATGTTTGAACAACCCTTTTCTCATTCTCTGATACTTACCACCCTCTCGATTTGTTTGACGTCACTGGCTGCAACTGCGGATGATTGGAGAACGCGATCTATATACCAGGACAGTCCATTGTCTATTGAATGCCACCACAAAGCCCTGACCTGTTCTGCAGATTATCACAGATAGATTTGCGCTTGCTGACAAGGACAATGGCATCGCTCCCACTGTCCAATGTGATACAGCTGCCCGTGACTACTGTGGCGGCTCGTGGAGAGGTGTCATTGACCACTTGGACTACATCAAGCAGATGGGCTTTGATGCGGTTTGGATTTCTCCAGTCTACTCCAACATTGAAGGTATGACCCCTTATGGTGCGGGTTATCATGGGTAAGTACTCCACAATAAAAGCCAGATGAGATGCCTGATCATGTTCCAGCTACTGGCCTCAGGACATTTATACCATCAATCAGCATTTCGGTTCTGCGAACGATCTAAAGAATCTGAGCTCCGCTCTGCACGAGCGAGATATGTTCCTCATGATTGACGTTGTCGTTAACCACATGGTTACAACACTACCTCTGAACGTCACTGCCTCAACCTTTGAGGCCCCTCAAAATAGCTCGGCAACGGATATAACACCTTTCGCAGATATGGATGACCTGCATCCACTGTGTTTCATCGAGGACTACAGTAACCAGACCGAAGTCGAACAATGTTGGCTGGGCGACGCCACACTACCGTATGCAGACGTGGATACAGAGAACCCGAATGTCGTAGGCACGCTCAACAACTGGATTCAAGATGTTGTGTCTAACTTTAGCGTGGATGGTCTGAGACTCAGCACTGTGAAATTCGTGTCTTCGCAGTTTTGGCAGGATTTCACGCGAGAAGCAAGAGTATTCACTATCGGAGAGGTATTCTGTTTTTCCTTGTCGCAGTTAGTACTTTGACCGATACCGTTGGTGGCAGGTCATGTCGAACGATACTAATTACACCAGCAGTTACACTCGTGAGCCCATGCGCATGATGAGAAGCATGGTCAATTGACACACTGACTACGTCAGAGGTCATGAATGCGGTGCTTGATTATCCAACATGGTATGCTCTTGTACCAGCATTCCAGTCCCCGGAGGGCAATTTTTCTGCCTTAACCACTGTCGTGACGCAGTCGCAGCAGCTTTATGCTAGCGGTGCATTTATGACTGGTTCCTTTCTAGAAAATCATGACCAAGCAAGGTTCAAACATCTAGTCTCAGACGCTGCCGTGAGTCAAAAAAATTGTCTGATCAATTGTATATACTGATCGTCGCTACTGTACAGCTTGTGGCTAATGCAGTAGTTTGGCCTTTCATACATGACGGTATCCCGATTATATATAATGGTGCGTGACCGCACTTCCCACAACCATCTGATGTAGAGTCATCGATACTTGACCAGGCCAAGAACAGGGTCTTTCCAGAGGTTATCCGCCAGCAAACCATGAAGCGTGAGTGCTAAATTTGGGCTTTGTTCAAATTTTGATGATGAGGGGAACGGAACTCAAGTATATGGATGACAAGATACAAGAATGAAAGTGCAGGGTATCTTGCTTTCAAGATCCTGAACCGTGCTCGCAAAATTGCCATAGCTGCCAATACCTACTTTCTGACAACGCCGGTACGCCGATTAGATACTTCTACTTATTCCATCCTAATCATGTTTGAATTCAGATGGAGTTCCTTGAAACCAACACCAATAACACCCTCGCAATATGGAAACCTCCAATTCTCACCCTTCTTACGAATGCAGGCTCTACCTCCGCTCGCTGGAATGTCACGCACAAACTTTTCAGACCGCACCAGCATATTGTTGATGTGTTGACATGTGACGTTCACGTCACTGATGAGCGCGGTGGCGTGACTGTGGAGAGTCCCGCGGGGCTGCCAAAGGTTGGCACTTATTTGCTGTCTCGAACTTTGAATAGATCTGAGTGCATGCAGGTATTCATGTCAGTCACAACACTGAAGGATAGTCCTGACTTGTGTCCTGCGAGTGACTCAAGTGGGGAATTAGTGACTAGGAGGATCTCATGGTGGATGACAGTTTATGTCATGATATGCGTCCTCTTCCTGTGGATCGCATAAGTCGCTTGTGATCGGTGAAGTCCTCACTACTGTGCTCACTCTGAACAATTCTAGAATTCTCTCCATGGTTGGGCACAACTGTCAACGCGCGTTCATACCTTCGTCCGATACATTGAGTAGCCAAAACTAATTTTTATATTACGTCTTCAGAAGAATACAAAGCATACATGCCCACGTTTCAATGTCGCCATGCTATCTGATGACGTTGTAGCTGGAGTTGTAACTTATGCGAGTGGTCGAATTGCAATGCGATTAGTCAGCAGCTTCACAATTCAATAGAGGTAAACATTTTCAAACAACTGCCAATCATTATGCATAAAGTTCCGCAAGTGATGTCACAAAGACATCCGTCCATCCGTTACATCCGAAAATGCCGCGACGACTATATGTACTGGCACTTCCTCCATGGATCCTCTATGTTGATATACTTCGTGTAGACTAACATGCCATCCACTGCAAGCACAAGCCCCTCGGTATCCCACCTCAACCTCTTATCACTCTATCATGTGCTTTGGAAGCAGCAGGATTACTCTGTTGTGAGGCGGTTGAAATGTAATGTTGCAGACCTAGAGGAACAAGAACAGTGAGCCTGTCTCTTTCTTGCGGGATTTGAAAATGAAACTAAAAGATCCAAAACAGGACGCACCCATTCAACTTCGACGCCATTGATCTATCTGGATACCCTGGTGCCAAGTTACCAAACGGAGCGACCTCAATGATAGTTCGCTCGGTGTATGAGACTTTATTTCACGAGATCTCCGCGAACAAGCGCAATATCGTTGTTCATGGGTCGGCGGGTATCGGTAAGTCGTTGTCCTTCCATAATTGTCGTTGATATAGCCAATTACCCTCAGGGAAAACATACTTTCTACTATACACTCTCGTCAGGCGACTTCTCGCGCGCCAGCCAGTCACCTATCAGATTGACCAATCGGACTCGAGCGTCTTATGTTTCACCGCTGACGGCTTCTTTGCCCTCCCAGAGGAGAACAGCGAATTTCGTCCCCTGTTCGACCGTGAAGATGTGTTACATCTAATCGACAGCACTCAGGAAGACACCATTACGCACCCGAACACCGATCACACTCGTGCTTTGATGCGGGGAACTCACGGCAAGGCCATTTTCACTACATTCTGGCCAGACAGTTTGGGCCTCGATATCGGATGGTTATCTGAGTATGATGTCGCACTTCAAAAGTGGATGAATCCGTGCACTTTTGACGAGATCTTTGCGATGAGGCAAGTGAATTCATTACATATTAGTTGTCACTGATCACTGTTGTTAGCACTCTAACCCCCGACCAGCATAAAGGCAAGTCTTTACGATGGTCATACATCCATTTTGGGTCCAACGCACATGCTTGTCTGCAAGTATCTCACGATGCCAGCGATGCCGATTATTATCTCAAGGAGCTCGAACGTGCTCATGATAATTTGTGGAGTATCCAACCTACACTGCGTGAACCCGAAGCCCGATATAGCCGTAACCTCTTCGCTGTCGAACCTGGCAAAAGTTGTGCGGATCCACTTTCTTTCCCTGTATCGCAAGTTGCTACCAGGCTTTTTGCGAGCGAGATCACCTCCGTGGACTCCGCAGGTGCCAAGGAGACCGCCGACACCCTCCTTAACTCAGAGGACACGAAAGAAGCAGGCGAGATCTTCTATCGTCAGGCTGTCGTAGCACTGATGTCCAGATTCGGAGGGATCTTCACGCTCGGACGTCCTGATTTGCGGGGCCATTACCATCTGGCACGCGAAGAACTTGTGCTGCGGAACAAAACGCATATGACATACGAGGGGCGGCGGGCCGTGCTTCCGAGCTTTGTATACTCTACCCGACGCGAACTTGCGATATTGGCCGAGAACTGCCCACAACTTCTCCTCACCCCACAGCATGCACTCGTGCATCCAGGCATTGATGCAATCATGTTCGATGACAGCAGTATGACAGTATGGCTCGTGCAGGTTACGCCCGGTTCCCCACGCCCAGTTTCCCCTGAGGGTCTTCTCTTCCTGCTGGAAGTTGTGCGGGAAAGCCCTTACGAACCGTCCCCCACACATCCCTGGCAATTTGTCCAAGCCATACGGGGGCAGCCTACCAACATTTTCTTCCACCTCAGCGGGAAGGAAAGAACACAGCGCTTTTCCATGAGTTTCTGGATGCCACGCATCAAGCCATACATGATGCTGCTGCGCAGCACGAAGACGGACGTCTACTCTTCGGGGAACCCATACGAGCAATGGGGTTTGCCTTATAAAGTTTCCCAGAAAAGCTCGCCCAGACTTCCGCAGCGCCTTGCGAATTCGATGGCGCACCTCGTCCCAAGGCGTCGGCGCACAACTGAACCCAGCGCTGCTCAGGTCAATTTGACTTCGGAAATTAACGATGCGATTATACGGGGGTCGGGGGTGCCAGGAGCTCAGTTACTTGGAGAGATTGAGAGGGAGCAAGATCCAGGCCCGGTCAACCACTATGTGCGGGATGATGAACAGACTAGTAGTTGGGGGAAGCGATTGGCAGAGGTGTGTCGATGAGAGTGAGAGTTCTTATTTATAGTAGTACAAGTACCCGTGGCTGATGCTACAATATCCATCGTCTGATTTCACCAGCCGCGCCAGTCAGATATTTTTTATGCGTGGTACGCGTCGTATGGATTTAGTGAGATTGCGAATCCATTGGAACGACACGTGCTGGATATACACTACGAGTACTGTGCGCGTATCTAGGCCCGTAAGATTAGAAAACCCTGGACAAAATGAAATGACCAAAGTGACTTCGTGCAACTTGATCGGTCAATGACCGATCATCGAATTGGAGGCAGTAGTATGGATTACACATCTAATGGTGCGGGCGCCGTCGCGGCAATATTGTACATTTCATCGAGACAACCATTCCACCTGTGGGCATGGAAAGCGAGGTGAATACAAGCCTACGAGGTATAAGTATAGTTATACATCTGTTGATCATGGAGGAAATGGGACATTACTAACGACGGAGTCTGAGAGCATAAGGGGTCAAGAAAAACACTGGATGAGAGTTCGAAGATGACAACAATATAACATGAAACCAAGTCTTTTGCCTGTGATCTCACTCCAGTACAGGGAGCGGATATGGATTCTTCATAAGGCGCTCGTACTTCCTGTTCAGCTTCATCAAACTCCCCAGATACTCAAAGATTTTTCCGCGTATCGCAGCATCGTGCAGCATTAGCGGATCCGCATCATGGCGCTCAAAAAATGTCCTATAAACTTTCTTCAGCGCTTGTACCTCAGCATCTTTCCTGCAATTCATGAACCCATAATCGCACGCAACAGAATTCACCATTCGGCCCTCCGGATTTTGTTCATTAGTCTGGATGGCAAACTGCTTGAGGTCCCAGACAGACTTGTGCATATCGTGGTTTTGCAAGACGTCCGCAAGGTAGCGGACATCCACGTTAATTCCATTCTTGCGGAAGAGATCGAGAATACGTGCAGAGCTGAAGGCATCACAGAATTCGTCGAATGTGCATTTGGTAATGAGGACCTGATAACGTCCGCCCAGATACATTTCCTCCTCTTCGCAGGTGCATGAGCAGAAACCGAAGGGGATCCAGAGGTCATCGAACGGTGCAGGATGCCATTTGCTCAAGAGTATCGTATAGAACAAATGACATGTTTGCCTGTCCTGAGGCATGCTATTTATGCGGGCTCTTATGTCCGCAGGCGAGTCTGTTTCTGCACCTCCGGTAAAGCGCCATGCGTGCAGAACCATAGCATCCCCTTTGTCACTCGACTGGCTATCAGCAGCAGACGGATTAAGAATGTACTGGTTCTGCAGGAACCAAGGGAAGTATTCGCCTCTGAATTCGGCAGGAATCTTGTAGTACGCTGCCTTGATCTCTTCTACAAGCACGCCCCTGACCCGCCAATCATTGATAGTTTTTGGGGGAATTCCTATGAGTCCCGAGCTCATCAGCCCTGAAAATGAGACACGCGTTAGGGGCATTGTGATGATAGTTTCAGGAACTCGGTCAACCGAGTTGACTCCACATGTACATACCGATATACAAGCCAAGAAGGTTGGATCTGTTCTCCACCGTGAATGCACGTTCAAACCCATAATCCTCGCAAGTCTGTACATCTTGCGGGAGGAGGTTGTTTCTGACTGCAAGCGCTAGATGGTCTGCGGTGGTGATGGGACGACGGGGTTTGCAGGCAAAGATGTGCGGTACCCAATGAGATTTTTGGCAAGTGACAGAGCAGTACCAGACTTTGTGACAGCCAGAGCAGCGCTTGAGATTGGAGGACTTGCCACAGGCATTGCATTCGCGAACCATTGATGATTGGGGATGGTGGGTTAGGTTAGATAATGAAGGTTGTCACGGTGTAGACGCTGACCCCAAAGCGCTCACCCGAATTTACGATCCACTCGAAGCGCCCATACTATAGATAGCCAGCTTGACTGCACACCAACAGGTAACTAGCAAGAATCAATATCTAAGGATCCTGCCACATACGAAGTAAGTGAAAGTCTATTTCAGAGTCACTAACTTGCTCTTGAGTGAACTTTGAAGTTTTGAAGGTGTATATTCTGGTTGACGTCTTATTGACAAGACATAATCCACATTCAGAATCACATCGGAACCATAGTATTAATCGTGTCACCGACAGCACACAATTTAACGCGGTCGCCCGATTTTTGTGGTTGCGTACTGTGCCATCACCTGAGGACTCCGGACGTCATGTTTACTAGTGCTTGTTTTTGACAAATTTCACCATACTCCCGGGCATCGAGTCCAGCCACCAAATCAATATCAATATCTGAACGACCCTTTTCTCATTCTCTGATACTTACTGTCCTCTCTGTTTGTTTAATGCAACTGATAATTATCCAACATTGTATTGAAGTGAACATGTTGAGGAGAGTCTGGGGGTCTTTTCATTGTGAGTCCGGACTTTATTAGCTCAGGGTTTATAGTTGTTCGAAGGAATCGAGTGAGGTTCGACTGATAACCGGGTACCATGAACTCCCTCAGCTCAGCAGCTCGCTTCGTGTTAGTGATGGGGAGGGCCAGGGTACAGGGTACAGGTTTAGCTTGGCCCAGCCTTGGAGAGTTATCAGCCCAGCCTAGCCCTGTCAGTGGGATGATAAGGGTCGAGGGTTGGGCCCATGGCTTAGGCCCAGGCTGAACTTTAGTAATTGGGAGGGCCAGGGCTCAATGCTCAGGCCCATAGGCCTAGCTTGGTCCAGCCTTGGAGAGTGATAACGGTTATCAGCCCAGCCTAGCCCTGTGAGTGGGATGATAAAGGTCGAGGGTTGGGCCCACGACCTCTGCAGGCCCTACGATACCCACGGCTTAGACCCGGGTTGAATTTTTCTGAAGATAGACCGATGTATACTCTCGGTCCATTTCTGCATTAGCTGGATGCCTGATCTTCTGCTCACAATCAGTGTTCATTACCCGCAATGTGATGATCTTGCCCAGCCCCCCAAGACCGGCTCACACAACATTGCAAGTTTGTGCAAATTCTTGATATTATGGTTAAGCCAAGTAACTTGTTCTCCCTATATAACGGTGTTCAAGCGACTCACTTCAATCCGGATACAGCCAACAAAACATCTCTCTAACGTACGATGTTAATCATGGTTCACTACGCATATATAACAAACGTACGCTCAAAATCCATTCTTCGATGTCTGTGATGTCGCGCTAAATCGCCATTCAGATCAACTCCAACTCAAGCCATTGATACGTGATTGTCTTCGCTAGCCGCGCAGTTGCCGATGAGTGGTGGCGCGCCGTGTCCACTTCTAGCACCACCAGGTTCTCGAACAGTATTCAGCGCGCCAACGCCCAGTTCTACACCCATGACGTGGACCAGGCAAACGCTGCTGAGTGCCTCACTGTGAAGGGGGTTGCGACCCAATCCCTTGGCAAGGTGTTTTTCTTGTTGCTGCACGACCTGGGTGGTCGAGAGTTGAGCATCATCCCGTCGCCTGATTTCGCGGACTACATCAGTGGGAACTCGTGAGTTAGTTCCTTGTAGGATGTTACACTGCTAATAGCGGCCCTACCGTAGTTTCTTCATTCGCTCTAATGTCTCTCCTTACGATTACTGGTACTGTCCTCACTACGACACGTCAGCCTCGGTCTTTGTTTCGTGCACCGAACGCACTCGCTTCCGTATTAGTCTCAGCGCTGGGGGCACGTCATGATTGGCTCTGACGAGATTGCTATCACGTTGACCACCGTCAATCTGTCCATTAACGTCGTCCCCGCCGGCAATCAAACGATAGTTTCAAGTGCTCCTATGCCGAGGCTGAAGTTTAGTGACCTTTTGAATAGACTCACTCTGGGGGCTATGATGTATGAGGGCAATCAAAGCTTGGGCATGAAAAAGCTCATCTACACGGATGACGGGGAAGAGTGGGAACTAGCTTGAACTGTTATCATGTGACATTAGTAATGGCTTGCATTTAACACAAAGCTGTCTTGCACTAGTACCGTTATGGTCTCCCCTGGCCTTTATAGACGAAGGAAGATAGTTATTCCTGTACTGTTAGTAGTGCCTACAACCACGCGTACCACTACAGAGCTTTGAGACACATGGATGCTCTCATCGCCGTGCTCCAGCCCAGCCGATCTAAATGTTGATGGGTTGATCGGACTTCTGGTTGGGATTGATATTGATGTCTCAAACAAGCGAGTCGTGTCGTTGCCCAATTGCCAGTTTAGTGGACTAGCTTATAAGAGAAACCGAGGCATCAGATATCTCGAACGACTAGGTTGATGGTAATACACATGCGGTTGACGTCGCTGGTAGTGATGAAAGTAAATCCTCCTCCGAGGGAGCGGGCAGATATTTTGGAATATTTCGAACAAAAACTGTGTACTAGCGCATTGAGAAAAGAACGACGAGGTTGAACTTGAGAATGGTACTCACAGGTAGTTGACTGGAGCAGTACTGTACGTCGCTCACCGCTGTGGGTAGCATGCGTATCAGAAAGGTTCCATCGCACAAAGCATGGTGGAGAGTGGAAGAACATTTACTTATCAGACGAATTTTGTCTTGCCAAGGGTAAATCATATACCCTTGACAAGGTAAGATTCGTTCGATAAATTGACATAATGTGGAATATACAGTCACTTGTAAGGTGGTTCAAGTTGAACCTAGGCCTGATCAATCAACCTAGACGTCCAAAGGACAACCAACCATTCTCAAACAACCGGAACTCTAATCGCAATTGAAATCAAACATGTACTTGACGCGCAGTAAAGCGGGTCAAGATACTAGCAGTCGTCCAGGGGCTATAGGAAACTTTTCAAAATGGGATGCAGTGCGGAAACGGGTGAGATAAGACTCTAGATCATCAATGATGCAAATAACCATATTGAAGCGAGCTCCCCTAATAGGTACTCAGAAAACGCACAGCTACACACAAATATCTGTCAGGCGCGCGGCCCCATCTCGACTTTGAGTACCTCAACCGCCTCCCTTCCTTCAGACAATTAATTGTCCCGTGGCCTTGCTATCTGATCGAAATGTCAGTCCCTCTCAAAGTACGATGCGTCAGACTTCGCATACATGATATTAAGTCCCTCATATTCTCTCCTCCAGCTGCGATCGCTCCCATATATGATCGCACTTCAGTGGAAATGAAGACACCGCTACGCTGAGCCCTGGAGAGGATAAAGTAGGTCCCGAAAATTGTCGATCAATAATGAATCACAGTCTACTTCTCCTAGTCTCATATGCAGAGGTTCGCATTGTCACACGTTTATCGCGAGTTCGATGCAGACTTGCTAATGTACTCTTCCTGTTGAGTCTCCAGAAACCAACTATCGTGCTGGAATTTCTCACGTTAACCCCTACTCTTCGCATTGCCTTAATTCCATCCCCCGTTTGCTTGCTCTCATCCAGTGCTTTTTTCCTCGAGTTGTTTTTTCATGCCCCACAGCTCACATCATCCTACACGCATCGTTTTCATAGTGCTCTCATTCTCACCGCCTTCGTCATGGATATTGCGATTACATGCTGTACTGTACAGCGAATACTTGTAATGAACTACATGTTCCATCTTACCCTGTTATCTCGGATTTTTAACCCACTTTGAATATGCCCACGTGCACAGATGACCGCAGCAACGGTTTTCTTCTGTTCAGTTTCTCAGTCCACTATGAAGAAGCACCGAGGGTATTCATCACTTCAACACAATCCACGTTGCTGCATCCCTGATAGAATTGACATGCTATGTCTGTCGTTACATGCTCTCACGGACTAGCACAAAAATCATGAGTACTGCTATATAGTCATCTCACATGGACAACCCTGAACTCAAGTTATATGCTGGGTAGGGAATAGAATAGGAAGTGTGATCTACTGTACACTCGATTACATGTAGATTGTATCTGAAATCTTCATAATGGGTGCATTGCTGCAATCATCGTCGGTACTAAGGTCTGCAAGTGTTGACTTTAGTAAGCGCGATGAACAGAAAGGGCTTCGAAGAGACTCACTCGTCTCGGCACTTTTGCCAGTGTTGTCCATGTGCCATGCGGCTCAAATCAAGCTCAGGACATCCTCTGGGTATCACCAATGCAGTTCCAGGGCTATAAAATGGGGTTCGAGAAGCGGGTGGTACCCAAAATAACAGCCGACGTTTGGGTCCCATCACCCATCCACTGTCACTATCCAGGACAGGGGGGGTCGAACTGCGGTCGTCATGGGATGCCCCCGCCATTAACTCAAAAGTGTCGCAGAGTGCATGGATAGAGTTGGACGAGGAGCGGATGAAGTGATTGTTCAGAGTGTTCATTGGCGTGGTAGTGGTGGCCTCGATCGTGCGATGTTCATCTGAGAATACTGGATGATCTAACTCAGCGCACCATTGCGATGGTTGCCCCATCACTACATGCCACAGCCGAATAGTCTTATCAGAAGAACCAGTGACAATGTGGGTGCCGTCCGGCGAGAACGAGACCGACCAAACTGAATCAGTGTGCCCCCGCAAGGGCTCACCGACTGGCTCCCCCGTCCCTGCATCCCACAGCCGGACAGTCATATCCCAAGAACCAGAGACGATGCGAGTGCCGTCCGGCGAGAACGAGACCGACCAAACTGAATCAGTGTGCCCGCGCAAGGGCTCGCCGACTGGCTCCCCCGTCCTTGCATCCCACAGCCGAACAGTCTTATCCGAAGAACCAGTAACGATGCGAGTGCCATCCGGCGAGAATGAGACCGAGTTAACTGATTCAGTGTGCCCCCGCAAGGGCTCACCGACTGGCTCCCTCGTCCCTGCATCCCACAGCCAAGCAGTCTTATCAGAAGAACCAGTGATGATGCGAGTACCGTCCGGCGAGAACGAGACCGACCGAACTAAATCAGTGTGCCCCAGCAAGGGCTCACCGACTGGCTCCCTAGTCCCTGCATCCCACAGCCGAACAGTCTTATCCGAAGAACCAGTGATGATGCGAGCGCTGTCCGGTGAGAACGAGACCGAGCAAACTGCACCAGTGTGCCCCCGCAAGGGCTCACCGACTGGCTCCCCTGTCTCTGCATTCCACAGCCGAACAGTGTTATCCGAAGAACCAGAGACGATGCGAGTGCCATCCGGCGAGAACGAGACCGACTGAACACAAAAAGTGTGCCCCCGCAAGGGCTCACCAATTGGCTCCCCCGTCCCTGCATCCCACAGCCGAACAGTCTCATCCAAAGAACCAGTGACGATGCGAGTGCCGTCCGGCGAGAATGAGACCAATTTAACTAAAGCAGTGTGCCCGCGCAAGGGCTCACCGACTGGCTCCCCAGTCCCTGCATCCCACAGCCGAACAGTCTTATCCGAAGAACCAGTGACGATGCGAGTGCCGTCCGGCGAGAACGAGACCGAGGTAACAGAAGAAGTGTGCCCCCGCAAGGGCCCACCCACTGGCTCCCCCGTCCCTGCATCCCACAGCCGAAGAGTGTTATCACCCGAACCAGTGACGATGCGAGTGCCGTCCGGCGAGAACGAGACCGAGTTAACTGAACCAGTGTGCCCGCTGAGCACGGTCTGAGCAGCCGGCCAGTTCATATCACGTCCAGATGCCACACGAAGGGTATTCGGAAACCGTGCAGAAAACTTTCTCGATAGCGGAGAGTTGGCAGGCGAGAATGAGAGTGCTGATACATACAGATGTGGTGTGCTGTGTAAAATCATCCCGCCGAAGACTTGAATGAACCTCTGTACGTCCATTGCAGTCGACGAGACATCTTTGAATTTCGGATGGCCCTGTGCTTGCCCATGAGCCATTTATTCTGACCCCTAGTAGTATTGTGCTCACCTTCAGCCACTGGGCAATGGGCGGAAGGGCACCGACTGCACCGCTGAGCGCATTGGTCAGGGCGAGTGACTCCGGCCAGAAAAACACCCGCTCGTGGTCGAAAAACTGTGTCACCTCTTCCGCGAGTTTCTTGTCGAAGGCTGTGGATCGTACGTGCGACATCCAAAATCGAGATGAATATGACAGATGTGGGGAGATGCATTTTTGAACTCGTTCTTGTAGCTCGGGATCTTCGCTATTAGGTAGATACGACGACTTTAGAGCACAGATATTGAAGCGAAGACCGTGTTCCATCACTCGAAGTGACGCGAATGCAAGGTCGCGTTGCGCCCTTGACAGGTCGATGAAAAATTCTTTACTGGATTCTTTGTCCGTCAAGAAATCATGGAAGGACGCGTGAAGGGGTCGGATTGGGGAATCTGGGTTGGTGGTGCCGCTGAGGAGGGAGCCCAAGCTTTTTACCACAAGCTTTACGTCGAAATGGTCCTCTTTCCTTGGAAAATGATATTTCATGGCTGTCAGAGAAGCTAAAGGAAGGGGTTCAGCTGTTTCTAGGATTTGCCCATCACTGAGGGAAATCTCGCTAGCTTCGTCGAACGCAGTTTCGGCGGATCCGGAGATGTATTTCTGGGTATGATATTTGTTAAGATCAGGTCATACATGTTGTGCAACAGCTTGCTTCTCTCAGCAGGATTGCGTGACACCACAGCCTCGTAGTAATCTTTTGGAGATACTATATCGGACTCTTTGATGTATCCGCAGGCGAGACGCGCCCACTCGAAAAGTCCATCGGCTTTCTCAGCGAGGACTGCGAACTCTCCGTTCTGGAAATCCAACCCTTCCAACTCCTTGGATACGTAAGCACGGATGTCGCGCTCTGCATCTGCTCGTGGAATCTCATCCATCGACATCTGTCGGATGTGTTGGACGCCAGCAAATTTGTCTTTGATGTCATCAAGCGGGCGAGAGGTGACGATGAAGCGGAAGTTGCCACGGAGGTCTGTGATTTTGCGAACAGCGGGATTTTGATGATTGCCAGCTAGAATACGGAGGAGGTCTTTTCGTGTCTCTACTCCACCGCTCTCGTCAAGTGCATCGATCACGATCACGATGGGCTCCCCAGATGACCCAGATGACTTCTCCAGTGGTTCGATGAGAAGTTTCTGCCACTGCTGGGTGATATCTGCTGTCTTCTTGAGCGAATTCGCGGTCTTGGCTGCATCTGCCAATGCCCGCCTCATCTCCGGATCACGGTCAGCCAGGTCGCGCGCGATCGTGGAAAAAATCTTTTCATGGCGACGATCTGCTTCTCGCTGGCGGTCAAAACAGTAACACGAACCAAGCCCTCCCACGTCGTTGACCCAGTTAGCAATGGTCTGGACGATGGCCGATTTGCCCTTGCCCGCAGGGCCAGATAGCCACAGCACGCGTGGAACGTCGTCCCCAGTGCTGTTAACCCATTCCGAGATCTGGGAAAGGATTTCCGTGCGCGTCCCTTCAAGGCACTGTTTCCTGGTATCTAGTCCTGCGCCCTCTGCATAAGTCATGCCGCTGAGGTCCAATGATTCATCTGAAAAGGTATGAATATATGTCAAGTCAGAAGGGCATCCGAACCCTTACCCGTACGGTGGACATGGATAGCTACGTCGGGAGCAACCTGGTCCCGGAAATGTTGCATGAGTCTGTCGAACACGTCATTGTATTTTTTGATCGTATCGTCCGTTTCCAAGAGGACGTCCTTTCCAACTCTCTTCCCTGTGGTGATAGTAGAAGCTTTAGACGGTATAGAGCACAACAGCATGTAACACTCACAAAGGTTTTTTGTCTCCGAATAATTTGCGATAAACTGAGCGCATCCACGTGTCTGCTGTGAAATCTTGCCAAGGATAGCGTGCATCGACAAAATTTGTTCAAGCTTCTCGTCTTGCGTCATAAAGTCGTAAATTTCAGATAACTTCTTGAGAAGTTTGAGTACCGCTGCGTCGCGATCCGTTTGAGCTAGAATAGTCTGCACAAATGATTGATGAGCAGTGGGAGATGGGAAGACACAACGAGAAAACATACTTTGGCTGCAAAAGACAATACGCCAAGTGCCATCTTTGCATATGGAGGTACCTGTGGAACTAGATTAGTTTGGTTCCGATCTAAAGGAGGGTCCATACATCTGCGATCTTCTCGATCTTAACGTTGAACGCCCTGAGGGGTTGGAGAATGTCCTCGAAATTCTCAACAGCATCGAGATTCGCTTGTGCGCCTTGGCCAACAGATACCACAGGTATCGCAGGTTCCGAAAGTGGACGGATGCACCTTGCAGCCTCTGGTGCATTCTGAAGCGCCGATTGGATTTCAGCCGTCATTTCCACACCAGACGGCCCAGCCTGAACCTGCGTGGTCATCAAAATTTAGAGGGAGCACATAGACTGAAGGGCAAGGTTGAGAGCCTACCTCGATATTCGAGGGAGCAGGGTTACGGGTTCGAGCATCCCCCGAGCGCTTGTTGCAATGTTAGTCGGATTCCAGTATCTCATTCCGCATCATGCTCGTAGGCTCACCGAGATCCTTGGCTTCTTTGCACCGTCGTTAGAGTTGTGGGTTTGTTGAGTCGAGTCTCCCGACAATGTGCGTTTAGTCATTGTGAGTAGCAGTTGAAGTGAGGGTGAGAGTTCCACAGCATTTATATAAAATACCAGGCCATTAACGCCTCGAGGCAATATTTGTTGCAGTGTTGCAAGGGCGCTAAGCAATAAGCATTTGAATTTCGAGCGCGTGTGACAAAAATAGCCTCGACAGTTTGTGACGTTAAGGACTTGATGCAACGGCACAGCAAGCAAACATTCTCTCTCTTCTCCTCGCATCACCCACCAAACGCATCAACGCCACCTCCTGTCCTAGACAGAAGAAGTGCTCAAGGCAGGTGCGTTCTGCTACAAGTATGATCTTGTTAACCTGCGGATACCAAGTTCTACGATGACAGGTGCTGCCAACGTGCAGGTAGGTGAGTCAGTTCACTTGGTCGGTGACAATGTTGATGACGGATGCATGCAGTCCACGGACTTGGTGTATACGACAGAGTCCGCAGCATATAAGATGAATAAATCTCATGAACTTATCGAGCTATGGAGGGCACCGAACTTGTAAAGAAATCATAGAACACGACAAACTGCAAGCGCGCCACAACTGCATCGGTTCCCTCCTTCCGGCGACGGGCAACACACTCCCTCGCCCACTTAGCATTAACTGAATTTTTCAACAACTTCCACACCTTCCAAACCCTCCAAGCGCGCATCCAGCACTCTCCAGGGTTCTTACTCCCAAACCCCACTCACTTATTTTGGTCTTACCCACCCTCACCCATCGCCACTCACGTTTCCGACGCATGCTGACTTTGTCGTTGTTGGCTTGGGTATTATTGGGGCGCCATTTGTGAGGAGGATTTTGGATAGCGCATCTGCTGATGGACATGATGTTAGAGTTGTGATGTTGGGGGTGAGAGACTTGTGTTCTGGGGCGACTAGGAGGTGATTATCTCTCATAAAGCAACGCACTAGGCAAATCTCACTGCATCAATATCATGACTACACCTCGCTCAAGCGTGATCACAGACTCGGACGAAGTTGTCACCCAAAAGATGATTAAATTGACGTTGGCGCATCTCGAGGAGTTACGAAGCGTCTCTGAACAAGAAGGCATTCTTGCAGAATCCCAGTGCCGTGAGGTAGAATCTGCAGATGTGTTTTAGAACTCAGACATGTTCGAGAAGGCTGCAAAGACAAAGGTCCAAAGTTTCCCATTCCCATTCTCCCAGCTTTCCCTTCAACCAAGCTTGTCTCCTTAAGCATGCCCCTTTACTCTACGCATCCATCGGATTAGAAACGCGTGTGCATTTATGTGTGCACTCGCTGGCGATTTACTTCCTTCAGTCGTGTCAGATGTCAACCTACTGTTCCAGTGTATAGGACTTCACATTCCTTTGTTCACAGATCATCAAATAGCTAGGTTCTAGGTGAGCACATCGCTGTGCAATGTCCCGACTCAAACTCTGATCATCCAAGTCATGCATGTGGTATTAATTTAGGCTCAGAACAAGCTGGCGCCAGACCTGACAGATTGGCATTAGCGAGGGACGGCTAGCAAAATGCTGTATGACATTCGACTTCATTTGCGCGTCAGCGAGGAGGCGTAGCATAGGCACACCCACCTGATCGCTGCCGCGGCAATGTCATTGAGCACGAGCGCACTACACCGGTGACAAGCTCAGGCAGGATGTACACGTTGGAGAGGTTAGCACTCATAGCCCAGAAAGCAACAGTGCAAGGATGGAGTGTTCGTTCCAGCAGAAGCAACAATTGAATTATTACAAGTACACAATCAAAGAACATTTTCCGCGGAATCAAGTCGTCAACTCCACATCCTCCACTCAAGGATGACAAACTTGCTCGAAAGATCGGGAATAGTCGGTCACACAACTATCTTCGGGTCTTTTCTTGCGAGGATGCACTCCAAGTTGGAGAGCGTGTCGAGTCGACTCCTTGGCAAACCCTCGTCAGTTTCATGTACGTAAATATGACAGTTAAAACTAGCCTGCAGCTCGAACACCATGGTCGCACCCCAAAAATTCAGCGAAAGCGATCGGAGAATACTGATTCTTTCATTAGATGCAAGTTTCAGTGTACACCGATCGCTATCACGAGGACATGAGCACACTTGCAGAGCTTGATCCCGTGAAAGTAATATGTCAAGTCATCACATTCTCTGCGAACTCTCTTCAGTTGCATGTACGCATGACCAGACAGATGAACTTAAACTCAACTGCAACCCAAACATCATCATCGATATTATAATCTGTAAAAAATGCAGCGAAAGAGATATTTGAGTGAAATACCTCAAGTCTTATTTCCCCATCTTTTCCCCGAGGACAGGAGCACACTTGGGGAGTTTGATCCCGCGGAAGCAGTTCGTGTTAAGTCGACTCTTCTACAATTTCTCTTCAGCTTCACCCATGTAAACATCATAGATGAACTTGCCTACAACCTGAACACCGTAGTCTTCCTCAAAAAACAAAGCCAGAGGGAAAGATCGGGAGAATATCATTGCCTCCATCGTGTCATGCTCATATTTTCTCGATCTTTCTTGCGGACGTGAGCGCATGACACAGACGGGTTTTTTTTCGCTTGTATGTATGAGAATATATCTGGAGAATCAGCGTCACATGCACAAGAGTGACCTACAAGATGAGGAAACATTGACATCGGGTCAAATATTCATGGTACATACCGGTACCAACAACCCCGTCAGTCAGCAGTAGGATAAACGAGTGCGCGAGCATGAATGCGTCAAGCCCATCTTATGTGCCCGTTCTGATGATTCCAGAATAGACCGAGAGAAGAGCATGAGACCGAGTTAGACGGTGACTGTCATTGTAGTGCCCTTTTCGAGTAGCCAGTTTAGCACACTAGTCCGCAAGGCAATAAGTCAGACTTACGAGCCGACGAGGCATCAAGTGTCTCAAACGAGAACCGGGGAGATGGCAATACACGCGCAGTTGACGTTACTGCTAGTGATGAAAGTAAATCTTCCTCCGAGGGAGCGGGCAGATATTTTAAAAGATTTCAAACAAAAACTCTGTACCGGCGTGTTGAGAAAAAAAATGACAACGTTGAACTTGAGAATGGTACTCACAGGTAGTTGAATGGAGCAGTACTGTACGTCGCTCATCACCGTAGTTAGTATGTGTATCAAAAAGGCTCCACCGCACAAAGCACGGTGAAGAGTGGAAGAACATCAGGACTCATCAGACAAATTTTACCTTGCCAAAGGTAAATCATATACCATCGACAGAGTTAAATTCGTCTGATAAATTGAAATAACAAATATACAGTCACTGATGTGAAAAAGAAAGTAGGACGGAACACGCGGGCCCGTGGGTCGTCACTGTTCACGAAAAGCGACGGGCGACGCAAAAGGTAAAATACTGAAGATGAACCCGTTCGATCAACCGAGACATCCAAAGGCTAACCAAACACTCCCAAACAATCGGAACTCTTGCACCAGTTGAAATCAAAACTGGCCAAATTGTACGTGACGAGTACTCTAGATCATCACGCAAAAGACAGTCGGCATCTATTTTGATAAGTACCTCAACCACCTCCCTGCCTTGTACAGACATATCCTCTATCTCCCCTAGGCAGACCTTAGACGATTAAAGTACTGTCCCGTCGCCTTGCCATCTGATCGAAATGTCAGATCCTCTCAAAGTACAATACTTCCAAGCTTCAAACTTTGCAGACATCATATCCTCACCTCCAAATTCCCATATGTGTTCACGTCTCTGCGGAAATGAAGACACCGCTTACTACGCTGAGCACTCCTATTTTTCCATCGGAGAGGCCACGGAAATTGTCAGCATGCACCACCTAATAATGTTAACGAGTCGCAGTCTACTTTTCCTAGTCTCATACGTAGAGACTCACATCACCATTACATTTATCACGAGTTCAATGCAGACCTACGGAACTCAATTTCAGACACTTTCAGTGAAGTCTCCAGAAACCGACTATCGAGGGGCTCAGGCTTGACGAGGATGTCCATTGTGACACCCTGGTACACCTGTGTCCAATATCACCCTCCATTCAATGTCATCTATCGTGCCAGAACTTCCCATGTTAGCCCCTATCGCACTGCCTCAATTCCACCCCCCGTTTGCTTGCTCTCACCCAGTGCCTTTTCTTTCAGTTATGTTTTCACGCCCCATAATTCACAACATCCTACACGCATCGTTCTCACAGGGCTGTCATTCTCACCGCCTGCGTCGTGGATATCGTGATTACATGCTGTACAGTACAGTGAACACTTGCAATGAACTACATATTCCATCATACCCTGTTATCTCGGTGTTCAACCCACTTTGGATGTACCCCGGGACTTGCACCACCATGTGCACAGATGACCGCAATGACGGTGTCCTTCTGTTCAGTTTCTCAGCCCGCTATCAGGAAGCATCGATGCTATGCATCACGTCCACACAATCCACGGCGGACGCGCAACTGGATCTCTGATGGAATCAACATGCCTTGTCCGTCGGTTACGTGCTCTCACGAACTAGCACGAACATCATGAATACTGCTACACGGTCAGCTCACATGGACAGCCCTGAACTCAGGTTATATGCTGGATGTAGAATAGAATACGAAGTATGATCTACTGTACACTCGGTCACACGTAAATTGTATCTGAAATCTTCATAATGGATACATTGTGATGATCGTTGGTACTAAGGTCTGCAAGCGTTGGTTTTAGTAAGCGCGATGAACAGAAAGGGCTTCAAAGAGACTCACTCCTCTCGGCACTTTCGCCAGTGTTGTCCATGTGCCATGCGGCTCAAATCAAGCTCAGTACCTCTGGGTATCACTAATGCAGTTCCAGGGCTCCACAATAAATGTCGAGAAGCGGGTGGTACCCAAAATAACAGCCGACGCTCGGGTCCCGTCACCCATCCACTGTCACTATCCAGGACAAAGGGGGTTGAACTGCGGTCGTCATGGGATGCCCCCTCCATTAACTCGGAAGTGTCGCAGAGCGCATGGATAGAGTTGGACGAGAAGCGGATGAAGTGATTGTTCGGAGTGTTCAATGTCATGGTAGTGGTGGCCTCGACCGTGCGATGTTCATCTGAGAATACTGGATGATCTAACTCAGCGCACCGTTGAGATGGCTGCCCCATCACTGCATGCCACAGGCGAATAGTGTGATCGCCTGAACCAGTGACGACGCGAGTGCCGTCCGGCGAGAATGAGACTGAATTAACTGAACTAGTGTGCCCCCGCAAGGGCTCACCGACTGGTTCCCCCGTCCCTGCATCCCACAGCCGGACAGTGTGATCCTGCGAACCACTGACGATGCGAGTGCCATCCGGCGAGAATGAGACTGACTCAACTGGGTAAGTGTGCCCCCGCAAGGGCTCACCGACTGGCTCCCCCGTCCTCGCATCCCACAGCCGAACAGTGTGATCCTGCGAACCGCTGACGATGCGAGTGCCATCGGGCGAGAACGAGACCGAGTAAACTGTACCAGTGTGCCCCCGCAAGGGCTCACCTACTGGCTTCCCCGTCCCTGCATCCCACAGCCGAACAGTCTTGTCACTTGAACCAGTGGCGATGCGAGCGCTGTCCGGCGAGAACGAGACCGACCAAACTAAATCAGTGTGCCCCCGGAAGGGCCCACCGACTGGCTCCCCCGTCCCTGCATCCCACAGCTGAACAGTCTCATCCAAAGAACTAGTGACGATGCGAGTGCCGTCCGGCGAGAACGAGACCGAGTGAACAAAAGAAGTGTGCCCACGCAAGGGCTCACCGACTGGCTCCCCCATCACTGCATCCCACAGCCGAACAGTGTTATCCTCCGAACCAGTGATGATGCGAGTGCCGTCTGGCGAGAACGAGACTGAGTTAACTGAATCAATGTGCCCCCGCAAGGGCTTACCGGCTGACTCCCCCGTCCTTGCATCCCACAGCCGAACAGTGTTATCCTCCGAACCAGTAACGATGCGAGTGCCGTCCGGCGAGAACGAGACTGAGTTAACTGCACCAGTGTGTCCCAGCAAGGGCTCATTGACTAGTTCCCGTGTCCCTGCATCCCACAGCCAAACAGTGCGATCCGAAGAACCAGTGATGATGCGAGTGCCGTCCGGCGAGAACGAGACCGAGGTAACTAAAGAAGCGTGCCCCTGCAAGGGCTCACCAACTGGCTCCCCTGTCCTTGCATTCCACAGCCGAACAGTGTTATCCTGCGAACCACTGACGATGCGAGTGCCGTCCGGCGAGAACGAGACCGAGGTAACTAAATCAGTGTGCCCCCACAAGGGCTCACCCACTGGCTCCCCCGTCCCTGCATCCCACAGCCGAACAGTGCGATCCTGCGAACCACTGACGATGCGAGTGCCATCGGGCGAGAACGAGACCGACCGAACTGGATTAGTGTGCCCACGCAAGGGCTCACCGACTGGCTCCCCCGTCCCTGCATCCCACAGCCGAACAGTCCGATCCTGCGAACCAGTGACGATGCGAGTGCCGTCCGGCGAGAACGAGACCGAGGTAACTAAATCAGTGTGCCCCCACAAGGGCTCACCCACTGGCTCCCCCGTCCCTGCATCCCACAGCCGAACAGTCCGATCCTGCGAACCAGTGACGATGCGAGTGCCATCCCACGAGAACGAGACCGACAGAACTGAAAGAGTGTGTCCGCGCCAGGGCTTACCAACTGGTTCCCCCGTCCCTACATCCCACAGCCTAACAGTCCTATCCCAAGAACCACTGACGATGCGAGTGCCATCTGGGGAGAATGAGACCGAGGTAACTAAATCAGTGTGCCCCCGCAAGGGCCCACCCACTGGCTCCCCCGTCCCTGCATCCCACAGCCGAACAGTCTGATCCCAAGAACCAGTGACGATGCGAGTGCCGTCCGGCGAGAACGAGACCGAGTTAACTGGACCAGTGTGCCCCCTGAGCACGTTCTGAACAGCCGGCCAGTTTATATCACGTCCAGATGCCACACGAAGGGTATTCGGAAACCGTGCAGAAAACTTTCTCGATAGCGGAGAGTTGGCAGGCGAGAATGAGAGTGCTGATACATACAGATGTGGTGTGCTGTGTAAAATCATCCCGCCGAAGACTTGAATGAACCTCTGTACGTCCATTGCAGTCGACGAGACATCTTTGAATTTCGGATGGCCCTGTGCTTGCCCATGAGCCATTTATTCTGACCCCTAGTAGTATTGTGCTCACCTTCAGCCACTGGGCAATGGACGGAAGGGCACCGACTGCACCGCTGAGCGCATTGGTCAAGGCGAGTGACTCCAGCCAGGAAAACACCCGCTCGTTGTCGAAGAACTGTGTCACTTCTTTCGCGAGTTCCTTGTCGAAGGCTGTGGATCGTACGTGCGACATCCAAAATCGAGATGAATATGACAGATGTGGGGAGATGCATTTTTTAATTCGTTCTTGTAACCCGGGATCTTCGCTATTAGGTAGATACGACGACTTTAGAGCACAGATATTGAAGCGAAGACCGTGTTCCATCACTCGAAGTGACGCGAATGCAAGGTCGCCTTGCGCCTTTGACAGGTCGATGAAAAATTCTTTACTGGATTCTTTGTCCGTCAAGAAATCATTGAAGGACGCGTGGAGGGGTCGGATTGGGAAATCTGGGTTGGTGGTGCCGCTGAGGAGGGAGCCCAAGCTTTTTACCACAAGCTCCACGTCGAATTGATCCTCTTCGTTTGGAAAATGGGATCTCACGGCTTTCAGAGAAGCTAAAGGAAGGGGTTCAGCTGTGCCTAGTATTTGTCCCATCACTGAGCGAAATCTCGCTAGCTTCTTCAAACGCAGTTTCGGCGGATCCGGAGATGTATCCCTGGGTATGATATTTGTTAAGATCAGGTCATACATGTTGTGCAACAGCTTGCTTCTCTCAGCAGGATTGCGTGACACCACAGCCTCGTAGTAATCCTTTGGAGATACCATATCGGACTCTTTGATGTATCCGCAGGCGAGACGCGCCCACTCGAAAAGTCCATCGGCTTTCTCAGCGAGGACTGCGAACTCTCCGTTCTGGAAATCCAACCCTTCCAACTCCTTGGATACGTAAGCATGGATGTCGCGCTTTGCAAATTCTCGTGGAATACCATCCATCGACATCTGTCGAATATGCTGAACACCACGGAACTTGTCTTCGATATCATCAAGTGGGCGAGAGGTAACGATGAAGCGGAAGTTGCCAGGAAGGTCTGTGATTTTTGGAACGTCAGGGTTTGGATGTTTGCCAGCTAGAATACGGAGGAGGTCCATTCGTGTCTTTACTCCGCCGCTCTCGTCCAGTGCATCGATCACGATCACGATGGGTCCCACAATTGACCCAAATGACTTCCTCAGTGGTTCGACAAGAAGGCTCTGCCACTGCTGGATGATATCCGCTGTATTCTTGAGCGAATTCGCGGTCTTGACAGCATCTGCTAATGCCCGCCTCATCTCCGGATCACGGTCAGCCAGGTCGCGCGCAATCGTGGAAAAGATCTTTTCATGGCGACCATCGACTCCTCGGTCAAAACAGTAACAGGAACCAAGCCCTCCCACCTCTTTGAACCACTTAGAAATGGTGTGGGCGATGGCCGATTTGCCCTTGCCCGCAGGGCCAGATAGCCACAGCACGCGTGGAACGTCATCCCCAGTGCTGTTGACCCATTCCGTGATCTGGGAAAGGATTTCTGTGCGCGTCCCTTGAAGGCATTCTTTTCTGGTATCTAGTCCCGCGCGATCTGCATAGGTCATGCCGCTGAGGTCCAATGTTTCTTCTGAAAAGGTGTGAATATATGTGAAGTCACAAAGGCGTCCGAACCCTTACCCATACGATGGACGTGTATGACTATGTCATGGACGTGTGTGCTGATGTCGTGAACACCTATGGCTACGTCGCGAGCAACCTGGTCCCGGAAGTTTTGCATGAGCCTATCAAACACGTCATTGTAGTTTTTGATCGTATCATCTGTTTCCGAGACGACGTCCTTTCCAAGTCTCTTCCCTGTAATTATAGTAGAAGTTTGAGACGGTAAGGAGGGCGACAGCTTGTTAAGACTCACAAAAGTTCTTTGTCTTCGAATAATTTGTGATAAATCGAGCACATTCACGAGTCTGCTGAGAAATCTTTCCAAGGATAGCGTGTATCGACAAAAGTTGCTTAAGCTTCTCGTCTTGCGTCATGAAGTCGTAAATTTCAGATAACTTCTTGAGGAGTTCGAGTACCGCTGCGTCGCGATCCATTTGAGCTAGAATAATCTGTGCAAATGATTGCTGAGCGGTGGGAGATAGGAAGAGATAAAGAGAAAACACACTTTGGCTGCAAAAGACAAGACGCCCAGTGCCATTTTTGCATATGGATGTACCTGTGGAACTAGATTAGTTTGGTTCTGATGGAGAGGAGGGCCTGCACACATTCGCAATATTTTCGATAACAGTATCGAATATCTTGAGGGGTTTGAGATATGTGTCCTGGAAGCTGTCAATAGCATCGAGATCTTCTGGTGTGTCTTGAACATGAGAAACCACGGATGTCACAGTCCCCGAAAGTGGATGCATGGGTGTTGTAGCCTGTTGTGCATCCCGAAGTGCCAATTGGGTAGTATCAGCCTCCACTTCCACACCAGACGGACCCGCTTGAACCTGTGTGACCACCAGAATTTAGAGAGAGCACAGAGATTGCAGGACAAGTATGTAAACTTACCTCGAGATTCGGAGTCGATGAAGCACGTTCATGATTGACATTCAGGGGAACTAGGGCTGCTGCCGCGGGAATCCTTCAAGCGCTTATGGAAAATCTTAGTCATATTCCAGGACACTCATTATAATGCTCGTGGACTCACCGAGATCCTTAACTTTCTCTTGATCTTCTGCAGAAGCCGACCGACTCTTCCACGAGGTCGGTGCTAGACGAAGGATGCGTCAGTGTTTGGAATGGAGTGGACTGAGTGATCCTCATCAGTCACGTACCGAGCCTCCACGAGCTGTTACTTCGCTAGTTGTGTGAGTCGAATCCGTATGAGTCGATGAGTTGCCTTTTCTCATTGTGAATAGCGGTTGAAGCGAAGCAAGATGATGAGAAGGGACCTACATCATTTATATGAAATAATAGGACATTATTAGTACGAGCCTCGAGGCATCACAACTGTTGGGTAGAATAGAATAATCTAATCGTCCAATTGACTTGTGGTACTCCAAGAATACAGCTGATCGGTACCAAGATCAAGCTTTCAGTGAGTGGCCGTGTTATCTAAGGTTTTTATGTTATAATAATTCCTTCCATCTTTCCTCATTCAGCGAGGTTCCATGCAGTTCACACACTTCTCCTCGTCGCACCCACCGATCACCCACTGCCTCCAGCGTATCATCGATGCACTCCCGTCAATCGGGCAGATACAAAAGGCAGACGACTCCACCATCTTTAACAATTGAAGGTGCAAAAGTCCAACACCATCAGGTATTCATGTGTCCCAGGCTCTCTAGATCAGACACCATTAATATTAATGGTACTCAAAACAAAATTTGAACCTTTGAAAACTCGCTTAAACACCAGCTAAACGCGACAGACTCCCGGTTAAAGCTTCAACGAACTCAGCCTCGATGCACCTCAATTCAAAGTCGGGCAAGTACCGCAAGGCAGAGTTGGAAACGCCGTGCCTCCTAATACTTGTCAATTTGTCCGCTATTCTGCAAGACTTCGAGCTGACGCTCAAGTGTGCTCGAAGGCGATGGACCCTGCAGCATCCTCCACACCCGGAGTGCTCTGTTCGCCGTGCTCCAACCCAGCCCAATCCAAACGTTGACGGGTCGATCGGGCTTCTGGTTGGGATTGATATTGGTGTTTGAAACCAGCGACTCAGCGTCGTGTCGTTGTCCAATTGCCGGTTTAGTGGACTAGCTTGTACAAGAAACCGAGGCTTGAGGTGTCTCCCACGACCAGGAAGATGGTAATATACATGTGATTGACGTCGCCACTAGTGATGCAAGTTCCGAGCGGATATTTTAAAGCTATGTACTAAGCGCGTTGAGAACGGTACTCACACGTAGTTGAGTAGAGCAGTATTGTACGTCGCTCACCCGGCACTGTGGTTAGCGTGCATATCAAAAGGGTAACACCACAGTGAAGACGAGGAAGAACACTAGTTATCCTGAGAGATTTACCCTTGGCAAGGTAAAACTCCTCTGATAAATTGACATAACATGGGACGGATAGTACTGCACTGTGCAGACGTTAAAAAGAAAGTAGGCTGGAACACACGCCTTGTCACCGTTCATGAAGAGCGGCGGGCGAGGCAAAAAGGAGGCAAAAGGTAAAACATAACCCTGCCAAGGTGGTTCAAGTTGAAACCGATCGATCAACCGAGACGTCCAAAGGTCAACCAAATTTGAGCCAAATACTCCCAAACAACCCAAACTCTAATCGAATTCGAAATTCCTCCAGCACAATAATACAACGCGCTCAAACGTATACTTAGCGCGCAGTAAATCAGGTCAAGATAGTCGTCAAGGGGGCTAGGAAACTTTTGAAATTTGGATGCAGTGAGCGTAGATACGGGAACGGGTATGGGAGATAAGACTCTATGGGTGTAACCCGAGTGACTCGGACACGCGGTAGGCTATAGCACAGCGTAGACATGGCATGAGTCGGCATAACCTCGCCTGGGATGAGTTCTCATATGTGTGGAAGCTTGTGTTATATTTATGCGTGTAAGGTCTTTTCTTTCCCTCGTTCATATCATCATTTAAAGCTCGGATCGACAAAAGCATACCTAAAGCTCAACGTTCGCCATGGACGCAACAGACACAGATCCCTCTATCAAAGTCAAAGTATCCCCAACCCAGAGTGCATACTTTGCAGGCGAACCATTCACCGTCGCAATCACATTCACTAATACCCGCCCAAACAATACAACACCCATCTCAGCAGTGTCAGCACCTGCACCAGTTCAGAAATCACACAGGCGAAATGCGCATTCTATAAGTTCTGCCCCGCTTGCAAGGCCTCCTACGTCTCCTGGCTTGAGCCCACGTCCACCAGATTTCGTTAGAGCGCTTGGAATTGGCATTGGTGAAGAGGGAAGGAAGGGTTTAATTGGAGCAGTTGATGGGAAGGGGAAAGGCAAGGAAGTGCTTGAAGCCAGCCGTAGTGCATTGGAAAAGGCCAAGCGCAGTGCTAGCGTGGATATTCCTGCTAGTGAAGAGTATGTACAAGCTTATGAAGTAGATTCAGGTGAGTCCTTCATCCTCTTCCATCTGACTAGTTCTGAGTGATCGCAGTAACACCACGCACGACCTTCCCCATACCCCAGAACCACCCGCACGCACGCAAACAATCAGTATTTGACGGTCACCTCCAGTTAACTGAAGTACAGCCCCCCTTGAGCACATCTACATCAACGCTAGACCCAATCGCAGAAACGCCCGCTCCCCTCACCCATTCATACCCCCCTCGCAAACAACCACACCAGGCACTTGGCCATGGTCACCCACCCATCCCAATCCCTCATTCTAACACCACCAAGCCCCTCCCCCCAAACACAACACTCCTCCTCTACTCATACGCCCAACTCTCAGGAACAGCACACGTCCTCCCACAAACTACACCGGCAGCCGTATCCAACCTCCGCGCACATCTCCTCAAAAGGCCCGTTTTGGGAGGGGGAAGCATGGATATCGCCCGTACACGCAGGCCTCATTCGCGTTCTACTAGTCTTACAGGTTCCCTATTGAATTTATTGAGTCCTTCCAGTTACACTCCTTCAGTCGGGAGATCAAGAGCCCCTTCTCTCACTTCCCAAAGCGATGCGTCTAGTGCAGGCGTTGGTTTGGGGCTGGGTTTGAGTGTCGGAGCAGCTAATTCCGTGGAAGGAGAAGAAGAAGAGGTTCCACTCCCTGTATTCGAAGTACAACCTGCCATGCTGGCTGTCGATCTCGCCTTGAGTCCAGGAGAAAGTAGGACTTGTGAGTGCCCCAACTCTTCTTCGTATAATCGCGCTGACGCACAATAGACACATACACGCTCCCCCTCCCCTCAACCCTCCCTCCTACATTCAGAGGCCGCATGATCCGCTTCTCATACGAACTTGTAGTCGGTACGTGCCGGAGGGGCGATAGTAGCGGAGGTACCGCCACTTCTGTCGGCGTGACAGTGAGCAGAGTAATGAAAGTCCCTATCAGGGTGTATAACTGGGTCAGCGGTGAGTCTATCCCTCCCAACCTTGGTCCTCCGACTCTAATCAGTTGATACAGTCAGCAAACCACAACGCCCCTACGACCTCCTTCTCCCCGTGCGTACACGCGGCGGCGGCAAAGTCATAGATCTAGGCAGCGCGAGTGGAGACGCAAAGAAAGGCTTGTCCTCTTCCTCGTCGACACCTTGTATGTCCTCTTATCTTTTACGAATCACATAATTGAATTGGGGATAGCACCGACTACATCACCCTGTGGCTCCCTTGACGACCTCCGCGCCTATGGTGAGAGGCTACTCGAGACATTCCCTGCGGAGGGGTCGACGGGCGTGAGGATTAAAGAGCCTGCTGAAAGCGTGCCTGAGAGTGTACCTTCCTCTTCCTCCTCCGGGCTTGCTTCTGGGAGTGGGAGTCAGGCAGTTCTGGATCCTCTCAGGGCATTCGAAATAGAAAGAGAGAAAGAAGGAGGGGAGGGAGAACTAACAGGATGTCGAGAAGCTGTCGAGATTTTGACTCGAAATCCCAAAAAAGGCACGTCCCGGCGTTTATCATTTTTTTGCAGACTACTAACGGCCCGTCAGTCTCGTACGATGTGACAAAAGACGATGTCAAAGTCGCTGTTCTCACATTCACAAAGAGTGCGTATAGGCTTGGGGAGACTGTTTTGGGCGTTGTGGAGATTAATGAGCGGGGAGGACGGGGGAAGGTGATCTCGGTGAGTAATGTGTTCTTCATTCTATGTTTTCCGCATCGGCTTTCTATATCGGCTTATCATTTTCGATTATTTTGCTGACATACATCGTAGCTAAGCGCAACGCTAGAAACGAACGAAAGCCTCCCAGCCTCTCTAGGGACCACGAACACAAGTACAAGCACCGCGCGCCGCATCCACGCAGAACACCATGCCTCATTCACAGGCAGCACCCTTCGCACCACATTTGCACTTGATATACCCAGTGACGCATGTCCCGGATTCGGAATTGTCTGTTCATCTCTTCCCTTACTTGGGAACGGCCATATTAACGGGTCCGTGTCTGGGAACGGTACCGGATCTGGACCTGGGAAGGCAGGGGGATTAACGTGGAAAGTGCACCTGACACTACTAGTAGGTGTGACAACGCCGAACGCACGCGTGCGTGGGTTGACGAGGGATGGAACACCTACTGCATGGGGAAGTGCGTGGCGTGCCCCTGCGGGGATTGCTCCTGAACAGCAAGAAGCGCCTGTTTCACCTGGGAGCACTGCGAAGGAGGTCAGCAAACAACCTCAGCAGCAACAGAGCTGGGCTTCGTACCTCATGAGCTCGTTCCTTGGGACTGGGGAGAAGGAGTACCATGATGGGGATGATATTGATGATGATGAGGTTCCTGCTCAGAATGGGGATTCAGAGGGTGATTGGAGGGATGTGCAAGTTGAGATTGTGGAGTGTGAAGTGCCGGTGGTTGTTTGGCCCGGGAACACGGCGTTCAGCGCTGTAGATGTTGTATTCGAGGTTTGACCTTACTCCTCTACGATCGAGATCATGATCTAGATTCCGCGGAAGGATCCGTACGCCCCACGGGGCCTTTGTGTGTCGGCGGTGGAATATTTATCGAAAGGTTTTTCTTTGTTTGTATGTATGTTATTATTTTAATTTAAAAAAATGGCGTTCGTGATCGAGCTCGTGACCCATGATGGTGCGAACCCGAGACTCAACGACCTTTGCTTTTAACTTCATCTTGGTTCTTTTTTCAGTTACAGTGTTTAGAGCATACTAGAGAGGGTGAGTGAGTTTCAGTCTTCATCATGAAATTGTCGTTCAAATGGAGGATTTTGAAGTGATAGAAACTAATTGGTGAAAGTGCCGCCAGCTGTCGTAGGAACCCGCCAGCTAGCTGTTCTCGCCACCGCCAGCTGTCATGCACAATCTGCCCGAAGAGCACGACTTTAATCGCAGACATCGGTTCCTTGACCCAGACCCAAATAATTCTGGTCGGGAACGAGCAACAAGCCAACCACCAAGAGCAAACCTAACAAGTCTACGCAATCAAAACTCTCCTTCATCTTCACCTTCTTCCTCATCATCTCCCTGGTCACCACGCATGCTCCAACAACCAACTCGTACAACGACAACACCAACAACATCAACAGGTCTCCCAATGAACGTACCAACTCGTAGCTCCTCCTTCTCAAACCCCCAATCAAACTATAGCTCCGCACTCCGCGAATCCCACTTTGAATCTACGTTCGAAGATGACGAATCAGAAGCACTCTCAGATACCTATGAGCATCATGACGAGGACCGCTACCTACCCACTTCGTCCCGTGGTCGTTCCTACGCCCCCGATCTCACCCGCAGCCGCTCTCAAAGCCTCGCTACCACCACCACCCGCCCCACCTTAATCCAAACCCCATATCAGCATTCCAACCCATGGGCAGACGCAGCTAACAATAACAACACAAACCCTCTCAATATTCCAGCTGCTAGGTATGGAGAGATCAAACCACCTGCGTCTAGTCGTTACGGGAGCCTCGGCGCTATGGGCAGGTCCCCGCTCGCCGATAATGGCTATCCGAACAGGAACACCATCGACGTTTCCAATATGAGTCCTTTTGTTCGTGATGTCGGCCAGATCCTCCTAGACGACGGCTCTGCATTCCGAGAACTCTGGGCAGGTATGAATCCTCCAAAAGACGAGAATGGCGCGGGCGGAAGTGGGACTACTAGTCGGAGACACAGCGTTAGTGTCGTTCAGCCCCGTAGGCCTACTATCGTGGGGTTTAATGCGCCTGAGAGTCCTGGGGACGAGACACATGGCCATAGTCGTGCTGGCGTGTTTAATGCACAGCCGTTTGGAGGCAGGGGCGGTCTTATGTTTTCAGATGATGATTTAGCTGCTGATCTCGGTGTACTGAGCCTGAAAGAGTCCGGTGCGCCGTCTAGCTCGTCAACCACGAGCCAGCCGTCTTCCCTCCCCATCTACCCACGCAGCCCTCCCTCTGCAGACCGCGTATCCCCCTACCACCTCAACATCCCGTCTGGCACGAGCTTCGCATCCCGCCAACAATTCGGGTCTCCAAGCGACAGTGCGCTTTCTACGGGTGGAAGTCCCCCTCGGGGACATTTTGACCAGCAGATTTTGGAGGCGCAGTATACTCAGCAGCCCCTTACGGCGCGGTTCATCCCAGGGCAGGGTATCCAGTACCTCCCTGCGCAGAACAACGGCGCTGGGTTTGCGCGCCAAGGCCCGCTCTCACCTACTACCTCCCGCCCTATCCAACCTCAACAAGGCCCGTACTATCACCAAATCCAACGACGCCTCTCCGATGCGAGTCAAACTCAGCAAACGCCCTTGAGCGACTTAGGGAAAGGACTCCCTCTAAGCAGCGTCCCAGCCTCCTGGCCGCTCTTCATTGTCGAATTCAAAGCAGGACGTACGGACCTCTTCTATCTCACTGATTTGAGCCAAGATATCAGAGTCGGGGATTTGGTGATCGTTGAAGCGGATAGAGGGAAGGATTTGGGCAAGGTTGTTAATGATAGTATTACGCTTAAGGAGGTGGAGGCGTTTCAGAGGGAGGTCAGGGAGAGAGAGGCGGGGGAAGTGATGAGTCCTGGTGGGGTTGGTGCGAGTGCTGCTGGGACGGGGAAGAAGGAGATTAATCCAAAGATGATTTATGGGAAGGCGCAGGCTCATGATACTCAGTGCGTCTTTCTTTTTGGTTTTTTGGACGAGTGTTGATTGATGAGGGGGCGACAGGCATTTAGTGACGAAGATGCAAGATGAAGTTAAAGCGCTGCAATTGTGTCAGAGTAAAGTTCGGCAGAAGAAACTTCCTATGGAGGTTATTGATGCGGAATATCAGTGGTGCGTTTTGTTTTGGCATTTTGCGCAAGAGGGTACGGGGGGACTGATGGATCGTAGGGATCGACGTAAACTCACGTTCTACTTTATCGCTGAAAAACGAATTGATTTTAGGGAGCTTGTCCGGGAGTTGTTCCGGTGTGTCTTTTTTCCCTAGCTGTGCTATGCCTGTGTCTATGCTTTGCTTGATGTGCATGTGTTTACTCGCTCGCTTGCTAACGAATTAATTACAGGTTGTATAAAACAAGGATCTGGATGGCCTCTTTACAAGGCCCAGGAGGGTACGAGCAGTAATTGCTCCCCTTACATCTATACAAGTAACGACGAAAGAGGAGAGGATCAGAACGGAATCCTAATCCCAAAAACGCCCAACTACAAACCACCCAAACGCAAACTATTACGATCACATGACGCCAGCCAATCTCACGAAATGTATGTATGTATGGTATGATCTAGATATGCAATATCCACGCTCTTCGTCGCACATCTAGAACCTTTTTGTTCATCCTTTCATTTGTTTCAAGTTCAAGCTATTTATGAACAGTGTTCGTTCATGTTCTGGTTTTTCTTTGGTTTTGTATCGTATTTTGTCGTGTGTACGTTAGTGTGTTGGGAGATGGGGATGGAGAATGGCCCTGACGCCTTGTATTAGTATCGTACATCAATCTAAAATATATATTATGGTGCTCAGGGCGGGAATCCTAAATGAAAATGTGTACGGTACATCCGCGTGTATGTCCAGGGGTGAGCCTATGAAGGATCGGGATCACCATCAGCGTTCATGATTGCAATCACGAGTTGCACAATCAAGAATTTTGAGCTGTTAAGTTAATGGTTGATCCGCCTGCAGCTCAACTTCGAAGATTGATCCGGTGCCAACTCAAAGACGGAAGCCGGCTCATACCGCCATCATCTAACTCGCAGCCAACTCGTTCGCTTTTCGCTCAGCCGTGACTACAAATTGCAAATATAACGCATCAGCAAGACTTGACGATATAGATATGGATCATCACGCACCCCAAGCACGTCTATCCATAGGACACTGCTGTTTCGAAGCAGCCGTTCCTAGCCATTTGAGCAAGCAGTGCATATGAAATACGTGGCTGCATTCGCCCCAGACTGTTGTTACAGAGGGTTAGATGGGGGTAGTTGTTAGTTGTCGCGATTCTCTTAAAGGAAAGTAAAGGAAAGTAAGGTAGAAGGGGAAACGTGATAAGTGGAATAAATGCACGATGCACGACTCACGACCAACAACCAAACGCACAAAGGAACAGAACTATCACTCACTCAAAGGACAATCATCCCCCGGCATCTTACACGATGGACAACACCCCTCAAACGGGACGCGACAGATCCCACAGACGTCGCCTTCATCGTCTTGATCGTGGTTTACGTTTCCTGTGTTCCAGCGCCATTGAGCGACGGCGCTCCAGTGTTTGATGTGGACTTTCATTGATTGGTATGCGTTTGCGTGGTGTGTGGTCGATGACGAGTTTGTAGGAGCGCGTTGCGATGAGGAGGGTTTGGGGTTATTTGGTGTTGTGTACGCGTTGTGGGTATTTATAACAAGTCCGTTGTCTTGACTTTCACCTTGAACCACTCATCGCACATATACACATCCTTGAATAACGCTGATCCAGTATTTATGGTGAAGGCATTTGAATCAACTGATTTCTGATCTATAGATACGAAGAGCATCTATATGGGGGAGATTGGACAACTGGTCTACGTCCTGTCTTCATGAAGCTTGATCAATCCTTTTGGACTTGATCAGCATTCTTGAAGGCACGAGGACGCATCTAGGATAGTTCATTACGCAGTGGTGCTCGGGTTTGTATCTCGCTCTGGTATCTAACTTCATGTAACCATCGTGTGCTCTGCTAGCAAGCTTCATGATCAGTGACACGAGCTAGATACAGTCACGCAACTTTGGCTCAGCCTATATCGCCCATTAGCTGCAATGCGCGCCATAGGTTGAATCAAGATCGGATCTGCCCAAGCACCTCTTTTGTGGCGATGGTGACACACTTAGACATGTGTCGTTCAAAAGGTCTGCTGTTGCTTGAAGTTTGTGTTACTTCTGTTTTCCAGCACCATTGCACGATAACGGTCTACTGTTCTCACTGATGTTGGTTTATATGGTACGTGCATGCCGCTGTTATGTATGTATGGCATACATTAATCCTAATCACGCAGGCAGTTATGCACTGTGAAGGGTACGAACTCTGGAAGGAGCTAGAGCGTGGTTTCTCGTGCGAGCATGAAGTCGTTCAAAGGACTTGATTGTACCTTGCGTTCCTGCTTCCGGTATTCAGATCTAGTTGGTTGCAAGTTGCAAGACCCAAACACATGATCTCAGCCTGCTACTTTGTACGAGTGTAGGTTGCTAGTGCTAGCAGTGATGATAACATGATATCGGTTCGTCTAGATCTGACAATCGGTCCTCATATCGATGACACCATCTCACGACACAGCAACCATAAGGTTCGCCTTGCGCTTACTGCACAATAAGTCAATTAAAGGTAGACATCGTCTTAATGTTCTTTGAGGTTGGTCCGAGTTTAACGATCATATTCTAGTACATATGACTTATGAATTCAATTTTTTCTACAACCCGCAACACCTGTGCTGGTATCTTGTAATGATGCCAACGCAAACGAAATCAAGATCAGAGCAACCTCAAGGTGCCAGCTATCTTGCACGTGAATAGTAGTATTGGCTCCTCGCTGATACGAGAACATGCATCGATATGCCAAGAGATGGGTGGCAGGCTACGGTCCGTTATCCGTGGAAAAAGCGCATCACATGTATAATCACATTTTCGACTCGGCATATTTCAGTCTCGACCCACACCAACACCACAGGCCATGTCCTCCGCGACCGTTCCCATCACTCTCAAAGTCTACCTATAGCGCCCACCAATCTGGTGGCCTGTTCATGCCAGCCACACTCTACCACTAATCGTCGATGTTCTTCTCACCAAAGGTCACCCCTCCCTGTCTCGAAGTCGCCATCACGTCCACAACCTGACATCAAGCAGCAGACGCTCAACTCCTGTTCTATCGCTGGTGTTGGTGCCGGTGCCTGCGTGTCCGCTCCTAGATGTGTCGGTGTCGCCGTTTTATGTTTGGTGTGCGATGCTCAGACGTCTGGATTCCTTCAAATCCCCCGACTCCCCAGAGGCGCTGGGTCTCAGCTAAAGAAAGGACGCAGGAACATTCATTAAGTACGCCTCGCATCATTAAGCTACGCATGCACGAACGTGCCTCGCGCACTTTGTAATCATCTTGAATGAATCTTCTGTAAGCTAGTTGGCGTGAGTCAGGTGAGAAGACGAGGATGGGACGTTGAATGAGGCAAGAAGATGAACCGAGGATGGATTGGTAAGGAACTGCGTGTTGCATGAGTTGGCTCTTGCGTGCCCATTTGCCCAAGCAATCATAGGGATGATTGTCATCACACAGAGAAAAGGACCAGTGGTTGGCGCGGGGCAGTAGAGATATCTAGTATATTGATTTAAACATTGTCAGGACCTATAGCTACTTACATGCACTTGGATAAATAGTACGACGACCCAGACTTATATCTCCTTCACAAGGGTCCGTTTCGCAAAACCACATAACTTCAATCAACACCAAGACGAAAATGAGACTGAATATTTCCTGCTGCTCCTGGGAGAGCATTGGACAACCGTTAGCTCCACCGAGCATCTCCCGTGCTATACACCATTGCCAGTCGACATGTGCACGCGCTCCTGGAAAGCGATTGAGGTCATGGCAGTTGCTGCGTCAGAGTCAGTCACGAGCTTAGCGTGAAATTCTCGAACGCCAAGGATCAGGCGTGGTCCTAGCACAAACATCTGCACGACCGTGAAAATCTGAAGGAAGCCATAATAAACCTGAATTTCAGGGGAAAATTGGTTCTATAGAAAAGATGAATCGTGGCGGCATGCAGGGGTCAAAAATTGACATACCAGTCGTGAATGTTGGAGAAAACACAATAAGCTGGAAGCAAGAGATGGCAACAGAGCTGGCACGTCCAATTCTTTAGCGAAAACGGGAACCATATTCACAATATGAGCTCACATCGCAAAGTAAAGCATATGAGTTTTTATCAACACCGCGAAACAGTCCCACATAGCCCCTCCTGTTGAATTTTGTCGGAGTCCACGGAAATGTGTGATAGCAACCCAAACTGCGAGACATAGTGTGAGGACCTCCCACACAGTGGAGAGTATCCAACCAATGGAACCCAGAAGTGCTATATCTTCCGCGTAGCCAACCGAGCACTGATAAGTGCCGGAGAGTATGAGTTGCTCTGGTATTCATCAATGAGCCCCATGTACATTTTTTGTCATCCACAATTAAGCGTACCCCCTGAAGCATTAGTCGACATCATTATGGCTCCCACTCCATTGAAAATTTCAATAGCCAAGAATGTGACAGTGAGAAGTATCAGGATCTTTCTGGATCGTTGATACATGGCATACAACCGAGTGATCATGATGACTAGCGGCATGTTTGAGTCAAGTCAATATCACTGAGGTCTCACGAGTGCCAAGCTCACCCCACAGCATTGTATATGCCAACATACCTATCCAACTCCATACAACATACACAATCCAACCTGACGAATGCCGTTAGTGATCAGTCTCGGGTATCACACACTCCAAACAGACTCACATCTGTGGCAATATGGCGTGGCAGTCATTAGTGAACCAAGAAGTCAGGAAAGGACCACACCCACTCCTACAGGGCACCACGGTTAATCGGACGGGAATAGCAAGCATCTAGGCAGAAAGCTCACTGTATCTGTCAGCGAGATGGTCGGAACACTGACTATATGCCGTTAGTCAGAAGAAGCAAAGACAGAGAATATACTAAGAAGACGTACTCAGCATGTACAGGCTGATTATAAGAGATAGACGATTAGCACAGTGCCAATTGTTTAGCCTTCTGAACATACCCAGCATATAAGATTCCAATGTAGCGCACCTAGGATGCTTTCAAGTCAGTACTACATGACAACCATGACAGACAAGTGAAGCCACATACACTTAGATACAGAACTGTCATTAGGGACCAGTGTTGCCTCTGGAATTAAGCGTATTTTCGCGTGGGTTCTTCTAACATGAGACTACTTACCCAGATCAATTCGACCTAGAAAACCATTCTTAGCAAGCTGACCGCTCTAGTTATAGCATTGACATACCTCTTGTCCGAATGTAAGTGCTGAAAATATTTGTAAGATATCAGCAGTTCTTTAATCTTATCATGCTCACCCCAATCATACGCGATTCCAACAGAGGCGGCAACTGTGAAACCATAGCCAAGGTTAGATTGAGACATCAGCCTCAACATCCGACTGCTCTCCACGAACCTACAAAATAGCTGGAAAAACGATATGCATCGATGGTCGGCCACCAAATGGGGTCGTCTGAGACTATAGTCATATTGGTTGAAGTTCGGAGAATGGGGGTGTGGGTGAGAGGTGAATTTGATAGACGTATGGCGATGGCATATATACCCCCAGTGACCTAGTGCTTAAATCACCAAAATGAGATTAAAGATTGAATGATCAAACTGGGTAAAATCAATCCAGAGGCTCGTTGTAAATGCCGATCGTGAGTCATTTGCACAGGCAGAACACAGCTGTGACAGCAGAACACCTGAATCAAACGTAAATGATATGGTGCGCGCCACTTATTAGTCACCGCCACTGCACCCGTAAATTTAGCCTATGGTATTTTATGCTGAGACAACGTCTTTTTGAGTTCTGTATCGATCCTCAAGAGGGATTTCTTATCAGATAAATGCTTCCATGGTTTCATCCAGACCGAGAAGCTTTTAGATTTTGGCCTTGTCTGGTGTAAAATCGGCTAATTAGCTTTAATGAGTTGGCTGGAGTTGCCATTCACGCTGAGAATCCCTGCGCAAAGTGTTTATCTGGCCTCTGCACAAAACTTGTAGTGGTGACTAAGTGACGCGCACCATGGTGGGCATGCCAGGCCAGACCAAAAATAAACCATAAAAGTAGGGGAGATCCACAGACACTCTACTTCTCATGCTTGGGCCATCTGTCGCCTCGTGTGCAGTTATATCATATGGTTACCAACAATGATGAGTACGGAATCTTCGATGAATCGATCTACATCGTGGAGTTGGCGCGATGCCGAAAGGGCATCAGTTTGCACAGCCAGAGATAGCCTAATTGATATACAGTGAAAATACAATTGATATCCCCTTCTTTTAGATCCGAACAGCCATGGGAGAGGACTGTAATATTGAGCTGGCGCGCTGATATGACTGCATGAAGCCTGATTTACTGTTCCTCAAGCTGTACAGGCTGATTTCGTCAAACTTAATTGACGAGCCTCGGCAGGAGAGAAGACGACAACGACAAAATAAAAGACCAATGCCAACAGATAAAAGAGTGCGTGTTGCTTATACAGATTCATGACAGACACTGTACAATGAATCCCTCCCCCACTACTATGGCCTGGGAGTCGGGAATTCATTCAGTTGGATTCATCTGCATCAGTCATCGCATGATTGACCTCACGGTGCTCGGTTAAGGCCGTTGGTTCATGTTGTGTGTGGGCAATTTGAAGAAATAAGCTAGAAACCGTTAAAACATGTCGCTGTGTGCATAAAATGGGGTTGGCCTATAGTCGTGAGTCAACAGTTAATATTTAATCCACATTTCTGGCGTAAGCGCTGAAGATATGGTACCGTGTGTCAAGGTCGCGTCAAAGTAATATCGCTTAACGCCATTTGTTTGGCGTTGTTAGAATCCAAAGCTTTTGCCTTGTGTGTCCTGTTGCCGAAGGGAGTCGTGTGGCCGTTGGTGCCCGTTCAAAAAGTTTTCAAGTACTCATAGCGGCCTGCACTGGAAGAGTCACTTCTCAATCGCGAACTGTGAACTGCATCCACCACCTGCAATGTTCTATAAAGCCATCGTGAAGGGGAAGAGACCCCTTCAGGCGGCGTCTCATGCTATCACGTCTACTGCGAACAGCTCTTCTGCCCTTTTTTCACGCGTCTTTGTGAAGCGTAGAATTAGTCTATCGGGAACTGTGCGTACACTCAAGCAGGGTGCATTGAGACGATCGCTTTCGACTAGAAGCAGCATTCCTCCAGAGACTACACCACCGCCATTGCCAAGCTCGCATGGCGTTCCGCTCTACAGTATGCCCTTTCGTGAATAAGAGAGCATATGCATATCTGACCTTGCTGAATGTAGGACGTATTATGTTGGCGTGGACGAAAACTCCAACAAAATGGTACCCGCTTCCCTTGGCCGTTGGGGCCATCCTCCTCGTCGTCATCCAATACCGCAAGAAAGTAGCACGTGCAGAGAATGAGGTTCATGTTGATGATGAAGGTCGTGAGATCATCAAACTCAAAGGTCCATGGCATGTGCGTGTCACCGATTAGTTATTGAACCACGTTTGTTAAACTGGTCTCGTGCAGGTCCACGTAATAGGCGCTCTTCCTCTCCGAAACATGTCGCGCATCTGGGGTTACATGAACTCACTCGAGCTGCCAGTTTGGATACGGCCCTACGGCTTCCGGCTCTATGCATACGTTTTTGGTTGCAACCTTGAGGAAATTGACCCTGATGATCTAACGCAATATGCCAGCCTTGGTCAGTTTTTCTACCGGAAGCTCAAACCTGGTGCCAGGCCCATAGACAACGCTATCCTCGTAAGAGTCTAACTTTATTCGAGAACTTCTATCTCAACTATATTACAGGTCAGTCCCGCCGACGGCACCGGTTTTACATCTCGGAACTATCGAGAATCTTCGAGTGGAGCAAGTCAAGGGAATCACCTACTCATTGGATGCTCTCCTCGGTGTGGATCGTTCAGATCCAGAAAGCCCAACTTCGACGGTAATCGAATTCCCAGACCGAGAAATGTCTCACGTGACAGACCAAGAATTTGCTAATGTGAATGGCATCGAGTATAGCTTAGGACAACTCTTGGGTGCATCCACACCTTCCACTCCGGGTTCCGTGACACCTCCAACCCCCAGAACTCAGTCCGCCTCTGAGGTAGAATCATCTTCCATGCCGAAGAAATTTGGCGAGCAGATTGACGCGTCTGTGGAGCATTCAGGGTCCCTCCAAGAAACTATCGCGCATGATGCCTCCGTCGCTCGCGAAATGGGCCTCAGACCTTCGATTGAGCGAAAGAGAAGCACTTCGGGGACAAGCGTTAAAGAAGGCAATGCACTTTACTTCACTGTCATCTACCTCGCTCCGGGCGATTATCACCGGTTCCACAGCCCCACCGCTTGGGTAGTGGAGAAACGGCGCCACTTCGTTGGTATGTCCTCATGTACATGCTTCGCGTACTGCTAATGGCATGTGACTTCAAGGTGAACTCTTCTCCGTTTCCCCGTGGATGGCAAAGCGGTTGCAAAACCTCTTCGTCCTGAATGAGAGAGTCACCCTTCTCGGTCGGTGGAAATTCGGTTTCTTTGGAATGATCCCCGTTGGCGCCACTAACGTAGGCAGCATCAAGATTAACTTTGACACCGTATGTATTATTCCATTGGTATAGAAGTGTCCTTTATGCTGATATCGCACTCACAGGCTCTTCGCACCAACGTCCGAGGCAGACCCCCTCCTCCCGGAACTTATAACGAGGCCGTCTACTCAGCAGCGTCCCCGATCCTCAACGGCCAACCGTTGACCGCCGGTGAAGAGATGGGCGGATTCTGCTTGGGAAGCACCATCGTGTTGGTTTTCGAAGCCCCAAAGACGTTCGAGTTCACGCTTAAAGCTGGGCAGAAAGTCAAGGTTGGAAACCGCATCGGTGGCATGCCCAATGATTCTGTGGCGGTTCGCAAAGTGAAGATCGACTAGACGTTCCCGAATGCACCCCGCATTGCGGTCCCTTGCCGCAGACGATCTACCTTAACGCATCTTATGACAATGATGAACGTTCATAATACCCTCGCATAAATCACCCGCCCGCTGAAGGCGATAGTTGCAACGATGTGTCATTATGCAGGAACGCAGTACAAGTCCATGTTATACCAATACAACAAGATAAGTCTACATTTAAAGCACGGAAGATACAATGGCTACCAAGATCCCATACTGGGGCTGAGTTTGCTCATCAACGAAACAGAAGTGATCAGTTGACAAGTCAACGTACCCGAATGTTTCTGAGCCCTGTAGCTGGCGAACCGGAGTACCCATACCATCAGCAGTTTTATCAAATACCTTGATAGTGAACGCATTAGTCGTTTGAGCTGGTAGTTCAATGAAGAGCCTACCGTGTTACCCCACCAACGTTGCAAGCTCTCCCCAATCTAGTGAAATTGTTTGGACGCTTTGTTAGCAAGTGTAGCAATTTTTACTTACCGACCCATTTGCCGGATATTGCAATCTATCCAGGTCGGTGAATGACAATTAGAATTGTGATCAAGTGAACTTACACGAAAAATATGAAGATTACAGAAACAGCTAGCCCAGCATCCAGCGCCGCAGACAAGACATCTGCGTAACTCTCGTCATGTGGCGCGAGTACTGTCGTGAATCCACTTACAATTGTATTTTGTCCACCATGCAAAATTGCGCCTGTAAAACTACATCAGAAGGCGCTGCAGATGGCTTCAAACGGGAAACAAACCTTCGTATAACATACTGGAAGATGAAACCTACAAGCCTGCGGTGTATCAGTAAGTCAATGCACCATATGACAACCACTGCGCACGTACGCCCACGGTACATAATTGAGCGCAGAAGCTGGGGGGATCTTGTTGGTACCGTTAAATATTAGTGGGCTATGGTGTACGATGTCATGCTGTCCGAAGGAATGATACCGTGGAACTTACAAACTAGTCAAAGTGTAAACCAGTCAGCAATTGTGATTGAGATAATGACCTACTTCATGTATCGTATAAAACTGTTTGGATACCGCTTCATCGCCAGCCAACCTATGATAGGGCTCACTGCTCCTATGATGAAGAATACTAATACGGCTAGAAGTATGTCTGTAGCGTTTCTGCTGTCAAGCTAGCAAGGGGGACATACAACTGCAAGAGGAAATTCAGTCCTAATGGGATTAAGGGTAGAGTGGCAACTTACTGATATAATTGCCCGGAACTAAACAAACGTTGTGGGCCGATTACACCTGTCCGTCAGAGTAAATTCATCCTTTCCCCGATGCATCAATCTAATGAACGCACCCCAGAAGATGGATGCAGTGCCAAATACTTCCGTGTTAGGACAGGTAAAACTACGCGATGTTGAGTATAGATGTCATACTGAACATTCGAACATACCCGTCTTTTTGAGTGCTACTACATATGTCTCTGCAAGGGGCTCAGCCTCACCAAGCGGTCACCAACATTGACGCTTACGGTATGGTAGAGAACATCCACGATTGAACGCCCAATTGCGTGGTTCCAGCGACTATCGCAGCCACAATCTGGCACCAGAACATTTTTCGAGGAGGGATTTTCATGTAGTGACCGAGTTTGAAGTCGGACGTAAATGTCAGGGCTTGATACATAGTCTACGAGAGTTAATACACCAAAAGAACTGGAGGATGCGCGACACACAATATAGCCGAAGGTCTTGAACAGCATCATTGCTACCGGTTTGCCAGGTAGCGAATATCTGGATAGCAAGCTGTCAGATCCATTGATGCCATGAGCAAGCGTAGACTGACCCGATGATCAGCTCTGTAATTACGCTAGGATATGTCTGAGTTATGAAAGATTCCATCTATATCACGTGACGCACTTCAACCCAATTTGCTGATTGGTGATTGCCTGTATCATACCGCATGGAATCACATAGGTAAATGCTAATGGGCATATGGACGTTCATATAACAACACTTTCACACAGACATCTTGACGACTCACCGATCAAGAGCGCTATGACAAAAGCCCAAACTGGCATCTCTGTAGGCCAAATCTCGATGCTGACGACACCCAATGCAAACATGAAAGCGAATAAGGACATGTACCACCTGGGGTGGGAATTGTATTAAGTTAGAATCCCTGTGTGAGAAGAATTTTTTGACATACCATTCGGGAACTTGTGGGTATCGACTCATAAGGCGAGCATGAATGTCTGCTTGTTCCTCCAGTGACCGTCGCGCTTGATACCAAATTTGCTTCCGAAAATGAATAAAGCAATGGACGATAGTCGCTAAGATATTTCTGTCAATCTGTGTCATAGCTATAGTGCATACTTCCTTACCCGTAATGGAGGCAAACGAGAGACTAATGAAAAGGGGTTTTCTCAACAGAAGCTAAGGTCGATCGCCAATTAGTGAACTTACCTGTAAGACATCACGAACGCCGTTCTGTTATCGAAGTGGGTATATGACTGGAGCTGAGAGCGTGATCACTTACGGAATAAATATTGGACTGTACTCCTGGTATGCTGTCGCGTTGAAAGTGCTTTCTGAAGTCAATATCCGAGCGACATTGTATGTGTTCTGTGTGTTGTCGAAGGAGGTCCTTGACGAAATACTAGCAAGGATTGAGCTGACGTCATGTAGGGAGAGACATTGATTAGACGAACGGCATGTATAGAGAATACCAGGTATTTTTAAACTGCGAAGGAGTCAATTCGTCGGTCGTGAAATCTTTGAGGATCACTGACGTATAATATAGGTGTTATTATCCCTAGGATAATGGTTTAATACTGAGTTCAAATAAATACCTCAGACTCACAATAGAAAACTACAAAGCCAATAATAACGTTCGCCGTTGCCCACCCTAATGTTGACCAGAATTAGACTGAACATTGAAGAGATACTAGGAGGCTCACAAGGCACGGCTAGTGGTGACCCATTGTATCTGGACAACCAAGCTTAGAACGACAATAAAGTAGGAACGACCAAAAGCATACGCAATTTGGGCCCAGTCGAATGTTACCACGGACATTCCCTGATTCAAAATCCTAAGATCATGATAGGGGTCAAATAAACATCAACCTACCATGCCGTGGACGTAGCTAGTTTTCTCAGCGCATGGTACATGATTCTTTAGCGAACAAAAAGACGTACCCAAAGAGCTGTGAAACGACTAGGGGTTCTGCGTGAGTAGCATATCGTGGATCAGTGTCTCGGGACTCACCAGGATCGTCAGGCCAAATCCATGTTACCCAAGAAAACCACGAAAGGGCCTGGACTGTGCAAAAAAAATTGGCAAAACAAGGTCGCTATAGGGAATATATGCCTTACACAAATAACCAGGGAAGAAGTCTAGTACATCAAAAAGTTAAATTAGACAAGAATGGGAGCTGGGGAAAATTCATACACCACAAGAATGCGCTTGTGAAAACATAGACGAAGAAGCGTTCTCGGCTTAAGCCGCCTAATCGTCCAATACCCGCATACTGCTCGGAGTGAAGAGTATTAAAGAGTGCGCAACTGACGAGAGTCGCGGGCCATATCATGCTTGGAGGCGACACAAGAAACCGTCGTGTAATTCCCCCAGTGGAGAAGCCAATTAATTGCGTCGATATCACCAAAAACCACTGATCTGATGAGGAACAGTTCATGAGCATGCGCTCAATCTTGATAAGGCGGCATGGAAGACGAACAACTGAAACTGAATTTCTGATTATAGAAAACTCTTTGCACGGCAATAATGTCTGTCTAATTTTGGTGCTTTGAATGCATGCTTTGTGATACTTCGGGAAGAACTTACTGCATAAGCAGATGTCGCGCCCACCGAAGCCATGATCTATTGTGGGCAGATAGTGATAAAACAAGGCCAATAGGGATTTAAAGGGAGGACCCACTGTTATCAGCACGTGCTCCTTGATAGTGAAAGGACCAGGATTTAGTGAAATCCCCAAGATTTTTTTTCGAGGAAGATAGGCAGCACAAAAGCGGCCTATTGGAAACGAGAGTAGCTGAGCGACTATGCCAGTAATGGGCACGCTGGGATAGCGGAAGAAGAAAAACTGGTTGACGCCAGGCATGATAATTGCCCAGGTTAAGCCTATAACCCATGTACGAAGCGTTGTTGCATGTATGGACGGATCGTCTGTGTTTGCGACAGCGGATCGAACCTCTGGATAGGGCGACTCATCGTCAAATTCTATGCTGCGCGAAGGGTCGAGGTTCGGGTCGTCAAAGTCCGCACTATCATTGATGGAACTCCGAGCCTGTGCAGTCACGGTAAGGTATTTCATTTCAAATTCATGAAGGATGACTGCATAGCGCGCGAAAGGCAGACGTACAGTGAATGCAGAAGCTGAGAGCTCCGTTCGACTTCATAAATATGATCAATAAGGTGTAGTCACATAGCAAACTCACTCGAGCTAAGAGGTTGCACGTGGTCGTCAACCTGTTGATCCTCAGTAACCTCACTCTCGACTAGGTCGGCAGAGTTCTCGGGATTAAACTTTGAGTCGCGTAGTTGCAAAGGGAATGACGGGGATTCAGAGAAGAACTCTGTGGGCATCGTCAAAGGTATGCAGGAGATGGAGAAGAGCGTTTGTTCGATGCAGGCTTGAGAGTTTTCGCACTGGCGGTGTAATTATGGAATTCATTGATAGCATTGGCTACGAGTCTTTATCGGTGGTATTACCTATGCGATTCGGCTCCAGATTCTAGTCGAATCTTCCCACATGGAAAGCACGGGTCGAAAGCTCGAAGCGGGCGGCCGCAAGTGAAGGTATCTGATCATTGAGGTAGCAACAGTCTTACTATACATTCTATTGACTACTGGTACTCGCCAAGTACAACACAAATAAAAGCAATAATACCGATGTGTTGTGATTTCCTTGTGAACAAAATGGCCCTGAGAATCTAGCCAAACCAAGTAGGTGTGCCAGACTCAGATCGATTGCCAGCTCATACCATCATGATCGACCAAAACGAGTTGACGCACTATGTAGGACCTACATTTGTGCCAGTATCCCAGTACCACCAACCCTGGAGATCGCACCATTAGCTGATATCTCTGACTCCCACAAGGTAAACGCTTTGTGGCACGCATTATGACATGTACGGAAGAATGTCCAGTGGCCATGCTGTCGAAGCACTACACCGGGTCCCACATGAGATCGTTTAGCGGTACCTGCAAATCCTTGGCAAGCGCCCCTGCTACCCAAAATGAAATTCCACATTTATACATAGGCGGTCCCTCTAGTTTCTCGACAGCAGTCGTGCGATGTAGGGCACGCATGGACGTAAGCTCAGTGATCTTGGGAATGTAGGGTCAGACGGGATTGACACGGGACAAGGAGTGGCGCTTACAGCGGCGTAAATGTGCACACGCCCCAATTCCATGTCGGTGTACTCCCCTGGAAGCTCAAACCAAGGTTCGTGAGGCCGGTTCTCAACATCGTTCTCCTCCAAGAGAGCGCCAAGAATTGCGAGAAGTCTATCCAGTGGGAATACTACAGGGCCAAGTAGTCTTTGTGAAACCTTTGATTTGCCTTTGAATTACATACAGTGTGAAATGAATATGAATGTACCTTTGCAACAGTTGTCTGCGCCCCAGCCTTCTTTGGCGACGCAGATTTCCGACGTCGCCTTTTCTGCTTATCTGCACCACGACCAAACATTCGCACGTCACTCTTGGCAGGATTTGTCGAAGCGAGGAACGCCGCAAGCAAGATGAACTTGGACATTCGCGGTAGGTGGTCAACGATGATGCTCCCTTCCGTATTTGTTTGACATTGTGCCTCTTCTGATGCTTGCATGTCAGGGTCGTTGGCTAACGCCCAGTCCGTAGCATTGGTCAAGCGTGGATAGAGTACATCGAGTGCTGTCGTCAGAGAAGGGGTGAAGAATTTGAGCAGTCTCATGCGGCCGTCGGAAGCAGGGAGTGTCAGTTCAGTACATGTTCCGTCTGGGTCTGGGTCCCCGTCTCCATGAGCATCACTTTGCTCCCGCAGCACAGGCTTAACAAACCCAGGCCAACGTGCAGCGGCAATATACTGCAGTTCCTGGATATCGGTTGTGTAAAGAGAGCAGACATTGTAGACGTGTTCCACATATTGTTCGTACAACGGCAGCAATGATGGATGGTACGTCTTATCCTGCTTGTCTGCACGTGCATGTGTTATGGACGCGGAACGAAACTCAAAAAGAAGGCTATCAACTGTATCTGAAAGGATGCCAATGACCCTGAGATCACACTAATTGGATACAAATGATTGGATACTTACCCTGTTTGCTTGGGGGGTCGATATCGATGAAATAGGGATCTGGGGATGCACCAAGAGGTGGCTTAATATCTTCCCATCGCGCAGAGGACAGTAAGATAGTCGTTATCTTCACCTGTGACTGTAAGCACATATTGTCAGTCAATGTTCGTCCTTGGAATGTGAGACGCACGGTTTGGTAAAAATGAGACCAGACCACTCACCAATTCTGCGAGACGTGTGAGAGGAACAATAAGGTCCGGGAGGTTGTCCTTCAGCCTTTCGGCTCTCTCGATAAGGAGCACCATCCTCGGTTCCTCATCTGCAGTTCTACCACTTCCTTTAGCCGTTCCTCCCCAGGATTTGTTGCGTAGATTCCGGAGTCCATGTAAAAAGCTATCGATACTGTCGTTGTATCTTTTCCCATCCTCACCAGGCCAATTTTGACATCCATTCTCCCAGGTCACTTCCCATCCTGCGAGCGCGTTGAGTACAGTATCATACAACAACCGCGCTGTAAAGCAAGCGGTTGCGTTTATGTGCGCAAAATGTGTAGGAGAACAGTCTCCACTGTTGCGGTAAATCTGATTAAGCAATGAGGCTGTGATGCGCGGATTGTGGCGGTCGGTAATGTACAAGAACGGAAGGACAAAGGATAATGTAACACTCGTGATATGTGAGGTGAACTTTTCATAGCCAGGAAATTGTTCAGTGAGCCGAGACAGTGAGTTGGTTTCATCTAAGGCCATTGCTATGCAATGAACACTCTGGGAGACGTCCTTCGGTAAATGATGGTTGTTTGATCTTGTTGAATTCAAAGGCTGCTGACATGACCGGCAACCTACCGGCTATCTACCCAAGTCGAACCAGCCTGTCTGACAATTCTCACATGCACACACTAATTTCGGGGATGAATCGCACGAAGGGATAATAAGTATGACCAAGATTGACCAGAGGGATGGAGGGATGGCAGTAATAACTATATATTTATTCTGCAAGTCGGGATGCGACCGTATACTTATATCTGTTGTAGCGGGCTATATTACGCATGCGTGAATATCTCAATCTACCTGGGCCATATAAGCTCTACTAGAGCAGTCAGAGCGGGGCGCTCGAATGGGCACGGACTGCAAGGTAACCCAAGGCCAAACCTCTATGGCGGGAGGCTGCTCCATCGACTACGAGCCAGGACTCCTGCTCCTGCTCCTGCTCCTGCTCCTGCTCCTGCTCCTGCTCCTGCTCCAGGACCCCTGGCACTCCCGACCTTCGCCCCGCTCCAGCGGGCATAGAGGGGGAACATATCTGTCATAGTTCGAGGTTCGAGGCGTATGATCATGATGTTGTCGCGTGATGTGCGAACTGGTCATCTTATTTCCGCAGTGAATGCTGGTATCTGTCCCACGCTGTCCCTGCTTCAAAGACGTTTAAAAGGCCGCAGCGCAAATGAAGACAATTGCATTCACTGGGTATAAATCAAAATATTAATTATTGTTATGCCGTTGTAGACACTGTAACTTCCGTCGCCTTCTCTGAATCAGCATACAACTGAACGACGTCCTGCTCCGGCTTTCCTATTCGTTCATTGTTGGTCATCTCTGTTAAGTCAGATACAGTCCTTGAGAATGCCATGACTGTAGGTATTGTGGGAGTTCGGGTCGACCACTCGTGTGTAACTGCCCGCCCCCGTGCAACACGTATGATGATGAACAATTGGGCAATGCCCTGAAATAACTAGCATCAGAGATGCAGGTAACCCAGATTTTGTTTGCTTACCTGTATTTTTCCAATAGACAGGAAACATAGAGTGGTGATGCCGTTAGAATACATAGCGAAGGCAACTATGAAAACAATAGCGAAGACGGTGTATAACGCAGCGGACTCGACGACCATGAGAGCGATGGTATCGTATGTGGTTGAATCATACTGGGCTATGACCTGCCTCATACGCCCTCGCATGACGAACAAGCGATTTATCACGAGAACAGTATAAATCACGGTGAGCCCTACTTCGACACAGAGGTAGGCAAGCTCTATGATAATGTTGTAAAATGCGACACCAGTGCTCGCCTCGACCAGGACGATGATGGAGAATGCTGCGTAAGATGTCAGTGATTAGTATCACTTGGTGAACGATAGACTGCACCGATCATGGCAACATAGAGTGTGATCATCGGGACCATCACCCATCTTGACCAATTCCATATCACAAAACATCGGTGGAGCTAAGTATTTCAAGCATCAATTTAGAAGCAGACGATCCGAAGCACTATTAGGCTTACGAGTAGAGCTTGCATAAACCACTCCTGAATGTGACCACTAGACGGCGTCAATACTAGAGGTTTGCAGGTGGAAGGGCGATGTCACCTACGTGGCAAGCGCTACAAAGTTGATACGATAACGCATGTAGCCCTTGATTAGCGCGAGCGGACCACCAGGCGCATCACGAAGATCGATCCAAATCATCTCTGTATACCTTGCGTTCATACTAAAGCTTATCGTCCCCAATATGAACGTGATAAAAACGTAGAAAAGAAGCGCGAGGCGATGATCTGCAATTTTCCCCCCATGTCGAGGCCGTTGCATAAGAGCAATCAATGCTTGCACTGTAAGGAGAAAGAACATGCCTATTATAATATATAAGTCAACTCCCGAGGCGTCGCGTGTCGACCGAAAACGTACCGTAGCACACACACAATAACATCATTCCATCCAGGCGAAACCTTTCAATAGAGAGATTCGTCTGCGGGGTGTAGGATGACATGGCCGCAAAATAGTTAACCAAAGGAGGGTTAAGACGAAATAGATGTCTGAGCACTCAGGATGCGCCCTATCCACTGGTAAATGGTGGAGACAACAAGTGGACAGTTGCAAGACACGGGCGGGGAAGATGCAGAGGTTATATGGGGAACCTAAAATAAAGTTTTCGCTAGGGAGACATAAAAAGCGGCGGCCACATGCATGAAGTTGATGTTGAGGATGTCACTCACACAGTGATAAAATTTTGACACGGTGGGACTAAGATAGTGTTAACTGGACGTGAAGCGCTGAAAAGCCTGCTCGATTCCAAATATCGTCATTAATTTTGAGGGCTGCGCAATTATAAACGAATCCAAATTTGTGTTATGATTTATCCACGTGCACACTGCAGAATGAACGACAAAGTGACGGCACAGAGGGGGAAGTTCTTGGAGACTCTGTCACATATGTGACCAGCCTGAGAGGAGTCTGTATGGTGACTTTTGAATGTTTGCGAGGTCACCAATTGCGATGAGACTTGGCACTCACATAGAAAGAAACATGATTACTCACATATAAGCAAAACGATACTATTGCTGGATGTAAATAAGGTGTGCTGATTTTCCTTCGGCGGGGAGTTAACCAGTTTTTGACACGAGGTTACACCTCTAAATACGTCACCGTGATGCTGCATCATCCTGCAGAATGCCGATTTGATACTCGGCAACAATAGGACTCCCACGCCGTCCCAGATCTGGCCCCACGGCGCAGATAACATTCATTTCAGGTATCTATTACGATGTACATATAAACTCAATTATGCAAACCAATTTCACGCTACAAACACTGAAACCTCCTCTGCCTTCTCAGAATCGGCATACAACTGGACACCTCGCTCTGGCTTGCCTATTTGTTCATTGTCGGTTCCCTCTGTAATGTCCGATACAGCCCCTGTGAATGCTATAGCCGTAGTTATTGCAGTGCTTCGAGTCGACCACTCGCGTGTAACTGCCCGTCCCCGTGCAACACGAATAATGATGAACAATTGGGCAATGCCCTAGTCCAATAAAGACAGCTAATGTTAGAAACGGAGGCAACTCAGGTTGGTTTGCTCACCTGAATTTTGCCAATAGACAAGAAGCATAGAGTGATAACACCGTAAGATCGCATACCAAATGCAACTATAAAAATAATAGCGGAGACCGAGTATAACGCTGCAGACTCGATGACCATGAGGGCGATGGCACCATATGTGCTGGAATCATACTGGGCCATAATCTGCTTCATGCGCCCTCGCATGACGAACAAGCGATTCGTCACGAGAATAGTATAAATCACGGTGTGCCCGACTTCGACGCAGAGGTAGGCAAGTTCGATGGGGTTGTTGTAAAATGAACCATCGGTCCCCGCCTGGAACAGGACAGTGATAGACAAACCTACTTGAGATGTTAGTCACCGCTGTTGCTTGGTAAATGAATGATGGACTGCACCGATCATGGCAACATAGAGTGTGATCATTGGGACCATCACCCACCTTTCCCAATTCCATATCACAAAACATCGGTGGAGCTAAGTATTTAGTATTTAAAGCATCAGTGTAGAAGCAGGCGATCCGAAGAACTATTAGGCTCACGAGCAGAGCTTGCATAAACCACTCCTGAATGTGACCACTGGACGGCGTCAATACTAGAGGTCCGCGGGTTGACAGGCAAGGACACCTACGTGGAAAGCGCTATAAAGTTGATACGATAACTCATGTAGCCCTCGATTAGCGCGAGCGGACCACCAGGCGCATCACGAAGATCGATCCAAATCATCTCTGTATACCTTGCGTTCGTAGCAGAGCTTATCGTCCCCAATACGAACGTGATGAAGACATAGAAAAGAAGCGCGAGACGATGATCTGCTATTTTTTCCCCATGTCGAGGCCGCTGCATGAGAGCAATCCAGGCTTGCACTGTAAGGAGAAAGTATACGCCTATTGTAGTACATAAGCCAGCCTCCACATTGTCATACTCGGACAAAAACACACCATAGATTGCACATGCTACCATCATTCCATCAAGGCGAAATCGTTCTATGGACACACTTGTCTGTGGGGTTTGGGATGACATGACACCGAATGTGGTGACAAAACAGAAAAAAAAAGATCAAGCAAGACACCAAGACAAGGTACTTGCTGAGGTGCAAGTGATGAAGAAAACGAGTAGATTTGAGTTAAAGACGAGTTATATAAGAACTCGGGTAAATTCCCTACTATGAGGACAACGAGCCAGATGTCGCACGCATGAGGTTAAGTTGACGTTGACGGTTGGGGGGGATGTCACTCAGACATCAAATTTTGACGTACAGGATCCTGTACATAAGATAACAGGCTGAAGCTGAACTTGAAGGGGTCGGTTTTCCTGAAAGGCTACTTGATCTCGAGCGTCGTAGTCAATTCAAAGCCTGCTCTGTGCTACATGCGGTCGTCGATTTCAAGCTTGTGTTATGGCTCGGTTCTTGTATGCGGATTCTTGCGCATTTAACCTCAACGTCAGCCTCCGTGCCATGTACTTCCGAAGCTTCACGTAGGTGATGCTCTGTGATGGTGCCAATAAGCTTGCCAGGCCCAGCTATAGTAACCCGGGGTAATGGTAGAACGAGAACACCAATCACAAATTCACAATTGTGTAGAACATAATTGGTTCCCTGGATGTCGTGATTACTTACATGGAGATCTCTGGCCGCTCGCAAGACCAGCTTCGACCCTTGGTCCCTTGCGATTGAATGAGGGTGAACCCGACTGTCAAATTAGTCCACGCCGGAAGAAGCATACCAGAATCTAGATGTCAGGAGCATTACTGCAAGGAGAAATCGTGCAGCAGCCGCTGTAGCGTAAAGAGCCCGGGGTTGGCAAGTGAGTAAAGAAAAGCTGGAGATGTGTGACCTGTTACCACTCCAAAATTGTTCGTCCCCCACAGCAAGGTGCGAGCATTGGCTCAATTACAGCAGAGGTGAAGACCTCGTTCACCGCTCAGCATATTTTCCAGAGGTACTACTCACCAATTACCAGAGTCGACAAGGTTTCCCAAGTCTTTTCTTTATGTTCTTACGTTACACTGCTGGTACGTACCTAATTTTCGCCACGGCTTGGGACGCTTGGCAGCCGAATGGTGGCGGAGTGGTAGTACATCGGGTACGGCTTCGGCGGGGGAGTCATCCCTTTTCCGACTCTTTGTGAGTAGCACCAATTGGCTAAGATCATTTTGTTGAAACTTTGTTCGTCCACCAACGGGCCGCTTAAACAAATCGATCGGAAGCGGCTTTGTCGTGGCAAAAAATATGTTCGAGTCGACCCTGTTCTAACTGCAGACGTAGCAGGGTATCGCAGAATGGTGGCGGAGTAATGACAAGGCATCGCACACTCCAATTATGGTGGTAAGTTCATTGTCCGATGCATGTGACTGACTTGACAGCACATTCCCTCGTTCATTTATATGTTCATAAAGGAATGGCAGTCTTATTTCTTTTGTGATCTGCCTACTAAGGAATTCAAAGACAAATGTTCTATGATACAAGCGCTGAACCGTTCCACCTTCCGTTTCCACCCCGTGAGTAGTGGAGTTCAGTAAGTGTGATGTGACTGATTTGACGGGTTAGTTGATTCCATCGATATCATCATCTTTACCCGGGTTGAAATTACCTCCGAGTCCACATCGGCGTACTTGCGTTCGCTGGACGAGATATTTATGAGTCCCTAATATAAGTATAATCACACAGCGACTACGGATGTATTATGTTGTTCAGGTGTTGTTTGATCATCTCCGTACGAAATATATTAATCTCTCTAATACTCTAGGCGAACGCTCTTCTGAATTTCGTTATAGGTCAGTGGCAAATGATGCATGCAGATGCAGGTTGGGCCAAGCTCAGGCTCGCCAAGGTGGAATAGCCGTCAAGAAGTTTAGACTCGTGACCAGTCTGTCTAATTGACGCTTGCCCCATTAGACAGACTAGTCACGAGTCTAGATAGTATCTGCCTCGCTCTGGGTTTAGGCCGGCCCTGCTCCAATGTTTGAGCGCGTTGTAGTATCATTGATTTCAACTGCACGTGAGATTCAATTAGAGTTAAGTTTATTTTGGAGTATTTGGTTCACCCTTGGACGTCTTGGGTTTGCTTTTCGCCGTGACTCGCCCGGGCCCTGCTGCTCTTCGAATTTGTGAATGGTGGCAACTCATCAAGCCCTCAGTATTCATTGATCATTCGGCCATTAGTAAGAGAGGCAACTCTAAATACTGTAAAATTGATCGAGAGGTCCATGCTAAAGGGATCTATGGCATCCCAAAGCCCCGCAGTGGTACACGTGCTTTCAGGTATTCAACAAAAAATATGATTCTTTCGGTGTTCTAACAGTACAGCGATAACTACAGGGGAGACCATAACAGTATCAATACAGGACAACTTTGTGTCGAATGCAAGCCCTTTGCTAACGTCAAATGATAGCAGTTCAAGCGAGTTCCCACTCTTCCCCATCCTCCGTATAGAAGAGCTCCCTTTTGCCCAAGCTCATACCATCCTTGTACAAGGTAGGCGCCGCAGAGAACTTGTTCAAAAAGTCACTAAACTTCAACCCCGACTTGGGAGCATTTGAAACTATCACTTGACCGTTTTCGGGGAGGACGTTAACGGACTTATTGACGGCGGTCAACGTGATAGCGATCTCGTCAGAGCCAATTATAATGGTCCCTGCAGTACCGCTGTCGGTGCGGCTAACACGGAAACGAGTGCGGTCGGTGCTCGAAGCATAGACCGAATTTGTCCCTTGAAGGGGACAGTACCAGTACTCGTGAGGAACGGCTTTGGAGCGAATGAAGAAACTTTGGTAGGGCCGCTATCAACCAAATGTGGACCACGCTGCAAGGAATTAACTCACGAGTTTCCGCTAACATGGTCCACGAAATTATCAAGCGGCGGGATGATGCTTAACAGACGACCACCCAGGTCGTACTGCAATGTGAAAAACACCTTGCCGAGGAATTGGGTCGCAACCCCAGTCGTCGTAAGGGTATCGGCGGCGTTGGCCTGCCCCACGTCGTGGGTGTAGAACTGGGCATTGACACGCCGAATACTCTCTGAGAACTTGACGACACTGGTAGTGGACACGGCGCGCCACCACTCATCGGCAACTGCGCGGCTAGCGAAGACAATCACGTATCGATAGGTCGAGTTTGAGGTGATCTGAATGGCGGTTTAGGGCAACATTACAGACATTGAAGAATGAATTTTGAACGTACGTTTTTGACATATGCGTAGAAAACCATGATTGTACGTTGAATAGGAGGGATGATTTGTTGATTGTGTTTGGATTGAAATGAGTTGCTTGAACACTGTACATTATATAGGGAGAGCAGGTTGTTTGGTTGGGTTGATCATAATATCAAGAAGTTGCATGAAGCGAGTTGCGGGTTCATGGATTCAGACTTCACGCGGTTCCTTCGAACACCCTCACGGCATTCAAGTATGGAAGCCAGGACCACCGCACACCGTGACAAACTCCATGACAGACAGACTGTCGCACGTTCGGGACACCGCAGACCTTGTTTTTCTATCCAAGGGACGGTATCATTACTCCTTCAGATCTACGTCCCCATTAGTACTCGGAGGAACGTGTCTGTGCCATGGCAAACAAACACATTGACTCTATCACCAGTAAGGGATTATTCGATAATTGTCTCGTCTACTGAGTACGAAATTTGTCATACATTTTTCACCCTTGGTAGCGCTTTTTCTCCATTCTCAGAGTTTGGACCTCGTCATGAAGGCCTCCATTCTGGTTAGAGGGTTGCTACCAGTCTTACATTATGCTCGAGGCTCATGTGTCCTTTGTGAGGCCTCAAACTCACTAGTATCGTGCTCCGATCATTATGCCGCCCCATATATCTGGATATGAGCAATGAAGTGGGGGGTGGTTCTGACCTTTAAGAAAAATAATCCAACAGTGGTGCAGAATCTCACGAACGTGTTGGGCAGACGCACCTCCAAAGTTATTGACATGCTGTTAAGACAAAATAACACAGGGGTGCACGAAGTCTCGCTGCCTACTGTGGATGTGTGGCGCCGGCTAACGAACGCGGTGGTGCTGGCTTCCATAGTATGGAAGCCGCCCCAGACACATTCGCTTAATGCTACAGCCTTCCCCGCACTCGCATACTTCCCTTCCCTCAATCGGTTCCGGTTTCTGGTACCCTATTATTATTCAGACCTTTCTCGGTTCCTTCTAATTAGCAACTATGTGCATTGTGCAAGGCTTGGCTTAAGGTCGTGGGCCAAGCTAAGCTGAGCCCTTGAGGATGGCCGATCCAGGCTTGGGGCCCAGCTCGAGGCCCTCAAGCCGCGGCTTCCAGTGGGTGGTAAGTACTTGATGCAGGTAATTCTCTAGTGTGAACGTTTGTGTTTGGTATACGGTATCTTTCAGTTTGCCGCTTACTTGACCATCAAAATTCATTCATGTTGGTCAATCTATTAATAATACATCTGTGAGTACCAATCCACACTCATACATACCTTAAGCGGTTCCTCACCTCAAACTTTCAAGCTTCAAGTTGAGCCAGGTATAATCTCCCCCTACCCTCTTGTGACCATAGATGGCCCTCTCAAAGGCAACCCCGACCAATTTCTTCACTCGATGCAGCCGTTTCGCCACATTATTTGCCCCCTGCAACGTCCAGCAACCTCACTGTCTTTCGTGATCAGCCCCCAAGCAACGACTCACCCGCAGCAAAGCGGAAATCATGCGACCGGAGTAGATTTCGAATTCGGCATCTGCTGTCCAGACTCGCTTTCATTCGATTTCCCGGTGGTCGAACCTGAAGTCTCATGAACCTAGCATCACTGGGAAGTGGTGTTGCTGTGAAACGAACCGAAAACCGGAGCGAATCGAAGTGGAAATTGGACGCCCTTTGGTAGACTTTACACAGTAATCAAACTTTCATCGCAAAAAAGCTATCCATCATTCTTCGGTTCCGCCTACCAAGAATGTTTGTTAATAAATTGACCTCACCAGATGCCGTTGCTGACCTTGTTGGGGGTGTGAATACGTCAGTCCAGGTATTTCGGACCTGGATTATAGATGTTTGGCTCTAGTCTTACAAGCTATGACGCAGTCTATTTGTAGTCGTTTGTTGATTTTGCCTAACCACGGCGAGATCCGAGTGTGTTGTTCCGCGTATTACACGTTCACATCTTAGTATCAGAGATACAGGGGAACTGTGGGTACAGAGTCAAGCATAGGAATCATGATGGATATCAGACCAGATGACCTACCTTGCATTCTAGATCATTCTCGACACCATTGTCTGACTCGGTAAACTTTGGCATGACGCTTGTACTCCATTTACCGGACTGACACAAAACAGTTTGAGCATGCTGCCTTGAGTGCTCGGTGACTGAGAAGCGCAAGCGAACAGCGGATGGTCGTGGATTTCGATTAGGGCCTAAACACCTGAAAGTGTCCCACCGAGGGGAGCCACGCGTAGGCTAATGCATGTATTGGTGACTGGTGTGAACAAGCGCCCACGTGCACATGAACTTGGTAAAACCGCTGCTAGCAGGTTTAGTATGACGTCAACACAGTACTAGTGCAATCACAATACGCAACAAGAACACGGTGAAAGTGCAACGAAAAGGGCGATGCTAGTGCAAACAGTTGTGTGCAGCACAACATGAACGACGCGAGAACGATGCGATGCAACACGTCTTATCGGAAAATTGAAATCTCAGATCTCAGAGCTCATCATTTTTCATATGTAATTACAGAATTGTGATATTTCACCCGACCTCGTCATGTTGGGTTCTCACTGGAGTGCGACGTGTAAACGTATATACCAGAATTGACATTGTCACTTGCTAGCAGGTAATATCGTTCCACCCACCTTCATCCTGTATTTTTCTTGACCTCTCTTCACCAAGAGCTCCACTGCCTCAGGAGTCAGGATCCATTACAGAGTTTTACGGGTAGCCGATACAATAGAACATGATGGTCATGCATGCAAAAACGAAACGAAGCGTGAAGTCCAAATAACGAACGGCGCGATGCATGGACGGGTATAAAAAAAGAAAGTATGTACCACGACTTAAAATCTTCGTGCTCCTCCAACCAAACCCTCTATCGAATGGTGCTCCAGCTCATTCCGCGCCTTCATGATCGAGGCATGCATCTCCTTCATCGCATTTCCGAGCTTCACACCGAAACGACTGAGGATATCCCGTTGCCATGCATCGTATTTGGCGTTTACTCTGGCTTGGACTTGCTCGTAATCCACGACACAAACACCGAAACTCAGTTGCGTTTCTGATGTGTCAAATGTCGAGCGTGTTTTCTTGATCTCTGTCAGAAGTTGCTGCCAATGCGCGAGGGAGTCTCCTAAGCGATTGAAGACATATTCTGCTTCCAGATCCCACAACGACTGGAACTGTAACCACTTGGCGACATAGTCTTTGAGCTTCTGAACTTTGAGTTCTATGAGAGAAAATGGTCGCTCTAAAGTGTTGTCGGAGAATCGTGTGAGCTAGGTAGAGCTCTTAAGAACGTGGTAGCCTCGACATATTGTAGGAGATACGTACCAGAGAGGTATATGTTGTTTCTGACACTTGCGTGCCCTGCATTTGCAACCCAATCTCGTATCGAGAACTTTGGATACGTCTCAATCGACAAATAACGCCTGTTCAAGAAATTAGTAAAGGATTGAACAATTAGAGATACCGTACGCACCTAACCAGTCATGCAATTGCTTTATCCAAGTCGCACGTGCATATTCTATAGGCGGATCAAGGAAGATCACTTGGTTCTGTATCCGGATTTCGTGAACGATGGGTTTTACACTCATGTTGCCCTCGGCGACCTGGAAAGATGAGTCAGTACTAGCTTTGCGAATAATAACATAACATACCCTCTCCTCTTTCCCGCCTTTCCCGGCCCGTCGCTTGTTGGTGATGTCCCGCAAAGGTATTGGATCTCGGCGCGCATCACCATCATCTGTCCGATCAAACTCAGAACACCAGACTTGGATGATGTAGCCCAACCGCTGAAGCAGGATCCCCTCTATTCGCTTGTCGAGGTCAGCCACCCAGTGTTCAAGATTAGCGTATCCCTCCAGATTCAGGCGATCAATCTGCACGTATTCAGCACACGAACAGTAATGATGAAGAGACAACCCACAGCAGCTTGAATCTTGCCCAGAAGATCTGAAAATGCTTCACTAGTATAAGGGCATGTTGTGAGATCCTCGACTGCTCGAAGAATGTTGCGATACAGATCAATGACGTTGTTGGTTTTATCTTGTAGGATAGACACAACACTCGCAAACTCCCGCACGAATTGGATATGTCGGTTCTCACGTCCATCGGCACTGGTCACATACCGTGCGGTGTCGTATTGGTTGACAAAGTAATCCCACTTGATGCTCATACCTGGATATAAAGCGTCAGAGCCCCGATGAATCGACGGTCTGAATCTGATCACCTTTGGCAACCATCCGCTGAGCCTCATTCCGATATTCAGCAACCAACCACTCTATGCCCATGTTATTCTCCACCAGATCCAGAGTCTGCCCATAGGTTCTGACAGTCTCCATAAGACTGACAGCATGAGGATATACTCGCTTTGCATCCTTCGCCATGTTCGTGATCGCGTGTGGGACCTGGAAGTTTAGCCACAACAAATTGCGAACCTCCTTGAAAAGTGTGATAATTTGGGGGTCGAAGTTTACCGCTAGTTGGAACCCTCCTCCCCGTAATCTCACGATCTCAAAGAGACGGCCATTGACCCCCATGTCGCGCCGGTTGATATCATGCAGCCAGGCGTCAAACACTGGCCGTGTCTCTAGCTTCTTCCTGAATGCGGTGCTTTCCGACTGAAGTTTCTGGCCCTCTGCATAGAGCTCCCAGCCCTTACCAAGTACATCCTCCACTCGTTTCATGTAGGTGAGTAGCTGTCGCTCAATCTGCCGAGCCCAGATGATGGCACCTGCTATTGGAGGTAGGTCGCGCATTTGTGACATGTGATAGGCTTCAGAGAACCGATATTGCGTTTTGAACTTGATGGTCATCATAAGTAACGGAGACAATACAAGAGTATGCTGTCTACCTTATCGTGAAGGCGCTTAATGTCCTCCTTTACTGAGTCGATGAGTTGAGTTTGATACTCTTGGATAGCTCCACGAATCTGTGGGATATGAGCGTAAACATGTGTTACACTGTCCCACAAAATGAACTACCTTCGGGCGAACGAAAAGTGCATTGAACTTGGAGAACACTCTGAACATTTCGTTCGCGTTTCTTGCCGTGCCTAGCCTATCGCGTAGCCGTGCAATAATTTGGTTCTCGACCCTTGCAACCCGTTCGTTGTATGCGTTCTCAGCAGCCACCCAAATTTCCGTACCCTCTGAAAAGAGAGTGAGGTGACTTCAACATCGACATGTCAAAATCAGGTGCTCACCAACAGAAAC